TTCTCGGTGGAGGTGTATTTTTTTTTTTTTTATTCCTATTAAGCAATGGGAGAGAAAAATTTATTTTTCCGTCTTAAATCGAGAAGAGGAAGAAGTATTGTTATATTTATATATATTATTTATTAGCGAATGTAACATATATAAATATATATATATATATATCGATACCTGAAATAAGGGAATCTGAATACCGGAATCAAATTTCAACAAGTTTTATCGAGTTACGTTGCTATCCCATTTCAACGTCCATGTTATAGCGAAATCGATCCAAGAAACCTGATTATTTGATTGTTTTTCATTTTATAAATTGAAGCTAGTCAGGCGAGGGAAGTAAAAAAAAAATTAAGTAATAGATTCAACGATCTTTCAACGAGACGCGTGTAAAATTTAAAAAAAAATACAATCGAAACTCGAAATGTCGATATATCTCGATATTTATCCATATATCGATACTTGAATTATCGATTCTCAAAATATCGATATTTAAACTATCGAATTTAAATTCGATATATCGAAACTTAAACTTTCAATTAAAAATTCGATATATCGATACTTGAACTATCGATAACAAGTTCGATATATCGATACTTTGACTATCGATTAATAATTCGATATATCGATACTTGAACTATAGATAACAAATTCGATGTATCGTTATTGGGACAATTGATTAATTATTCGATATATCGATACTTGAACTACCGATGACAAATTCGATATATCGCTATTGGAACTATCGATTAATTATTTTTACATATAGATAAAAATCGATATATCGATAACTGAACTATCGATGACAAATTCGATATATCGCTATTTTGAACTGACGATTAATTATTTTTATATACCGATAAAAATCGATATATCGATAACTGAACTATCGATGACAAATTCGATATATCGCTATTTGAACTATCGATTAATTATTTTGATATATAGATAAAAATCGATATATCAATAACTGAACTATCGATTCTTAAGTATCGATAAATAATTCGATATATCGATACTTTGAATATCGATTAATATTTTGATAGAAAATTTAATATATCGATAAAAAAAATCGATATCGATATTTTTCAGTTATATTTATTAAAATTTTTTAAATAATTTTTATAAGTTTTAAATAATAAAAAAAATACTCCTTTATAAAAATTTCACTCACGGAATGACACGGAATTTTATATTATTTACATATATCTACTGAATCCTTTCTAATAGAGCGGAACGTCCGCTATTTGATAGGAGGCAAATGTTTCAAGTCCTGGAATGCAACAAAAGGACATGAATATAATTGCAAAGAGTTTGCTCGTAAGAATTTGAGAAAAAATATCCTCCTTTTTCTTAATAAAAAAAATTGTTACATATTATTGGAAAAAAAATAAATTCTTAGTTACTTCTAAATGTTTTTTCTTTTTTTAATGAAAATAATAATTTAAAGGGAAAATTTTCATATTTTTTTTCATTTTAATGTAATAATAATTAATTTAAAAAGAGAATATTTTATTTGAAAAAATTTATAAAATTCGATAAAAATGAATAAAAGAAAAAAAAATAAAAATCGATTTTTATTATATTAAATTTGCATCAAGGATATCCGGAAGAAATTTTAAATGTGGAGCATTTCGATCCAAGTTGGTATATAGATGAATTAACATATAGAAATCTCAAGCAACGAGAATTCTGATGACTTTCAGGCCACAAGATTCAGATTTAGAGATAATTTTTTTTTCTCCTGACATTAGGATCACACTTTTACTAATTTATAGAAATTTTTCTTTTTTGTTAGAAAAAAAAATTTTTTTTTTTTTTTTATAGAATATTTAATATTTCTTTCTATAAACGAAAAATTCGGTTAAATATTTTATCCAAAAAAAAAATTTTTATTTATTATGCGCCATCTCCAGGAATGTAAATTTGATTTTTTTTCTACTTTTTAGGTTATGTTAGAGAAAATAATTATATATAGTCGATTTCTGCTATTGAGAAGAGTAGAATTTTTAATAAATGGAATTTTTTGATTCAATTTCGCAGGAATTAAAAGAAATTAAAATTTCGAGGTGGGATATTTTGAGGTTAGGTATGTTAAAAACGACTAATTTGATAGCAAAAAAGAAAGAAAGGAAAAAGAAATGTCAGCAACACTAATTCAAGTATTTCAATACAGTTAAAAATAACCGAATTAAATTCATTTTTAGGTTATATAAATATATAAACAAATATTTATTAACTAAGTTACTTAGTTAAATTTTACTAGTTTTTTTTTAGATATTTTTTTAATTATTTTTTAGTTATTTTTTTACAACTAATAATTATTTTTTACAAATTAAAATTAAGGGTTTTCAGCACAAATAAGAAGGAGAAAAAAATCATTTTCCAAATAAAAATATTATTTTTTCAAAATAATTGTTTCTCGCACAAGTTTTGAGTGACGAGATACATTTTTTTTTTGACAAGAGAATAGTGTCCTTGACTCTTTTTTTTCGTTCAAAGCAATTATATTGAATAAAAAAAAATTTTTTTTTTCTTTCCCAGACAACTGATAAATACACGTAGGTGGAAATAATTTACGGATTTGTACAAAACGATATAGAGATAAAAAAAAGAGATATACTTATATATATATAGGGATATAGTGTATGGACAGTCACGATGGTGTATATAGAGACGTAGTAAGCAGGAAGTAGCATCCGGTCGGTATCAAACACGATATATACCCGTTTTACACACATCGTGTCTGTATTCTTTTTTTTTTTTGTATTAAATCAAACGTGTATGTTCTAATAACATAATAATCAAAAATCAATTTCAAAAAAAAAATTCTAATTTTTTACTTTTGTTTCATTTTTTCAAGAAATGAGAACCCCTGCAATTTATTAATTTTCTCAGTCATTGAAAATTCGACATGGAAACATAACCTCTTTTGCGGATTTTAGTCAATTTTTTTTTCTTTCTCACATTTTCCAAAGAAACTAGTTTCTTGCCATCGAAAGGATTTTATTTTTAAAGAGAAAAGTACAAAAAATTGATTCCATTAAAATCTAGAGGGAAATTAAATCGCGAGGTGGAGGTTAACGCCATTTTTTCCAAAGAGTTGGGAATTTTTTTTACCCTTAAAGGGGGAAAAAAAAAAATTATCAAAATATTGAATAGTTTCGATTTTCTTTTACCAACATTACAAAATAATAATTATAATAATAATTAGAAAATTAAAAAATGTTATTTAAATAAATTTTTTCTTAGAAATAATTGATTTTTAAAAAGGGAAAAATTTATTAAAAAAATTCATCGCCTTGAGAGTGAGAGAGAAAGAGAGAATCAAGGGAGGTGCGTGCGCGACGTACTGTCAAGTATACGAGGTCATAGCAGTGCCAGTGCAAAGAGAATCGGCTCTTTCGAGGCGGTTTATTGATCGTCGGCCAAGTTTCAATGTAGCGTACAGTCTCCCGACGTGCATTATTCTTCTAGGTCGAGAGCACGTGGTCGAGACTGCAAAAAAAAAAGAGAAAAGAGACCGTTTAGCGTCACGCAAATTTAATTTTCATTTAATTTATAGCATAGCATTTTTTTCTATTATAAAAAAAAAAAAAATGTAGACCAATTTTTTAAACTGCAAATAATTTCTCCATTTTTTTAAAATAATGTTTGAAAGAAAAATTATAAAAGAATTATTTAATTAAAAAAAATAATTACTTTTTTTTTAACAATGATAATTGAGAAAAAGAGAGAAAAAAAAAAAATGAAATGTTTAATCAAGGAAAAGAGAAGTGTTCTCAGTAGTAGAACCGCATTGAAGGGCAGACCGGCGAAGTAGACAGAGTTCGGGTCGTCCCGGACGCGTTCGTTTTCAAAACCCGCAATATGGCCGCAAGCCACGTTGCGGGTCAATGATCTGTTCTCCCTGTCTCTTTCTGTCTTCCTCCCCCTCTTTCTCTCTTATCGTTCGTCGATTTACACGCATGTGCGTAAATCTTACCCTTGCATTCATACTTCTCACATGGCTTGCCATGATGTACCCTTCGTCATCCCCTACGACGATAATCCATGTTCCATTTTTTTTTCTTTTTTTTAACTCGAAAATGTAAAATACTTTATGCAAATGTTCACTCGCTAAAAAACGATTTATAAAAAAACAATTCACTTTTGTCGATATTTCGATATTTTATGGCGATTTGAACTTTCCAGGTGGAGACGATTTTGGCATTTAGGTTAGGATTTCTCCAAATTAGACATTTTGGCCAAATTATTCACTCGTCAAAAAGCGATTTATAAAAATACGATTCAATTTTATCGGTATTTCGATATTTTACGACCATTTGAACTTTTCAGGTGGTAATTTTTTTTTGGTTTAGGTTAGGATTTCTATTAATTAGATATTTTGGCAAAATTGTTTACTCGCTTAGAAGCGATTTATAAAAAACGATTCAATTTTATCGGTATTTCGATATTTGAACTTTCCAGGTGGAGACATTTTTACATATGTGTCATTTAGGTTAGGATTTTTTCGTAATTACAACATTTTGGTAAAATGGTTTACTCAATAAGAAGCGATTTATAAAAAAAAAAAACATTCAATTTTATCGTTATTTCAATATTTTACGGCCATTTGAACTTTTCAGGTGGAGAAATTTTTTGTACAAGTCGATTAGGTTATGTTAATCAAAATATTTTTCGAAAATTAGCCACCTTAACAGAATTGTTCACTCGTCCGGAAGCAATTTGGGTAAACAGAATAGAGTTTCGTCCATTCCTCGATATTTCGTACACATTTGAATATTCCAGGTGGAGGCGTTTTTGCTCAAATCGCTTAGGTTATGTAAAAACAAAACATTTTCATTACTTAAACATATATACCAGAAAAGTTCACTCGTCAGGAAACAATTTCCGTAAACAAAATCGAATTTCGTCCACTTCTCGATATTTCGCAGACATTTAAATTTTCCAGGTGGAGGTTTTTTTTAGTCACTTAACCTAAAAAAATTTTTTTTTTTCATTTTCAGGGCACAAATGGTCCAAGGCCAACTTACGCTGGGGCGAATAATGGTAATGTGGGTAGCGGTGGCGCTGGTGGTGGCGCAAGTGGAACAGGTGGCGCCAGTAACGTGGGAGTTGGTCCAAATGCAGGAAGCGGTGGCGTTGGCCATGGACTAAAAGGTGGAGCTGGTGGTGGGCCAAGGGGTGGTAATCCAGTGCAATATCGTGCAAGTGGTGCCGCATGGGGAGCAGCGCCATCACACGCAGCAGCAGCGGTGGCAGCAGCCGCCGCAGGTTATCCGCCATATACTCGGTATCCAAATGCCGCGGCCGCTGCAGCAGCAGCGCAAATGCCAGTTGGCGCACAACAGATACCACCAGCTCCAAATCCATATAGCGCCACTTCATATGCCCAACATGCAACCGTAAATAATCAAGTATGAAATTTTTTCAAAAAAAAAAAATCCACTGATTCGGACTAGCATCATTTGTAAAATAACCTCTTTTTTGTAAAAAAAATGTCCGCTAGTCCGAATTTTTTTTTTCTGTTCTTACTTGATTATAATTTTAATACAGTACGGTGGACAACGAGTACCAACAGCCTCGTCACCGGCAAATACAAATAGTAGTTCCAGTAGCGCCACAGGTAGTCAAAGTGGTACAATGAGTACTAACCTTAGCAATAATGCAATGCAGGGACAGCAGGTGGAGCAATTGTCGAAAACAAATTTGTATATTCGTGGCCTCAACCAAAATACAACAGACAAAGACCTCGTCAATATGTGTTCTCAGTAAGTAAACGTTTTTAAAAAAAAATTACAGTAAAAACCCACGTATAGAATACATTACCGACTGATGGCAAGTTAGATTTCTATATCGGTAATTTTTTTATATTTTTATCTTTCCAAAAAAAAAACTGTTTTACCATCAGTCGGTAAGGTACATTTCTATATCGGTAATTTTTAATATTTTCATTTTACCTGTTTTACCATCAGTCGGTAAATTAGATATCTATTTTGGTATTTTTCTTCCCATAAACAGACGGAAAAAAAATAATACTTTTATTTTCTTCCAAGTTCAATTACATTTTGTTTATGTTTCATTTTTTCAGGTATGGAACTATAACCTCTACAAAGGCGATTCTGGACAAAAATACCAATAAATGTAAAGGTAGTTATAAAGATAAATACTTATTTACAAAAAAAAATTATTTAAGGGAAGGGCAATTTTCCGGAGCATGAAAAATACATTAAAAAATTTTCCAAAATTGTTCCAAATTTTTTTCTTGCAAATGTATACAAAAATCACTAAAATACGTATTTCATCGATGAGTTCCGTATTTAGCGGTAGAAATTTCATGCGAAGTTACGTATCTAAGGATAAAATACGTATCTTTTGGTAAAATACGTAATACTTATCTTTTGGTAACATACGTATTTCACAATAATTTGGGGTAATTTGCATATGCCATATGCCGTATCGTACGTATCTTCTGGTACAAAAACGTAATACATCATAATTTACGTATTATGATGTTAAATGAGTGTTTCATAGTATATTACGTATCTACTGGTAAAGACCGTATTTCATGATAAATTACGTATTTCATGGTAAGTAACCTAACCTTCGGTGAAAAAAAGTTATTAATAATATACGTATTTTACGGTAAAATACGCAATATATGATATTTGAAGTATTTTAATGTAAAATGCGTACTTCGTCGTAGATCACGTATCCTTTGGTAAGAAAACGTAATTCATGATAATTTACTTATTTTCCGGTAAAAGAGGTAATAAATGACAATTTACGTTCTTTGAGGTAAAAGGCATATTTTTTGCCTACGGCGTATCTTTTGTTAAAAATCGTATTTAATAATTTACGTGTGTTTGCGCAACAATGCGTATATCTCCGTAAATTACGTAAGATACGCCAAAATAGTATGAATTTCGTGATAAATTACGTATTATGACGTAAATCGTGTATATCTCGGTAAATTACGTATCTTAGGACGCAATACGTAAACATTTCGTAATAAATTACGTCTTTTACTGTAAAATGCGTATATCTCGGTAAGTTGTGTATCTTACGACAGCTTACGTATGAATTTCGTGATAAATTACGTATTATAACGTAAATCGTGTATATCTCGGTAAATTACGTATCGTAGGACGAAATACGTAAACATTTCGTAATAAATAACGTCTTTTACGGTAAAATGCGTATATATCGGTAAGTTGTGTATTTTACGACAGTTTACGTATGTATTTCGTGATAAATTACGTATTTCGACGTAAATTGCGTTTCTAACGGTAAATAACGTTATGTTACTGTAAATTACGTATAATTAGGTAAATTACGTAAACTCTGGTAATTTACGTATTGTTAGAAAATTTTTTTGGAACATTTGGAAATTTTTTTTTTCGTATTTTATGTATATATTTTTACATGGTTTTTTTTTGTCAAAAATTATTTTTGGTTTTTTCCTTTTTTTTGCAGGTTATGGCTTTGTAGACTTTGAGACACCGTCGGCGGCAGAGGGTGCTGTGAAAGCACTGGTGTCCAAGGGCATCCAAGCGCAGATGGCGAAAGTGGGTATCTGGTTGCTCCGTAGACTGGCCAGTGTACGTTGGTTGTGCATGCAAGTACAGTAATACCAGAGTAACAGTAAACCTCTCTCTTTCTCACTATCTCGTTCTTTTTCTTGTTCTTCTCATTTTCTCCCTCCGTCCTCCTTTTTGCCATCTCCCTCCAACACCTAACCCCCCTTACTTTCTTTCTCTTTCTCTATTTTTCTATAACTTTCTGTCTCTCTCTCTCTCTCTCTCTCTCTCTCTCTCTCTCTATTTTCTATTCTTTTTTTTTCTTTCTCTCTTTTTCTCTCTCCTCCCTTACCATCCCTGTCCCCTCCCACTCTCTCTCTCTCTCAATTTCCAATCATCAAAGCTAATCAATAATATTCCATTCTTCTCCAAAGAGAGCAGTAAATCACGTAAGATTTAATAATATAAATTATTTTTTTTAAAAAAAAAGGAAAAATAGTTTTAAAAAATTTAGAAAATAATGAAAAAAAAAACGAAAAAGAAATTAAAAAATTAATAACAAAATTTCAAAACTGATATTCGACTCTTTCAAAATTAAAGGAAAATTTGTGATTGGCTTGAAACTTCCCCATTCCTTAGAAATTTTTATTTTTTATTATTATTATTATTGATAAATCGGTAAACAAACTTTGCTGTTTATTATTTTTGAAAAAAAAATATATAATTTAATTTTCCATTAATGTTGATTTTATTATTTTTTAGTTTTTTTTTCTTCTTTTATTTTGTATCATTAAAATTATTATTATTATTATTACAATTTTATTTTTGTATTTTGTGAATTATTATTATTAATTTTGTTTCTTAAAAAAACTATTAGTGAACTCTATTTACTTGATTTTTGATGTGTTTTTCTGTATATGTGGCTTTATAAAAGGTGAAAAACCATGAATTACAAAAAAAGCGAAAAAACCCTGTCCGTAATATTCTTGGAGATTCATCAAAGCTCTATCTCTCTTATTTACTTACTCTGTCTTTTTTATATACTGTACCTATTTTTTTTTTGTTTTGAATTTTTTTTTTTTTTTAAATTAATTTACCAAAAATCTGTCAATGCTTGCTGCTATTATTATCTCGGCCACGAATCGCTGATACTGCTATGTTCAACACATCTCAAAAAAAAGTCATGTCTGAAAAATTTGCATTCGTTTCAGCACTAATAGGCCCTCCAGCAAAAAAGTATATTTAAAAAAAAAAAAAAAATACTTGACAATTTTCAAAATTTTTTAAATTTCAAAAAAAAAAATAATTTCTAACCTTTAATGGTTTTTTTTTTTAAATGACTTTTCAAAATTTTCAATCTCCCGATTTTCGGCAAATTTCAACACTTCAGAAAAAATTTAATTTAATTTTTGAAATTTAAATAACTTTTAAAAAAAGGGAGATAAATTATAGAATCATCCAACGCCCGAAGAAAAAATAAAACTAACTCGGAATGGTTCATCTAACCAGTGTGTGGCAAAATAGTATAATAATAATATTAATAATAATAATAAAAAAAAAAATAGCACGATGAAGCCACTTGCGAATGTGACAATCTCAATCGCATGTGATATGCAGCGAAATTATTAATATTAAAATTAACTAAATATGACGAGTCATTAACTCATGTTCGTATTATTATTTTTTTTTTTAATTTTTTTATTTTCCATTTAAACCAGGGAAATGCTGCTACTTTTTCTGCTCATTGGGCAAATTTTTACAAATCAGGCGCTGTCTTACCCTTGGGGGTGTTGGTTGGCTCTGATATACACTTGGCTTTATGAACTTAACCCTTTTATAATTAAAAAAAAAAAATAAAATTCATTTCAGCGTCAGCATTCCACAAGATTTTATCTCACGGATTGTTTTTTTTGGAGTTTATTATTGAAATTGAGACAAAAAATATAATATTGTTCAAAATTTAAACAAAAAAATATTTCTACGCAGCTTAAATCAACCAAAAGTTACTGCGCAGCTGTAAAGTTCATAGAAACTTACTGCGCAGCCGAAAAATTATCCAAAAGTTACTGCGCAGCTAAATTTTTTTGTAGAAATGTACTGCGCAGTCTAAACGTCAACCAAAAGTTACTGCGCAGCTAAATTTGTTTGTAGAAACTTACTGCGCAGCCTAAAAGTTAACCAAAAGTTACTGCGCAGCTATTTTTGTTTGTAGAAACTTACTGCGCAGCCTAAAAGTTAACCAAAAGTTACTGCGCAGCTATTTTTGTTTGTAGAAACTTACTGCGCATCCTAAAAGTTAACCAAAAGTTACTGCGCACTTGTAACTAAATGGCGCGAAATTCAAAATTTTTTTTCTCTTTTTCAATGTTAAATAAATAAATAATTAATCAGAAAAATGGAAATAAATATTTTTCAAAAAAAAAAAAAAAAAAAATACATGTAAATTATTGATGAAATCTTTTGGAATGTTGTTGACTGAGACAAAAAAATAATAAATTAATGACATATATACAAAAGGAAGATTTTAATCGAAAAATAATGAAATATATTTAATTATTTATCATTGTTGTTAGATATATATACTTTTATACATATATTATTACCAAATATATAAATATATTATAAATATACATATATATTATATTATATATTAATTATTATATATATATTTAAAAAAAAAAAAAAAAAAAATGCCATGAGCTTTGGCTTACACCACGATATTTTCATTATTTATTCTTCTTTTTTTTATGCATTCGCAAGATTGAAGTAAATTGTCGTAAAGTATAAGTATATTCAAGTAATCGTAGATTTGAGTCTTGAGAGAAATGGTGGATCTCAAAATATGCTTTGAGGCACACAAAAAACTTTAAGGGGAAGAAATAATTCAATTTTATTTTCATATAATTATACCAAAAAATTGCATTATTTTGCATTTAATTTTTGCATTATTCTCAATTTTACATGTTTATACAAAGTTTTTTCTACTTGCTTGTTTTCTGTTATTTCGTACTTCATTCAATAAAAATAAATAAATTTTTTTTAATTTTAATTTTTATTTTCTGTGCTTTTATCTATTTTTGCTTTTACTTTTCATGAAATGTAGCTATTTTGTAAAATTGTTTTATTACTCCAAATATATCGATAACTCACATTTTTAATAATATTTCGATTTATCGAAAAAAAACGATAGATGAAATTGATATTGATATATCGAATTGATATCGATGTATCGACTTATTATCGAATTAATATCGATGTATAGACTTACTATCGATGTATCGACTTACTATCGAATTAATATCGATGTATCGACTTACTATCAATAAATCGAGTTAATATCGATGTATCGACTTACTATCGATAAATCGATTTATTATCGATATATCGAATTAATATCGATGTATCGAAATAATATCGATTTATTTTTGATACATCGAGTTAATATTGATGTATAGACTTATTATCGATATATCGAATGAATATCGATTTATTATCGATATGTCGACTTAATATCGACTTATTATCGATATATCGAGTTAATATCGACTTATTATCGATATATCGAATTAATATCGTTTGACCATTGAAATATAAAATTTTAGTTTTTTTTATTTTAATTAAAATTGAAATTTCTTTTTTTTTTTTGTGAAAAGAAAAAGTTTTTTTCTCAAAATTTTGTAAAAATATATATTGTATTTATATATATTTGACAAATATTTTGAATGCAATAAGCAAATTTAGAGAGCCACCAGAATGTGGTAATGCCATGAAGCATGAGATAAATTTTTTGACGTCGAGAAATTTTGACTTTTGACGTCATTTTTGTTTTTTCAAAAAAATAAAAATAAAAAAAAACCATATACATATATATTAATATGTATATGAATATAATTATGTATATATATATTATTATAATTGAGTCGTTTTTCTGTTTATTTTGATTAGTAAGAATTAAAAATTATATATATATATATAATATTATATAGCTTTTATGGTTTTTTTTTGTAGCTTTATAATTGTTGTAGATTAATATATATATAAATATATATATATATATATACCTTTTTAAAAGTTTTTGTCCTCTCTCTATCTCTCTCTCGAGATTTAAATTATATAAATAAATATATATTATATAATAAAGTAATTAATATTTGATATTTAAATTATATATTTGAATAAAAAATGAATATAGAATAATTATTTGCGCAAAAAAAAATTTATTTTTTTTTATTATTATTTTAATGCTTTTCTTAAATTATTTTTCTTTGTTTTTGAGTTGAGTCGAAGCATCAGAGCGATTAACGCGCATTTATATTGTTATGTTTTTTGTTTCTATTTTTTTTTCGTTGTATTTTCTGGTATTAAGAATAATATTGCAAAAACAAGGCACAAAATGGTTTTTTCACTGTCAAAAAAAAAGAAAAAAACTTTTTTTTTGTTTAAAAAAAGATTTTTCCTACATTCTTTTCTGAATGTATTAAACAAAATTTGATATATTTTTTTTTTTTTTTGTTAAACAATTTAAAAGCCTTTATTAATAATTTTTGTGTTAATAAATAATATTAATATTAATTTTGTTTATTACAAAAGGTTGAAAAAAATTGTAATATAAGTTAAGAAAAATGAAATAGAAAAAAAAAAAACCAAAAATGGGCGTTGTCTTTGTATTAATAATTTAAAAAAAAAAAAAAATTGTTGATGAAATTCAATGAGTTGCATAGATTTTTTTTTCATTGATTCTTCAGCAACAGGAGCAAGATCCAACCAATTTGTATATTGCCAACCTGCCACTCAATTTCAAAGAGAACGACGTAGAAGGATTGCTTGCTCAATATGGCCAAGTCATTTCCACGAGGATTTTACGTGATACGACAGGACAAAGTAAAGGTGTAGGATTTGCGAGGTCAGTAATCTATGCAAATTATTTTTTTTTATAATATCAAATATACTATAGATATATCGATTTTACTGTCAATTTTTTAATTTATTGATAGTATAAATCGATTTTTGTATCGATTTATCGATTCCGTAATCGATATATCGATTTTACTATCAATTTATTGATACTATAATCGATATATCGACTTATTGATACCATAATCGATATATCGATTTTACTATCGATTTATTGATACTATAATCGATTAGTTGTATCGATTTATTGATTCTGTAATCGTTATTTGTATCGATATATCGATTTTACGGTCTATATATATCGATTTCTTTATTCCATAATCGATGTATCGATTTTACTTTTGATTTATTGATACTGTAATCGATTTTTGTATCGATATATCGATTCCGTAATCGATATATCGATTTTACTATCGATTTATTGATACTATAATCGATTAGTTGTATCGATTTATTGATTCTGTAATCGTTATTTGTATCGATATATCGATTTTACGGTCTATATATATCGATTTATTTATTCTATAATCGATGTATCGATTTTACTTTTGATTGATTGATACTATAATCGATTTCTGTATCGATATATCGATTTTATAATCGATTAAAGTTTTAATATATCGAAAATCGATAAATTTATAATAATCGATATTTTCACAATCAATTTTATTACAGACCTATCGATTTGTAAATCGATACATCGATTATAATTGCAATATATCGCTTCTACTATTGAATTATCGATTTGACTGTCGATTTCACTTTTCGTTGAATTTATATAACAATTTAAAAAAAAAAAAAAAAATTTCTTACAGAATGGAATCGAAGGAAAAATGTGAACAAATTATTCAAATGTTTAATGGAAAAGCATTGCAAGGTGGAAAGGATCCGTTATTAGTGAAATTTGCGGATGGTGGCAACAAGAAAAAATCCTTGTACAAAAGTGCGATATGGAGGGAGACGGGAGATGTGAGTAACTTGGTAAATTTCAATTTTCTATACATTTTAATGAATTTAATCAATATTATAATTTTTCAAAATAAATTTGTTTATATTAAATTTTTATTTATTTATTTTGATTTTTTATTTATTCTTTTTTTTAAAGAAAAAAATAATTTTTTATTACACAGAATATGGCTCTAAATTATGATACGTCTGGAGTTGGACAAAATGGAGTAGCCACAGCGCACATGGTACCTGCGACAGCATTGGCACAGTACAGAAGTCATTATGGACAAGCAGTACCTGGTTATAATGTACCAGGAGCGCCATGGGTCACTCCTTACCTCGTGCAAACTGGACCTCCCCACATGCAACAGGTCGACGTGAGTTTTTATCTAGAGTTTTTGTGTTCGCTTTTTCTCTCTCCTTCTCTCTCTTTTTTTTTTTTTAATTGAAAAAAAAGTAATTACAATCTTATAATGAAAAAAAATTAATTTAATGATTTTTCTTTAATTTCAAAAAAAAAAAATTATTATTTTTTCACTGGCGTTAATTTTTTATTGTGTGGAAACATAAAAAATAGTTTTGAATTTCTATTTTTTTCATTATCATTAATTTGCTGCTTTTTTTATTTGAAAATTAGATTATTTTTTTTTAATGGTATTTTGAACGCATGTTTGATTGTAAAATTTATTTGCCTATTAAATAAAGGTTTATAAAATTTTTTTAGTTTTTTTTTATAATTTTATGAAATTGCATGCGATTTGTTAAAAAATACTAAATACTAAATCACTGCACAGTGAAAATTATTTATCATTAAATTATTGATTAAATAATAATTAAATTAAAAAAAAAAAAAACTCATTTGTTTGTTTTCTTTTTCTTTACAGATGATGCCATCGGCTGATCCCAGCAATCCTCAATATAGCATGATTCCACAACTAACAACCCAAATGTCAACCTTACATCTTGGCACAGGTTCGGTAAGTAAATTTCAATCTTTTTTAACTGATAATAATAATAATAAAAAAAAAAACCATTAAAATTGAAAATATTTTAAAAATTAATTTTATTACTATTTAATCTTTCTCAATTTTTACTTTAATAAAAAGTTTTAATAAATTTAATTATTCATTAAAACAATTTTTTTTCATTACTGACTGCAATTTCAAATATTTATATCGATATAAATCGCAAACTTATATCGAAATACCGTTATATCGATAAATCAAACTTAACATCGATATATCGTTGATTAAATCGATATATGTATCGATAAATCGAATTCAGTATCGATATATCGTTAATTATATCGATATCTCGTTAATTATATCGAACTTGATATCGATATCTCGTTAATTATATCGATATATATCGACATCTCGTTAATTATATCGATATATATCGATATCTCGTTATTTATATCGATAAATCGAACTTTATATCGACATATATCGATGAATCGAACTTTATATCGACATATATCGATGAATCGAACTTTATATCGATATATCGTTAATTATATCGATATATCATACTTACTATCGATAAATTGCAATTTATATCGTAATTATTTTTAGTTTTATATATTTTTTATATGAATAATAATAATAATAAATATTGTAATTTTTTAATTTGCAGTACATCGCAGCAAGTCCGCACCCCTATCCATATACAACTTATCCACCACCAAGCATCATTCACACTATGCCATTGGGTGATTCCGAACAAACGAGCAATGCAGCATCACCCGACGATTCTTATCAACAGTACCAGGCTCAGCAGCCCAAGTAGGCCACACTTTATAGGTTAGACGAAGTATCATTTTTTTTTTAAACCCCCCCCCCGCTCCTTCCGCAGCAAATGCAAAAAAAAGCACATACAAAAATATTTTTATTTTTTTTTTTTTTTTACAAAAAAAAGAATGAATAATAATTAATAAAAAAAAATATTCACAACACGCTAACTGCTTTTCTTATTTTACGTTTTTTTTCCTTACATTATGTTTTTAAAAAAAATTTCTCACCTGTCCTCTCGTCTCATTGAATTTTTTTTTCCTCTTATTTTAATTAATCTAGTTTCATAGTATAAATAAAACTATTAAAAAAAAAAAAAAATTTTTTAAAGAAAATTATTTTTTTGTATCGATACTTTGATAAATTGACTTATCGATACATCAATACTTCGATACACCACTGTTTCGATATATCGATAGTTCGAGAATTCGACTTATCGATACGCGAATAGATCGATAGTTTGAGAATTCGACTTATCGATACGCCAAAACTTCGATATATCGATAATTCGACTAATCGATATGCCAAAATTTCGATATATCGATAATTCGATTTATCGATTGTTCGAGAATTCGACTTATCGATATGCGAATAGTTCGATATATCGATACTTCGATACTCCAAAACTTCGATATATCGATAATTCGACTTATCGATACGCCAATACTTCGATATATCGATATTTTAAATACTTGAATTTTGAATAATTTTGCATAAATGCGAAAAATTTCAACGAGACGAGTGAACACAACAAATTTAAAAATATTAACTATATTTCGTCAACAGTGTGATATTTTATTTTCATTACAATTTCTATTCCCTTTTTATTCTAAATTTTCTTATTATTTCAGGTTCGACTATACCGAGGGTTACATAAGTTAGAAGAGGTACGCCCATTCAAGTTGAATATAAATATATGAAAAAAAAGAAACAAACAAACAAACAAACAAACAAAAATGAATAACGAAGATTAGACGAAACTTAGTCGTTAAAAATGAAAAATAAAAAGTCAAGATTTAAGAAGAATAAAAATAATAATAAAAAAAAGAAGGAAAGAATGATTAGAAAGAAAGGAGAGAAAGAAATAAAGAAAGAAAAAAAAACAAAACAAATGAACTCTTCCTCACGTAAAAAAAAATTGACTTGCCAGCCATCTTTTATACGTTTTATCCATCAAGATAAATAGGTAAAAGTAGTTAATATTTTGCAACGAGTAGTGGGAACGAATGTGAACAAAAAAAAAAATAATAAAAAATAAAAAAAAAAGACGCGGACCCGAGTGAAAAAAAAGAAAAATTCAAATAAAATAGAAAAGAGAGAAAAAAATTTTACAGCGAGAGAATGAGAGAGAGATTGTCTCTCTTTTATGTAAAGAGAGACAGAAAGAGTGAAAAATGAGTGTGAAAAAAATTTCTTTTTTGGAAAAGCGTGAAAATTTTTTTGAAAAAAAACAGGTTTTAAAAAAAATAGCGAGTAAAATTGAAAAAAAAATGATTTTTATCGATTTGACTCTTGACGGTTAAAATGCAAAGCTGTAAAATGTTAAGAGCAGTAAAAAAAAATTTTTTTTTTTTAGTTTAGAATGTGAATTGTTTGAGAGCGAGTGAGAGAGAGAGAGAGAGAAAAAGAATTGTGTATGTTTGTGTAAGAGAGAAAAATAGAAAGAATGAAAGAAAGAAAGAATGGGAGAAAAAAAATTAAAATAAAAAAAAAAAAAAAAATAGGCAACGGGCAGCTTAGCGTCAAAGCTACTAGGCTTCCATGAATAACTTTTAGGTATTAATTTTACTAAGGAAAAAAAAACGAGGAAATAGAAATGAATGAAAAATTTTGAGAGTGTGTGAATAATTATTTTAAAAAAGAAAAACTTGTAAACTAGAACAAAAAAAAAATTAATAAAAATAAATAAAAATACATGAAACTCTGCTCAGAAAACACAAAATAAACAATATACAAAACAAACAAAAAAAAAAATGATACAAAGAAAAATTTCTTCCCAATGGATTATACAATATTTAAAATAAAAAAAAATAACGATAAGGAATTTTATTAATAGAGAAACAAGAAGCACTTCCATTTGCTAGAGAGAAAGAGAGAGAGAGAGAAAGAAACGATTTTTTCAAAATCCGTACGATCAATCGCGAAACGAATATAAAATTAAAAATATTTTAATTTGCCTTAAAAAAAAGAAAAGAATTTTTTTTCGGCTTTTGCTCATAAAAATTGGAAAAAAAAGTAAATTTTCCTTGCGTTTTTTTTTTTTTTTTTTGTCTTTTTTTAAAACATTCCAAGCCGGGACAAAACAGACATTTCAAAAATACAAAAAATTAAAAAGAAAAAAAAAGTAGAAAAATACAAAAAAATCCGATATTGTATTTTTACGAAAACATTTCGTTCGATTCCAAATACTCGCGGACGACAAATGTGTATTTTTCTTGAAACAATGAAAATACAAAAAAACAGAATTTTTCCAAAAAAAAAAAATGGATTATCATCACTTAGATGTATGCGTGTGTGAGTGAAAGAGAAAAAAAAATAAACGACGCAAAGAATTTAAAAAAAAGCTTTATTTGGACAAATAGTGTGCGATTTAAAAAAATAAATAAATAAAAAATAAAAAAAAAAAAAAAAAACGAAGAGGGAAAGAAGCTAGTAATTTTTTAGAGAGAAAAAAAAGAAGCGTTGTGTATTTATTGAGTACCCGCAAAAAGTTATAACTACGAATCGATATCAGTTTTAATTGTACAGCGAATAACAAGATATTTTTTTTAGAATTGTGCCTTTTTCAGACTCAATCCATTAGAGAGACAGAGACAGAGACAAAGAGAGAGAGAGAGAGAAAAAGAAAAAAAAGAGAGAGAGAAAGAGGGATATGTACTGAAAAAAAAAAATTATTATATATTTTTAACGTCAGTGTGTAAAAGCGAAACTCGAGCCAAATTTTCATCTTCTAGTTAAGAAAAAGAAAAAAAAAAGTTAATGCATAAAAACACTATTAAAAAAAAAACAAAAAAAAAACAAAAATAATAATAATGGTACTGAAATTGTTTCTGTGTTGTAGGACCAGTTGTTTGTTTTTTAAATGAATTTTTCATTCATATATATATATATATAAAAATATATATATATATATATATATATATAGATTTTGTATTTGTGTAGTTGCCACTGAATGGGATTGCCGGCTCGCAAAAAAATAGAAAAGAAAATAATAATAATAATTATAATGAAACAAAAGTAAAGATGATAATTAAATTAATTTTTTAAAAAACGCAAGTGATTAGTTTCGAGATTATCCAATTGAAAACTAAAAAAAAAATCTTTTTTCAAGAGAAAATATTTTTTTAGATTTTTTTTTCTATTTTATTAATATTTTTTCACATTTCTATTTTTTTTTTTTATTTTTATAACTTTTAATTTTATTTATTTATTTATTTTTATAATTTATATTATTTTATGAATTTTCGTTTATTTTTATTTAATTTTTTTTAGGAAAAAAAATATTTCTTTTTAGAAATAACAGTTTTTCATTTAGAAATTAAATAAATCGTTGTTTTAAAATAGTAATTTAAATAATTTTTAACTGATTTTTCAAATTTTATATTTTTTCTCTTTTAAGGGAAAAAAGGAATTTTTTTTTTTTTTTTTAAAGAAAAGAAGAGTTTTCAATTGGATTTTAGAAAAAAAAATGTGCACAACAGTTTGGATGAATTTTTTTTTACTTGGCATAGACGTGGAAAAAAATAATCTACTCTAGCTTTTTTTTTTATTAATTTATTTTTTATTTATTAATTTTCAAAATGTAATAAAGTTAAAAAAAACTCGTGTTTTTTACCCTAAAAAATTCTTATTTTTCATTGATTTTTTTTCCTTTTAGTTAATTAATTTTTTTTTTTTTTTTTTTTTTTTTGTACGAAAGGAATAGAAAATTTTTTCTGGGTTAAAAATAATGAAAAAAAAAATTGATTGTGACAAGTTCGGAAAAAAGAAAAAATAATTTTCATACAATCAGGTTTGTAAATTCGTCCAATTTCGAAAAATAGAAAATAATAATTTATTCTACAAAAAAAAAATTTTGGTTTTTGGAAAGAAGCATTTTTTTTTTGAAATTAAAAATTCTTTAATTTAGAATAAAAAATTTTGTATCATATTTAAAAAAAAAATTTCTCTTTTTTTTGCTATATTTTAGAAGTAATTTAGAATTAATTTTTTTATAATAAAAAAAAAATTTTTTTTCATATGTGCAAAACATCGTCTCTCTTCACTCTGAAGCGCAATTATTTTTTTAGTATTTTTTTCGCAATTTGTATATCTGAAAAATTCGCGTTCAATGAAAAAGAAGCTTCGAGTCCAGAGCGATTAGAAAAAAAAGAAAAATAGAAGAATTCGAACATTTTAGAAACTCGTCTTTTTTACTATAATTAGAAAGTAATTTGAAAAAGAAAAAATAATTTTTTTTAATATTATTATATACAAATCGCATATAGGCTAGAAATTATTAACAAAAAAATAATAATTATTATTATTATAATAATAATAATAATAATGAAAATTTAGAGAATTAGATTGTTCTCAATTTTTTGAGAATTGTATAAAGTAATAAAAATTTTTGTAATCTAAATAATGATATATATATAATTGTGTACAAATTAAAATTATTTTTTCAATTTTGTTTTTCGTTACTGTTGTGTTACTCTGTCTTGATATTTAACAATATTTTTCAGGAATTTATTTAAAATAATAGTAATAATAATATGTAATTATATTAATAATAATAATAATAATAATATTTTCCAAACGGTTGTGTGTGAAAAAGACAAAAGTGATTTTTAGAAAAGGAAAATTTATACTATTTACTGTAAACTGTTATAGTTACTTTTTAAAACAAAAAAATAATAATAATATTCAGAGTGCCGAGTAAAATTTTTCTAAATATCAATAAACATTAAAAAAACATAAATAAATAAATAGAACTCAAAAAATTCTTTCAATTTTACAAAAACAAAAGTAAAAAAAATTTTCTAATTCCTTGAAAAGGACGAAATTGCAATCCTGATGGTTGAATTCATCCGCATTTACGCGCATATCGAAAATTATCGACAAAAATCGATATATTGATTGTCTCATAACTCGATATATCGAAATTTAAATCGCTACATCGAAATATAATTCGACATATCGATATATTGAAATATAAATCGATAGATCGAAATGTAAATCGATACCTAATTCGAGATATCGAAACATAGATCAATAAATCGAAATATAAATCAATATATCGCAGTATAAGTCGATATATTGAAATATAAATTGATAGATCGAAATGCAAATCGATACATTTACTCATAATTCGATATATCGAAACATAGATTGAAATATCAATCAATATATCGCAGTATAAATCGATATATTGATAAACAATTCGATATGTCGAAACATAGATCGATATATCCAAGTGTAAATCGATATATCGAAACATAGATCGATATATCCAAGTGTAAATCGATATATCGAAACATAAATCGATATATCGAAACATAGATCAATATATCGAAATAAAAATCGATATATCGACTAATATTCGTTTTCTATACATAAAATTTGAATTTTTAAGATATTTTTGCTTTTTCAAGGCAAAAAAAAGCGGATGAATTCATCGCCAAGGAACTATAAATAAATTTTAATGTTAAAAAAATGAACTAAATTTTTTTTCTAAATTAAAAGAAAATTCGCAATAGCGTGTGTGTACAATTTTTTCAGTCAAATTCAATGGGGGAAAAAATAATTAAATTAAAGCCGTGCGTAGAAAATGGAAGAGTTTTTGTTTTTTTTTTTTTTTTAACCGCGTGTTATTTTAATTTTATTCTTTTTTTTGAAATATAATGTCGAAACGAGTTTTGAAACGAGGAAATAAATTCTCAATAATATTTTAAAAAAGAAAAGCAACAAAAAAAAAGAAAAATTAAAAGAAAAGAAAAAACACAAAAGCTTTCTACCAAATAATGCGAGTCACGTTTTTTTTTTTTTTGTGTTCATTTTTAAATGTGACACGATAATTGAGTGGCTAGTATTACGCGAAAGAATAGATAACAGTTTAGAGAGAGAAAGAAAGAGAGCAAACGAGAGAGAGAAAATGATTGTAGCTATTATTATAATATTACAATATAATGTACTGTATTATTATAATTATTATTGGAAACGTCATCTGAAGTATGAAAGATTTTTACACTGTTAAAACTTGAAGTAAAAAATATATTTAGTTTATTTTGGTACATCACAATTTGATGAGAGTGAGTGAGAGAGATAAAAAAAAATGTGAGAAACAGAAAGAAAGCGAGAATAAATGAAAAGTATGCATTTTTGATCCGAATGAGAGAGAAAGAAAAAAAAAATATGTAGTGTCATGAACTATTTTTTAAGAAACCGATTATTACTCGATTTTGAGTCCGTGCGAATATTAAATAAAAAAATAATAAAAAAAAAAAAAAAAATGAGAAAAGATGAGGAAGATAATTTTGATGTTGATAATTAAAAGTGAGAAAGAGAGATATAAATGAAAAAAAAAAAACGAAAGAATCATTATTGCAATTAAAATTATTATCTCGGTTTTGAAAAAAAAAAAAAATTCATTTACCGAAATAATAATTTTAATAACTTATTTTGCGAGGGAATTATTCCCCCCCATAAATAATTAATGAAAAATAATGATCAAGAAAAAAAACCAATTTGCGAATGTGTAATAATTTTTTTTTCAATTTTTTTTTTTTTTTTTTTTGCACAAACGATTGTCACGATTTTGACTGACAAACAAAAAAAAACAAAAAACAAAAAAAAACAAAAAAAAATCACATGTGATTTTTTTTTAAATAGTGAATTTTGAAAATTTTACTAAATAGACTAAATATAAATATTATTACGACGACCAAACACGAAAACAAAAAAAAACAACAGCATCTAGTGCTGCACACTGAAGAAAGAAAAGAAAAAAAAAAGCTTCGGCCGAATAAGCCAATGCTCGATTTAATTATTTTTTTTTGTCTCTAATTTAACAAAAAAAATAAAAATAAAAAAAGAGAGAAAAACTGAGAAAAAGAAAAAAATCGAGATTTAATAAAATGATAAATAGTGTATAGGATTTTAATAAGAAGAAAAAATGACGAAGAAGAAAAAGAAGATGATGATGATGATGATGAAAAAGAAGGAAAAAGAAAATAAAAGATGGAAAGCGATTGAGCGTGAAAAAAAAAAAAGAAAAGTGAAAAAGAAATTGTGTAGCTAGTGTTGACTATGAATAGGCTAGTAACTACTTTGAATTAATGATTAAACGATTAAGAATTAAAATTAGGTACAATATATAGTTTGATAGGTAGAATTACGTCTCTGCCTCTCTTTGCAATTTTTTTTTTCAATGTTCGGGCGTCATCGCTTTTATTTATTTTTTTTTCTATTAAAAAGAAAAATTACTCTCATTTTTTTTTTTTTTTTTTTTGCGCCCCACAATTCTCATCTTCCAACTCTTCTTTTCATTTTAATTTTAGTCGTTGTTTTCTTCTACTTTTTGAAGAAGAAAACAAAAGAAAATATTAATCTTAATTTGTAGTTTTACATGAAATGTCGCAATACGATTTCAAAAAATAGGCGCCAAAATCGATATATCGAAAAAAAACAGTATCGATATTCGAACTATATCGATTAATCAATAAAAAGTAATTGAGAACTAATGAAAATCGATATTTATTCAAAATATCGATATAAATCGATATATAATCGATAGTAAACGATATAAATCGATATATTATCGAATTAAATCAATATATAGTCGATAGTAAACGATATGATCGATATAAATCCCTATATTATCGATTTGAATTGATATAAAGTCGATAGTAAACGATATAATCGATATATAGTCGATAGTAAACGATATGATCGATATAAATCGATATATTATCGATTTGAATCGATATATAGTCGATAGTAAACGATATGATTGATATTAGAAAAAACGTTGTACTTTTGACGTATCGAAAGAAAAAAAAAATATACATATATATCTATGTTTTATTATATCGATAAATATAGAATTCGATATATCGATAAAAAAACGATATATTTTCATGTATCGATATGTGTATATAAATATATTTATTGCGATATAAGGACAAAAAAAAAAAATTTGATGTATCGATAGAAAAATAATTTGGATATATTTTCAACTGAAATGTTTCTATAGATAAGAAATTCATTATATTTCGATGTATCGATATATATAGATAGATAGAATCGATTTATTTTTTATCGATACATCAATTTATTATATAATTATTATCGCGCGAGCCAATTAAACATTTCACATTATAATCGAAAAAACAAAAAAAAAATTTATATTTTTTGCATCATATATATTAGCAAAAAGAAAGAAAAAAAAATATCGATATATTTGAAAAAATCGATAAACTTAGATATATATGTATATGTGTGTAATATATCGATATATTGTCAATGTATTTCGATGTATCGATTAAATTGATATATAATATATTTTTCATGTAAGATGTTTAAAAAAAAATCAAGATATTTCGATGTGTATCAAATAAGAAAAATCGATATTTTTGATTGTATAGTTGGGAGAATGAGAAAAACGATACATCTCGACCTATCAAATAGAATGTTTTTTTTTTTTTTTTTAATTGTAAATCAATATATACATAAAACGCAAAGTATTACAAATATAATTCGATATATTAATCGAGATACATTGACTTTATTCGATGTATGGATATAAATAATATCGTTTTTTTTTTTTTTTTTTTTTTGCGATATATATATAGAGAAACATCAATCGAGAATAATCGATTTTAATTAGATAAATAATTCGATTAGTCGATATATACGATTCGATTAATCGATACATTTCGAGTAATCGATACTATTTGATTAATCGATAAAATTCGAGTGATCAATATAAATACAATTCAATTAATTTATACAATTCGAGTAATTGATGTAAATAGCTACAATTTGATTAATCGATACATATCGTTGCAATTCGATTAATCGATAGAGAATGATACAGTTTGCGCAATCGATATAATTCTTTACAAATCGATACAATTCGATATAAATCGATACAATTCGATATAAATCGATACAATTCGATATAAATCGATACAATTCGATTCAAATCGATACAATTCGATTCAAATCGATATATTCGATTCAAATCGACATAAATCGATACAATTCGATTCAAATCGATATAAATCGATTCAAATCGATATAATTCGATATAAATCGATAAAATTCGATTGAAATCGATACAATTCGATTTAAAAGTGCTTTGAAATGCAGATAAGAAAAAAAAATGAAAAACTGTAAATCGAGATTAATAATAATATCGCGAATGAAAAAACGTGGAGTAATTAATGATTTTGTCATCTCTTCCTACGGGGATTTTGGGGCTTTTGAATAAAAAAAAATCGTAGAAAATAAGAGTAATTTATAAAAAGAAAACTTTTTTTTTCTTTTTTTTTTTTGAAAAATAGTTGACGCCACTTAAAAAAAAAAAAAAAAAAAATACATTGACCTTGAGAGGAATACCGATCAGCCCTTTGCATTTTGAACCCGTCAAGACTGACTGGCTATTCATATTAATGATAAATATATTATTATTCTACAACATATATATAAATATATTATATCTACTGTAATATAATAGTAAGGACTGCTTGCGCTGCGCACCACGGGACTAATGTTTTGGGCTGGTTGGTTTTTTTTTTTTTTTTTTTTAATTTTTGCGCGATAAAAAAAAAAAATATTTTCCGGTACTTGATACACAAGTTCTGAGAAAATTTAAAATAATAAATTAAATTATAATGAAATGAAAAAAAAAATGCTTTCCATAAAGCTTTCTAGAAACTCTAGCGTAGCTTTTATTATAGACTAAAATAGGTTTTCACAATAGGTATTAGGTAATAGAAATTTTAGTAATTAAAAAAAGGAAAAAAAAGCAAAAATTGTAGGGTGTTTTTAAGAAAAAAAAATGAAAAAAAAAATTAAATAAAACCGCTAGGCGATTTTATCGGCTTAAGAGCGTGTGAGTGTCTATGTGTGTGTGTGTGTGTATTTGCAATTTGTTGAATGCGTATGAAAGATTTTTTTTTTTTTTTTTTTTTGAGCAGTTTATAGAAAGATATAAAAAAAAAAAGAAAGAAAGAAAGAAAAGAAAATAGAAAAGATGCGAACGAGTGCTTAAATAATATGAAAATAATTATAATATTAATAATAGTAATAATATTAAAAATAATAATAATAATAATATTAATAATAATAATAGTAATTAAGGAAACAAGGAAAAAAAAAAAAACTGTGCGAGTGAAAATAATTTTTTGAGTGAGACTGCGTTTGACTTGATGTTTCGCGACGAAAAAACATCATTGTGTACTTTGAATTGTACAGTCTTTAGTTGGTGAAAATTTAAGTCATTGTTTTACAATTTACATTGTTAAAAGAAGATTTTACTGTAATAAGGAATTCCTCTTGGTTATAATTTCTATTTTTAAATCCCCCTCTCTTCTAATTTTTTTTTTCATTTGTTTTAATTTACTTTTTTTTTTTGTTTTTATAATTTTAGTTTTTATTTTAATTTTAATTTTAATTTCATTTTTTACTTTTTTTTTTTTTTTTTTGCTATTGAGTGACATTCCCATTTTGGCGGTCCTCTCTCTTTTCAAGAATCCAAAGAGTCCAAAGAATCCGAAAAGAATTATAAAATTTCTTTTCGGATTTCCTTTTTTTTGCGTTAATTTATTTATTTATTTTTTTTTTGTTTTAGTTATTAATCGAGTCTGCGAAAAAAATTTACAAACGCATACATACACACAAACATACACAATTTTGGCATACGAAAGCAAAAAAAAAAAAAAAAAAAAAAAAAAAAAAAAAAAAAAAAAAAAAAAAAAAAGAAAAGGTTTTTTCATTTGAGAACTCTGCTTTTTAATCAAATCGAAAAAATAATTATAAAAATATAAAATAATTAAAACTATTTTATAACACATTTATAAAATTAGTTTAAAAAGCTTTCAAAACTTATTTGAAACTAGTTCAAAATACGTTAAAACTAGTGCGAAACATGTTCTAATTGGTTTAAAATAGTTGAAAATACGTTAAAACTGGTTTAAATGCATTTGAAACTAGTTATAACAGATTTTTTTCGAAACATGTCACAACTGGTTTAAAACTTGTTTCAACTAGTTCAAAATAAGTCACAATTAATTTAAAATAAGTTACAAATAGTTTTAAAAAACCTGTTATAATTGGTTTGAAATAGTTATAATCAATTTTTAGAAACATTTTACAACTGGTTTAAAACTTGTTTTCAACTAGTTCGAAACAAGTCACAAATTGGTTTAAAATACATTTAAACTAGTTTCAAACCTGTTCTAATTAGTTCAAAACACGTTTCAAATTGTTTAAAGCATGTCATAACTAGTACGAACATGTTCCAACCGATTCGTAAATAATTTTAAAACTCTTGAAATCTTTTTATAACTAATAAAAAAAAACGTAAATTCTGGTTCTAAATAGATTAAAACTGGTTTGGAACCAACTGAAATTTATTATAACGTGTACGAAACATATTCAAACCAGTTAGAAATAAACTTATTGCAAAAAAAACCTTGTATAACTAATACAAAACATGTTACAAATGGTTTATAACTTGTTATAACTAGTACAAAACATGTTCCAACCAGTTTGAAATATATTTGAACTAGTTTAAAACCTGTTGAAAATGATTTGAAACTTGTTATAACTAGTACAAAACAGGTTTCAATCAGTTAGAAATATATTTGAACCAGTTTAAAACATGTTGAAAATGGTTTGAAACTTGTTAAAACTTGTTACAACTAATGCGAAACTAGTTTGGAACCATATTTTCCAACTTGTTCGGCACATATTTAGATTAAAAAAAATTTGTTTGTTACAAAACTTGTTCCTAACGGTTAAAATATATATATATATATATATATATTTACTGATTTATTTTTTAAATGATTAAAAAGCAGAGTTTCTTTTTTATAAATTTTGATGATTTTGAAAACTTAATTCCAAAGCAATATCATAATAGTCAGTCTTTTTTTTTTAATTGGAAATTCAATATCACTGGACGTAAAAATAAACATTATGAAACAAAAAAAAATGCAGATTCTGATTGATTTCAGTGATATTTTCGAGAAAAAAAATATATATATATATTCATATTATTTCTAGTGATATCGAATTTGGGTTCTTCCTTCACCATCTAATTTTTTTTTTTTTTTTTAATGATAAATTGATGCGACTAGTATTGAAGCGATTTTAATAACAACTTGAACAAAAAAAAAAATAAATAATAATTTTTATAAATATGACTAATGAAAATTTGTGAATTTTTAAGAAAAAAAAAAAAATAATAAAGCAAATTAATTTTTCAATTCTTGCCGAATAGATAAAAAAAAAAAGAGGCCAGAATGTGAGAAGATATATTTGTTTTTTAGAATTTAGCTATACTATGTTATATATAAGAATAATGACGAGCTGTGGTGTTTTGTTTGTATAAGTTAAGTTTCAAATCGATTTTTGTGTCATTTTTGACTGTTTATATAGAGAAGATTAAGAAATAAAAAAAAAATAGGTGCTGTAATAAAAACAAAACAAAAAAATCGGAATTTTTTTTTAGCTTTTTTTTATGTAAAATTCAATTAAGATCTGGTTATAAGCCACTAAAAAAAAGTGCCCTTAGTTTATTTTTTTAATCGTTTTGACGAAAGAAAAATTGGTTTTCTACATTGAAGTAAAAACAATTTAAAGAAAAAAGAATGAAAAAAAAATAAAAAAAATAAAAAAAAAAACTAGTCTTTGAGTAAGTTTATTAAGAAAAAAAGGAAAAGAAAACAATAGTAGTAGGTAGAAATTTATGTTTTTTAATTAAAATACTAAAAAAAAAATGATAAGGGGAAATGAAAGTGTGTGAGAAATAATAAAATGAAAAAAGAATTTGTGAATGAATTTTTGAAGTAAATCTAGATTCTTAGGTAGATTTGTATGCATGATTTTATGCATATGCGTAATTTTTAATGAAAAAACCAAATCTGCCTACTAACACAACACAGACTGCAGACACACTATTTACTGTAAAATTACAGAAAGAAAAAAAAATGAAATGTGAGAGCTCTTGTACCATACACACTTTGTATTGGAGCAACCACGAAATCAGTCCTAGAGTTACTTATTATGAATGGTTTGGATATTGAAAAAAAAAGTGAAGAATCAAACTTCTAATTATTAATATCATCCCTTATTTTTGATCAATAAAAGATCTGTTTTTGGGGATTCGATAGATTTCATGTCTCTTTTATTTCCTTCTCCTTAGGATTTTTATTATTAAAAAAAAAATTATTTTTTTTTCAAATTTTGTTTCTTTACTTCTTTTTTTTGAGAGTGAAATTATTGTTTCATAAAATTAACAAAGAAGAGTAATTTTAAAGCAGCTTACGTACACGATATATATATATTTTTTTTTTTTTAAAAAAGTAAGTATTTTTTGAGAATTGAAATATTTATTTATTTAAATATATTTTAGTTTTTATACTTAGTTATTTAAATATATATTATTTTAAATATTTTATTTATTCACGGAAAAAAAGATTTACCTTAAACAGCGAAATGTTTCACTAGAATAACGAAATATTTACCTGAAATAAGTAAAATTTTTTGATACAATAGTGAAATGTTTCACTGTTTTAGGTAAATCTTTTTCCCGTGTTATATTTTTTCATTATATATTCATTTTTTAATAATAAACGGATTTAAATTAAAATTTTTTTAACATTAATTTTGTTATTCATCATTAATATTAAACAACCTTTTTTTTTAACTTTGTTATTCATCATTAATATTAAACAACCTTTTTGAATTTTTTTATTCATTATTAATATTAAAGAACTTTTTTTAATTTTTTTATTCATCATTAATATTAAACAACCTTTTTTTAACTTTGTTATTCATCATTAATATTAAACAACCTTTTTTAATTTTTTTATTCATCATTAATATTAAACAACCTTTTTTTAAGAATAATTTGTTTTATCTTTATATGAAGAAATTTTAAATTTCCCGCCGTCGAATGGTTATTCAGCAAGTTACTAGATTTTAAAAATAACCCTAGAAATTTACATTAAACTGCGCTTGCGCCACTGTAGGTTTCTCATTGGAAGGAAAAAGCGTTCTAAATTTGAAATTAAAAATAAGAAAATGTTAAGAAAACAAATTATAAAAAAAATTATTTTAACTGGTAAATTTATTATTATTATTATTATTTTATTACTTTTATAATTTTTTTTATCACTATTATTATTATTATTATTATTATTATTATTATTATTATTATTATTATTACTTTTATTATCACTATTTACATATTTAAAGAAAAAAAAAACTTTCGAATTATATATTTACATTAAAAAGAAAATAAATTTTAAAAAAATTAAGTTAGTACTATTATTTCTACTAAATAGTAACATTAAATTAATTTTATTAAATTAGTTTAATGTTAATATTTAATAGGAATAATTTTGCTAATTTATTTTTTTTTTATTCCTTTTTTTTCAATGTAAATATAGAATTCGAAAGTTTTTTGTCTTTAAATATGTAAATATAGTAATAAAAATGATAATAATAATAATAATAATAATAATAATAATAATAATAATAATAATAATAATAATAAAATTAATTAATGATTAGAAAATATAACTAAAAATAAAAACCATTAATTTAACAGTTAACATTTCTTTCATTGTTTTTTTTAACGTTTTGTTAAGTTTTGTTAACAAAATTGTTTTGTGAAGGTAAAGCATAAGTTAGAAAAGGAAAGAAATGTATTTGTGTCCTTTTCTATCTCTTTCATCGCATTCGCAATAGGATATTGTGGATGGGCCCTAATTTCAGAAAAAATAAAAAGAATGAAAACTGGCCTTGTTTTTGTGACAAAAGGGCTGGGTTGCTATTAATACGACTTTATAATATTGTCAAAATAACAAAATTGACGACCATCTTGTTACTTTTGTTTTCATGATTCAACATCAAATCATTGAGAATAAAAACCGGCCGGCTTATTTTCTTTGATTTTTCTCTCCAATAAATCTGTATATTTATAATATATAATTTGTCCTTTTTATTTTCTATAAAGAAAGAACAAAAAATTTTTTTTTTTTTTTCCTCCAAGAAAAATGGAAGTTGATCTCAATAATACATCGATTCGTGATTGTAAGGGAGTTCGAAAAGATATTTTATATCAGGCCCTTAGTTCAACACAATTACTTCGTAAGTATTTTTTTTTTCATAAATTTAATTTTTTTTTTTTTATAAACAAAAATTCGCGAAACGTTAATTGTATAAATATATACATATTTCATTTGATATCTTTTTTTTGTTTGTAATTTTTTTTTCAGAGGAAAATATTAATAATAACACACCAATTCAATTGGATAATGTTATGGATACAACGGAAATTGTTAATGAACAATTATCATTGGATGAAAAAGGTAAATTTAATTTTCCGTTTCATTTAAAAAAATAAGAAATCTGGAATTTTTCACTCTTTCAATAATCGAGAAAAAAATTTAATCAACTAATTTATTAATTATTAATTAATGTAATTAACATAATTTTGAAAAAAATTGTGTTAAATTTTTTTTTTTTTTTTTTTAAATTTTCTCTGGCATTTAAAACTACTTGTTTAATAAAATAATTTTTTTTCGGTTTTTTTTTTGCGAAAAATTACATTTTTTTTTTTATTTTAAATTTTATTTTATTTCAAATTTTTTTTTATTCCAAATATTATTTCAGTTGAAAATCAGGATGAAATTGTATTAGATTCAGAAGTGATGAAATTATCATCAAGCGTAATTCGTGAATGTACAAATTCCCTGACAAAAGATTTTAATTCATACAATCCTAATGAATATGCCGATTTTTTTGTAAGTATTTGTTTCTTTTTTTTTACAAATTTTTTTCCTTTTTTTTTGTTTTTATTTTTTTAATACATTTTTCTTCTACTTTTATTTTTCTTTTCGAAATAATAAATAAATAAAACTACTTTAAAATAAAAAAGAAGAAAAATAAAAATAATTTTCTAATAAATAAAAAAAAACACGAATTTTAAAAAATAAATAAATATTATTATTATTATTATTAATTAATAATTAATAATTAATATTAATTATAAAAAAAATTATTTTTTTAATTAAAAAATAAATTTTCAATATAGATTGAATACACTCAAGAAATAGGTGAAACAATGAATGAAAATGTAAATATTTGTTGGGCAACAATTGAATTTGAAATACTTCCATTATTTAGGAAAACAGTATTTTTTTCAAATTTATCAGGCGCTCTAGAGCCATTGCCAAAAAAACAAATTCAATTAAAAAAAACAGTTACACGACAAAAAAAATTACCATTGTCGCAAGTGAAAAAACCTGAGAAAAATCAAATTGCCGAAGAAACAGATGCTGAAGAAGCATCAGTTACTGTGCAAAAAATAAGAAAATTAATAGCACAATATTTCAATGTTAATCAAATGCCACTTGATTATTTTCAATTAATTCTTGATCCAAATGATTTTGGTAAAACAATTGAAAATATTTTACATGTCGCATTTCTTGTACGCGATGGTTACATTAAATTATTCACCGGTAAGTTAATTTTGCAAAAAAAAAAGAAAAAAAATTTTTACTTTATTAATTTATTTAAATAAATAAATTTATTAATTTATTTAAATAAATTTTTATTTAACAGAATTTTCATTTTGCAAAATTTCTCTTTAGCTGAAATTTTTTTTTTTATTTATTTAATTATTCTAATTTACAAAATTCTTAACTAAAAAAATGCAAAATTTTGTGAAATAAAAATAATTCATCGTTCCTCAAAAATTTGGGTTTCTATTAAGTAAATTTTAAATTACAGAAGAAAATGGATTACTGCAAGTAATTGTTACCTCAAAGGAATTACTTTCACAGGTAAAAAATTCTGGAAAGAAAAAATCTATTCAGAATATTATTTCACTGAATTATCATCAGTGGCAGGTAAAAAAAAAAATAATTTTATTACTTTTTTTTATATTCGTTAAAAAAAAAAAAAAGTTTTTTCTATACAATATTTTTCAAAAATTTGAATAATTTATATGTATTAAAAATAATGTAAATAATTAAAAATTATAGAAAATTTTTAATAATTTACATTTGTTGATAATTTTACCTATATAAATTTTTGTATATAAATGTAAATTCTTTCAAATTTTCCTTAAATGTAAATTAATTATAATATTTAATTGAAATTTACATATTAAATAATTTACAATTTATTTCATTAAAAAATTTTCAATACAAAAAAAATAAATAAAAAATTTTTAATTTTCAGATTCTTACGAATTTTTACAATATACAGGAACCAATGATCAATTTCTAAATTAATTGAAATAATCATAGAAAACGTTCTTTATTTAATATTTAAAGGTTATGGTTTTTTTTTGTACCTATTTGTTATAACATTATTCATATTTAAAAAAAACACTGAAACAGTATTTATGTTCTCATTTTCATACTGTTGTTAAAAAAAAAAGTTTATTCGTTTAAAAAAAGAAATTATAAAAATTGATATGTATTCAACGTTTTGAGAGTTTAATTATATTATCATTTATTACAATAAATGAAAAGTAAAAAAAAATTTTAATCATCTATTTTATCCTACGCATTATTTTTAGAATATAATTAATTTTAATTTTACTGTTTTTCATTAAATTTTTTTTAAAGTTATTTTTTTATCTCATTTTTTATTATATATAGTTATTTTTTAGTTTTATTTTTAAATTTATTTTAAACTAAATTTTAAATTCTAATTTTTTTTTCTTTAATGATAATTCAATTATTTAATGAGAGACAATTTATAAATTTTTTTTTTATATTTATACATACATTCAAAAGCAGCTTTATTTATTCAGACAATAAATTCTCAAGGTTTCAAATAGTTTAATTCTTATATTTTATTATCTTGAAAAAATAATTTAAAGATTCCAATTTATAATAATGATAAAAAAAATATACTTTTTTTTATTATATCTTTAAAATAAATTATTGTCTTTTTTTAAAACAAAGTAATTATTTAATTATATTTAATTCAATTTTTTACTTTTTAAAATATTTTTAAAAAAATTTATTTTCCAAAAGGGGGACAAATAAATATAATTTTAAATTAAAAATTATTTTTTAATTCATAATCAATTTTAAATTAAACATTAATTTTTAGTTATGAGAATTAATTTTAAATTAAATAATAATTTTCATTTAAGAATCAATTTAAATTTTAATTAAATTTTTTTTTTTTTTTAATTTAAAATTTAATTAAATAAAAATTAATTTCTAAACTATAGATTTAAAAAAAAAATAATGTATAAAATTTTTAATTGTAGGTTAAAAAAATATATTAAATAGTTTTGGAAACGTCTGCAAAAACATTTAAACTATATTAATAACCATAAATTATTTAAACAGATGTGACACAATTTCTTAGTATTTAAATTAGTTCTACAATAATTTAGAATAATATAATGGGTGAGGGAAAACAAATATCCAATAGGAATAAAAAAAATGTGGTATTCGGGTTTATTCACAAAATTAAATATTTATAATTTTGAAATATCCTATTAAATATTAATATTATAATTTATTCAATGCTGTATAAATATAGAAAAAAAAATTGTTTCTCTTCATAAGTAGTTGTAGTAACATTTTTTTTATACATTGCATAAACACTGCTGACAATTAAAATTCTCAAAAAATAAAATTTAAAAATTAAAATATTTTCAAACCTTCCCACTACAATGGCGGGAAATTTAAAGTTATATTTTTGTTTGATTGCAATTTTTTCGTGCATTTTTAGTCAAACAACAGCTTCTCTTAGTATTGTAAGTATTTTTTTTTTAATTTAATGAGAAATTTTATTTTAATTGATAAAACAATTTGCTTAATATTATTCTAAAGGCGAATTCACATGTTACAGTGTAACTAGTCTAGTTATAAAACTCGACGTTTTAGTGTGAATTCACCTTTATAGTTGAAAACAACGAAACTTCCTAAATCTAATAATGGTTGGTTTCCATTGTCCCCACTCGACATTTTTCATAATTCTCGTCACCCTGCTCTATTTAAGATTTAGTAACTTTATTGTTAAAATTAAAAGTTACTAAATATTCACTAGAGTAGGGTGCGAGTGGGGACAATGGAAACCAACCTAATATACCCAAGATGTACTTTGACGGCATTTTGAAAAGTCGTTACACTTCTATAATAATTTTATTAATTCATGGCGTATATAATGGCCAATGCACAATAGTTTCGCGAAAGTCGTGTGGGATAAAAAAGGACAAATATACATCTATGTTCTTTTTCTAACTCACGCTTTACGTTCCCAAATCTTAAATAGCATAACGAAATTTCAATAACAAATTTCAGGACAATATTGAAGAGATGATAACAACGAGAAATGGTACAATAACATGTACACTAGTTGAAAATCATGAATTACTTGTTCAAGAGAGTATAAAAAGAAAGTCATTTTTATATAAATTACACATTTTTGGTCCAGTTGTTCGTTTTAGCGATATACCTGATTCATCATATTGTCCAGGTGACATTGTTGTCATTGAACTTTTTGCAACTGATAAAATTATCATTGATAAAGATTATGATGCATTGGGTGAGGATATAACATTTGTTGTTGCTGCACCATATTGGGAAATTAGTGGCAAACGATTAATTAATTTAAGAGGACGCGATGCTAATGCCCATGAGAGACATACTGCAAATAATGGTCGTCGTGATGGTAATCTTGAAGGTGAAAATGGCAAAGCTGGAAATCCAGGTAAAGCTCGATTCATATACATTCTAAAAATGCATGCCCTTCCGAAATGACGCTTCTATAGTAATTTTATTAGTTTATTGTGTATACGGAATGTTGCCATTGTTCCCATTTGTCATAATTCTCGTCAACTACCGCACCCTGCGAAAATTTTGTGACTTTATAGTAACTTTTAATTTTAATTATATAAAGTTACTAAATTTTCGCAGGGTGCGATAGTTGAAGAGAATTATGACAAATAGGGACAATGGCCACATTCCATATACACCATAAACTAATAAAATTATTATAGAAGCGTCACGACTATTCAAAATAGGTTGGTTTTCATTGTCCTCACTCGCCATTTGTCATAATTATCGTCAACTACCGCACTCTGATCTAGTGGAAAATTTAGTAATTTTATAGTAACTTTTAATTTTAACAATAAAGTTACTAAATTTTCAATAGAGCAGGGTGCGGTAGATGACGAGAATTATGACAAATGGCGAGTGGGGACAATGGAAATCAACCTTTCTAGTGCCTAAAGGTCTGTTCATAAGTCCCGCTTGCATTTAGCACTCAGTTTAGCTACTTTTTAGTAACTAAAGGCCTGTTCATAGTTCTATTTACATTTAGCCGTTCAGGTTAGTTACTTTCTAGTACCTAAAGGTCTGTACATAGTTATATTTGCATTTAGCGAACAGAACTATGAACAAACCTTTGGGAACTAGGGAAGTAACTAAACTAAATAACTTAATGCGAATGAAAGTGTGAACAAACCTTTAATTGATAGAAATTAAGGCTGTGTTTACAATTAGGTTGGTTTCTATTTTGTCCCCATTAGCAATTTTTACAAGAACAGGGTGCGGTAGTTGACAAGAATTATGACAAATGTCAAGTCAATGAAAAATTTAAAAATAATTTTCAGGTTTTCCTGGTGGACATTTCCATGGAATTGTTCTACGAACAGAGAACTTTGAAAATCTTGAAATACGACTTCAAGGAGGAGATGGAGGTCGTGGACAAAATGGCGGCAATGGAGTTGACGGTGTAACTGGAACGACATTTGATTTATCAAAGGAAAAAATTAAACGCAATGGCGATATCGATGGTTTTGATACAATTCTAAGACGAGAAATAAATCCACCGCTATATCAACCGGAGTTGGGTAAAGGAATTCAAGTAGTTGTACTTGGAAAAAAAGGTACTAATGGCGGTAATGGTGGAAATGGTGGTATTGGAGGACAAGGTGGACTACCGGGTATTTATGGTTTTCTCAATTTGGAAAATTCAGATTGTAAAAAAAATGTTATTTTCAAAGAAGTTCATTCGGGAAGAAATGGCCACGATGGACAAGGTGGAAAGGGTGGTCTAGCTGGTTATTCTGCAACTGATATTATTTTAGATCTTTATTTTGGTAATGAAGATGAAGTAATAATTAAATACACCGAAAATCATGAACAAGAGGAACTTTTAAATGGACACAATGGATTAAATGGTAAATCAAGTGAAAACGAAAGGAAACAACCGGAACATCCACAGTGGCAAAGCTTCTTACATTCACTAGCTCGTTATCATGATTTTTTGAAGGTTAATGGAAATGTATTTTTAGATAAGGAAACTGCAAAAAATGTTGTACCGAAAGTTAATAGAGTGGTAAATAACGTTACGTGCATGTTGTCACTGATTCAGTAATTTTTTATTTAATATATTAAAAATATTTGACACGCCCATTTGATACATGATAGCTAAGAAGCAAAAAATTATAGGTTATGTTTATGATAGTTTTAGGGTCAATTTACAATTGCGAACAATGTTCGTAAAGCTTAGGCTGCGTTTGAGCACTGTGCAATTGGCCCTAAAACTATCATAAACATAACCTATATCTTTTTTTTGCTTCTTAGATCTCTTTATTCAGAGTGCCTCACATATTTTAAATTCGTGTCAATAATATAATACATCATTATTATTAGTTTAAGTTTTTAATTAGTTAAATAAATTTGCATTTGTAATTGTATGTCCAAAATAATTTTTTACTTTGTATGTAGATAATAAAAAATTTTTAATTTAACTTATATATATATATTTATTACAAAAAAAAATAATTCTAAACCTCAAAATTGAAATTCTATCGAAGCGGCAAATGTTAACAGATTTTAATGCATCTTTTTGCAAAACTATCATGAAGAGTTTCTTTTTAAAATAAGCTACCGCGTCTATGAAATTACAAAATGGCGGATCCAATATGGCGTTAAAATGTTTTTAAAAAAAGTTTAAAGTGCCCAATTACGATGGAAAATTTTTATTTGGGGGTTCCAATATGGCGGATAAATTCAAAAAATTCAAAAAATGGGCAAACTGGCTTGAAACTTGTTACTCGGGGGTTTTTGGGGTTGCTGATTGCGAATCTGAAGACCGATTTAAATAATTCAAAATGGCGGATCCAATATGGCAAACAAATGTTTTTAAAAATTGTCGAATTAATCTGAATCATGGTATCTAGGGGTTTCTGGGGTCGCTGATTACGAATCTGAAGTCAGTTTTCAAGAATGAAAAATTTTTGTAAAACTCGTCCGCCATATTGGATTCGACATTTTGAATTTTTAAAAAGTAACATCAAATTCGTTATCAGCGACCCCGAAAACCCCCGAGTAACAAAATTCAAGTGAATTCATTGAGTTTTTGTCAACTTGAAAAATATTATCCAAAATTATATAAAAACTTTAAACGCATTATTCTCGAAACCACATATTTTCAACTGGTTCACACTCTCATTTTAACAATATTTAACCAATTAACTTGATTTTTGGACAGCATGTTCCTTGAATGTGGAGTTTTCGTGTGGACTAGGATTTTGAAAATTCATTATTATTTTTAAAAAGTTATAAACAATTTAAGTTGCAAAATTATGGTAAAAAAATTCAAAAGTCTGTCATTCGATTATTTTTTAATAAAAAATTTTGATTCTAGTCAACACGATAGCCAAAATGGTACAGATTAAGAAACTATTTACTTTTTTCATTTTAGATTATCCGTTCCAGAGAAAAAGTGTGAACCACTTTTAGAGAGGACCACTTTTGGCAGCCATTTTCTAAGACGCCATTTTGAAAAAAAAAATAATAATTTTCGATTATCTTATAAGACATGTATTTTGAGATAAAAAAATTTTAAATAACAAATATTTTCTTTACTGTAGAAAAAAAATCTTTGAAAAAAAAATCAAAACCAGTGGAACCTCCCCTTAAGAAAAAAATATTTTAAAGTAAAAAAACATTATAAATAAATTAAAAAAGTAGAATTTTAGGTAACACGTGGACAAATATTGGCTATTTGAAGGTGACTTACATTTCAGTGGAAATTTTGTAAAGATAAACAATTCAAATATAAAACAGATGTAAAATACATTTTACATTTAATTTTTAAAAAAATTGTAGTTAAATTATTTACCTAGATAAATTGTATTGCTACATATATTAATACAAAACATGTATTATATTAATAAACAAGATCCATTGTAAACACAGCCTAATAATTAAAAATTAGAGTTAATACCCAATTATCGTTTACCGTGAAATTTATTATGGTGCTTTTACAATTTTTTTTTGTATAAACACCTTAAGTACAACAACCATTAATTATTTATAATTTTTTTTTTTTGCTTATTTCAATTTTGAAAATAATTATAATTGTTAGAATGAATTTTTAAGTAATTAAAATTAAAATCTAATTAATTTTTAATTATTATCAATATTATGAAACTTGAATAAAAATCTTACCGTGGACTCCATTCGCCAATACCCGATCTCCATCCCAGAGCTGCACTCGAACGGTGTTTTCCAAAATTGGCACCAAAAAAAAATACTCACTCGCGGTTTTAAGGATTTCGAACACTCCTGAAAAAACTATTTTAAATAACGAAATTACGTTAAAAATAACTTTTTTTTTAATGTCGAACGAACGCGGTTTTAAGAAAATTCAAGCAGTCCCGAAATCAAGTGTAGCATTTTTTTTTAGAGGTTAGAACGGAAAAAAGTTGTTGTAGAAGCATCTTTACCTCGCAATAAAAGCAGAAGTCGAATCTTTTTCCTGAAAAAAAATAAACCATATTTTTATTTTTTATATTTATAAAAATATTTGTATAATAGTAAATAAATAATTCTTCTCTTTATTAATTTCAAAAGTTAAAAAAAAAATTTAAATATAGGTATTAATTTATTATTTTTTTATAAACATAAAATAATTTTTAATTTTCATTTTATTATTTAATATAAATCTAACGAATTAAAAAAGTGGTTAATTAAAATAAATATCAAAAATAAACAATAAATCGACAAAATTAATGAAAATAATTTTCTGTTAATTTACATTTAATTTAATTGAAATAATTAATTATAATTGTTAATAATTTTTAAAAAATGCTTCTTAGACGAAAATTGTAAAATCATGTAAAATTTTTTTTAAATTGTTGTCATTTTTTGTTTAACCCAAAATTATTTACAAATTAATCAAAAAAAATGTAAATTATTTTAAAAAATTTTGCATTAGAAAAAAAATATTTCAAAAAATATTATATAAAATATAGAATTTTAAGTAAAACACTTGAATAAATATTTGGTATTTAAAGGTGACCTTATTTTTCATGAAAATTTGTGTGCCACAGAGAGATAAAAAAAAAATTCAAATATTAAACAGTTGTAAAATAATTTTTACTTTATTAGAAAAAAATGTAATTAAAATATTTATACCTATATGAAGTATAGTAGCATATGTCTAATAGTTATCTTTGTGTAAACTTTTCATATGTTCAAACATAAGAAAAACAATTAAGTTTCTCAGCATATATTAATAGGAGAAAAAAATTTATAAGGCATTATATAACATTTTTTTAATAAAAAAATTTCTACAATGCACTAGTCATATTGTTCCCATTTAACAAATGTGTAAATATTTTTGCATTTAATTTTCATTATTTAAAAAAAATAATTTTATTAAACATTCAAATAGCGGCTAATTGTGTTTTATTAAAACAAAGAAATTTTTAGTTTCTTTAAATTTAAAGTAAATTGAAAATTTTATAATTAAAAAAAAAGAAAGAAAGATGAATTTCTTTTGCATACATTTTATACTTTTAGTATTGATATCATTATTTTCTTATTGTGTGTCGAATAATGAAGAATTATTATCAAAAAAATGGGTAAGTAATATCAGTATTTCCCTTTTTTTATTATATTCTACTTTATTATTATTATATTTATTTATTATTTTTTTTATTATATCATATTCTATTTTTCCATTGTGAACAAAGCCTAAGGAATTCAAATATACTGTCTCTCTTACTCTTGTATGTTACTATATAATAGGAACGATGTGCTACAGCGCCCTACTTTAGTGAAAATTTAGTGACGTTATAGTAACTTTTATTTTTAACTATAAAGTAACTAATTTGAAGGTTACCATTGTTCACGCTCGCCATTTATCATAATTCTCATCAACTACCGCACCCTGCTCTAGTAAAAATTTAGTGACTTTGTAGTAACTTTTAATTTTAACTAACAAGTCAATAAATTTTCACTAGAGCAGGGTGAGGTAGTTAATAAGAAATATGATAATTGGAGAGTGGGGAAAATGGCATCCCTTCAGTTACTTTCTAGTACCTAAAGGTCTGTTCATAGTTATATTTGAATTTATCGAACAGAACTATGAACAGACCTGTAGGCATTAGAAAAAAACTAAACTAAAAGACTAAATGCAAATAGAACTATGAACAGACTTTTAGGTACTAGAAAGTAACTAAACTAAATGCTTAATGAAAACAAACCTATGAACAGACCTTAAGATACTAGAAAGTAACTAAACTGATTTCCTAATGCAAGCAGCATGACCTATGAATAGACCTTTAGACACTAGAAAGGTTGGTTTCTATTGTCCCCACTTGAAATTTGTCATAATTCGTGTCATCTACCGCACCCTGCTTTAGTGAAAATTTAGTGACTTTATTGTTAAAAGTAAAAGTTACTACAAAGTCACTAAATTTTTACAAGAGCAGGGTGCGGTAGTTGACGTGAATTTTGACAAATGTCGAGTGGGGACAATGGCATCTTTCCAGATACTTTCTAGTACCTAAAGTTCTGTTCATAGGTTTGTTTGCATTAGGCATTCAGTTTATTTATTTAGTTACTTTCGGTTGGTTTCCATTGTCCCCACCTATTATGCTTAGAGCAAAATTATATAAAACAAAATAAGTACAAAACAAAATTTTTTTTTCTTCACTTTCAGATGAGACAAAAGCGAGAAATAAATTCAAATAATGTAGAACTGGAATGTAGTATTCTTTTTGATACTAAAGAACAGAGAAGATTATCAATAAAAAGAGGATATTACCTGAGTAAATTAACAATGAAAGGTGATAATATACGTATAAGTGATATACCAAAGAGTGATTATTGTGTAGGACGAATAATGATTATAGAAATGTTCGCAAAAGAAGAAATGATATTCGATATGGATTATAATTCTAATGGTCGAGATCAAACACTTGTAATTGGAGCAATGTTTTGGACTGTAATTGGTGAAAATCGAAAAATAATTCTGAATGGTCGAAAAGGATATGGACGTGGAAGGCCAAAAAAAGCAAATAACACAATTAATGGAGCCGATGGTAAAGAGGGTGAACCCGGTAGAAATGGTGGTTTTCTCTATGGTTCATTAGTGATCATTAGTTGGGAGAATGAAAAAGGTGAAGCACTGAATGCTGAAGATAAAAGTAATCCACTTTGTTATTATAAAGGAAATGATTTTGTTCAATATTTTCATTGTCCACATAGTATAGAACGTGAAAAACTTTTTAAAACCGGTGGAGTTAATCCAACAATTAATCCACCTGAACATAATTATGTACTAACAGTTTATGTAAATGGAGGTGATGGTGGTAATGGACAAGATGGTGGTGATGGTGATAGAGGAGAAGATGGTACAACATTTAATTTAGATAAACAATTAATAGAACCCAATGGATTTGTACATGGTTTTGATATAATGTTAGAGCAAAAAGTTGAACCACCGAAAGATGAAAGCCATTTAGGTCAGGGAGTGTCTGAAGTTATTCTTGGTACAATGCCAAAAGATGGTGGTCGTGGTGGTTATGCTGGTCCCGGTGGTTATGGTGGTAAACCAGGTGGTGTTCTCATTATACAAGTATTTGCTCTTGAGGCAGTATATTTTAATGAACGACCAGCTAATAATCTAAGAATTATTTATGGAAATGAAGGACAAATGGGTAAAAATGGTAGACCAGGATTAGGAAGTTTTGCTGAATATTGGGGTAGAGATATTCAATTAAGTATTTATTATACAAAAAATAAAACAATTGAATTAAGAAATATTGAATATTATCCCCATGAAAATCCATTTACAATGAATAGTATTCAAAATGATAATTTTACACCACGAACTATTCAACAATTAAAAACGATGCCCGTCTTTTATTCATTTTCTGATGCAATTGTAGAATATCAAAAATTTTGTATGCAATACGCTGAAAGATCAACACTGAAGGGAAGAATGTATACCGATATTATTACAATATTTGACTATTATAGTTATGTACCCGATCAATAAAAACATTTGTTTTGAATCGGTTAGAAGCTGAAGTGAATCCACATTCACATATTTATTTAAGTAGCTCAATTATGGACAATTTCTAAATTATTGTGTAAAATATGACAACCTAACCTAAAAATTTTCGATCTTTATTCATAATTGTCAAAATAAATTCAGTAAATTTCTTATTAACAGAATATTAATCAATAAAAAACGAATTCCTAAAAGGCCTAAGCAGAATGAAATCTCTAATCGTAAATCTTAAGCTTTTACATGAGAGAGGAAAGGACAAAAGATAATTCTATCCTTTTCTCTCTCATGTAAAAGCTAAAGGCACTTTCACACCTTTTTGGCTGCCTGCCTACCTGCAGGTTACCATGACAACGTACGAGTGTGAGTGAGACAGAAAACTTGTGTTACTGATTGGAAGCCAAAAAAAACCATTTACATATGTATTCACATTGTTAATTAATAAAAATTTAAATAAATTATTATCATTCCCTCTTTATTTATAAAATGAGATAATAAAAATTATTAAAACTAATCATTTTGCAAATAGGACATAAAAATTATAATTAATTAACTAAACTTTAAATAGTAGTAGTTTCTTTCTATTTTTGACCCTAAAAAATATAAATTAAATAAATAATATAAAATTAATTTATATTGAACATTTGAGTTGAATTTTGTTTTCGTCGATAATAAGGACAATTCAATAATATTTGTTGCAATTGCCGTGTCCATGGATCAATTCTACTGTTAGCGTTAAATTTTTCAATGTGTGATCTAAGAAAATTTTTATATAAATATTCCGTAGTATCAAATATTTGCAATGGATGAAGTTTCTTTGGTTTTAATTTTCTATTAATATTTTGTCCACTAATTCCATTGTGACCTTTAGTTAAAAATTGATCATGTTCAAATGTTATGTTTCTTAGAATTTCAATTTTTTTTTTATAATTAATACGTAACAATAGAGAAACATTTTTTCCAGGTCTACCACTCTCACCACCATAACCACCAAAACCATAAACACCATCTACACCATTTTTGCCATTTTCAGTGTCAATAAATCTTAATACATCTCTACTATTACATGTAGAATTATTTAAATTATACAAAAAATAATGACCTGTAATTGAAAATTTCTATTTTAGTTAAAATTTCTTTTTGTTTTTATGAGACTAAAGAAAGTGATCTAAGAAGCAAGGAATTATAGGTTATGTTTATGATAGTTTTAGGGCCAATTTACAATAGCGAAGCTTAGGCTGCGTTTGAACATTCTAATTGACCCTAAAAGTATCATAAACATAACCTATAATTCTTTGCTTCTTGAATCACTTTCTTTAAGGCTTGAGCAGAATAGCAACGTAACAGCAAACGCAACCGGAAGAATGAGTTAGAGAAGGAAAGACATATTATTTGTCCTTCTCTAACTCATTATTCCGGTTGCGTTTGCGGTTACATTTCTATTCTGCTCAGGCCTTTAAAGTCTAACATGTAAATTTTACCTGGTAAACCACCTTCACCACCAGGTCCACCATTACCACCATTACCACCATTACTTGCTTCTTTACCAATAACATCCTCTAGGATATAATAAAATAAATCACCATTGACAAATACTTTTTCAATACTATCGACAACAACTTTAAATCCTGGTACATAACCATTGTTATGAATTTTTTTCACATTAAAATGAAATTCTGTGCCATTTTTTCCTTTACCACCATTGCCACCAATTTGTCCATTACTACCATTACCACCATTAAAATTAATAATAAGATTATTTTGATTAATAATATAACCAGCAATACCATGAAATTGCCCACCAGGTCCACCTGGAAATCCCTCTTTTCCATGTTTTCCATTAATATTTTTTAAATAATTACCATTATTTGCCATTGATTTTCTACGTTTTTTTCCATTATATCCATTTAAATTTATAACTTTTCTCCCCTTTACATACCATATTGGCGCGGCAAGTATAAATACCATATTTTTACCTTTTGCATTAAAATTTCTATCAATTATAATTTTTTCAGTTGCAAAAATTTCCACAATAACAATACTTCCATTACAATGATTTTTAAATGGTACATTTTTTAAATAAACAATTTTGCCAATAATTTTTAATTTATATTTTGTTTCAATTATACTATTATTTGTTTTTATATTATTTAAATATTCACATTTTATCTCCACAGGATCATTTAAAATTTCATTATTATTTTTGTAATTTGCCTAATAGAAAAAATTTTCCTTTATTATTACTTAATAATTATTATAATTGTAATTTTAATTAATTAAAAGTTATAAAATATTAACAATTAAATACTAAAATAATTAATAGTAACTCACCAAAATTTGTCTACGTATAAATGAATTTGTCGATTTACAATAATTCACCATTAAAATTGTAAAAATTAACAAGAAAATATTTAAATTTTTCATTTTGAAATTTTATTGGTTCTTTCTTTTTCTTATTATATTCTTATAATATAGTTAAAAAAATTTGCTATACTAATTAATGCAGATTCCCTACACTAAATAAAATTACGAAAAGTTTTTTATTTTATTTCCAAAATTTTAACAAATTCTGGTATAGATAAAGTTAATAATCATCATGAAAATAATGAATAAATATACATATATTTTATATTAAAGATAAATTTATCATTGTTTAAATTATCAAATGTTTAAATTTATGTTTCTCAATTTTTTTTTTTTAAATTTATACATCATTTATTTATTTAATATTTCAAAATGCACATTTAGTTATTAAATTTTTTTTAAATATACTTAAACAAATATTGAATTAGTTTATTAATATTATTATTATTATTAGTATTAAATTTTATATATTCGTTTAATTAAATGCAAACATTTGAAGAAGAATAAATGACTTATTCATTAAGTTTTTTTTTTTAAATTCAATTTGAAAAGTACCTACACAGCCTTAAAAATTTTAATTTATGAAATTTTTATAAATTTAAATTTTACCTTACATTGAGTGTATTTCAATTAATTTATTATAATTCAATTTATTAATTAATAATTATTAATTATTAAATATTATGTTAATATAAAAAGTCTATTGTGGACACAGCCTTTAAGATAAGGTTAAATAAAAAACTAGTATTGAATAATTATAGTTCTGGAAATCAATAAAATAAATTTAGACAAATAATCAGCCAATGAGAAAGCGTATTACGCATTTTTCAGACTTAAAGAAACAAAATATGAAAATTAACAAACATTAACATTTTTTTTTAAATACACGTGAAAAATTCTAATAAAAAACAAAAACAATTAAACCGGGGTCTGTATTTATTACACGGACGGAGAATTTTGATCGTGTCAACGCCTTTTTTAATTAATTAAAATATATTTTATAAGATTTTAATTTATAGTATTTATTTACTTGAACCAATAATAATTTTTATTTGAATTAAATAAATATTTTTTTTTTCTAATAAAATTTTTACACCAAATTAAAATATTTACCTTTAATAAATTATTTTAAATAGATACCTACTTAAAAAAAAAATTCTTTGGTACAAATAAAGAAAAAAAAAATGTAAAAATATATAAAAAAATTTTTAAATTTATATTATTTTATAAATTATTTAATATATTTTTATATTTAATTTAATTCAGTAATTTAAGTAATTAATTGAATTATAATATCAAATAATATATTCTGATAAATGTAAAATTTATTCTAACATTTATAAAATAAATATTTTACTCTTATCTTCCTTTTTTTGATAAATAATTATTGATCTAAATTTATAGAAATGAAATTGAATAATTTACAATTATTTATTTAACGATAAGTTTATAAATTAATAAAAATAAGTTTTTTTTTCAAAAACGCACGTGGGATTATAAATAAATTAAAATTATCAGTGACTAACCTTGATATAAGTTTCGACAGAGTTTTTAATTTTTATAATATGAATATAAATAATAAAAACACTTGAACTATTAATTAAATTACATTTACAAAATAAAGGAAAAAAAAAATTTGCATTGCAATCAATTTTATATAATAAAAAGTGCTATATAGTCAATTATTTTTTGTATTATATTGAAAAAATTCAGGGGGTACACTTTTTTGTGTAATTAAAAAAAAAAATTTATTTACAATTCCTTTAATTATATTAATTAATATAAATTCATTAATGAATTAATTATATTAAATAATTAACTAAATTGCTTAGAGGAATAATGAATTTGATAAATATTAAATTTATTCTCTTAATATTATTTATATTTTCATCGTGTAATTCGTATGAACGAGAATTATTCTTAAAACGTTCGGTAAGTCAAATTTGAACTTTTTTTTTATTTGTTACCATTTTTTTTTTATTTTTCATGTGATTTAACCTTAAAGTTTAGTTTTTTTCAAATTTATTTTTAATTTTTTTACTAGAAAGTAACTAATCTGAATTCCAAATACAAGCGAGACCTATGAACAAACTTTTAGGGACTAAAAAATAAGGAAACTGATTGGCTAAACGCAAATAGAACTATGAACAAACCTTTAGGTACTAGAAAGTAATTAAACTGAATCCCTAAAATAATATAAACTTAATAATAATAATAATAATAATAATAATAATAATAACCTATAAACAAACCTTTAGATACTAGGAAGTAACTAAACCCCTAAACTAAACTAAATTCCTAATGCAAGCAGGACATATGAACAGACCTTTAAGCAATAGAAAGATTGGTTTCCATTGTCCCCACTCACCATAATCGTCATTTGTCATAATTCTCGTCATCTACCGCAGCCTGCTCTAATAAAAATTTAGTGACTTTATTGTTCAAATTAAAAGTTACTATAAAGTTACTAAATTTTCACTAGAGTAGGGTGCAGTAGTTGACGATAATTATGACAAATGGCGAGTGGGGACAGTGGAAACCAATCGAAAGTAACTAAACTGAATGACTAAATGCAAATAGAACTATGAACAGAGCTTTAAGAACTAGAAAATGACTAAACTGAATGCCTAATGCAAACATAACTATGAACGGACCTTTAGGTACCAAAAAGTAACTAAACTAAACACGGCTAAATGCAAACATAAGTATGAACAGACCTTTAGGTACTAGAAAGTAACTGAAAGGGAGCCATTGTCCCCACTCGCCATTTGTCAAAATTCTCGTCAGCTACCGCACCCTGCTCTTGTAAAAATTTAGTGACTTTGTAGTAACTTTTACTTTTAACAATAAAGTCAATAAATTTTCACTAGAGCAGGGTGCGGTAGTTGACGAGAATTTTGACAAAAGGCGAGTGGAGACAATGGCATCCTTTCAGTTAAGGCCTGAAGGTGCTTATATACCTCAAATTTCGATCAGATGAACATTATTTCTGGACCGTGAAAATGCGTGAAAAGTCATTTTCACGGCGGGTATTTTTGAATTGTTTTAAACAAAAAATGTTTTTTTTAAGAAATATAATATTAAATAATTGTTTTAATATGTAAGAACACTTTAAAATAGTGATAAAAAGATGATATGATTGAAAAATTTAGCAAATTTTGCTTTAAAACGTTTCTGCTACAAGAAAGTGTAAAATGACGATGTTTGTGAAATGGTTTCTACAGTGTACATGTGTACATGTTTCTTTCAGTTATTCGAAACAATTAGTTGAATTTAAATTTATTTGATAAACATTTCAACTTACCGATTTATTTTCAGCACTCATTATTTATTACAAGTTAAAAAGAACCGACATAACATAAACAAAACTCTGAGAGACACTAACAAGGAAAAAGCACTGTACAAACCATTTCACAAACATCGTCATTTTACACTTTCTTGTAGCAGAAAACGTTTTAAAGCAAAATTTGCTAAATTTTTTAATGAAATCATCACTCTATCACTATTTTAAAGTGTTCTTACATATTAAAACAATTATTTAATATTATATTTCTTAAAAAAACATTTTTTGTATAAAACAATTCAAAAATACCCGCCGTGAAAATGACTTTTCACGCATTTTCACGGTCCAGAAATAATGTTCATCTGATCGAGTTGAGTTATAGAAGGATAGTCATATATTGTTGTTTTTCTCTTACGGAGCATTTACACCTTTGGTAAAAAAATTTTTTATTTTTGAATTTTCCGAAATACACAAACCTGATTGGTTGTTCACAATCTGATTGATAATGGACAACCAATCAGATCTTTGCATTTCCGAAAATCAAAATAAAAAATTTTTTTTACCAAAGGTGTAAATGCTCCATTACTAATTCTTCCGTTTGCGATTCCGATTACGTTTATATTGTGCTTAGGCCTTTACTTTCTATTACCTAAAGGTCTGTTCATAGTTATGTTTGCATTTAGCAAACAGAACTATGAACGAATCTTTAGGTACTAGAAAACAACTAAACTAAATGGCTTAATGCGAATAAAAATGTGAACAAAGCTTTAATTACTAGATATGCCTATACAATTTTGTCCTTTTTTTAACGCACGTATTGCTATGACAACATGTAAGATAGAAAAGGACAAAAAAGTGAGAGGGGTGTAAAAACTAAAGTCATGTTCATACTTCTTTTTTCTAAACTAGTCCATAGAACATAAATATATATATATATATATATATATATATATATATATATATATATTTGTCCAAATTGATACATAAGTAAAAAAATTATTTCTTCTTTAATTTCAGTTAAGACAAATTTCCTTATCCAATGATAGTGTGATTAAAAAAAATTGTTCTCTAATTTTCGATTCATTTTTCGAAAGAGATGAAACAATAAAAAGAGGATATTATCTAAGTAGATTAAGAATTGAGGGAACAACAATACGTATTAGCGATATACCTGAGGCAAATTATTGTCAAAATGAAATTGCAGCTATTGAACTTTTTGCAACTGAAAAAATTATATTCGATCAAGATTATAATTCACATGGTGTCAGTGTATCATTAGTGGCAGCGGCGCCAACATGGATTGTAAATGGCAATGAAAGAAAAATTATATTAACTGGCAAAAATGGTAAAAAACCACATAGTAAAAAGAGACAAAAGAAAAATTCTAAGCACGGTGCTGATGGTAAAGAAGGCGCTCAAGGTGGAGATGGTGGTTATTTTTATGGTTCAGCAAAATATTTTCTATGGCAATCTGATGATAATGGTACAATAATAAATGAGGATTTAAATAAATTTCCCCTTTGTACAATGGATACAAATGAATATTTATTGTATACTTTGTGTAATAGTAGTAGAAATTTTGTAATAAAATTTTACGTTAATGGAGGTAAAGGTGGTAAGGGACAAGATGGCGGCGATGGTTTAAATGGATTGGATGGTACGACATTTAATTTTGATAAAAAACTTATTGCATCCGATGGTACTGTAAAGGATTATGAGACAATATTAAAAAAAATTATTGAACCACCATTTAATGAACAAAATTTGGGAATGGGAATTTCCGAATTGATACTTGGTGATAGGCCAACATTAGGTGGTCGTGGTGGAAATGCTGGTGCTGGTGGTTATGGGGGAAAAGGAGGTGGTGTATTTTTAATATCATTAACCGAAACACCATGTTATTTAACAACTGAATATCCAATGGAATTTCATCGTGGAAAATATGGAAAAAATGGTAAAAATGGACAACCTGGTTTTAGGGGTTTAGCAGGAAGTTTGGGATATGATATTCGTTTAAATTTATATACTAAAAAAAATGGTGAAATTGAAATAAGAAATGTTGAACATTTTAGACATGAATCGCCATATTTAAAACGTAAAGTTAATAATGGTATTGTTTTAGAACAAAGTTATCCAAAATTTATACCATCAATTTATGGTTATGGAAATGCTCTTAATAATTATATAATATTTTTAAATAATACTTTGAATAATACAAGAAATGAAAAAATGCATAAAGAAATTTTGGATATTTTTAATAATTGTCATATTAGAACTTGTATAGGTTGTCCATAAAACTTACTAGGTTACGGCCACAGTATGTTACGTCGTTTATGTGTCTTACGTAGAAAACCATAAGTTTACCTATCCCTGATTTGTTTTTTGTAAAATATAATCTTACATAACCTAGAAAATACAGAAATAGCAGCTATTTCTCTATATACGTAAGATTATATTTTAAAACAACACATCAGGGTTGGGTAACATGTAACAATATGGACTAATTCGTTTCCATTGTCCCCACACGTCATTTGTCATAATTCTCGTCAACTAATGCACCCTGCTTTAGTAAAAATTTAGTGACTTTATTGTTAAAATTAAAAGTTACTAAAATTTTACTAGAGCAGGGTGCGGTAGTTGACGAGAGTTATGATAAATGTCGAGTGGGGACAATGGAAACTAACCTTAATAATTAATATCAGGGTTGGGTAAATGTAACAATAAGGACTAACAATTAACATCAGGGTTGGGTAAATGTATAACAAGAACTAATAATTAATATCAGGGTTGGATAAATGTAATATGGAGTACAATAGTATTGTAAAAAAATGAGTAAAAAAAATTAATAAAATTAATATTAACCTCAAAACGCGTTACGATTATTTGTCATTTGCTGAAAAATAAAATCTCTTCTCCCCCCTTTCGCCAGTTGAAATTCAACTTTTTAAGAATAATTTTTAAAACCCCTTTGACATAACCTCAAAACCTAATGATTGGTTTTATAAATCACTAAATAAAATTATAAAAAGTTAATTTTAATAAATTTACAAAAATCCATTTGTACAATTTTTTTTTAAAAAAAATTATTTTTATATCTGTTTTTAAATAACAATTATTTACCATTTTATTTTTATTTTAAGCCAATATTTATTTTTAAATAACAATCATTTTTTTTTATTTTTTCGGTATTCGACAACAAATTTTGGCTTAAAATATTTTTTTTTTTTTTTTTTTGAAAATTGTACAACTGGATTTTTACAAATTTAGTAAAATTAATTTTAATTACAATTTTTATTTTGTGATAGAACCAATTTTTAGTTTGAGGTTATGTCAAAAGTTTTGAAATGCCTTAATATTTGTAATTTTTTTTATATATAAAATTTGATATTTCTCCCCCCCCCCTAAAAAAAATATTTTTTGTATCTTTTATCGTTTTCGAAATATTTAGGAAATACTTCTTTTTTTCCTCTGAAAACTTAAAATGTAATTAGTTTTTTTAAAATATTAATTTATAAAAAAAATTGTTTTTTTTTTCATTGGCAAAAAATTTGAAAGTTATAAAATAATTAATTAATAATAAATATTAATAATGTTAATATTAATTATTATTAATAATAATAATTTTATTTTTATATGCATTAATATATTCTAATTTGTTTTAATTGTTAAATTATAATTATTATTTAATTTAAGACGCCAGGACAAATTAACCTAAAATCTCTATTTTTGCACTTGGCTATTTATATAATATGATAAAATGATAAAATATATATATAGAATGTTTAATATAAATGTAATTGTCAATAATTTTTGGGACATATTTATTTTCTAACCTCAAAATACGCCTCGATGTCTCGGCGACACGAGAAAAACTGACGAATTAACGGAAATGCAATAATATGTGATAGAAAAGGACAGATATACTAATCGCTATATATATATATATATATAACAAAATGGACAAAAATGACACGAACTATATTTCGATTATTTACCGAAAGCATCGTATTTTAGATATTCAAATATATAATTATCAAAAGTCAAAACAGAAAATACAAAATTTAAATATATATACATATATATGTAAAGTAAAAACACTTACTTTTGGAGAAAAACGTCTCTTGCTCCTGGCTTCTTTCTTTCCTACAATTAGATATTAAACACTTTTTTTTATTCATTTATTGTAAATTATATTTACTTATTACTTTATAGAAGTCAAAATAATAAAAACTTCGCGAAACTACTTTACTGAAATAAATGAAAAAACGCAACACTAAAATAAAAAGTACACTAACGTTGTTGCACAATCAGCTTCAAAGGCGGGAATGAACGATATGGCCTTCCGGAAACGACTTCTTACCGCCTTTTTCTCAGTTCAAGGCTGGTTTCCATTTAGTTACTAGAAACTTACTAGAAAGTTACTAAAATTTTCTTGTCCCGTAACTACACAACTCTGAGTTTCGAGTTAATTATCGATATTTGCCTTCTGCTAACTTCATTATTATCTCTCTTTTTTTTAGAGAGAGAGAAAAAAAGAATATAAGAAGGTTATATTTACAAAGATGTGTAAATTGTTTGATAATAAATTCTGCAATTATTGTTATCAATTATTATTTTCTATTTTTGCCCTCTAAAAAAAAAGGTGAGAAAATTGTTAATTATTACAAATGTATTTCTTTCTTTTTACAATAATTCGTTTTCTTTTTGTTTTTATTTCTTATGTGCACACTCCTGATTAAATAATAATAGTGAATTTTTCTCCTATTTCCAATGTAAACGAGAAGAAATTTAATTATTTTTGTTTTAATTTGAATTTATAGAGGAATTTTTTATATATTTAATTAAAAAAATTTTATTATATTTACGGGCAAATTTTTTTTTTACTATAAATCGAAATAATAATTTTATAGGTTAGATTTTACGTAAAAAAAATTTATTTATTTTAATAATGTTTTATTGGTACAAAATTTAGAATAAATTTTTTATTAATACATAATTTAGAAAAAGAAATTTAATTAATTGATATATAATTAAGAAAAAAATTTATTTAATTATTATTTTTTTTTTCCTATTTTTTATTTCTATTCATTAATCTTTATTTAATATTTATAGTAATTAAATTTTAATTAATTGATTTTTAATTAATTTATAAAAGTAATTTAATTCAATAATTTACATTTATAATAAATAAATAATAATTTATAATAAATAATTAGAAAAAAAGGAAATTAAAATAATTTACTTTATTGTTATTTAGAGAGAAAAAAAAAATAATAATATAATGGCAGAGAAAAAATCAAATGCAAATCATACAAATGCAAATGAAAATTCTTCCAATCAATCGGATATAACAAATAATTTACCAACAAAATCGCAATTTTCATCGACAACAACAACAACAACACGATTAACGTCTTTTCTTGCGCCACGTGATTTAACACTTGGTGGTAATTCAATTAAATTTGATAAACCAAAAAAAGTTTATACACCAAATTTAAATGCTCAACGAAAAAAGAAAGATGAGTAAGTCGTTTTAATAATAATAATAATAATAATAATAATAATCCTAAATTTTACAAATCCAACAAAAATTTGCATTTAAAAAAAGAAATTAAATTAATAATTAATAATAAATTTTTTAATTTTAATATTAATATTTAATTATTATTATTAATTATTAATATTATTGTTTAATTATAATTATTTAATAGAAAATAATTTTTAAATTAGTAAATAATATAATAATATTTATAATTTAATAGCGAATCCGATGTTGTGCAAAAAAATACAAAAAATCCAAATAATAAAAATCACAAAGGAAAAGGTAGAGGAAAAGGACATCATGATTGGAAAAAGAATAAAAATTCAAATGTTATTCAGGTATTTAAAAATTTGTAAAAAAAAAATAAATTTTTTTGACGAAAATTAATTTTATATTTAATTTTACAGAAAAAGAAACCAAAAAAAAAAATAAAAGACAAAAATTAGTTAAAATTAAATTAATAAAAATACCAAATTTATTTTATTTCTATTGAAAAATTTGATATAAAATTTATTTCAAAAAAAAAAAAATGAATAAAAATGAAAATTTATTTTAATTATTTTTTTTTTTTTCAGTCAGCGGGAGTTTTTGCTGAAGGTTTCGCTGATAGTCCACGATCGAGAGCAAGATTTTCAGGCTATCGTGATTCAAATGATCGATGTTCAACGCAAGAATTATTACAGCGACCAAAATTAAATGCAAATCGTATTGTTGATAAAAAAGAGGAGGAGGAAAAATTAAAATTATTATTACGCGATAATTTCATTGACAATGATGACGATGATGATGTTGGGGAATTTGAAAATCAAAATTGTCCCATTGTATTGCCAATAATATCGTCGGAGGGTAAATTATTTAAAAAAGAGATAAAAGTTGAGGCAGACAATGAACAAATTGAAAATAATGTTGGAGATGAGAAAAAGAAGACTGGTTTTGTTAAAACTGACAAAAGTACGTTTTTTCATTTCTTTTTTTTAAATTTCAATATTTAAAAAAAGTTATTCTTTTCTTTTGTTTATTAATATTAAAAAAAATTGTAAAATTTTATTTTATTCCTTTTTTAAAAAATATTTTCTGTTTCTTTTAAAAACTTTTTAATTTTTATTATCAATTTCATGTTATTTATCACGTTTTATAGAAAAACCCCTTGGAAAGGAAAAATTCCGCAAAGATGTGAAAGATGAGAAAAAAGTACCATTAAATATTACCCAATGTTTGGAAAACAAGACAAATGGATATTTTCTTATTCGGGTAGGAGAAAAATACTTTTTCTTTTTTTTCGAATTTTTGATTGTAAATTAGTCATTAATTTAAAAAGAAAATCAATTTCGAATTTAAAATTCAATTTGTTTTTTTTTTATTAGTTTTATTTGCCGAAACAAAAAAGAAAGGGGAAAAAGTTTATTTGTAGAAATAAATTTTATTTTCGTATTTATTTAAATGAATGAAAAATAAATTCGAATAAATTTTATTTTCGAATTCAAATAAATGAAAAATAATAATTTTTTTTTTTTTTTAATTAGATGAATTTAATTATTTGTTTTTTTTTTTTTTTTTTATTTGGTATTAAATTTAATATCTTTTTTTCGAAAATAGTTTACAGACTGTTTACCGGGAGAACCAGTTGAAAACGAAGAAGAAGACAGTAGACAACGAAAAAATGTGGATACAAAATCAAAAACAGAAAATGTTTTCGATAATCTAAAGGAAGGCTTTTTAGGAAAATTACAAATTTTAAAATCCGGAGCCGCAAGATTGTGCCTTGGAAATCATAATCTCTCAATTGATCTTGCGCCACAAGTATTTTTTCGCGAGGTGAGTTATTTTTTCTCCTTTCATTAAAAAAAAAAAAAAATTCGTTTCTATAATATAAATAAAAAATGTTTTTCTTTTAAAGGATGTTGTTGTCACAAAATTGGACAATGAAAATATAAACGGAGAGCTCATTAATCTAGGACCTGTTCATACTAATTTAATTTGTACTCCCGATTGGGAGAGTCTCGTTAAGCTGTAAATTTAATAAATCATTTCTATTATAAAAAAAAAAATTTGCTATTTTCTAATTTTTCCAAAAATTAATTCGTTTTTTTTTTTTTTGGTATCAAAGAAAAAAAATCAAAACTTAAAATACAATTAAAGTGAAAAAAATTTGGTTTTTGTTTTTTATTTTTCACGTACGTAAATCAATAGCATTTTTTTTCCTGATACGTTAATAATGCGTACAAACGTATTACATTAAATATACATATAATATTTATAATATATATATATTTATATGTATATAATGAATTATTTATGACAATACTCTCGTTTTTTTTTTTCGTAAAAACTATATAATAATAATAATTTGAAGAGGGAACTTTTTTTTCTCACCTGTGCAAAATTGTTTTGTATTAATTTAAATAGTATTTAAATTTTATATTCAAACACTTCACAAAATTGTAATTATCTATTAATAATAATTTAACAAAAGAAATCAATGATTTGGAAATTTTCCCTTTTTGGTAAGAGAATCAAAAATTTTTCCATTTTTTCTAAAAAAAAAAAAAAACAGAGGGAAAATAAAAAAAGAAAATATAAATTTACTTTTTTTTTAAAAAAAAAAAAACAGAATTTTTCTTTCTGTAATTCCAATTCGTAATTTTCAAATTATTCACCTTTTTCTTTTTCTTTTTTCTTCTCTCCAAAATTTAGTCACTTTGTTCCACGCTGTGACCTTTTTTCATTGATTTCAATGCTTTTTCGCGTAATTTCTTTTCCAATTCCTCGGTATTTCCTTCGCTTGCATCCGATTCTTCTGATTCGGCGACTCTTTTCTTTTTATGCTTTCTATGCTTCTTGTGTTTCTTGTGCTTTTTGTGTTTTTTGTCTTTCTTCTTTTTCTTCTCCTCGATTTCGCTTTCCTAAAAAAGAAATAATTCTTTTATATTTAACAAATTTTTTTTTTAAAATAATTATAAATAATTTAATATTTTAATAAATAAAAAACGATTTTTTTTCGATTAAAAATTGAAACTCACGTCAGATTCACTGGTACTTGTTTTTGTCTTTTTTTTCCTCTTCTTTTTCACCTTCTCCTCATCGCTGCTATCGTCATTTTTATTACGTTTTTTCTTTGTCTCCTTTTCATTATCATCATCGTCAGAACTTGAATCACGTTTATTTTTTTTCGACGATTTTGACCTCGACGTTGTTGTTGTTGCTGTTGTTGTTGTTGTTGTAATTTCATCATCACTCGTTGAATTTTTTCTCGATTTACGACTTTTTATTTTTTCATCATCCGTTGAACTATCAGCACGACGTTTACGTAATTTTTTTGGCTCATCATCAGAACTTGAATCTCTTTTTGTTGATGATTTTGTTGATTTTGTTTTCGATTGTTTTTCATCATCACATGAACGATTTTTTTTACGTTGCTCCTCATCAGGTGATGATGAATCTCTTCGCGATCTTTTGTATTTTTTTGATGTTGTTGTTTCCTCGTCATTTTCTTTTCGCGAGCGTTTTTTTTCCAATTCAATTTCACGACGTTTTAATTCCTTTTTCTCTTTAATTCGATCGTTTGATTCTATGGAAGCAGAATTATTTTTTTTTTTTGAGAAAAAATATTTTAGATTTTCTTTTGATAATTATGATATAATAATAAATTTTTGTTACTTATTACCTGTACGACTTGTGTCGCGATTCTTTTTCGTTTTTTCCGGTTTTTTCTCCTCCTCGGAATCGGAACTCGATGCAATTTTACTCTTGTCTGATTTTTCATCTTCAGTGGAGGCTTTTCTCGATTTTCTCGGTCTCTCAACTTTCTTTGCTTTCTTACGGCCTGGAAAATTCATTTTTTTTTATAATTTAAAAAAATACCCTAGAAACTAATTGTATTTTTTTTTTTTTTTAAAGAAGAGGAAATAAATGAACTCACCATCGTCAGAATCATCAGAATCGGAAGATTCATCGCGTCTGTCTCTCTTTGATTTCTTTGGCGCTTCAACAATTTTTTTCGTTAAAGTAACATCGGCAATTTTTGGAATTTTTTTCTCTTCAATTTTCGTTGATTTCACATTTCTCTCGACTTTATCCAAACGATCGTCTTTTTTCAGAGGGAAAGTTTCAGCTGTTGCCGCGACAATTGTTTCCGCAATAACTGTCGGCGATTCCAATTTATCGTCCCTAAAAAATGAAATAAAAGAAAATTTAATTTTTTTTAAAAAAAATTAAAAGAATTAAAAGAAAATCAAATTTCTCACTTCATTATTGTTTGCTTGATTTTATTAGCTGCAATGATGTCCTCTGTCTTCTTAAAAGGCGAAGGCGTTCTCGACAAACTCTTGGAAAACTGGAAAAAAAAAATTTAATTTTCAAAAATTTTTAAAAGAAAAGAAAAACAAAGAAAAATTGAATACATACTCTGTGTCTGGAAATTGGTAAATTTGCCGTTGGTATTTTCTTTGGCGATACATTTGTTTCCAATTTTTTTTGAACAATTGTCTCAACAACTTTTTTCACATCCTTCTCAATACGTTTTGGAATTTCTTTTTCAACAATTATTTTCTCCTTTTCCTTTTCTTTTTCCTTCTCTTTTTCTTTTTCCTTTTCAATTTTCTCCTTTTCCCTCTCTCTTTCTCTCTCTTTTTCCTTTTCCAAAATTTCCTTCTCCTTTTCCTTCTCCTTTCTCTTCATTTCCTCTAAACGTTCCTTTTCTCTTTTACTCCGCGACAATTTTTTCTCAACCGATCGTCTGCAATAAGAAAGAAAATTTTCTATTTATTTTATTTAACTATTAATTATTATTTTGAAAAATATTTTTAAAAAATTCTCGGAAATTATTAATTATCAATTAATAAAAATTAGAAGAAAAACTCACCTCGTTTGCTCTTCATCACTTGACGAACTACTCTCACTACTTTGCGAGCTACTCGATTTCGAACGTCCATTTCTCAAATCTTTACGTGTCGTTGAATCCGTTGATTTTTTACTATTCTTTTCATCAATCGAATTTTTTCGTTCACGCGATTTATTTCTCTTTGAATCCTTCACTGACGTTGCATTCGTTGAATTAGCGGAATTAGAAATATTAGCATTAGCAGCAGCCGAAGATGATGATGAAGAAGAATCTTTTAAATTACCACGTTCCAATGATGAAGTACGTTTAGCCGATGAAGATGATGTTGCCGCCGTCGTTGTTGTTGTTGATTCTTTTGTTATTCTTTCAGGCGATGATTTACGATCTTTCGATTTTGAACGTCGATGATCTTTATCACGATCGCGACGATCTCTTGAACGATCGCGTTTACTTGAACGATCACGTGACAATGATCTATCGTATCTATGTGAACGATCACGATTATCTGATGAACGTCGTCGGCTATTGTCGCGACGTTCAGGTGAACGACGTCTGTCGCGTCTTTCTGATGAACGTCGTCTACGATCGGGCGATGAACGTCGACCACCACCTCCACGTCGACGATCATTAGGACTTGGTGATCGTCGACGATATCGCACTGGACTTCTTCGCGGTGGACTTCTATTTTTTTTTTTTTTTTTGTAAAAGAAATAAAATTGTTTTTTTTTTTTTAAATTAATTTAAAGCAAATCCTTGATATTTTGCAAAGTAGGGTAACTGCACCAGTGGTGGATCATGCACCAGTGGTGGATCAACTGCGAGAAAAATGGTCATTTGTGTTTACACGTTTGTAAGTAAATGAACCGCAAGTGTCGGTAATTGTTAAGAAAGTTATACAGATCAATATTACAATTTTAAAAAATTTTTAAATTCATCGCGAAGAAAGCAGGACAACAATTACTAAAGTGGTGACAGAAAACAAGAGTTTTCCTTAACATGTAAGTTAAGAGTATATTTTGGAATAGAAAGCTTTGGAGCCATTTAAGGACAATTTTTAATTCTTTTCACAATAGGAGGCATTTCGTTTCATCCCCATAGAGCCCTGAGAACAATATTTACGTCTGTAAGTAGCGCGTGTCCATTGTTTTCGGGTGATCCACGACTGGAACCAAAAAAGTAACAAAATCTAGTGGTGGATCAGTCCTACTTTTCGCCTGTTGACGCATTGTTTTATTGAAAATCTTATGAGTTAAATTTTAGTTAACACTAATTCAAATGTTTATTAATTTGTTAACACCTGGGGGTCGATTACGTAACTTTCCCACTTCCCACATCTCACTTCCCACATTTTACATCCCACTTCCCAAATCCCACATCTCACTTCCTACATTTTACATCCCACTTCCCACATCCCATATTTCACATCTCACTTCCCATATTTCATATCCCACTTCCCATATTTCACATCTCACTTCTTACTTCCCATATTTCATATCCACTTCCCACTTCCCATATTTCACATACCACATCCCACATCCCACTTCCCATATTTCACATTCCACATCTCACTTCCCACATTTCACATCCCACTTCTCACATTTCACTTTTCACACTTCACATCTCACATTGTACATTACACTTTTCTTATCACGCTTCCACCTTTTATATCCCACTTCTCACATCTCTCCCATTTCCCACAAGATGTTGGATGTGGAAAGTGGTATGTAAAATGTGGGAAGTGAGATGTGGGAAATGGGATGTGGGAATTGAGAAGTGGGATGTAAAATGTAGGAAGTGAGATGTGGGATGTGGAAAGTGAGATGTAAAATGTGGGAAGTGAGAAGTGGGAAGTGAGATGTGGGAAATGGGATGTGGGAATTGAGAAATGGGATGTAAAATGTGGGAAGTGAGATGTGGGAAATCGGATGTGGGAATTGAGAAGTGGGATGTAAAATGTAGGAAGTGAGATGTGGGATGTAAAATGTGGGAAGTGGGAAGTGGGATGTAAAATGTGGGAAGTGAGAAGTGGGATGTAAAATGTGGGATGTGGGAAGTGGAAAGTTACGTAATCGACCCCCTGATTTCAAATTGTTAAATTTTTGATGAATTAAAATACCCAGAATTAATAAATGTTATTTATCATTGAAACTGAAGCTTTAAGAGTTTCTATTTATTTATTACCAAAAATTCTAATAAAAAGATGATTAATTAATGTTTAGTCACATTATACCTATAGAAATGAAAGAGGAGGGGATATGGATAGGAAAATGAATTTGAAAATCTGTCCGTAAAGCCTTATAAAAGTTGCAAAACGTCTCAGTCTCGTAATTTTAAAATGCAATGTTTTTTAGTATGATTTTTTAAGTGATCCACCACTGGAGCAATCTATAACCATGACTGGTGCAAACAGTGATCCAGAATAGGATCATTGACAAATTATCTTTGATGGAGCATTAAAGTAAACGTAGGTGTCAAAATTAAGTCTAACCTTGAAGGAAATGTCTATTGGAACTATCTGATCCATAATACTATAAAGAATAACCTCGAATTTGTCTAAAAACAACCTATACAGAACTTCAAAGTCAAAATAAGAAAGTTAAGGGGCTTAACTGATCCACCACTGGTGCAGTTACCCTATATTTTAAATCAAATAAAAATTTTTAAATGGAAAAAAAAATTTCAGTTGAAAAATAAATAATAAGAAAAATCTCACCTTCTTCTACTTGGAGCCCTTCGAACGGAAGGTGGACGCATTCCTCGACTTCCGCTATATCTGTCCAAACGATCACGATCACGATCACGATCTCGATCTCTCCTCCTGTCCCTGTCCCTGTCGCGATCTCTGTCTAACGATGATCGTCTAAAATAAAATTCAAAAATAAATTAAAAAATGTTATTAAAAATAACGAATAAAACAAAACAAAAGAGAATAAAAAAATTATAACTCAAATAGAAATTTCATTTAAAAACAAAATAAAATATTACTTTTTTTTTAAATTTAATTTAAAAATATTGTCTTTTTTTTAAGTTTAAATATGAAAAAAGAAAATTAATTTTTGTTAATTTTATTAAACAATTTTATAATTAAATATTACATTTTAAATTAACGTTAAAAATTGAAATTTCTAAAAATTAATATTAAAAAATAATATTTATCAATATTAATAGAAAAAAGGGGATTTTTAGCTTTAAAATTAAAAAAAAAATTGAATATTTTTAAATAAATACACTAAATACACAAATAAATATATAAATAAACAAAAATATTAATCATAAAGTCAGTGAAGAAGAAAATTAAATAAAGTCAGTGAATTGCAAAAATTCTGTTAAATTATTTAGATAAATTAAAATAAAAAAAAAATAAACAATAATTTGGATTTTTTGCTTTTATTATAAATTTCACGTGTAAAAGAAAACATAAATTCTCTTTTTTTTTGTAAAATAAGGAAAATATTCTATAGGAATGAAGGTATGAAAAGGAAAATTTTATGGACTTACGGAAGAATATTTATAGTACATGGAACAGCGAATGGATAATAGGTGAGGCAACTGAAAAAATTTATGTTAATTTTTTTATTTAAATAAATTGATAAGAAAAATAATTAAATTAAAAAAAAAATTACTAAAAAATTGAAAACAAAATTAATAAGATATTTAATAATACGATTTTTTTTGTAATTCAAATAATAAAAAAAAGAGAAATAAAATTATTTTCAAAATTTAATTAAAATTATTACTATTATTATTATTATTATTAAAATTATTAAATTAAAATCCAATTATTATTGAATAATTTGTAGGAAAGATGGGAAAAAAAAGGTAACAAATTTTCTGCTAATAAAAAATAAAAATTAAAAAAAAAATAAATAGGTGACAAAATTTTAAAAATAAAAATTCTTAAAAAAAAAGGGAAGAAAAAAAGTAATATAAATAAAATACCTTCGATTTCTATCACGTGATCTATCCCTCGATCGATCACGATCCTTTGAACGATCACGATCCTTTCTTGGCGTTTGACTACGACGTTTACTTCCTGTTTTACGATCACGACTCGAATCACTGTCACTTCCACTGTCATCTTTATTTGTCTTTCGATATGATCTTTTCGCTTGAACACCATCTTTCTTTCGTCTTATTTCAAAATCATTTTTATCCTTTCCTTTATTATTATCATTATCACTATCACTACTTGAACTACTGCTTGCATTTCTTTTTCTTCCATCTGCATTTGTTGTCGACGTCGTTGTTGTTGTTGTTGTCCCTTTTCTCTTATCCATTGATTTAGAACGTGATTTTGATCTCGACGATCTTGAATCACTCGATGGTGAACGTGATTTACGTGATTTATCACGTTCATTACTTTTTGAACGTGATTTACGACTATTACGTGAACGTGATTTATCATCATTTGCCGTTGATGATTTTGATTTTGGTGATTTTGATTTTCTATTGCGTGAACGTTGTTCAATTGAACGGGATTTAGAGCGACGTGATTTTGAACGTGAACGACGTGTTTTCGATTTTGAACGCGAACGACGTGAACGTGGTGATTTTGAACGTGATTTACGTGATTTGGAAATTGGTGAACGTGAACGACGCTGAGATGTTGATGATGATGATGTTTTTAATTGTGTTGGTGATTTGGATTTAGATTTTTTTAATGTACGATTCGTAGGTGATTTTGAACGTGATTTACGTTGTTGTTGTTGTTGTTGTTGTTGCTGTTGTTGTGGTGTAATTTTCTCTTGATTATTATCAGGTGTTGGTGAACGATTCTTTTTTTTACCATCGGCAATGCTCATTAATTTTGCTTGTAGACGAGAAATTGCCACAGCAGCTTCTCTATTAATTAGAAAAAAAAAAAAATTTAGAGGAATTATTCTTTTAATTTTTTACTTTTAACTTGTATTTTTTTTAAATTAATACAATTTTTTTTTTAAAGTTAAAATAAAATGAAATTGAGAAAAAAAAATCGAAAACTTACGGTTTTGGTTTCATTGGCAACATGGGAATTGGATTATCACGAATATCAGTCGCTGGTGAATCTTCCCGTTCATTTTTAATATCGCTTGAATCCTTTCCATTGTCCTTTGATCCCGATTTACTCGGCGAACGTGATGTTGAACGTTTTTTACGTCCCGATCTGTCGCGATCTCTGTGACGATCTCTCGATCTACTTCTCTTGCTTCTAAAAAAAAATTTGAGGCAAAATTATTATTTTTTAATTGAAAAAAAAGGAAAAAAAAATTATATTAAATAATTAATTAATTAATTTTTAATATTAAATTCAATTTAAGAAAAAAGTGAAATAAAGAGGAAAATTGTAGAATTAAAAATAAATAAATAACAAATAAATTATAGAATCTAAATTAAGTAAAAATAATTTTTGGAGAACAGTTAAAAATTAAAAAAAAAAAAAAAAATAGTCACCTGTCTCTCTCACGATCACGACTTCTGTCTCTTTTGTGTTCCTTGGTCGTGGAATCTTTCTCTTCTTTCTTGATTTTCGCCTCAGCTTCGTCCTTCTCCTTTTCCCTCTCTTTTTCCTTTTCTTTTTCCGATATTGACGCTTGCAATTTCTCCTGTTCTTCCTGTTCGAAAAAAAAAAAAAAAAAAATGCAAAAGAAGTTAAAAAATAATAATTAATAACCAATATTAATTGAAGCTAAGATTTAATTTAATAAATTCTCAAAAATCACTAATTAAAGCTAAAAATTAAGAAAGAATTTAAAAATATTAATTAAAGGTCAAAACAATTTTTAAAAAAATTAATTAAACTTAAAAATTTCCCCAAAAAAAAAAAAAAAAAAAAAAAAAAAAAAAAAAAAAAACCCTAATTAAAGCGGAAAAATTTATTTTAAAAATTAAAAAATAAAATTTACCAATCGCTTCTTTATTTGATCTTTCTTTTGTTGTAGAAAAGCATCAGGAATTCCGGTGACACTTTCCTGTGCCGATACCAATAAATCCCAAAGTTCACCCATAAATGAACGGGCATTTTTTCCATTCAAAAAACCAGTGAGATTAATTTGCATTTTTCTTGGATCGGGAAACTGTAAAAATACCCATTAAAAAAATCACTTTTATCTCGATCAATTAGAGAAAAAAATATTAAAAAAAAAAACAAACAAACATACAATAGAAAATAATAATAATTTACAAAATAAAACCTGAAAACAACAAATAACAACGATAATAAAATCACAATTTTTCCATGGCTGCTTTTCCCCCTCGAAAAAGCAGATATTTTTTTTTTTTTCTTACATTTTTTTTTTAAATCTCTTACCAATTATTTTTATCTCTTCGATTTTCAGCCTTTGGTTTAGCTAAATTTTTGGAATTTGTAAAAAAAAGAAATAATTATTTATTTGTATATTAAATAATTATAAATATATTATTTTTGAATTATTAGTACTGTATTATTATTATATTAATAATTATTAATATTTAATTATTAATATCGAATCAACATTGTAGTAATATTAATTAATAATTAATAATTATAATTTATATTATATAATTAATAATATATAAGTGAATGTTAAACAATTTTTCTAAAAAATAAAAGAAAAAAGATAAAAAAAAAAATGTTGTATAATTCCGATATACCTTGGATCTAAAATTGAGCTGAAAAAAAGGAAAAAAAAAAAAAAATTGCTGAAAAATACAAGAATCAAAATTCGTTGAAATAGACACATAATTGTTAGAGAGAAAAAAAAAATTAGGACCAATTCACACCAACCTGCCAGATCGAATTGAATCAGAATCTGACGCCGTTGCTTCAAGTAGCAAGGCATTGAGAACGGTACCTCTCCAGCGAATTGAAGTCCAGGGGGAAATTATTCCAGCCGATGATGATCCGCGAAGTCAACCAGAAGAAAAAAAAGATGCTGATGACAATTCGGGCAGTCTCCCGAGAAGATTCCGCCAGCGATGTCTGATCCAGGACTCGGAGCCAATTGAATCCAGCTTCGGGAGGACTGCGAAAACTCCAGGATGATCGGAGAAGTTCCACGATGATTTGCAGAAGATTCAGGAAGGCAGAAGAAGCTCCAGGATGATTGCAGAGGCTTCAGGATCACCACAAAGGCTCCAGGATGATCGCAGAGGCTCCAGGAGGTCCGCAGAAGCTTCAGGAAGTCCGCAATGGGCTCCAGGATGATTGCAGAGGCTTCAGGATCACCACAAAGGCTCCAGGAGGTCCGCAAAGGCTCCAGGATGATCGCAGAAGCTCCATGATGATTCGGAACGCCTCCCAAGGAATTCGGAACGCCCTGGATCGCCTCCAGGAAGCTTGCAAAGGCTCCAAAGATGATCTCCTCGTTCAGGAATGGCCCCCCTTTTTTTTCGAGGAAGGTCCACGTAGGCCAGGATTCCAGGAAAATCTTCCAGGATTTGTATCGGAATTCCCAAAGATTAGAACTTCGAGGGATGAAGGAAGTTCGCTGGAAAATCTTAGCAAATCGGAAAGATTTGCACTGGAAAATCTCCCCCAAGTCCTCGTCGCCAAGAAGACAATTTCTTCCAAATGATGATGATGATGAAGATCTTCGAAAAAAGCTGGATCCCCTGGATGTTGTCGATCATCCGCATGAGATTGTGCGTGATTGAGTGACAGAGAGATAGCGAGGCGCTTGGAATTTTTGGAAAAGTGTGGCGGGAAACTCGGAACACCAGATGATGAACCCGAGTGTGAAAGTGTTTCGTTTGGCACCATTTGGACAAAATTGTTGCGCCACATCTACTTTAATACTAACGGAGAATTCAAAGACAAAGAGAGAGAGAGATAATATTTTTTTTTTTTTTTTTTTTTGTAAATGTGATGAAAAAAATTGTTACATTTTTTTTCCATAAACAAAAAGAAGTAGAAGAAGAAGAAGAAGAAAATAAAAATGAGAGAGGGAATGAAAAAAAAATTATATTTAATTTTTCTTTCCCTCTTTCTGGATATTTCAGTTTCATAGTATTTTTTTTTTATTCCATCAATTTTTTTATTAGCAAAAAAATTACAGATTTTACTGGAAATTATTAATTAATTTCATATAGAAATTGGTTTTTAAAAACTAATTTTTTTGAAATTTATTTTTACTTAAACAATCAAAAATAGTTTTTTTTTTTTTTTCAAATTAGTGAATTTTGATTTTGAAAAAAATTTATTTTCGCTCGTTTATAATGTACAAAAATACGATTTTATGTAATCCCGTTTATTACTGTAGATAAATTTTTAATTATTTAGATAAATAAAATATAAAATGAAAATAAAAAAATTATTGCAGAGAATAAAAATTTTATTTTTTTTTATTGAAACTGAAAATCCATTTTTATTTTGCGCTGAAAATGATTGTAATGTATTTTTTTTTTTTTTTTTTGCTTTATTAACATGAGGGGAAAAAGCCATTGATCAATCGTATAATTCTGCGATTTTTTTTGTTTTGTTTTTATGATTAAATAACAATAGAATTTTCAAAAAATACCAATTGATATTTATATTAAAAATAAATAATATATTTACTATGAATTTATTGAAATAAAATAAAAAGTTTACTAAAAAAATAAATAAATAAATAAATGTTTATTAAAATAAAATAAAAAAAAATCGATGTTTATTAAAATAAAAAAATTAATAAATTTAAAAAACAAAAACTATAAGAATTTTTTTTTGAAAATTAATTCTTTGAAATAAACATATTTAAAGTTTTACACACAATATATAAATGTGAAATGAAATGAAAATAATAAAAGTGCAAAATATTTTTTTTTTTTTTTTTAAATAAAAAATAGAATTTTGTTTGAAATAATAATAATAATAATAATAATAATACAAAATTGAATTATTTTTTCTTACCTTCTCCTCCAATTGATTATAAACAAATTCTACCACAACATCGTCTTCCATTCCCAAAAGTTGAGTTATTTTTGTTGTTATCCAGGGTTTTATCACGTCCAGTTTTACTTTACTCATATCGACCTAAAGAATTAGATTTTTTTTAAATTACAATCAATTTTTTTTCAATTCACAAAAAAAAAACAAATTTGTTAAATAAAAATTTGATTTTTTCGTTTCAAAATTTATTAAGGTTTTATAAACAAAACATTTTTTTTTTTTTTTAACAAATTTGAATATAAAATTGAAAAGAATAAATTTATTTAATTACATAAATTTAAATGAAAATAAATAAATAAAAAAAAAAGAAGTGAAACAAAAATTAATGATATAAAAAAATAACAAAAAAAAGTAATAAATAAAAATAAATAAAAATATACAAAAAAAGAAAAAAACGAATAAAATAATAAATAAAGTAATAAAACAATTTTGAATATAATAATAATAATATATTGTTAAATAAAAATAATAATAATAAATAAATAAAAAAGAGAACAGGGCATTTTCCTAATTTTATTTTCAAAAAATAATAAAAAAAAATTCTTTTTCAAATAATAAGTGAAATAAAATAAATAAAATAAATATAAATTAATTAACATTTTTAAAAGAATTCTCTTTTTTTTAATTTGGAAAAATAATGTTTACAATTTATATCATTTCTATTTAAAATCAATGTTCATTATTATATTATTATTATTATTTATTTATATAAAATGAAATTGAAATCCTATACACAATAAAAAATAATTATTAATGTTATAAATAAATATAAAAAAATAAATATAATAAATTGAAATATATATTGAATATTTTTAAAAATAAAATGGTTAGAATTGCCAAAGGGTTTTTTTTCTTTAAAAATGCAAACAATAAAATAAATTAATAAAAATTAAAAAAATATATAATTAACCTTTTGTGCTAATGAATCTCCGAATTTCATTTGCTTCAAAAGTTTCTTCTCCTTGTCGCTGAATCTTGTGTCCTGCATTGTCGTTGTTCCCTAAAACAGTTACAGCAATAGTCGCTTTTTTTTTGGAGTAAAGGGGGGAAAATTTTTTTTACACTCAACTTTCCTGTTTTTTTTTAACATTAAATAATTAACTAATAATTAAGGTCCTTTAAAAAAAAACTCAAAAACTAATAATTAAATTATTCAAAAAAAATTTCAAATTACAATTTTCGATTTTTTTAATCTATGAAAAATAATTTATCATTTTTTTTATTTCCGTATTTTCCCTCAGTATTTAAAAATAAAATAAATTAAATGTAAATAATTAAAATTTAATTACAAAAAAAAATTTTATTTTTTGAAAAAAAATAATTAATATAATTTTGGTAATAATTATTATTTTATTAATTATTTACTAATATAATGCTAAATAATTTTTTTTTAATAATTATTATTAATTACATATAATAAATAATACAAAAACAACATTGTTTCAAAAAAAATTAAAATTCGTAAAAATATCGATAGACTTCAAAATCGTGCGCGTATAATAATTCTAAAAATAAATTTTCCACTTCGAAAAAAAGAGACAAAATAAAAGGTATAATGAAACGAAATGTTATATCTATATATATATACATATATATATATGTATCAAAATCAATCGATCATGATAGAAAAATTTGTACAACAAAACTAAATGCTAAAAAAAAAGTAGTGAGATAAATGTAATAAATAAACAGAAAAACTTACGGTGTACATCATTTTTTTCAAAAATGTTGAATTTCAAAATTATAATGAAGAAACAACACTATACACTGTAAAGGAGCTTCTATATTATAACAAGGAAAATAAAAAAAAAAGAAAAAAAAACTTGAAACCGCTTTTTTTCTCTTTTATTACAAAGAGAGATATTTGTGGATCACTCGATCCACCCGCACCCCTCAATAAAAGGGGACGTTATTTCACAAAAACACAACAAATACGTATATTTGTTAAAAGTTCACTGTTTATTTTTTTATTGAAAAATATTGCGATAAAAATTAAATTTATTTAACCCGCAAGACGCGCACGCCATGGAAAAAAAAGCCAACATGGCAGAGAGACTAACACAAATAAATTGCGCAGGCGGAAAATAGTGAGGTTATGTTGTGTCATTGATGAGCGTCATTAGGCTGAATTCATACGGATGCGATTTTTTTTTTTTTTGCGAAGTTACTCAGGGTTAGAAAGGTATAGTTTATAATTTAAAGGCGGCATGCGCAATTGAATTTGTCCAGTGACGCCATCTTGGATTCCCCTTACCCCGCCAAATTTGAATTACAAATTCAAAAAAATGTGTGCTAATGATACTTAAATTCAATTATTTATTTGTTAATAATTAATTATTCATTTATTATTAATTAATTATTCAATTTTTTATGTATAAATAATTAATTACTCAATTATTTATGTATAAATAATTTAATTATTGTAATAATTACAATAAATTAATAATTATTTTTAATTATTGACTACGTATATTAATGAAATAAATTAATTAAAATCCTGTAATTATTATTTTCTATTATTTATTATAAAAAATGGTTATAAATAATTTAAATGTTCAAAATTTTAATAATTAATTATTCAATTATTAATTTTTAAATAATTAAGTAATTGTAATAATTACAATTAATCATTATTTTCAATTATTTTTATTATTTATTGTGAAAATTGTTAAAAGAATTTAAAAATTCAAAAAATTTGATTGAAAAACAAATAATTTATTTATAAACTTTTTTTTTTGATATTTTTTTATTTTTTTATTTAATACAATGTTTAATATAATAAAAATAACAAATAATTATAAAAATTTTGAGGTAGAATTTTACTTTTTTACCCACTTTTTTTTTTCTAAAATCTCCACTCTAAGGTTCCATCATTTTTGAGAGAAATTCTCTCCGTTGCTAAATGTTTAAGAGCTTTTGGAAATGCCAAATGTTCCATTAATTTAACACGTTCTTGAAGAGTTTCCTCTGTGTCATTTGGTAAAACGCGAACCGTTTCCTGTTCGATTATTGCACCCGAATCAATGTCAACCTGGAAAAAATGAAAAAAAAAAAATTTTGTTTTTCCTTATTTATTAAAGCGAAAAGAAAAATAGAAAAACAATTAAAATATTTTTTTATAATTATAAAATAAATAAATAAATTATAAATTTTTTTTACTGTAAATAAATTAATTAAATTTCCCAATTAATATTTTACCAAAAAAATAAATAAAAGAGGAAAAAACAAAAAATTGAATTTGTTTTTTAAATAAAAGAGAAATTAATTTACCTCGACAAAATGAACGGTACAACCGGAAATACGAACACCGGCAGCGAGAACATCTTTATGGGCATTCGCACCTTTAAACGATGGTAAAAGCGACGGATGAACATTTAACATTTTTCCTTTCCATTTTTGAACAAATTTCGATGAAAGAATTCTCATAAATCCAGCGAGACAAACAATATCCACTTGACAATTTCGCAATTCCACGTCCATTGCATCGTCAAATTCTTCACGACTCGAATAATTTGTGTGTTTAATAACCTGCAGTATAAAAAAAAAGGATACAAAATATTTTTTTTAAAAAAATTAGGAAAATTAAAACTTTCTTAAAATTCATTAAAAACAAAATCAAAATTTTCTTTCTGTTATTTTTTGTAATTAAAAATTACAAAAAAAAAAATTTGATTCTTTGCAAAATTAGCGACAAACTTTAGTGGGAATTCCAGCGCGTTCAGCGCGTTTTAAACCCTCAACGCCCGATTTATTGGAAATAACAAGAACAATTTCAGCGCCAATATGCTGCAAAGGATCCAATGTTGCGTCAATTAATGCCTGAAGATTTGTTCCACTTCCCGATATTAAAACGCCAACTTTTTTCAATGGCCTCGACAATTTTTCCACAAGTGGCACAATATGTTTTCGCATCTCATAATCCATTGCCTTCTCAAAATTATTTACATTCACTCTCGTTACATTCTCTATTAAAATGAAAAAGACAAAAAGGAAAAAATAAATGCATATTTTCTAAATTTATATCATTAATTAATTATATTAATTAATAGTTTTTAACTAATTTCTAGTTAATTATTTATTAATTAATAGTTCTCAAAACTAATTTATAAAAACTTAAAAAAAAATTTACCATTAAAATGAGTCAAATGTCCAATTACAACTGGATTTTCGCCTTTTAATTTTTCAAGCACCGTTTTTTCATCTTCCGCCGAGCAAATTAAAACAGCGCCAATTCCACAATTAAAAGTCCTCAACATTTCCGCTTTATTGATTCCGCCTGACAAAAAAAAGTAAAATAAATTTTTTCTTTTTGTAATTTTTTACCTAATTTTTTTTTTTACCAATAAAATACGAACCAGTTGTGGCGAGCCATCCAAAAACAGATGGAATTGTCCATTTATTGGCATTTAATGAAACGGCAAATTTTTCCGATAAAATACGAGGTATATTTTCCGTTAATCCACCGCCAGTTATGTGAGCGAATCCTTTCACTAAATTTGTCCTTAAAGCGGGAAGAACGCCTTTTGAATAAATTTTCGTTGGCGTAAGAAGTTCCTCGCCTATATAAAAAATAAAATTAAATCTCTTTAATTTCAAATTCCAAAAAAAAATTATTATTTTTCTTTTTTTTTAATTTCACATATATATATTTACCAAATGTTTTATTGGAAAATGGCGCTTGATCGGCATATGATTTATCAGCTAATTTCATAATTTTTCTAACAAGACTAAAACCATTACTGTGAATTCCACTCGATGGAAGACCAATGACAATATCATTAATTTTCATGTCATTTATTCTTGGCATTAAATGATTTTTTTCCACTGCACCCACAGCAAATCCAGCTAAATCGTATTCACCCTCTGGATACATTTCCGGCATTTCTGCCGTTTCGCCACCCACCTTTAAAAAAAAAAAAATGCGATAAAAAGCAAAATTTATATTTTATAGTAAAAAAAAAACAAATATTTATTTTTTTTCTACAAATTTTTATATATTATTTTTTTGTAAATTTTTATTTATTTTTTTGGCAAATTTTTCCTTTTTTTGTTTGCAATTATTATTGATTTTTTTTTCAACTTGTATCGAATAGTTTATAAAAAAAAAAAGAGAAAAAAAATCAATTATTTATTTAGAAAAAAAAAGAGTTTTAAATTTTCTTACCAAAGCGCATCCGGCTTGTTTGCAGCCTTCGACAATTCCGCTCACAACGTCCGTGGCTTTTTCTATATTCAATTTTCCGCATGCAAAATAATCAAGAAAAAATAGAGGCTCCGCACCATGTGCAAGAACATCATTAACACACATTGCAACCAAATCAATTCCAACTGAATTGTGTTTATTACACTCAATTGCAATCTTTAAAAAACAAAAAAAAAAATTCAATATTTTTTTTACATTTAATCAAATTAAAAATTATTATTATTATTATTATTATTGAAAATTATATAGGAATTAGAAAATTTGTTAATACTTTTAATTTCGTTCCAACGCCATCGGTTCCTGAAACAAAAAGCGGTTCTTGATATCCAGCAGCTTTAGCGTCAAATAAACCACCGAATCCACCAATTGAACCCAATACTCCCGATCTTTTTGTTGAATTCACCATTTTTTTGATATTCTCCACAAATGAATCGCCCGCCTCAATATTTACACCACTACTTTTGTATGTCAATTGTCCATGCTCTAAAATTGATCTGAAAATTTTGAATTTTCGATAAAAATTGAAAACAGAAAAAAAAGTAGTTAAAATATTTTTTAATATTATTAAAAATAAATTTTTTTATACCTAGCGATAATAATGATAAATAAAAAAAAAATAGTTAAAATATTTTTTTAATATTTATTATTAAAAATAAATTTTGTTTTTTTTTTTTCAATACCTTGCGATTCCTTTGTGTGCAATGTCCTTTCGATATTGTTTTCCCTCGAAGGAAATATTGCGAGCCATTGAAGTTGCTTTTGCAGCAGCGGAAGCCAATGACGATGATAAAGAAACGGCAATTAATACTCGTCCACCTGAAAAAAAAAAAATTGAGTCTTCATTTATTTATTTCAAAACTCATACGGATTTTTTCAGGAAAATCTTTTTTGTAAATTTTTATAAAATAAAAAGAGCCAAAGGTAATTTATTTATTTAATTATTAAATTTATTATTTATTTATGTGCGAAAATAAGAAAATAAAAAAAAAATATTCTAAATACAAAAATTTTTAATATTTACATTTTAATTACAAATAAAAAAGAAAAAAAGAATTGGAAATAATTTTCTTTACAAACCATTTGTTAATAAATCTCCAGTTGATGATAAACTCGTTCCACTGTGAAATATTAAACGATCACGATGGGAATTTGAATTTTCAGCGCCTAAAATAATTTCTCCCTTCGACGAGGATTCTGGATATCCTTTTGATGCTAAAATTACGCCAACTCCAAAAATATCCCTCCTCCAAGAAACGAGATTTTTGTTCAAAGTTCCATTGCAACATGACTTAATGAAATTAAAAATTAAAAAAATTAAAATAATATTAATCGAAATATTTAATTTCGATTATTTATTTAATTATTTACTTATTTATGTGCCAAAAAAAGAACGAAATAGTTAATAAAAGTTAATAATAATAATAATAATAAAAATAAAAAAATACCATCATTATTGTAAAAAGATCAGAATTCAACAACGGTAGAAGAATTTGCGTCTCAGGATCGCCGAATCGACAATTAAATTCCAATACTTTTGGCCCATTTTCTGTGATCATGAGACCAGCGTACAAAATACCTGACCAATGAAAAAGAAAAAAAAATTTTTTAATTCTTCTCTCTTAAAAATTAAATTTTGTACAAAAAAAAAAATAGAAAATTTCTCACCAACAAATGAAATATTTTCCATTCGTAGTCCGTCAACAGCTTTTTGTAAAACAGATTCTCTCACTTCCTCCTGTTGTTTTTCATTTAAAAAAGGACAAGGACAATATGCTCCCATTCCACCTGTATTTGGTCCAAGATCATTGTCAAAAATTCTCTTATGATCCTGAGCGGGAAGCATATTGACGACCGTCTTTCCTGATTAATCGAAAAATTGATGATATAATTAATAAATTAATTTATTAATCTATTTAGTAGTTAATTTATTATTTTATTTATTAATTTATTTACAATCGTCCTTCCTGAGGAATAGAAAATTGATAATAATTAATAAATTAATTTAATTACAACAGCAGATCCTTTCAAAAAAAAAAAAAAAAATACAGAAAAAAAAACCAATGAAAATAAAATTGAAAAAAAATTTGGTAAATTATTATTTATTAATTTTTAAGAAAAATAAATATTTACCATCAGTAAAGGCTAACATGGAAACTTCTTCTCCCTCTAAAAGTTCTTCAATTACAACTGTTTCTCCTGCGGAACCGAATTTTTTCTCTTTTAAAATTTCATCAACCGCTTGACAAGCTTCGTTAATATTTTCCGCGACAACGACACCTTTTCCCGCTGCCAAACCCGCAGCTTTTACAACCAATGCTTTAAAATTTGCTCTGAAAAACAGCAAAAAAAATTTTTAATTTTTATATTCAAAAATAAAGTTACTGTTTTAAATAAATAAAATCCGAGACATTCTCTAACAAAATAATTAACTAAATAATTAACAAAAATTAATAAATAATTAATAAGAATTAATAAATAATTAAATAATGAATAAAAATTAATAAATAATTAAATAAAGATCGTAATAATAAAAAAAAAAAAATTACGTTTTAATGAATTTTTTCGCCTCCTCGCAATTAGTAAAACTTTTCCAATTAGCAGTGGGAATTTTGTGTCTATCCATAAATGCCTTTGCCCAATTTTTATCAGTTTCAAGTTGTGCCCCAAGTTTTTCCGGTCCAAAGCAGGGGATTTCATTTTTTTTCAATTCATCCGCTAATCCATTCGCTAAATAAGCCTCGGGACCAACGACAACGAGAGAAATTTCATTTTCCTTGCTCCATTTTGCAACAGCCTGTAAATTATTATTTTTTTTTTTTAGAAAAATAAATAGAATACAAAATAAAACAAAAAAAAATTAAGTAATTACCTTATTATCATTAATGTCGAGTTTAATAAGCGAAACTTTTGGCTCCGCTGCCATTCCAGAATTTCCAGGAGCGACAAATACATTTTTTACCTTAAATTTGTAATATTTTCATTAAATTTCAATTTATTATAGAAATATAAAAATAAAATAATTAATAATCATTTTTATTAATGCGATTAATAATAAAATTAGTAATTATTTTTTTCTAACTTTGAATTTTAATAAAAAAAAAAAATTAGAAAATAAATAATAAATAGAATTCAAAATAAATAACAAAATAAATTAATTAATTAATAATAATTAAAAGGAGAAAAGTAATAAATAATAATTAACAATAAAATAATTATTTGAATATAATTTTTTTTCCTAATATTAAACTTCAATAATAAATAAAATACAAAAAATAATAAATAAAATACAAAATAAATAATAAAATAAACTAATTCAATTAATAATAAAATTGAATTTTTTTTTTTTAATTTTAAAAAATAAAATACCTCCTTTGATTGAGAAAGTTTCCAACAAATTGCGTGTTCCCTTCCGCCGCTTCCAATCACCAAAATCGATTTTAGCGACATTGCTAAAAATAAACTGATAAATTTTGTTTCTTAAAATAGTAAGAAATGTATAAGAAAAAAAAAATTCTTATCGAAAACAAAAATAATTCCATTTGTTGGAGAAAAAAAAATTAATAATTAAAATTTATAACAGATAATAATTAATTACAATCGAATTTTGCCAAAATTAAAAAATCAATAATAATAATAATAATTAATAAAATAATTTAAAAAAAAACTAAAAACAATATTAAAAATTTTAAGAAAAATTGAAAATACAAAATAACGAAAATAATAAAAAAAAATAATTATAAGTTATAAATTAAAATTATAAATAATTATAGAAAAAATACAAAAAATACAAAAAAATCAAAAACAATATATCAAAAATATAAAAAATTAAAAATACATAATAACGAAAATAATAAAAAAATATTTATATAAATTATAAATAATTATAGAAAAAATAGAAAAAAAACAAAAAAATTAATAACAATATATCGAAAATATAAAAAAAAAAATAAAAATAATTAAAGAAAAAATAGAAAAATTATAAGAAATAGAAATAAAATTAGTTAAAACAGAAAAATTACAAAAATAAAGAAATTATTATAAATTATAAATAATTAAAGAAAAAATAGAAAAAAATTATAAGAAATAGAAATAAAAATTAGTTAAAACAGAAAAATTACAAAAATAAAGAAATTATTATAAATTAAAAATAATTAAAGAAAAAATAGAAAAAATTATAAGAAATAAAAATAAAATTAATTAAAACCAAAAAATTTGTGAATAAATTATTCCCATAAATACTCAATTAAAATTAAATCTGTATGACCTTGAAGCATGCCGGAGAAAAGAACGGCGCCGATAAAAAAAAAACAAAAAGCCAAAAAACTTTTAATTTCTTGACACAAATATTGTAATAAATGAAATAAAATTTATTACTTACCTAAAAAGGAAAATAGATGACAAATTGTTTTCCTAAACAAAATTAAATGGAAATTTAAAAAACACAAAAATAGAAGAGAAAAATACACTCAACAGGTGGTAAGAGAATAAAAAAATAGACTACGAAAACTTTCTGCTAGACATTTGGTCAAGTTCTAATTTACGCATGTCCAAAAAATCACCAATCAAAATGCGAGTAATTTTATAAATCAAATATCACGTGATCAGTGTAAACCAATCATTCAATATTTTCTCAATCATCGCGGGGGATCTAAACTTAAAAAAAAAATGAAACAAAATATTTCGTAATTCTGTTTATCGCAAAAAAAAAACAATTTGATAAAAACATATTTGTTATAATTTTATTTTCAAATTAAATAATATTTTTTATATATACAACGTTAGATTTTATAAAAAAAAATAATTTTATTATTTTTAAATTTTTTTACTTTTTATTTTAAATTAAATTAATTTTCATAGCTATATCAAACTTTGTGTAACAAATGTTAAAAGGTTATCAAAATATTGACGATGCAAGAAATCGTGAATAATCTCGTGAAAACAATAATATTTTTTTCGTCAATGAAAATAATTATTTTAAAAAAAAAGAAGGAAATTTTCGGAAAAATTTTTATTATTTCAATTTATTAAATTATTTAAATAATTTAATTTTTGTAACTAATTAAATTAAACAATTAATCTAAATTGTTTTTAAATAAGAATTATTTATTTACACTAATTATGTAATTAATTTAAAAAAAATTTAATTAATTGAATAAGTAATAAAAATTATAATTAATTATATAATAAAAAATTTTTATTAATTAAAGAATTAATTTAAAAAGTTAATTTAAATTATAAATGTAAAATATTTAAAAATAAATTTTATTTCATTATTAATATTATTTTCATCAATTTAAAAAAAAAACGATCGTCAATTTTTTTTTAAATACCAGTAGAAATGACATTTGAAAAATTTGTGACAAAATAAAAAAAAAACCCCCCGGTATTTTGTTAAATATTCCAAAAGAAAAAAAATTTAAACGAAACATTGAAAAAAATTTTAATTTACCGAAAATATATTTTTTATTTCATTTCAAAAAAAAAGGAAATTCAAAAAAAAATTTGGTTATTTTGTGAAAAATTACAATTGTATTTTTTTTCCTAAATAAAAATGTATCGATTTTTTTGTACACGAATTATTTTTTCCAAAAATGGAAATCATCGAATTCATCAAAGTTCCCAACGAAAATTATCGGAAGCAGTGAAAATTCAAGAAAAATCCAATTTTCCAGAAAGAGGCGAAAAGAATGTAAAAAAAAAAATTTATTTATCTTTTTAAAATTCCCGCGAAAAAATATTTTTTTTTTGTTCTATACCTTTCCGTTATAGGAAAAAGCGCGGGAAACGAAATTAAAAATCGTTAAAATTTATCGATGGAATCCCGATAATCCAACAAAAAAGCCATATATTCATGAATATAAAATTGATTTAAATAAATGTGGAACAATGGTTCTTGATATTTTACAATTAATAAAAGAACAAGATTCAAGTTTGGCTTTTAGAAGATCATGTCGCGAGGGAATATGCGGAAGTTGTTCAATGAATATTAACGGCGTTAATACACTCGCTTGTATCACGTAAGAATTTTGAAATTTTTCTAATTTAAAAGAAAAAATTATTTATTTGTATTTTACATTTTTTGTAATTTATTATTATTATTATAAATTTTTATTTTTATTAACAGTAGTAGCATTTTTACAAAATTCAAATATTAACTTCCCGTTTAGCAAGTGTTGCCAATCTGATAATACAAAAATACTAAAATAGAAACTAAAATATTTTATTAGAAAAAAATTTTCCTTTTCTATAACAAAAAATGATTAATTAAAACCTCAATTTATTATCTAATTAGGTTCAATTCACTAAATTCACTTTTTTTTGCTTTATGATTTTTAAAAAAGAGAGGTTATGTTCACGAAACTATGCAAATGGCGGGAAATTTAAACTTATACTTCTTTTTACAATATAGAAAAATTAATGAGGACCTTACAAAACCATTAATTATTTATCCTTTGCCGCATACATATGTGATACGTGATTTGGTTCCGGATATGACGAGATTTTTACAACAATACAAAAGTATTGAGCCATATTTAAAAAGACCCGGTGAGGAAACATATTTGGGCGAGAGGCAAATTTTACAAACGCAGGAGGAGAGAAAAAAACTCGATGGTCTTTATGAATGTATTTTGTGTGGTTGTTGTTCTTTTGCATGTCCACCATATTGGTGGCACGAGGATAAATATTTGGGACCTGCTGTTTTATTACAGGTATAAAGAAATAATAAAAAAAAATATATAAACAAAGAAAAAAAAAAGAAAACGTATTTTTCCCGCCAAATTTCAAATATAACCAACGCGCAAAAACTAAATATATAAATTCGCGCGGGAAATTCAAATTCTAAAATTAAGGATTAATTAAAAAATAATAGAAAAACGAAAAAAAATTATTAATTAAATTAAAATTAACGAAATATTATATTAATATAAAAAAATTAATAAAAAAGTAAATAAAATAATTGTTGAAAAAAAATTACAGGCTTACAGATGGATAATGGATTCTCGCGATTTGTGTCACGAGGAAAGGTTGAAAAATCTTCGCGACTATTTTTCCGTTTTTCGATGTCACACAATTTTTAATTGCACGAAAACGTGTCCAAAAGTAAGAATTTTAATATTTTAAATATTGAATAATAATAAAAATAATTATAATAATTAATATTAAATTATTTTTTTTTAAATGTTGGTTAATTAAATAAAATTATAATTTTTTTAATTACAAAAAAATTATTAAATAATATTAATAATAGTATTAAAAAAAAATCATTATGAAAATTAAATTAATTTTTTTTTTACAGGGTTTAAATCCGGGCAAAGCTGTGGCACACATAAAAATGTATTTAGCGGGATTAAAAAAGAAACCATCACCAAAACTTGAGAGTCCATTGCCAAATCCTTGTGTACCAATTTCAATTAATAAATAAATAAATTTAATTACTTAATTAATTAAAGAAATAAAACTGTTTTTTGAAAATGATTAATAAATTAAATAAACAAGTCTTCTTCTTTTTCTTCAAAGAAAACAAAAAAAAAATTTTTTTTTATCCTTCGTTTCGTTTATAAAAATAAATTTTTCTCTTTTTTTGAAACAATAAAAAGAACTTTTACATAAAAAAAATAAATAAAAATAAAAAACTAATAATTTTAGAAAAAATCATGAATTTTCACCCAATAATGGAAAAAATTTTATCTAAAGGGCTTCAATTTTACTATTTTTATGTGTAGATTATAGAAATAATTTAATAAACATGATAAGAAGTGGATATAGTGGACTTTTTGCTTAAGTTTTTTTTTTCAGTCGTTATAACTCTAAAAAAAAATAGGGGGTTCTCTTTATGTTCATTTTATAAAAATTTGGGTTCCTCGCGGATAAAGCAATAAATTTTAACTCATTTAAGTGAATTAAATGATTTAAATTCAATTAAAATGCAAAATTGTAAATACAATAAAAATATTGCGAATTGAAATAAAATTATGTTTCTTATATTTTTTTAGTAAAATATTTTTTACAAAATAAAATCGAACAAGTGCGAGTGTAACTTGCACTTGTCTGACTTTTTTGTTTTTATTTACGAAAGACATTTTATTTTATTTTTTTCTGAAATTTACTTACAAAATGTTTTTTCTTTGTAGATAGACTTTGTGTCAAAAGAATTGTACTAAAAGTAACAGAAAAAAAACACGCATATATTCTCTATACTTTGAAATAAATAAAAAAAAAAAAACGCGATTTAAAGAAGAAACAAAACATTTTTACATGTCACAATTAAACTAATTTGTTGTATTCTTATTTTAGAAAGTTATACTTTTCACTAATACTTTATATTTTAATCTCACAATTATTATTTTTTTTTTTCATTATCACGATCTTTCTTTCGACTGGTTTATTTATTTTTCATTTTTTTTCTTAAATCAGTTTCGTCATTATTATGAATTATTTTTTTTTTCTTCTGTGTCGAAAATTATTAAACATTACTATTATAACTATTATCTTAAATATATACAAATATTTAGAATATTTACAACCTTGGGTCCATAAAATCGAGTCTTGGTCTTTTTGCAACATGTGAAAATGGCGCTTTTCTCTCGGATAATTTCATATTTTTCATTTGATTCTCTAAGAATGGTGCATAATTTTGATTATCACCAGAAACACGAAATAATTCCAATACTGTTGATTTCATTGCTGGATCACAGAGCCATTTATGTTTTAATACTTGATCTATTGATAATCGTCGATTTGGATTTAATGTCATCATACATTTTATCTGCGCATCACAAGAGAAAATAATTAATTAAAATTAAGAGAATAAATTTTATAAAAAAAAAAAAGATATTTGAGAGAAAAAATTCTTACCAAATCTTTTGCTTTCTCATCAACATTCTCGAATCGTGATTGGGGAAAATTATATGCTCCTTGAGTGATTTGTTCGTAGAGACAAATTTTTGGATTATTATTGTTAAATGGCGTGAGTGCGCTAAGGCATGTGTAAAGAATTACACCCAAACTCCAAACATCAACTTTACATGTATAAGCGCCACGTCCGTGTGTTAATAAAATTTCAGGCGCCACATACATCATTGTGCCGCAAAATGTTTTCATCATTGTTTCAGCGTCGACAAATTTTGATAAACCAAAATCACTTACTTTCACCAATGTCACTTCTTTGTCGCACGCCAATAGAATATTTTCCGGCTTATGAAAAAAAAAAAAAAACAAATTTAAAACAACGAAAAAAAAAGAAATTTTCCTCTTCATTTTTTTTCCATTACTTTGGAATTTTTAATTTTAAACAATTTATTTATTAAATTACAAAAATAAAAATAAATTTTCTTTCTATATTTTAGTTTTCTTTTATTTCGAATATTATTTTAAAAAAATTAATTTATTTATTAAATTATATAAATAGAAATAAATTTTATCATTTTCCTTTTTCTATTTTTTCTATTTTACTTTGTTCAATATTTTTTTTTTTTTTTCCTTTAGAAAATAAAAATTAATTTCCGTTACTTTTTTTTTTTTTGAATAAAAAAGAAAATTTCGAAAATTAAAAACGAAAAAAATTGTAATTCACCTTTAAATCACGATGCGTTATTCCTTCGGAATGTAAATATTGTACGGCCAATGCAACTTGATAAAATATTAATTTTGCATTTCTGTTGGTTAAACCCGTTTGTGTTTGGCGAATTCTATCAAAAAGTTCACCACCTTCCATTAATTCAAGAACAATGTAGACTGAATTTATTGTATTGAAAACTTCTTCCGTTTTTATTATACACGGCTGAAAACAAAAAAATTAAATAAAAAAATTAATAATTCTCTATAATTTTTAGAAAATTGACAAAAAAAAAACAAACTTAAAAGCAAAAAATAAATTATAATAAAAACGAATTTTTTTCTCTTCTTTTCAAAAAAGAAAATAAATTTTATATATAATAATGATAATAAAAATAAATTAAATAGTAAATTTTCAAAAATATAAAAAAAAATAAATGAAATGAAACTCACGTGTCGTAATTTCTTCAAAATTTCCACTTCATTCAAAATTTTTTTGTCATCAATAAATCTATCCGCCTCACCATTTAAAGATGTTAGTCCTTTTTTTGAAAGTATTTTCATTGCAAATGTTTTGCATGACATTTTTGAAAATACTAATTTCACTTCGCCACAGGCGCCTGATCCCAATTTTCTTGATATTGCATATTTAAATTTAATTTCAGCCGGTAAATCATTGCCTTCATAGGCCTGAATATTCATAAATATATAAACTAGATTCAAACAAATGGAGAAAAAAATATTAACATTAAAATATTATTTTTTTTTTTAAATTAAATTTTAAATAAAAATCGAAAATAAAAAAAAAGATTTATAAACAATTTTTTTTTCACAATTAAATTTAAATCAAGTGTATTAATTTTTCTTTTTTATCTATTTTGTAAGTGAAAAAATATTTTTTTTTCTTCTGTATTTTTTTTTGTAAAAAAAAATATTTTATTTTTTGTAATTTCTATTTATTAATAGAATAATTTAATTTATTTATTTAATTTTTTTTCTATTTATTTATTTCGTTCTATTTTTTTTTTTTTTATTTGTAAGAAACAAAATTTTCGTTTTTTTTATTTTGTACAAAAAAATTATTTTGTTTTTGTATTTTGCAAGAAAAAAAAAACATTTTTTCTGCATTTTTGTAAAAAAAAAAATTAGTTTCTGTATTTTTTGTTAAAAAAAATAATTTTTTTTTTTTTATTTTGATAAGAAAAAAAATCTCTTTTTTTTTTGGTTTTTACCTGCAAACTTTGCCTGCGCAAGTGAAATAACATCGTGATTTTCAAGTATAACTCTATTTCCTTTACCAATTCTTCTTTTATTAACATAAGTTCCATTTTGCGACAAATCTTCAATATAAACAACAGTTATGTCCTCCAAATTATTTGAACTCTTTATTTTTTCTTTAGTTATTTTAAAATGTTGTTTACTGATGCAATCGGCAATTTTTTTATCTAATCCAAGTTCCATTACATTAATTTCACAAGTCACCGATCTTCCCAGTGTATAAGAATCTTTAGTTAATTCTGAAAAGACGAAAAAAAAATTTTTTTTTACAATTTTTTTAATTCATTAATAAATAAATAAATAAATAATTTAATAAATAATTATTAATTAATTAATAATAGACAATTCATAATATTGAAAAAAACTAATAGGTAATTAATTATTATTAATTAATAATTAATGAATTAATAACAAATAAACAAGCAATTAATTAGTAATTATTAATTAATTACTGTAAATAATTAATTACTTTTTTTTAAATAATAAAAGGGGGAAAAATTAATTTGATAACAAAAAAAAATATAGAAAATGAATTGAAATTAACAAAAATTTAAAAAAATTAAAATAATCGTATAAATAATTAATTAACAATAAAAATTAAAAGATAAAAATAAAAATAATTAATTATTAATAAAATTCAAAAGAGAAAAACGTATAAATAATTAATTATTCATAAAAAAATACAAAAATAAATGTATAAATAATTAATTATTAATAAAAATCCAAAAATAAACATATTAAATAATTAATTAATTTAAAAAATCGAGAAAAAAAAATTTTTATATTTCGCTGCAATCTCAAAAATATTAATTGAAAATATAAATCATTGACATTACTTCAAGTAATAATTCGTAAACATACTTTTTCTTCTCAATGTCAACATACTTTGTATTTGTTTTGATTTTATTATATTTTCCTTTAATTCAATATATTAGAAAAATTTTGCTAATTAAAATAATTTAAAAATCTAATTTTTGAAAATTTAATTTCCAAAAATTCTCTACATTTGTTTTTATTATTAATTTTTACAACTAATTTTTTATTTATATTAATTTTTAAACACAAATAATGTCACGAAACAAAATTTTTAAAAATTCAAAAAGAAAAAATTAATTAAAATTCCACTATTAAGAATTAAATATAAAATTATTATTATTATTATTATTATTGTAATTAATTAATTTGATCGTAAAAAAATGAAATAAAATTTTATATAAAATCCAAAAAAGATAGAAATTATAAGAAATTATTTTACAAAAATAAAACAAAACATGATATAATGAAAAATTAATGAATTTATATAAATAAATTTTATATAAAATCGTACCGACTGGAATAAATTTTGGTTTATTGGGACACAATCTTCCCCATGGTAATAAAGACATTGGAGAATCAGGAAAATCTTGTGATGAAAAAATATCCGCAACTTGTGTAGTTTGTGTATTTTGAGTTGTTCTTTGAGAGTCTGTTATATCTTGATTATTAGACATGATTTTTTTTTTTTTATACACGCACGATTAAATTGAAAACGAAAACACTTTCACACCGACAGAACAAAAAAAAAAAAAACTGTATGGCGTTATTCGCTCACACAAACAAAGAAACATTTAATCCATGATTTTCACAAATCAAACTCAAAATACATTTAAACTATTTTAATAAATTAATTATTATACAATAAACTTTCACATGAAATAATCATTGAATTGTCTGTTTTATTTAAAAAAAAAAAAAAATTGAATCAAAAAACGGGCGGTTAATCACAGACAAGGAAAACACGTGGGGAGGCGTCAGACAGGGTTGGGAAGGTAGAGTACCGAAATTATTAACTTTGTCCTGAATATTTGAATTTCTTTTTTAGTGGGAAGGAAAAGTATTTTTGTATTGCAAAAAAAATCTTTTTTGTAAAATTTTTTCTATATAATGTAAATAAATATAATCTAAAAATATTAATATTAAAAGAGGATAAGGAAATAAATTTGATAACATTTTTTTTTTTTTTTTTTTTTTACACGACTTTAGAGGTGAAACGTTCGAAATGTGACATGGATATTTTTTCGAAAAAGAAGAAAAAAATCTATAAAATATAATAATATTCTAATAAAAAACGATAAAAAAAATAAATAACTAAATACGAAAAATTGGTTTTCTTATACTTTGTAATTGTTATAATTGAATGTTTCTTTTTCACTAGTAAGTTGGCTATCTAGGTAGGAAACTACTTTTTCAATGACCAAACATATATATATATATTATAACCTTGTATAATTTTTATTTGTCTTCTGCTAGCTGTCTCTTTAAAATTTCTAATTGAAAAATAAATAATTCAAGTCACGTTTATCGTTAAATTATTTAATCAATATTGTTAATGACATTTTTTCGTGATTTTTTCCTTAATTTCTAAAAAAAAAATTATTTTTTTTTCCTCTTGTTTAGTTTAGTGACAAAACATTGAATTTTTATTTAAAAAAATTTATCAAAAAAAAAAAAAAAAAATTAAAATATCAGTTACTTTTTTTATGAGTCATGTTTTTTTTTCTTTCAAATAAAATGTTGAAAATCAATTTTCTTTTTTAGTTTTTAGATTTAAATAGACATTTAAAATGACAAGTTGTAAATTTTTTTTCATTTATGACGACGCAATGTTTTGATGAAAAAAAAAAAAAAAAAGAAAATAGAGGCAAATTATAAACAGCTTGAAAGCGAATTTTTTTTTTTTTTGATGTATGTGCACTTTTAAAATATGACTTATACCTTTTATCAAAAGACTCTTGTCTTAATTATTGTTTTTACTGGAGCATTTCACACACTATCAGTAAAGTGAGTATTTTTATATATTTAAAAATTTTCATAATTATTTGATATATAAGAAATAATTTTTAAAGCAAAATAATTAAAATAGTTCGAAAAATTTAAAATTTGTAACGAAAAATAAATTTTTCTATAAATATAATTTAGAAATTTTTTTTATTTTCGTAAATATTTGTAAAAAAAAAAAAAAAAAAAATTATAAACTAGATTTTTTTTTCAATAATAATTATTATAATTAGATATATTAATTATTTAAAATAATTTAAATAAATTAAAAAATAATCCTAATAATAAAAAAGTAATTAAATAAATTTTTAAATAAATATTTATTTAAATATTCGAAATAAAAAGATTTTAAAAAATAATTCTGCAAATTTTCTGATAGTTTATAATTATTAATTATTATTATTAATTATTTTAATTATTAAAAATAATTATAAAAAATAGTTAACTAATAATTAGTGAAAATAATTAGATTTATTAAAAATGATTAAATAAATAAATAAATAAAAATTAATATATTAATAAAATTTTTTAATTCAGAAATCAAAAAATTTAAAATATCTTCCGCAAAGCTAATAGTTTATAATTATTAATTATTTTAGTAAATAGTAATAATAATAATAATAATAATAATAATAATAATAATAATAATAATAATAATAATAATAATAATAATAATAATAATAATAATAATAATAATAATAATAATAATAATAATAATAATAATAATAATAATAATAATAATAATAATAATAATAATAATAATAATAATAATAGTAAATAGTTGATAATTAAAAATAAATTATAAAAAATAATTAAATTTATTACAAATAATTAAATAATTAAAAATAATTAAATTTATTACAAATGATTAAATAATTAAAAATAATTAAATAAATAAATATTTTATTAGTAAAATTTACTGAAATAATTTAGAAAAAAAAAAAAAATTCTTCCTCAGATTTGCTGATCGTTTAGACGCAACTGGAGAAGATGGACAAATTCGAAAATTTAATCATCCTTTTGTTGAGGCAACATTTATGTTTCTCGGCGAAAGTTTGTGTTTGATAGTTTACAAAATTATTTGTTGGTACCTCAACAGAAAATCGGTGAGAAATTTGCAAAATTTTTACTTTAATTTATATGCATTAAAAAAGAATTCTATTACGAAGTTAAAAATTTTTTAAATCCTATTATTATTTATTTAATAATTTAATAATTATCAGAATTTTAATCAAAAAAAAAGGAAATATTTATTCGAAAGAAATAAAAATAATTTTATTATTATTTAAAAAAAATAACATAATTTAATTATTATTTGAAAAAAAATAATAATTTAATTAATTACTATTTATTATGTATTAATTTAATTTATTATTAATTTGAAAGAAATAATATAATTTTATTAATAATTTATTTTATATAAAAAAATTTTATTTTCATATTATAAAAAAATTAATTAATTTAATTTGAAAAAGAAAAAACTATTTTCTATTAATTAAATAATTGGAAAATGATAATTAATTTTTTTTTTTTTGAAATTGAATAAAAAGATAATTTCAGTAATTTGAATAATAAAAAATGAATTATTATTTAATTAATTAATAATCAAATCAAGGATGGATCGATTGATACAAATCCATTGACAAGAGGAAATCGTGATGTAAATCCAATAATTTTAATGATACCAGCATTGTGTGATGTTATCGCAACATCATTAAGATACATTGGATTAACAATGACATATGCAAGTAGCTTTCAAATGTTACGTGGCGCTGTTATTGTATTCACTGGAATATTATCAATGGGATTTCTCGATAGAAAATTGGGTTATCGCGAATGGAGTGGAATATTTTTTGTTATTGTTGGTCTTGTAATTGTTGGTATCACTGATGTTCTCACTGAGGATCGTAGTATGGGTTCTAATTCAATTATTACCGGCGATTTACTTATTCTTTGCGCTCAGGTAATTGGCAAAAAAAAATAATAAAAAAAACTACTCTTAGGTATTGAAAAAAAAATCTGTTACAATAAAAAAAAAATATTTCTTAAATTATTTAATTTAAAATTAATTAAAATTATTTAATTAAATTAATGAATAAATATAATTTTTAAAAATGTGAAATAAATATATAAAATAAAAGAATATAAAAAAAAAAAAAATGAAAAAAAGTAAAGGGAATAAAATAATCAGAATAAAAAATTCATTAATAATTTTTCAATAACTAAGAGAATTTTTTTTTAGTAATTATTTTTTTTCGAATAATTCTAATTAAATGATTTTGTTTAGGTAATGACTGCAATACAAATGGTATATGAAGAAAAATTCGTTGGTGGTAATGACATTCCAGCGCTTCAGGCAATTGGTTGGGAAGGTAATTTATTTATTTTTATATTTTTTTTTCGCACTTGAAATAATTTTTTTTTCAGTAATTTTAAATATTTACTCTTTTAATTATTTTTTAAATTGAAAATTAAATAATTTTTCCATTTAAAAATGAACATTATTAAAGAAATTGATTTTTCAAAATTGAAATTTTTTTTTAATTTTTCCATTTAAAAATTTTCATTTTCAATTGTTTTTTTAAATTGAAATTGATTTTGTAAATTTGAAAATTAGTTTTAAATTCCATTTAGAAAATTAAAAATTTCTATTTATTAAAGACATTGAATTTTTAAATGGAAAATTATTTTATTTTTTTTTTAAACTAGGAAAATAAGAATTTTTTCTTTAAAAAATACTAAAAAATTTTTTTTTTTTTTAACAGGAGTATTTGGATTACTAGCACTTCTTCTTGTGATGATTCCTTTGAATTATATAAAAGTAGTTCCACCGTTTGCTGATAATTCGCGTGGAACTTTAGAGGCAACTATTGACGCTTTTGTACAAATTGGAAATTCTAGTCAACTTATAATTGCAATGATTGGTATGAAATTTTTTTCCCCCTTTTTCAATTTAAAAAATAGACAATGAAAAAAATAATTGATTATTGAAGAAAAAAGATTTTAAAAAAATAGTAGAAATTTAGAAAAATTTAAAAAGTAGAAAAAAAAATTCAAAAAGTAGTAAAAAAAAAACAGAAAATAATAAAAATACAAAATAAATATAAAAAAGTACAAAAAAATTAAAATAAATATAGAAAATTCGCAAAAAGTAAAAAAAAAAAATTCAAAAAGTAGTAAAATACAATAGAAAGTACAAAAAATTTAACTAAATACAGAAAATTCGAAAAATAGAAATAATTTATTTAAATACAGAAATTAGAGAAAAGAACAAAAAATAGGGGAAATTAATATTGATTTAATTTAAATAGAAAATTTAATTTTTCAGGAATAATGCTTACTATAGGACTATTCAATTTTTCTGGCTTAAGTGTTACAAAAGAAATAAGTGCAACGACACGAATGATTTTAAGCAGTATTTGCACAATTGTTATTTGGGCATTTTCATTAATTTTCCAATGGCAAGCTTTCCACTATTTGCAGGTAAATTATTTTTTACCTTTCGACAATAAAACGAATTTTTTTTCTTTTTAATTAATGCAACAATTTAATAATAATTTTAATGATAATAATAATAATAAATCTACCAAAAATATTTAAATTAAATAAATAAAATAATAGAATTCTTTATTAAAAACTAAATTAATTATTAAGTGAATTATAATTAAAATTATTAAATTAATTATTAAAATAAAAAAAATTTAATTTGTTAATTAATAATTATGAATTATTAAATTACAAAATTAAAAAAATTAATTAGAAATTCATAAAGTTAATTATTTATCTCAAATTATTAAATTGAAAAAAAAAGATAATTATATCAAACATTTATTTACAGCTGGTTGGATTTACTGTTCTCGTATTGGGAATGTGTTTCTACAATAATTTATTAATACCGACGCTGCTTATTCAAATTAGACGTCGACTGAATAGATCTAATAATGTGTCAAATGACGAAGAAAGAATTTTAAATGCAACTGATGACGATATAGAAGAAAAATCATTTTATTAATATTAATATAAATTCTATATAGTTAATTGAAAAAAATTATTATTTTTTTTTTTATTTATCGACAATTTGCAGTATGGTTGTGCATAAATTTTATTTCATAATTATATATATATATATATATATATATATATATAGTTTTATTATAATCCAAAGAAATAATTTAATATGTAGAATTTTTTTTTTTTTTTATACATTTATGATTTCAAATGAGAAACTTCCCTGGTGGAAGATATTTAAATATTTTATAAGTGCTCAAAACAACGAAATGCACAAAAATTATTTTATTTTTCTATTAATTATTATGCAAATGTTGTACTATTGACTTTTTTTAAGTGAAGAATTATTTTTTTCAAGCTTTATGACAAAATTATTCTCTCAAAAAAAAAGGGAAATATTATTTTACGCTCAGTATTTGCTGAAAGTATTTTCAAAAAATAATTTCTTAAAATAAAAATAAAAAAAATTTCCGTATAAATAATTAAACATTTTATAACTGATTTTTTCGTCGCGAAAATTAGAAAAAAAAATTTGACCTACGCTTATAAAAAAAATATTATTATTAATGCATTCGTAAAAAATGTATTTTTGCATTTTTTTTTTTTAAAGAAATTATTTTTCTTCAAAAATACAATTTTTCTCACCTCTTTTTTGTGGAATAATTTTTTGTTTTACAGACTTGAAAATTAAAACCTTCTCTTAATATCAGTAATGAAGAAATCTCGACTAAGGACATTGCCGGAAAATGCTCCCTAAGTATTAAAAAAAAAAGAATCTAGTTTTTATTATACAATGTAGACAGATATTTAATTACGAAAAAAAAAAAATTATCAGCGCAAAAAAAATAGTATATTTTTGTGACGTACAATTTTTATTATGTAAGAAAGAGCCTAATATGAATTCATTAAAATTATAAATATATCACTCATATGACACGTGACTTCTTCTTCTTCTTTTTTTAAATTTAATAATAATTACCAAATCTTTAATCCACTAGTGCAACAATTAAAACGTGATAACTTACAATTAACGAAAGAAAAGCAACAGATTAAATTTTTACAAAAAAACCCATTGAAATTATCAAAAAGCATATGTTCGCGGAATAAATTAATTTATGATTTTTAAAAATTGATTCCAATCCTTTTTCTTCAAAAAAAAAAAATCTTTTTATCAAATTTTTTTTAAGCTATTCTCATTCAAAAACAAAAATTATGGAAAATAAAACAAATCCTCTTTTTTTTTGGCAAAAAATTCATTTTTTTTTTTTTGTTCAATTATTATAGAAACTTTTCAATTTGCACAAGTTGAATAAATAAACGTCACCTTTTTGTCATAAAAAAAAAAAAAAAAAAAAAAAAATAAAAAATTGATCTGTGATTAAATTCCGAAATTCAACATATAAAGCATGTGCAAAATACTAAAATTTATGAACAGTGAATAACGATCGGAATTTATTAACATTCGAAAGTTTATTGAAATTTAAAAAAAGAAAACAATTTTTTTAAAAGGAATATTAGAGTTTTAAATTAGTAACTCGAAAAAGGTGTGATTTATAATTTATCATTTTTTATATATTTATTTAAAACAAATTTTTATTTCTATTAATTACAATAAATAAAACAATTTTTTTTATTAATTAATTTAAAACAAATTTTTATTTTTTATTAATAAATTAATTTCTGTTATTATTTAAAAACGTATAATTTTGTGGTAATACAATTATAAACATAATCTTAAATTTTTTGCTTCCTAGGTTTTAAAACAACAGGAAAAAAAATGGAAGCTGCAAATTTTATCAGCCCTCTTCAGGCAGTGCAAACGATTTCAATAATTAATTATTTAAATACACTCAGCGATTTTTTATTTGCCAGTAATTTTCTAAATGAAACAAATCAATATCAACCAATACCAATTGTTAATGCTTTGTATAATTACATTTTCGACGACTACGAAGAAGACAGAAGTAATATAATTGAACTAAATTTATTAACAAAGGAAAAAATGATTCCAATTGATTACAACAAATACAATTATTCCACCATCAACTATCATGAAAATCGAACGAAAATCATTAATGATCGAAAAATATATTTGGCACAAAAATTAATCGAAGGCACCGATTTGTATGGAGCTGAAGAAAACGAAATTCTCGATTCAATATTCGTTGACGCCTTATACAAACACATAATTAGTACTCTTGTTTTTGAAAAATTTACAAATATTTACGGATTTCTTGTTGAGATTGTTCGTAGTTCTGTAGATGTGAAAATTAATACTATGTATGATAAAATTAATTCCAAATTGTCCGAGGAAATATTTCTCACCGAAAATGGAAGAGAAATAAAATTAGAAGATTTGTCGGTTACAAAAATTGTGGGAGAATTTATAGTGCCTTTGCTTCCGAAACTGAAGAAAGAAATGAATTTAACGGCAGTCGATTATATTTACGCAGCAGCTGGATCGGGATTTTTGAATTCTGACAAAGAAAAAATATTAGCAGCTGTGGATTACAAAGAAATCGATGATTTTACTACTAATGATCAGTTTATTAATTATGTTACAACAGCACATGTTATTGAACAATCTGTAATTGGTGGTAAAATTGATAAATCAGCTTTGGGGATTTTTGGACTACCGGCACTACTTTATTACGTTTACAAAGAGAAAGAAATGCTTCGAACCCAAAGTACAGGACAAATAATTAATAATTCCACTTTAAGAATTGAAGCCTACAGAATGTTGTTCAGCTATCTTAATAAGACCTTTGCCCAAGTGGAACAAGCACGGAATAATGATTATAGATATCAATTTTATGCTGCTTTGTCAAATTTTAAAAATCGTACAACACTGGCCAGGGAGAACATTAGTAGTAAATGTTCCACGGTCAAGGACGAGGATTTGAAGCAAGAGGTTCTTAAATACAAAAATAATCCTGATGATTATCAATGTAATAATGAAAACGGGAAAAAATTAGAGGATGTTAATCGTCTTTATCAGGAACAGGTTAACAATATTGCTGGAAAATATTTGACTTATGAAAAGGAATCAATTAGGGAAGCTTTTGGTACAGATTTTATTAGATCCGTAGATGCTAATAAAGTAGAAATATCTAAGGGTTTTATTACCTCTACTGCTAATTTTATAAATTACCACGTATTTCAATGGGTGAAAGCTTCGGCCGATTTGTTCCAATTCAAATTTATGCATAGTGGAACAAAAATGTATTTTGCTGTTTTAAGGGAGGATAACGAAATTTTTCTAATGCAACAAAATGATGCTACTTGGAATTGTTCTAAAATTTCTAGGGGTGCTTCGTCTGATACTAATTCTGTAGATTTTGCTGGTTCTGCATTAGCTACTAATTCTGCAGATTTTTCTTGTTCTGCAACTGCTGCTGATTTTGCATCATCTACTAATTCTGCAGCTTCTGCAGATTTTGCATCATCTACTAATTCCCCTGCCTCTACTGGTTCTGTACCAAATACCGTAATCCATTGCAACCCCAATGCTTTTCGTAAAAAATTAGAAATGTCCAAATCCGAAGTGTTTCGAAGCAATAATTTTCCGTATGTTATGAAACGCAAGGATGAAAAGTTCGAGGTCTTTCTAAACCGAATCGCAGAAGAAAGAGCAAAGAATTTTAATAAAAGTCTCCAACAAGAGGGATACGATCCAACAAGAAAAGAATGGTGGAAAGATTTTGGATTATCACTGCTTCCGTTTTACACCTGTATTCATGGAATACGAACGAAAAATGTCGAGGAAGCTGTAATTGGCTGTTCACTCGATGCTCTATTTGCTCTGCCTCTAGTTGAGGAAATTGGCTATCTAGCCGAAAAATTAACAACAACAATCACTAGATCGATTATGTCTTCTACAGGAACGACATTTGGTTCCCTAACCCTAAAAATGACAATTCGAGAAACACTGGAGAAACTAGGTAGCGTTTTGGTAATTTCAGCAGAAGAATTGTCTACCTTCTTCAGTAGGGAAACATTCCAAAATCTCGGTCTGTCAGTACTCCGTTACGTCGATCCGGGTTTTGAACTTATTTACACGATTGGCAAAGGAGGATGGAGATCCATTATCACCACAATCAGTACTCTCAAAAAATATTCTCCTACTTTTGTTTCACTAGAAAAAACCTTAGCGGAAACCGAAATCAAATTATCGGATTCCTTGCTAAAAGTATCCAATCTCAACGAAAAGGAAGTCTACGTAAATTCTCTATCCGTAGCCAAAAAATCAGGTTACGGTTACCAATTCCTTCGGTTACCAAACAAACAAGTACAAATTAGACAAATTCGTGAATACGGAGACAAAATTCCAGTTGTAGTTGTTCACGAACCCAAAACAGGCGAAATTACCTACAGGGCAATAAACATGGATACTGGTCGAATAAAACCAAAAGTTCTACATCTTCAAAACCAAAATTTGCCAAAATCAGCATTATTAGTAAAAATTAAAATAAACAGTTTTCACGACCTACAAACATGTACAAATCCAAGATTCAAAAGATCTCCCACTAAATTATTATGTCTACGAAATATTCTCCGGAACAAACGTGACGCAATCGAAACAGCGGCTATGAATCTCCTTAATCAACAAACAATATCTGTAAAATTCGACGAAATTCGTTCAAAATTAAGAGAATTCATATTTCCCGATAATGGTGAATTACACATGAAATTTATCACCGATTGGAGTGATTTAATAAAATCCGGTAGAAAATCAGAATTACCCACATGGAGTAAAAAATACGAATTAGCTGATCCAACTCTCTTTGAAAAATTAAGATATTCAGATACTGTCGATAAAAAAGAATTTAAAATTCACGAAGCTTCGGAAAGATTAGCGGAAATTTTTCGCCTTCAAGAAAGATCATCGTCAATAATGACACATCAAGATTTTGATTTTATTCGACAATTATTCAACGAGGATAAAGCATATGAATCAGTGACATTACAGGATTATTTTGCAATTCGTGAATACATGGGTATGGGTTATAAACAAATTGGTTATAATACAAAAACGGCGAAAAAAATGCGCGGTGCACTTTATCGTTTAGCAATTCGTCAATCGGACGATCCTCTAGAAGAATTTTCGAAAATTTTATATCGTGGTGAAACACGATCACCTGAAATTGTGGAAAAATTATTTCTCACTGGCAAAAATGAAATAGAATTAAATCGTTTTACATCAACGTCAACTAATGAAGAAATTGCTCGTATGTTTCAATTTTTCGGTAATTCAAAGCATGTAAATATATTTTATGAAATTAAATTCAATGAACCATTTTTTAGAGCAAAAGTTATGAATGTTGTATTAAATACTGGTGAAGCAGAGACAATTCTTCTTCCAGGTAGTAAATTTCACATTGATGATGTGAATAAAGTTTTGATGAATGGAAAAGAGGTATTTAAAGTGAAAATGACTTTTAAACATAATGCACTGACAAAGCACGAATGGTATATTCGAATTATGAATGAATTGGAAAAATTGAAAAAAAATGATGACATTCCCTATGATAGTGATCCGTCATAATTTTTGAAAATTAGAATGAAAATTGAAATAAAAATTTAGAAAAAAATACTCAAAAAAAAAAAAAAAAAAAAAATACATGACTTTATTTAAAATTAGCATAAGTAATCTTTTGTACAAAAGTTTCATTTTAATTTTAATTATAATAGAAAATTATCATTGTTAATACAAGTGAATAAATAAGTGAAAAAATATCTTCAAAAAAAGTAATTTTCATTATTTAGAATAATTTTTTTCCACATACAACTTGAAAGTAATATTTTTTTAAAAAAAAATCGGGAATATAAAAATCAAATTTCTTTTTTGAAAACTTCTTTCTATATTTTTAGTTACATACAATTTTTGTCTGTTAAAATTAAATATAATACAAACAGAATAAATTATAATATATCTCATTTATAACATATGCCTTTTTTTTATTAATTCATTGTTTACAAATCTTTACAGTTTGATATAAAAAGAAATAAACATGACATCTCTTTATTAAAAATTGGCAGTTTTTTTTCTTATTATCATTCAAAAAAAAAAAAAAAAAAAAAAAAAATCAATCGTTTTTTGCAAAATTCTTTCTTTATACAATTTGTCAATTATAGAAACTTTTGAATTGCAAATACTTGAACAAATATACGTCACTTTTTGTAAAAACAAAAAATAATATTGAACTGTTACATTCGGTAATTTGGCATATAAAGGAATGCAGAATCACAAAAATTGATGAGAATTAAATTTAATTAGCGGTATTAACAGTTTTGATTTTCGAAACAAAACCAAAAAAGAAATTTCAAAATTTTTGAATTAGAAACACGAAAGGTAGGATATAATAACAAAAATAATAATTTTAATAATAATAAAATAAAAAATAATAAAAACAATACAGTTATGTTTAAATAAAAATTAAAGAAAGCATTTTTCCAGCAGGTATTAACAGAAACAAGGAAAAAAAATGGAAGCTGCAAATTTCACCAGTCCTCTTCAGGCAGTGCAAACGATTTCAATATTTAGTTATTTAAATACAATCAGCGATTATTTATTCATTAGAAATTTTTTAAGTGAATCAAATCAAAATCAACCAATACCAATTGTTAATGCTCTATATAATTACATTTTCGACGACTACGAAGAAGATAGAAGTAAATTCATTGAACTAAATTTATTAACAACGCAAAAAATGATTCCAATAGATTACAATAAATACAATTATTCTACCATCGAATATCATGAAAATCGTACCAAAATTATCAATGAACGAAAAATAGATTTAGCAAGAAAATTAATCGAAGGCACCGATTTGTATGGTGCGAAAGAAAATGAAATTCTTGATGAGGCATTCATTGATTCTTTATACAAACACATAATTACCAATCTTGTTTTTAAGAGTTATACAAATATTTACGGATTTCTTGTAGAGATTGTTCGTAATTCTAAAGATATAAAAATAAACAATTTGTATGAGAAAATTATTTTCAAATTGTCGGAGGAAATATTTCTCACCGAAAATGGAAGAGAAACAAAATTAGAAGATTTGTCGGTTTCAAAAATTGTGGAAGAATTTATAGTGCCTTTGCTTCCGAAACCAAAGAAAGAAATGAATTTAACGGCAGTGGATTATATTTACGCAGCTGCTGGATCAGTGTTTTTGAATTCTGATAAAGAAAAAGTGTTGCTAACATCTGTGGATTTGGTAGAAATCGATTTTACTACTGATGATCAGTTTATTAATTATGTTACAACAGCACATGTTATTGAACAATCTGTAATTGGTGGTAAAATTGATAAATCAGCTTTGGGGATTTTTGGACTACCGGCACTACTTTATTACGTTTACAAAGAGAAAGAAATGCTTCGAACCCAAAGTACAGGACAAATAATTAATAATTCCACTTTAAGAATTGAAGCCTACAGAATGTTGTTCAGCTATCTTAATAAGACCTTTGCCCAAGTGGAACAAGCACGGAATAATGATTATAGATATCAATTTTATGCTGCTTTGTCAAATTTTAAAAATCGTACAACACTGGCCAGGGAGAACATTAGGAGCAAATGTTCCACGGTCAAGGACGAGGATTTCGAGCAAGAGGTTCTTAAATACAAAAATAATCCTGATGATTATCAATGTAATAATGAAAACGGGAAAAAATTAGAGGATGTTAATCTTCTTTATCAGGAACAGGTTAACAATATTGCTGGAAAATATTTGACTTATGAAAAGGAATCAATTAGGGAAGCTTTTGGTACAGATTTTATTAGATCCGTAGATGCTAATAAAGTAGAAATATCTAAGGGTTTTATTACCTCTACTGCTAATTTTATAAATTACCACGTATTTCAATGGGTGAAAGCTTCGGCCGATTTGTTCCAATTCAAATTTATGCATAGTGGAACAAAAATGTATTTTGCTGTTTTAAGGGAGGATAACGAAATTTTGTTAATGCAACAAAATGATGCTACTTCGAATTGTTCTAAAATTTTTAGGGGTGCTTCGTCTGATAGTAATTCTGTAGATTCTGCTGGTTCTGCATTAGCTGCTAATACTGCAGATTTTTCTGGTCCTGCAACTGCTGTTGATTTTGCATCATCTACTAATTCTGCAACTTCTGCAGATTTTGCATCATCTACTAATTCCCCTGCCTCTACTGGTTCTGTACCAAATACCGTAATCCATTGCAACCCTGATGCTTTTCGTGAAAAATTAGAAATGTCCAAATCCGAAGTGTTTCAAAGCAATAATTTTCCGTATGTTATGAAACGCAAGGATGAAAAGTTCGAAGTCTTTCTAAACCGAATCGCAGAAGAAAGAGCAAAGAATTTTAATAAAAGTCTCCAACAAGAGGGATACGATCAAACAAGAAAAGAATGGTGGAAAGATTTTGGATTATCACTGCTTCCGTTCTACACCTGTATTCATGGAATACGAACGAAAAATGTCGAGGAAGCTGTAATTGGCTGTTCACTCGATGCTCTATTTGCTCTGCCTCTAGTTGAGGAAATTGGCTATCTAGCCGAAAAATTAACAACAACAATCACTAGATCGATTTTGTCTTCTGTAGGAACGACATTTGGTACCCTAACCCTAAAAATGACAATACGAGAAACATTGGAAAAATTGGGTAGCGTTTTGCTAATCCAAGCAGCAGAATTGTCTACCTTCTTCAGTAGGGAAACATTTCAAAATGTCGGTCTGTCAGTACTCCGTTACGTCGATCCGGGTTTTGAACTTATTTACACGATTGGCAAAGGAGGATGGAGATCCATTATCACCACAATCAGTACTCTCAAAAAATATTCTCCTACTTTTGTTTCGCTAGAAAAAACCTTAGCGGAAACCGAAATCAAATTATCGGATTCCTTGCTAAAAGTATCTAATCTCAACGAAAAGGAAGTCTACGTAAATTCTCTATCCGTAGCCAAAAAATCAGGTTACGGTTACCAATTCCTTCGGTTACCAAACAAACAAGTACAAATTAGACAAATTCGTGAATACGGAGACAAAATTCCAGTTGTAGTTGTTCACGAACCCAAAACAGGCGAAATTACCTACAGGGCAATAAACATGGATACTGGTCGAATAAAACCAAAATTTCTACATCTTCAAAACCAAAATTTGCCAAAATCAGCTTCGTCAGGCAAAGTTAGTATAAAAAGTTTTCACAACGTTGAGAAATGTTTAATTTCAAGGTTTCGACGATCTCCCTTCAAATTTTTCTGTCTACGAAATATTCTTCGGGACACACGTCGAGTTGCTGAAAGAATAGCTGTTGATTATACCCGACAAAATACACTCCTATCATCAGACACAGTTCATTCCACATTACGAAAATTTGCCTTTCCCGAAAATGGCGAATTCCAAATGAACTTCGTCAAAGACTGGAGTAATTTACAAAAATCCGGAAGAACAGAATTACCCCTTTGGAGCAAAAAATATGAATTAGCAGATCCTGCTCTATTTGAAAAATTAAGATACTCAGATACTGTGGATAAAAAAGAAATTACAACCATTGAAGTAGTAAAAAGATTATCATCACTTTATCCCGAAGAAATTGAGTCAATATCAAAGGAAGCGAATTTTATCAGTAAATTATACAACGCCGACAGAGCATACGAATCAGTGTCAATTGAGGATTACTACGCAATTCGTGAATACATGGGTTCTGGATATCGTTATATTGGCTATAATACAGTTGCAGCTAGACAAATGCAAGGAGCATTTTATCGTTTAGCAATCCGTCAATCCGACGATCCTATAGAAGAATTTGATAAAATTTTATATCGTGGTGAAACTAGAACACCTGAAATGATTGAAAAATTATTTTTCACAGGTAAAAAGGAAATAGAATTAAATCGTTTTACTTCAACTTCGGATAATAAATATATTGCGTATATGTTTCAATTTCACGGTAATAATGAAGATGGTATGAATGTTTTTTATGAAATAAAATTTTCACAACCATTTTTAAGGGCAAAAATTATGAATGTTGTACGTAATGCAGGTGAAGGAGAAACGGTTCTTCTTCCAGGTAGTAAATTTCACATTGACGATGTAAAAATTGTTTCCCTTGATGGAAGAGGATCAGTTGAAGTGAAAATGTCTTTTCAACATGATGCATTTGAAAAGCACGAATGGTATATTAAAATTATGAATGAATTGGAAAAATTGAAAAAAAACGGTGTCACTTCCTATGAAACTGATCCAATTCATTTGTGGAATTCGTAAAATTTTTAATTGAAAAATATTTTTTTATGATAGTTTAACTAAAGATTTCATAATACTCGTTTTACATATTTATAAATTGATATCTATAATAGTCAATTTATTATTCATATTTGTTTCGAGATTACATATATTTAATACTTTATATAATCATTAAAATTTATAGAACACGTTTTTGAATAAAATTATATCTAGTAGAAAAAAGAAATTGTATATTAAGATTTATGATGTGGAAAGAAGTCATTTAATAAAGAAATTATGGAACATTATTAGTGAATGTGATTACTTTTAATTAGATACCTTTTTAAGACAACTTGAACAAATATTTGATACTTTTTGTGTTAAAAAAAAATTAGAACATTAATTAAAATTTTGTATATAAAGCACGTGCAGAACCTAAAAAAAAATTAAAGCGAATCAGCATTGGTAAACTACGATTTTAATTTTAAAAATTATGAAATGACATAACTTAACAATTAAAAGGTAAGATTTATATCGTAAATAATTAAAAATTTATTTTCTTTATTAATTAATAATATAGACATATAATAAATTCATAATATAAATAGAAATAGAATAAAATAAAAGAAAGATAAAAATTAAAAGTAGAAAAGTAATAGAAAGGTAAAAATTTTTTTTCAACAGGTAAAGGAACAGTGATTAAAAATGAGATCTGGAAATTTTACCAGCCCTCTTGAGGCAGTGCAAACGATTTCAATAATTAGCTATCTAAATACTCTCAGCGATTTTTTATTTATCAGTAATTTTTTAAATGAAACAGATCAAAATCAACCAATACCAGTGGTTAATGCTTTCTTTAATTATTTATTCGACGACTACGAAGAGGATAGAAGTGAATTTATTGAACTTAATTTTATAACAAAACAACGAAATGTAATTCCAAGGAATTATAAAAATTACAATTATTCCACCATTGACTATCATGAAAATCGTACCAAAATTATCAATGAACGAAAAATACATTTGGCAGGAATATTAATCGAAGGCACCGATTTGTATGGTGGGAAAGAAAACGAAATTCTTGATCCTACATTCGTTGATGCTTTATACAGACATTTAATTAGCTCTCTTGTTTTTGAAAAGTATACAAATATTTACGGATTTCTTGTAGAGATTGTTCGCAGTTCTGTAGATGTAAAAATAAATACTATGTATGAGAAAATTAATTTCAAATTGTCCGAGGAAATATTTCTCACCGAAAATGGAAGGGAAACAAAATTAGAAGATTTGTCAGTTTCAAAAATTGTGGGAGAATTTATAGTTCCTTTGCTTCCAAAATCGAGGAAAGAAATGAGTTTAACGTCTTTGGATTATATTTACGCAGCGGCTGGATCAGTATTTCTTTACACAACCAAAGGAAATATATTTTTAGCATCAAGGGATTTAGGTTTAAGAAATAGTACTGATCAGTTTAGTAATTATGCAGTAATTTCACATGCTATTGAACAATCGGTAATTAGTGGTGGAATTGATAAATCCGCTTTGGGGATTTTTGGACTACCGGCACTACTTTATTACGTTTACAAAGAGAAAGAAATGCTTCGAACCCAAAGTACAGGACAAATAATTAATAATTCCACTTTAAGAATCGAAGCCTACAGAATGTTGTTCAGCTACCTTAATCAGACCTTTGCCCATGTGGAACAAGCACAGAAAAATGATTACCGATATCAGTTTTATGCTGCTTTGTCAAATTTTAAAAATCGTACAACACTGGCCAGGGAGAACATTAGGAGCAAATGTTCCACGGTCAAGGACGAGGATTTGGAGCAAGAGGTACTTAAATACAAAAATAATCCTAATGATTATCAATGTAATACTGGAAACGGGAAAAAATTGGAGGATATTAATCTTCTTTATCAGGAACAGGTTAATAGTCTAACAAATAAATACATTGTTTATGAAACCGAATCAATTAGGGAAGCTATTGGTGCGGATTTTATTAAATCCGTAGATGCTAACAAGGTGAAAATATCTAAAGGTTTGTTTACCTATATTTACGATATCAGAGACGCTCGACAATTTCAGTGGGTAAAAGATTCAGCCGATTTGTTTAGGTTCGAGTTTATCGACAATGGAACATCATTGTACTTTGCTGTTTTAAGGGACAACAACGAAATTTTGGTAATGCTTCAAAATGATGCTATATCGAATTGTTCTACAATTTCTAGTAGAGCTTCGTTTGCTACTAATTATGCAGCATCTACGGATTTAGCATCATCTGTTAATTCTTTTGCTTCTGCTGATTTTGCATCATCTGCTAATTTTTCTACTTCTACTGGTTCTGTACCAAACACTGTAATCTATTGCAACCCCGATGCATTTCGTGAAAAATTAGAAATGTCCAAATACCAAAAGTTTCGAAATAATTATTTCCCGCATGTTAAGAAACACAAAGATGAGAAATTTGAAGTATTCCTAAAACGAATAGCAGAGGAAAGAGCGTCGGATTTCAAAGAAAACCTCGCACATGAGGGATACGATCAAACAAACAGTGAATGGTGGAAAGATTTTGGATTATCACTTATTCCGTTTTACACCTGCATTCAAGGAATACGAACAAATCATTTGCAGGAAGCGGAATTTGCTTGCACGGTTGATGCTCTATTTGCCCTGCCTCTAATCGGTGAAATCGGATACCTAGCCGAAAAATTGACAACAACAATCAGTAGATCGATTCTGTCTTCTGTAGGAACGACATTTGGTTCCTTAACCCTAAGAATGACAATTCGGGAAACATTGGAGAAATTAGGAAGTGTTTTGGTGACCGAAGCAGCAGAATTGTCTACCTTCTTCAGTAGGGAAACATTCCAAAATCTCGGTCTGGCAGTATTCCGCTATATTGATCCTGGATTTGAACTTATTTACTCAATCGGCAAAGGTGGATTAAAGTCCCTTGTCAAAATAACCAATGCCTTGAAAAAATATTCCCATTCTTTTGAATCGCTAAAAAAAATACTACTGGAAACCAAAGCAAAAGTATCCGATTCCTTGCTAAAAATATCTAGTCTCAACAATAAGAACGTCTACGTTAATACTTTATCCCTAGAGAAAAAATCAGGCTATGGTTATCGGTTTTTACAACTACCAAACGAGAATATTGTTCAAATTAGAAAAGTACAGGAGTATGAAGCAGATATTCCCCTTGTTATTCGCCAAACTGGAACAGGCAAAATTAACTACCGGGCAGTAAACATCGATACTGGACGGGTAAAACCAAAAATTCTCCATCTTCAAGACGAGAATTCTCTAAAACCAGCTTCTTCTGTCAAAATTAGAATTAACAGTTTTCATGACACTGAAATATGTACAAATAGAAGATTCAAAAGATCTCCCATTAATTTTCAATGTCTAAGAAATATTCTTCGGAGTAAACGTCAAACTATTGAGAGAGTTGCTACAGAATTCGCCCAAGAAGAAAAATACTCTCTTTCCAACGAGGAAATTCGTTCTAAATTACGAAAATTCATTTTCCCGGACAGTGGTGAATTGCATATTAATTTCGTCAAAGACTGGGGTGATTTAATAAAATCCGGCAGAAATACAGAATTACCCTCTTGGAGCAAAAAATACGAATTAGCCGATCCCACTCTTTTGGAAAAATTAAGATATTCCGATACTGTGGATAAAAAAGAAATTACAGCCACTGAAATTGGTGAAAGATTATCGGCAATTTATCCCGAACGATCGTATTCTTTCACGAGAGATGCTGATTTTTTTAAAATACTATACACAGAATCCAAAGCATACGAATCGGTGACTGTTGAAGACTATAATGCACTTCGTGATTACGTGGGCTATGGTTACGATGAAATTGGATTAAATTCACAAGCGGCAAAACAAATGCGAGGAGCTTTTTACCGTTTGGCAATAAGACAATCGGATGATCCTATCGAAGAATATGCAATGACATTATATCGCGGTGAAACAAGATCACCGGAAATTGTGGAAAAATTGTTTTTTTCCGGCAATGATGAAATAGAATTAAATCGATTTACTTCAACGACGACAAAACGTGAAATTGCACATCAATTTCAAATTCCCAGACGTAGGGGAAAAATAAGTATTCTTTATGAAATGAAATTTTCCGAGCCATTTATGCGAGCAAAAATGACACGTGTTATGCAAAGTGAAGCCGAAGATGAGACGGTTCTTTTGCCGGGTAGTAAATTTCACATTGATAATGTGAAAAAAGTTTCTGTATACGGAAAAGAGGGATTGGAAGTGCAAATGACTTTTAAGCATCAAACACTTAAAAAACACGAATGGTACATTAAGATTATGAATGAATTGGAGAAATTGAAGACAAATGAAGATATTCCCTATGACACTGATCCGAGTTAATAAATAGATTTTAATAACTAGGGGAATTTTTTAAAGTAATTTCGAAATAATTTGTTTAATCTTCTATATTTAAATTCTAAAAAAAATTCTCGATGGCATTAGCATAGGTACACAACTTGTGTCAATAATAGACAATTTTTTTTATTCAAATTTGTAAAACAGTTAATAGATTAGTTTAATTTTAAGTACAATTCAATAAATTATCATTTCTAACATATTCTGAATAAATTAATTTCCCTAAATTGTATTGAAAAAGAAAATTTAAATATTAAGATTTTAAATCTAATGACAATGAACTTTAGAGATTTAAGATGATTTACATTAAGAAAGAGACCCTTGAATTATTGAAATAAAAATTTCACGAAAAGTTCATTCAACCTTTAGCTATTTTTGTATAAATTGATAGATTACTGGCAATTTTTCGGTTAATCGAATAGTGTTCATCAAATTTGTATTTATAAATAAGAAATTACTTTCTATAGTTTGATTTGTAATGTAATTACAAACTATTTAATCAGATTTCGAAACTAAAAAATTACAAAGAAACAGATTTTGAAACCAAATATTCTACAAAATGGAAATGAGTAATTTTACCAGTCCAATGCAAGCAGTGCAAATGATTTCAATGTTCAGTTATCTTAACACTTTGAACGATTTTCTGTTAACTCAACATTTTTTAAACAAAACATATCAATATCAACCAATTCCAATTGTCAATGCCTTGTACAATTACTTCTTTACTGAAAATTCTGATATAAAACAAAACGAAATAATTGATGTGAAAAAAAAATATTTAGCAAGAAAATTAATCCAAGACACCGATTTGTATGGAGGAAAAGAAAATGAAAATCTTGACGATGCATTTGTTGATGCTTTATACAAACATATAATCACTACACTTGTTTTTGAAAAATTCACAAATATTAACGGATTTCTTGTAGAAATTGTTCGTAATTCAAAAGATGTTAAAATAAATCCACTAATGGAGCAAATTATTTCTGCACTTGCGGAAGAAACATTTCTAAGTGAAAATGGAATGTTATCAAAGTTAGAGAAATTGGCAATTTTTAAAATTCTTCAAGATTTTATTGTTCCCCTATTCCCAAAACCAAAAAGAGATGTGAGTTTAGTGTCAATTGATTATATTTACGCGCAAGCTGGTGCAATATTTGATCTCTCGAGTCGTAATCCTTCACTGATAAAACCAACGGAATATGAACATAAAGATGAAATTGATAAGAAATTTAATCAGTTTATTGCAATTGGTCATGCAGTACAACAGTTAGCGTCTGCTGAAAAAATTAACCAAATCTCATTGCGAATTTTTGCACTACCGGCACTTTTTTATTATGTTTACAAAGAGAAACAAAATCTCCAAAATGTGACTACGGGGAATATAATCAAAAATTCCACCCATGGGACTAGAGCACTAAAGATTTTGTTTTCTCACCTAAATGATACATTCAAAAAAATAGAGGAGATTCAAAAAAGCAGTGGGTATCAGTTTCATTCAGCAATGTCGAATTTCAAAAATCGAACAACTCTGGCTAGGGAGAACATTGGTAGGTGTTCCTTTGACAAGAAAGTGGATTTGGAGGAAGAGATTCTGAAATACAAAAATAACCACAATTATGAATGTAATAGTGTGAGATTAGAGAACTTGAATCGTGTTTATCAGGAACAGGTTAACAACATTTCGAATAAATACTTTGTCTATGAAAAGGAATCAATTAGGAAAGCTTTTGGATCCGAGTTTATTAAATCCATAGACGGGGAAAAGGTAACAATTTCAAGGGGATTTATTAAATATTCTTATGATGGTTTAACTGTCTACGAAACCCAGTTGGTGAAACTATCTCACGATTTGTTGAAATTCTACTTTAGCGGCAATGAATCATCAGTTTATTACGCTATCCTGAGGGTGGAGAACAAATTGACAGTAATTCAGGAAAATTCTCCAATTTCTAGTAATTCTCCATTTATTAGTAATTCCCTTTCACCAATTACTAGTAATTCTACTTCTCCAATTATTTTATGTAATTCAAAATCATTCCGTGAAAAATTAGGCCTAACAACCGAAAGTTTCGGTGATAATAATTTTCCAACAGTTCTGAAGAAGGAAAACGAAAACTTTGAGGGTTTTATAAACAGAATTGCAGAGGAAAGGGTGGTGAATTTTAACAAAAGTCTCTCAATTCAAGGATACGATCAGACGAGAAAAGAATGGTGGACAGATTTTGGATTAAGTTTTCTACCGTTTTACAACTGTTATCAGGGAATAGTGACGAAAAATCTTGAGGAAACTGAAATAGCATGTCCGTTAGATATTATATTTATTTTCCCTCTCGTCGGGGAAATCGGAAACCTAATCGGAAGAATGACAACAGCAGTTTCTGAATCTCTACTAAAGGGTGCAGAAATAACTCTTGGTTCTTTAGCCCTAAGGATGACAATGAAGAAAACATTAACAAAACTTACTGGGGTGTTGGTAACCCAAGGAACCGAATTTTCGCACCTTTTAGCTAAGGGAAATCTAGGTGTAACGTTATTTCGCTACCTTGATCCTGGATTCGAACTGATTTACACGATTGGCAAAGGTGGAATAAAGTCAATTAAAAATTTGATCACCACACTTCGAAGGTATCCTATTTCCCTAGAGTCATTGGAAAAAAATCTAATGGAAAGCGAAGAGAAAATAGAAAATTCGATAAGGAAGGTAACCGATATTGTCTACATAAATTCTTTGTCTAAAAAGGACGCGGGTTACGGTTACAAGTTCATTCAGTTGCCCGATAGAATCGTCCAAATCAGAAAAGTTCGACAATACGAAGAAGAAATACCCGTAGTGTTTGAAGGATCTGATTGCAAAGCTATCAATATTTACACTGGGAAAGTTAAAGACAAAGTACTGGAACTTAGGGACCAACCCAATCGAAAATCAGTTGATTTTCGTGTAGAGAGTTTCCACGACCCTCGTATTTGTGGAAATTTACGTATTAAAAGATCTCCAATAACGTCACTTTGTATAAGAAATACTTTGCGGCAAAAAAAGCTCATGGTGGAAAAAGCAGCAATGGATTTTGTTTACGAAAACAGTGAACTAACGGAAGAGATTGTACGTAAGGAATTAAGAAGATTTGTGTTTCCCGGTGAAGGTGAAATGCAGCTGAAATTTGTCAGGGATTGGAGGGAATTGATTCGAAACGGAGAATCAAAATTACCGGATTGGAGTAAAAAATTCGAGATTTATGATCCTGGTCTTTTCGATAGATTAAGATATGCAGATTACCTAGACAAGGAAGTGATTGCAGAAAGTGAGGCTGTAATTCGTCTTGACGCAATACATCCACCGGAAGGAATTGGTGCGCCATTTTCTTCACTAGCGGGAGTATTATTAAAACATTTCGAAGAAGCCAAAGCGTTTGAATACACGACTTTGGAGGATTATCTCGCTATTCGTCAATACATGGGTAACGGTTATAAAAAAATTGGTGAAACTACACTTGAAGCACAACGAATGAGGGAAGCACTCTACCGATTAGCAATCCGTCAATCCGAAGATCCCATTGAAGAATTTGCAACAACTCTCTTTCGTGGTGAATCCAGACCAGCTGAAGTAGTCGAAAAATTATTTTATTCCGGTAGTGGAGAAATACAATTAAATCGTTTTACATCAACAACGTTAGTCAAAGATATTGCATTTAGATTTCAATATGGTGCAAGACATAATGTTTTAATTGTATATGAAATGAAATTTTCCGAATCATATCCAAGGGCAAATTTGCAGAGAATTGCTGTTAGCAATTCAGAAAAGGAGATTGTACTTCTCCCAGGTAGTTCATTTCGTATTGACAGTGTGACACCTATTACATTTTATGAAAAACGTATGTTAAATGTTAAAATGACTTTTATGCATGATAAATATTCAAAATCCGAATGGTTTAAAAATATAATGGACGAATTGGAAAAATTGGAAAAACATGGACCTGGTGTTTATGAAATTGATAAAGTTAACTATAATGCAAATTCAAATTTGTTTTTTGACAACATTCAATCGTCTAAGTTTAATAAACATAATTAATAGTTTTGTATGTCTTAAGAAAGCGAAGGTTCAAATTGTTGTTTCAGTATAATAAGATAGTTACTTCAAATAAATACAATAATAAATTATTCTGTTTTCAATGATTTATTACCCGATATTATCATATTCCGGTCAATTAGATTTACGGTTAATTTTTGATAATAATTCAATAAATTATTTTGTATACCACATGTCTCAATAAATTTTATTTAATCTTAAACAGATAAGTAAATTTGTTTATTAAGCTATAAAGATAAAATATGTAAAAAGTATATAAAAGAAGACTAATTATAGATTAATAGTAGAAGTAAAATACTTAGATTGTAATATCAGATTTAAAGTCATAAAAAGGTAGGAATAGAAATTATTTTAATATCACATACCTATAAAAAATAATAATTTTTTCTTTTTGAAACAGATTTTTAAATAAAGAAAAAATTAACCATTTTTTGAGAAAAGTAGTAACAACGAGCTTAAATAATGGATGCTGCAAATTTTACCAGCCCTCTTCAGGCAGTGCAAACGATTTCAATATTTACCTATTTAAATACACTCAGCGATTTTTTATTCGCTAGGAATTTTTTAAACGAAACAAATCAATATCAACCAATACCAATTGTTAATGCTCTGTATAATTACATTTTTGACGACTACAAAGAATACAATTATTCTACCATCGACTATCATGAAAATCGAACAAAAATTATCAATGAACGAAAAATAGATTTAGCAGGAAAATTAATCGAAGGCACCGATTTATATGGTTGGAAAGAGAACGAAATTCTCGATCCTACATTCGGAGACGCCATATACAAACATATAATTAACACTCTTGTTTTTGAAAAGTACACAAATATTTACGGATTTCTTGTAGAAATTATTCGCAGTTCTGTAGATGTGAAAATAAATACTATGTATGAAAAAATTAATTTCCAATTATCCGTGGAAATATTTCTCACCGAAAATGGAAGGGAAACAAAATTAGAGCCCCTGGTAATTTCGCATATTATTCAAGATTTTATTACCCCTTTGTTACCGTATCCAAAAGGGGAAATGAATTTACTAGCTGTTGATTATGTTTACGCTCAGGCAGGATCAATATTTCTTCATTCGACCAAAAGATCAGATTTCACCACAGTAGATGGTTTTGATGATTATGTTACAATCGCCCATGCAATTGAAAATTTGGTAATTAGTGGTAAAATTGATAAATCCGCTTTGGGAATTTTTGCACTTCCAGCACTTCTTCATTATGTTTACAAAGAGAAACAAAAGCTACGAAACCAAAAAAATATAATTAATAATTCGACTCTAGGGATCGAAGCATACAAAATGTTGTTTACGTACCTCGATAAAAAATTTACCGAAGCAGAAGAGGCGGAGAAAAATGATTATCGGTATCAGTTTCATTTAGCTTTGTCAAATTTTAAAAATCGAACAACCCTGGCTAGGGAAATCATTAGGAGCAAATGTTCCTCGGTCAAGGAAAATAATTTGGAGGATGAGGTCACAAAATACAAAAATAATCCCGATGATTATCAATGTAATAGTAGAAATGGTAAAACTTTGGAGGATGTTAATCGTCTTTATCAGGAACAGGTTGACAAGATTGCGGATAAATACTTTAGGTACGAAAAGGAATCAATACGTGAAGCTTTTGGTTCGGATTTTATTAAATCCGTTGATGCTGCAAAAGTGGAAATATCCAGGGGTTTGGTACATAATTCCTATGATGGTTTTAGTGTTTATGAAACTCAGCTGGTAAAAGAGGCAAACGATTTGTTTAGATTCTATTTTAGTGATAATGAAACTTCAGTTTATTACGCTATCTTGAGGAAGGATAACGAAATTACTGTTGTTGAAGAAAATCGAAGTGTTTTCAATTGTTCTACAATTTTTCGTGGTGCTTCCTCTACTACTAATTCTGAAGCTTCTGATGGATTTGCATCATCTGCTAATTCTGGAATTTCTACTGGTACTGCAGCATCTGATAATTCTACAACTTATACTGTTTCTCCATCATCTGTTAATTCTGCAGTTTCTACGGATTTTGCATTAACTACTGTAATCCAATGCAACCCCGATGCTTTTCGTGATAAATTACATCTAGACAGAACAGAAAAATTTCGAAATAACTATTTCCCAGTTATTAAGAAAAGTGTAGATGAAAAATTCGACACGTTTCTAAACCGAATTGCAGAGGAAAGAGCGGCGAAATTCAAAGAAAATCTCTCACTTCAGGGATACGATCAAACGACAAAAGAATGGTGGAAGGTTTTTGGATTATCATTTCTACCGTTTTACACCTGTATTCATGGAATTAAGACCCAAAATCTTGAACAAACACAACTCGGATGTCAACTGGACGTCCTTCTTGCTCTTCCTCTAGTCGGGGAAATCGGATATCTAGCCACAAAATTGACAACAGCTGTCACAAGATCAATTCTATTTTCCGCAGGAACAACACTTGAGTCCCTATTCCTAAGGACGACAATAAGGGAAACTTTAGCAAACCTAGGAAGTATTTTGATAACCGAAGGAGCCGAATTTTCCAGCTTTTTTACTAGCGAAATATTTAGAAATTTAGGTCTATCGCTGTTTCGTTACGTCGATCCTGGTTTTGAATTAATTTACACGATTGGTAAAGGGGGATTAAGATCCGTTATCACAATCATCGGTGCCTTGGAAAAATATTCCCTTTCTTTTAGGCGGTTGGAAAATATTCTACTGGAGACCGAAACTAAATTACTGAATTCGTTGAGAAAAGTACAAACACTCTTTGAGAAGAATATTTACGTAAGATCGTTGTCCAGCAAAACTGGGTATGGTTATCGATTCCTACAGCTCGATAATCAAATTTTGCAAATTAGAAAAGTTGAGGAGTACGAAGGAGAAATTCCCCTCGTACGCATCAGTAAGACAAGTTACAAAGCAGTAAATATTTACTCTAAGGAAATAAAACCCCAAGTTTTGCATCTTTTAGACGAACGTCTTCATCTTATCTCACCTAAATTTCGCATAAAAAGTTATCATAATTCCCAGCTTTGTGCTGGATCGAGAAAAAAAAGATCCCTTAGCATCTGTTTAAGAAATGCTCTCCGCGAACGTAGAAAAATAATCGAAAAAGCAGCTATTGATTTTACAGGTCAACATTTGAGAGAACTAACAGAGGAAACAGTATGTAAACAATTGAGAAGATTCGTTTTTCCAGGCAATGGACAATTACAATTAAATTTCGTCACCGAATGGCGTGCTCTGATAAAATCCGGAAATACAAATTTACCCATTTGGACAAAACAATACGAAATTAAGGATCCGGATCTTTTTGACAAATTAAGATACTCTGATGCTATGGACAAATCATCAGTTTCATTACACGATGTATTGGATGGATTGAAAATAATCCAAAATAAAAATAATCCACTTCGCGAACTCAATCCAATGGATGAAGCTCCATTTTTCGCCGAGGTTTTTAAATTGAACAAAGCGTACGAATCGGTAACATTTCCTGATTACTATGCACTCTACAATTACATGACAACTGGTTACACAAGAATCAATAGAAATACAATTGAAGCAAAAAATATGCGTGAAGCCCTCTATCGTTTGGCAATAAGACAATCGGATGATCCCATTGAAGAATTTTCTCAAAATCTATTCCGCGGTGAAACAAGATCATCAGAAATTGTAGAAAAATTATTTTACTCAGGCAAGAAAGAAATAGAATTTCAAAGATTCACATCGACGTCAACGAATCGTAATACAGCGATGAAATTTCAATATCGTCAAAATTTCGATGGTGTAAAAATTTTTTATCATATGCAATTTTCTGAACGTTATTTTCGTGCTAAAGTGGAAAATATTATTGGCGCCTATAGTGAAGGTGAAAGTGTTTTATTGCCGGGAAGTAAATTTAATATTGACAATATATTAAAATCGGTTTCACGCTATGGTGAAGATATTTTACATGTTAGATTGTCATTTAGACATGAGGAATTTCCAAAATATTTATGTTATAAAAATATAATGAATGAATTGGAAAAATTGAAGAAAAACGTTCCTGGTAATTATGACACTGATCCTTGACCGGATACAGGGGATTTGGGTAAATTACTTGATAAGTATATAAAAAATTAGATATAAATTGTTAACAACTGGTAGTTTTTAGAGTTTCGTCGTTTCGTTTTTGTAAATATTAAAATGTAAAAATTCGGAAATAAAAAGAAAAAAATTAACGATCCTTCTGTTTTACACTCATTCTGTAATAATTTCTAATCAACATTTTGGAAAAATACTAAATTTTTCAATATTAACATTTTTTTTTTGGATAACACAAAAAAAATTCTTATTCATATTCGTAAAATATTTGTCATTGACAAATTGTACGTAACTAATTTTTTTTATAATTCATTAAATAGTGTATTAAATATCTTTTCATAATACATTTGAATAAATTAAATTTCTCATTTCAAAAATGATTTTAAAAAGTAAATTTTAAAGAATACAAAAGACTATTGTTATTCAAGCTTCTTTTGAAGAATTTCTAATTATACTACAAATTTGATTGCTATATAAGGCGACGGAAAGCAATTAATTAAATGGTGAAAATTAATTAAATTAAAAGGCTAAAACAATAATTAATAATTGTCAAATTACTATTATTTTTGATGACAAAACAAAACAAGGTATGAACTATTAAATTATAACGTAAAGCAATTAATTTAAAATTTTAGTTAAAAAAAATTTCAAACATTTTTAGAATTACTGCTTATAGAAATATTTTGGTAAAAAAAAAATTATAAAAATTAAAAATTGGTGATTAATGAAAATAGAATAATTAAAATTAAATATTTACTGTAGATTTTCAAATGAAAGAAACAAAATCAAATAAATAATGGATTCATCAAATTTTACCAGCCCTCTTCAGGCAGTGCAAACGATTTCAATATTTACCTATTTAAATACACTCAGCGATTTTTTATTCGCTATGAATTTTTTAAACGAAACAAATCAATATCAACCAATACCAATTGTTAATGCTCTCTACAATTATATAATTGATGACTATCAAGAGGATCGAATTTCAATGATAAGATTCGAATTTTTAAAAAACAATTTTCCCAAACATGATTACACATGGTACAATTATTCCACCATCAACTATTGTGAAAATCGAACCAAAATTATTTGGGATCGAAAAATAAATTTAGCACGAAAATTAATAAAAGGCACCGATCTGTATGGTGGGAAAGAAAATGAAATTCTTGATCCTAAATTCATTGACGCCTTATACAAACATTTAATTAGTACTCTTGTTTTTGAAAAGTATACAAATATTAATGGATTTCTTGTTGAGATTATTCGTAATTCTGATGATTTGAAAATAACTACAATATTGGAACGAATTTTTTTGGAATTATCAAAAATAACATTTTTAAGTGAAAATGGAATAGAAACGAAATTGGAAACAATGGTAATTTTAAATATTCTTCAGGATTTTATAATTCCTATGTTTCCTGAACCAAAGGGACATAGTTTATTGTCGGTTGACTATGTTTACGCTCAAGCTGGTGCAATATTTTATCTTTCCATTCAAAGTTCTTCGATTTTGATACCAATGGAAGTTAAAAATAAAACAAATGAGGAATTTAATCAGTATATTGCTCTGGGTCAGGCAGTGGAACAATTGGTAGTTGCAGAAAAAATTGATAATTCAGCGCTAAGTATTTTTACACTTCCGGCACTTTTTCACTATGTTTACAAAGAAAAACAGAATTTAAAACTTCAAAGTACGAAAAATATAATTAATAATTCGACCCTAGTGATGGAAGCCTACAAAATGTTGTTTATGTACCTAAATTCCAGCTTTGCAGAAGTGGAGAAGGCAAAGAAAAATGATTATCGATATCAGTTTCATTTAGCTTTGTCAAATTTTAAAAATCGAACAACCCTGGCTAGGGAAATCATTAGGAGTAAATGTTCCTCGGTCAAGGAAAAGAATTTGGAGGATGAGGTCACAAAATACAAAAATAATCCCGATGATTATCAATGTAATAGTAGAAATGGTAAAACTTTGGAGGATGTTAATCGTCTTTATCAGGAACAGGTTGACAAGATTACGGATAAATACTTTAGATATGAAAAGGAATCAATTAGGGAGGCTTTTGGTTCGGAGTTTATTAAATCCGTAGATGCTACAAAAGTGGAAATATCCATGGGTTTGTTTTCGTATATTGTTAACATTATAGCAGCACGTGAATTTCAGTGGGTCAAATCATCGGCCGATTTGTTTAGATTTAATTTTATTGATAATGAAACGTCATTGTATTTTGCTGTTTTGAGGGAGAACAACGAAATTACGCTAATTCAGGAGAATCGAAGTGTTTTTAATTGTTCCACAATTTCTAATGGTGTTTCCTCTACTGCTAATTCTGCAGCTTCTACGGATTTTGCATCATCTACTGGTTCTGCAGCTTCTACAGATTTTGCATCATTTGCTAAATCTGCAGCTTTTACTGGTTCTCCATCATCTGCTAATTCTGCTGATTTTGGTAGTTTTTCTAAAACCCCCAAAAGAAACATAATCCAATGCAGCTCTGCAGCTTTTCGGGAAAAATTAGAATTAGCCAGATCCCAAAAGTTTAGCAACTACTTATTCAACTACATTAAGAAACACAAAAACGAAAAATTCGACGTTTTCCTAAACCGAATAGCAGAGGAAAGAGCGACAAAGTTTAAAGAAAGCATCTCCCTCGAGGGATACGACCAAACGAGAAAAGAATGGTGGAAAGATTTTGGATTATCACTCCTTCCATTTTACACCTGTATTCATGGAATACGAACACATCACTATCAGGAAGCGGAAATAGCATGTTCACTTGATATCCTATTTTCCCTTCCTCTCGTCGGGGAAATTGGATTACTAGCCGAAAAATTGACAACAGCAGTAACTAGATCGGTTCTCTCTTCTATAGGAACGACATTTGGTTCCCTAACCCTAAAAATGACAATACGGGAAACATTGGAGAAATTCAGCGTTTTGGTAACCAATGAACTTTCAACCTTATTCACTAGGGAAACATTCAAAAATCTCGGTCTGTCTGTATTTCGCTATCTTGATCCTGGATTCGAACTAATTTACACAATCGGCAAAGGGGGTTTAAAATCCGTTATTTCTGTAATCAATGGCCTGGAAAAATACTCCCAATCTTTCAAATCGGTGGTAAATCGTCTCCTAGATACCGAAACTAAATTATTGAATTCGGTGAGAAAAATAGAAACACTCTTCAAAAAGGACGTGTACGTTAATTCATTGACCAAATCATCGGGTTATGGATACAAATTCCTACACTTTGAAAATCAAATTGTCCAAGTTAGAAAAGTTCAGGAATACGGTGAAAGTTTACCGGTGATCCTTCACCAAGAAACAGATAAAATCACTTACAGGGTTCTTAATACCTACACTGGGAGAGTGAAATCAAAAACTGTGCATCTTGAAGACAATTTTCCCCAATCCAAACCCGGAGAATTTCGTATCAAAAGCTTCCATAATTCCCAAACTTGTCTAAATTCCCGAAATAAACGATCACTGAAAAAATTTCTCTGCCTAAGAAACATTTTACGTGACAGAAGAAAAATAATCGAAAAAGCAGCTATTGATTTTACACTTCAACACTCGGAGGAACTATCAGAGGACGTTGTACGTAATCAATTGAAAAGATTCGTTTTTCCAGGCAATGGAGAATTACAACTAAATTTCGTCACCGAATGGAGGGAATTAATAAAATCCGGAAAGACAAATTTACCCATTTGGACCAAACAATATGAAATAAAGAATCCTGATCTATTTGACAAATTAAGATATTCTGATGCAATGGACAAATGGTCAATTTCACGAAGTGAAGCAATAAATCGTATGAACAATGTTTATCCAAAAGCACCATCGACATCAATTTTAATTGATCCATTTGTGACAAAATTTTATCAATCCGACAAAGCATTTGAATCAGTAACATTTGAGGATTATTTTGCAATAAAAAATTATATGGGCAATGGTTATAGAAGAATAGCGCGCGATACAATTGAAGCAAAATGTATGCGTGAAGCACTTTATCGTTTGGCAATAAGACAATCGGATGATCCAATTGAGGAATATACAAAAACTCTATATCGTGGTGAAACAAGATCACCAGAAATTGTGGAAAAATTATTTTTCTCCAATAAACGTGAAATTGAGGTGAATCGTTTTACATCAACGTCAGCAAATCGAAATATTGCATTTAAATTTCAATATCCAATTGATGATGATGCTGTGAGAATTTTGTATCATATACAATTTCAAGAACCTTATTTTCGTGCAAAATTGGAAAATGTCGTTAGTGGCATTGTCGAAGAGGAAAGTGTTCTTTTACCGGGAAGTAAATTTCGCATTGATAGTGTGGAAAGAACAATAATTTATGGTGAAAATATTTTAGAAGTTAAATTATCATTTGTACATGATGAAATTCCAAAATATTTGTGGTATCAAAAAATTATGGACGAATTGGAAAAATTGCGAAAAAATAATCCTGGTAGTTATGAAATTGATCCGTTTTAAGGAAATCTGCGAATTTCGATGTACGAAAATTAAATATAATTTTGTTAAATTTAATAAAATATTTTTATAAAATAATTTAAGTTATTATTATTATTCAGATTTCATTTCATTATTGTTAAATACGATTTCGTAATTTTTTAATCTTTTATGTAATATTATGTATATGAGAGCCAAAAGAAACACATGTTACTGAATAAATTAAATTACAAAAAAATTAGATAATTTGAAGAAAAGAACGAATTTAAATGCGTCTTTGTAAATGAGTTTGTAATTAAATAATTTTATTCTACAGACTGTTCAAATTAAATTATGAATGATTCCATTGCACTTCATTTAAAGTAGCAAAATCAATTTTAATTTAAAATAATAAAAATCATAAATCAACATAGAATAGTAACATTTCATGAAAAAAATACCTAATTTTGTATACATTAATTCGTTATTAAAATTTACAATTATAACTTTTGGATAACAATATAAAAATCAGAAATTGAAAAGTAGAAACCAAGTTTACTTATTGCTATAAGGTAACCTATTTCTTTTTTTAAAAAATCCGGTTTTTACTGAAAAAATTAAGAAATTAATTAAGAAACCGTTTTCTATATTTGGATCCAACATCCGTAAACCAGATTACAAAAATGGAAGTAACAAATTTTACGAGCCCAATGCAAGCAGTGCAAATAATTTCAATGTTTAGTTATCTAAATATTCTCAGTGATTTTCTATTTGCTAAAAATTATTTAAACGAAACAAGACAATATCAACCAATTCCAATTGTTAATGCTTTGTACAATTATTTTTACTTTGAAAATTCTGATATAAAACAAAACGAAATAATTGATGTGAAAAAAAAATATTTAGCAAGAAAATTAATCCAAGACACTGATTTGTATGGAGGAAAAGAAAATGAAAATCTTGACGATACATTTGTTGATGCCTTATACAAACATATAATCACTACACTTGTTTTTGAAAAATTTACAAATATTAACGGATTTCTTGTAGAAATTGTTCGTAATTCAAAAGATGTTAAAATAAATCCACTAATGGAGCAAATTTTTTCTGCACTTGCGGAAGAAACATTTCTAAGTGAAAATGGAATGTTATCAAAGTTAGAGAAATTGGCAATTTTTAAAATTCTTCAAGATTTTATTGTTCCCCTATTCCCAAAACCAAAAAGAGATGTAAGTTTAGTGTCAATTGATTATATTTACGCGCAAGCTGGTGCAATATTTGATCTCTCGAGTCGTAATCCTTCACTGATAAAACCAACGGAATATGAACATAAAGATGAAATTGATAAGAAATTTAATCAGTTTATTGCAATTGGTCATGCAGTACAACAGTTAGCGTCTGCTGAAAAAATTAACCAAATCTCATTGCGAATTTTTGCACTACCGGCACTTTTTTATTATGTTTACAAAGAGAAACAAAATCTCCAAAATGTGACTACGGGGAATATAATCAAAAATTCCACCCATGGGACTAGAGCACTAAAGATTTTGTTTTCTCACCTAAATGATACATTCAAAAAAATAGAGGAGATTCAAAAAAGCAGTGGGTATCAGTTTCATTCAGCAATGTCGAATTTCAAAAATCGAACAACTCTGGCTAGGGAGAACATTGGTAGGTGTTCCTTTGACAAGAAAGTGGATTTGGAGGAAGAGATTCTGAAATACAAAAATAACCACAATTATGAATGTAATAGTGTGAGATTAGAGAACTTGAATCGTGTTTATCAGGAACAGGTTAACAACATTTCGAATAAATACTTTGTCTATGAAAAGGAATCAATTAGGAAAGCTTTTGGATCCGAGTTTATTAAATCCATAGACGGGGAAAAGGTAACAATTTCAAGGGGATTTATTAAATATTCTTATGATGGTTTAACTGTCTACGAAACCCAGTTGGTGAAACTATCTCACGATTTGTTGAAATTCTACTTTAGCGGCAATGAATCATCAGTTTATTACGCTATCCTGAGGGTGGAGAACAAATTGACAGTAATTCAGGAAAATTCTCCAATTTCTAGTAATTCTCCATTTATTAGTAATTCCCTTTCACCAATTACTAGTAATTCTACTTCTCCAATTATTTTATGTAATTCAAAATCATTCCGTGAAAAATTAGGCCTAACAACCGAAAGTTTCGGTGATAATAATTTTCCAACAGTTCTGAAGAAGGAAAACGAAAACTTTGAGGGTTTTATAAACAGAATTGCAGAGGAAAGGGTGGTGAATTTTAACAAAAGTCTCTCAATTCAAGGATACGATCAGACGAGAAAAGAATGGTGGACAGATTTTGGATTAAGTTTTCTACCGTTTTACAACTGTTATCAGGGAATAATGACGAAAAATCTTGAGGAAACTGAAATAGCATGTCCGTTAGATATTATATTTATTTTCCCTCTCGTCGGGGAAATCGGAAACCTAATCGGAAGAATGACAACAGCAGTTTCTGAATCTCTACTAAAGGGTGCAGAAATAACTCTTGGTTCTTTAGCCCTAAGGATGACAATGAAGGAAACATTAACAAAACTTACTGGGGTGTTGGTAACCCAAGGAACCGAATTTTGGCACCTTTTAGCTAAGGGAAATCTAGGTGTAACGTTATTTCGCTACCTTGATCCTGGATTCGAACTGATTTACACAATTGGCAAAGGTGGAATAAAGTCAATTAAAAATTTGATCACCACACTTCGAAGGTATCCTATTTCCCTAGAGTCATTGGAAAAAAATCTAATGGAAAGCGAAGAGAAAATAGAAAATTCGATAAGGAAGATAACCGATATTGTCTACATAAATTCTTTGTCAAAAAAAGACGCGGGTTACGGTTACAAGTTCATTCAGTTGCCCGATAGAATCGTTCAAATCAGAAAAGTTCGACAATACGAAGAAGAAATACCCGTAGTGTTTGAAGGATCTGATTGCAAAGCTATCAATATTTACACTGGGAAAGTTAAAGACAAAGTACTGGAACTTAGGGACCAACCCAATCCAAAATCAGTTGATTTTAGTCTGGAGAGTTTCCACGACCTTCGTATTTGTGAGAAATTACGATTTAGAAGATCTCCAACAACGTCAGTTTGTATTAGAAATATTTTGCGGCAAAAAAAGCAAATGGTTGAAAAAGCAGCAATGGATTTTGTTCAACAATGCAGTGAACTATCTGAAGAGATTGTACGTAAGGAATTAAGAAGATTCGTTTTTCCCGGTGAAGGTGAAATGCAGCTGAAATTTGTCAGGGATTGGAGGGAACTGATAAAAAATGGAAAGAGGGATTTACCAGTTTGGAGTAGGCAATACGAAATAAATGATCCGAATCTATTCGAACGATTAAGATACGCAGACAGTATGGACAAGGAGGAAATATCTAAAAGTGAAGTGGAAATTCGACTAAGAAAATTGTTTTTCTATGATTATAGTTTTGTTCCATATTTATCGCAGGCAGGTGTACTGTTGAAAAATTTTAAAGACGCTCGGGCTTTTGAATCCGTTACTTTTGAGGATTTTCTCGCCTTACGAAGTTACATGGGTAACGGATATCGAAGAATTGGTGAAAGTACAGTTGAAGCACAAGCAATGAGGGAAGCACTATACCGATTAGCAATTCGACAATCCGAGGATCCAATTGAGGAATATGCAACAACTCTCTATCGTGGTGAATCCCGACCAGCTGAAGTAGTCGAAAAATTATTTTACTCCGGTAGTGGAGAAATACAATTAAATCGTTTTACATCGACATCTTTAATCAAGGAAGTTGCACTTCGTTTTCAATTTGGTGCCGGTGATAATATTCGTGTTTTGTATGAAATGAAATTTCCCCAACAATATTTAAGGGTGAATATGCAGAAAATTTCTGTGAGTAATTCAGAGAGGGAAACGGTTCTTCTACCTGGCAGTACATTTCGTATTGAAAGTGTTTCGCCAGTTACAATTATGGAGAGAACAATGTTAAATGTTAAAATGTCTTTTATTCATGATAAATATTCAAAACACGAATGGTTTAAGAATATTATGGACGATTTGGAAAATTTGAAGAAAAATGGCGCTACTTATTATGAGGCTGATAAACTTGGTTCGTTTAATGAGGAGGCGAAAATTTTTTTTAATAATCTTCCATTGCCCAAGTTTAATCATTAATTTTTCATCAGTTTTAAATAATTCTTTTGTGATAGTGAAACGAAAAATATTCAGACAATTAACTTTTCAAGTACAATTACATGTGTACGATAATAGTGATGGGATTTAGAATTAGAATATAAATTCAAATTTAGAAAATAATTAAATTCTATTCATATTAAAATATTTTGTCAACATTACAACTACTTTTTTTTGTTACGTCTTATCTATAGAAACACACGTGTTGGAAAAAAATTAAGTTCTCAATGTTATATTAAATAAATCATAAAATAGTTATCTGCATCACATTTTTACTGAAAATCGTGCAATTGCGATTATTGGAATTTGCAATATGGAAGAAAAATATTGGTAATTTTATTAATTAATTTTATTCAATATTGTCAATTTGAAATTTTTCAGAGGTTTGGAAAATGGTTTCTAAAAATTTCCATTCCATATCTATAAGTAACTAATAAAAAAATATTTGTCTAAAAACTACAATATTTACGACTATTTTATAATATAAAAGCCAATGTCAATCGTGACATGTTTGGATATAAAATTCAGTTATATAGAAGTCATTGAAAAGTGTACTAAAAAAATAATTTATTCACAAGAACATATAAAAAAAATTTCTGTAAAAGTTTCTTTACTTTTTTAATAAAAAAGGTATGTTAATATCTGAAATTTTTTAAAAAATTTAAGAAAAAAAATAAAATTATTCCAAATTTAGTAAATTAAAAATAATTTTAGTAGATTTGGAGTAATTTATAGTTATTAAAAAGCAAAACAGATTTAAAAAAAATATTTCTTTAACAGATTTATGAATAAAAAATGGAGATGTCAAATCTTACACCAATACAAGCTGTACAAACAATTTCAATGTTCAGTTATTTAACAATTCTCAGCGATTTTTTAGTGGGGAAAAATTTATTAAATATTAATAATCAATATCAACCAATTCCAGTGGTAAATGGTTTATATAATTATTTTCTCGACAATACTGGTAGAAAGCAAAAAAATTTTATTGAAGAACGAAAATTACGTTTAGCTCGAAAATTAATAAAAGGCACAGATCTTTATGGTGCAAAAGAAAATGAAATTCCAGATCCAATTTTTGTCGATTCACTATACAGACATATAATTACAACACTAGTGTTTGAAAAATATACAAATATTTATGGATTTCTCGTTGAAATTGTTCGCAATTCCAAGGATTTAGAAATAAAGACAATACAGAACAAAATTTTGTCAACATTAACAGAAGAAACATTTCTCAATGAAAATGGAGAATATTCAAAATTAGAAATGATTTCAATTTTTAAAATTCTACAAGATTTTATTTATCCTTTATTTCCAAAAATAACAACTAACATTAATTTACTATCAATTGATTATATTTATGCTCAAGCTGGTTTAATGTTTCATTTATCACAAAATCCGTCACCACTAATTGTACCAAGAGTATACAATCATAAGGATCTAATTAATCCTAGTGTTAAATTTAATGAATATGTAACCATAGCACATGCTATAGAACAATTGGTAATCGCCGGAAAATTAGAAAACAAAGTAATGGCAATTTTTACACTCCCATCACTCTTTTTTTATATTTCCACTCAAAAAGAGGTGCTTAAAAATGTAAGTACAGAAAAAATTATGATGAATTCCACCCTAGGTGCCGAAGCCTACAGTATGTTATTTACATATCTAAATAATAAATTTACAGAATTAGAAAATGCTAAAAAAAATGACTATCGATATCAATTTTATTTGGCTAGGGCAAATTTTAAAAATCGTACAACAATTGCTAGGGAAATTATTAGAAGCCGATGTCTTTTGATTACAAAAGAAGATTTAGAGGATGAGGTCACAAAGTACAAAAATAATCCTGATGATTATCAATGTAATACTGGAATATGGATGAAGAGGATTGAATCTTTAGTGGATTTAAATCATCTTTATCAAGAAGAAGTTAATAAAATAACAAATAAATACTTTGAATACCAAAAAAAATCAATAATAGATGCTTTTGGTGAAGATTTTATAAAATCAATGAACAATCAAAAAGTTAAAATCTACAGAGGATTAATTGACGATTATTTAAATGGTTATACGGTAGAACAAAAACAATTTGTTAAGAAAAGTGATGATTTTTTTAAATTCTACTTTCCTGAAACTAATATCACTGTTTTTTATGCCATAATTCGTGATGATAAAAAATTTACAGCAATTCAACAAGCTACCGATAAAATTAGTTTCACTAAATCTACTACTAATACTTCCAATCCTAATACTACAGATAGTGTTAATTCTACACAAAATAAAATCATAATTTCCAAAGGTTCAATTATACAGTGTACTGCTGATGATTTTCGTAAAAAATTAGAAATGTCAACTACAATGATTTTTCCAGATTATCTAATGAAAAAAGTAGAAAAAGAAGTAGAGGAAAATTTTGATGATTTTATAAATAAAATTGTTGAAGAAAGAGCTGAGAATTTTAATAAAAGTCTCAGAAACGAGGGATATGATGAAACAAAACAGGAATGGTGGGAAGATTTTGGATTATCACTCATTCCATTTTACACATGTGTTCATGGATTTAAAACGAATAATAACAATGATTTATCATCATGTCTACTTGATGCGATGTCAATGATACCATTTATAGGCGATCTAGAGCTAATTCTCGAAAAATTTACAACAGCTACAACGAGATCTTTGCTATCAATAGCAGGTACTACATTTGCTTCATTTACACTCAGAGAAAGTATGCGTACAACTTTGGAAAAAATTAGCGAAATCACAGCCGTCGAGGCAGTAAAATTTACCGAATTATTTACCAAGGAAACATTTAAAGATCTCGGTATCTCTATACTTCGTGTCATCGATCCTGGTTTTGAACTTATTTATCAAATTGGTCGAGGAGGATTGAGATCATTGGGAAATTTAATAACGGAACTGGGAAAATATTCCAACTTTGAGTCATTGAGGACAATGATACAAAAATGTGAGGAAAAATTTTTGAATACATTTATCAAATTGGGTGACAAATTCTCCGAAATGGATGTCTATGTAAATTCTTTGTCGAAAAAAAATTCTGGCTATGGTTATAGGTTTATTGATTCATTTGATGAACGTGATCTGCAAATTAGGCAAATTGAGGAAGAGGAGAATAGGGAAATGGTGGTTCAACTAATTGATGGAAATCTTTGTATGGCTCTGGATGTGAAAAAGGGTAAAATTATGAAAAAGGTGTTGCATGTTAAAAACGAGCATATAGAAAATGAAAATTCAGAATTTGGAATAAAGAGTTTTCATGACAGTGAGAACTGTGGAAAGCGGATTCGAAGAACTCCGACGGAACATCTTTGTTTAAGAAATACCCTAAAAGACAAACGGGAAGAAATTGAGAAAGCGGCATTAGATTACGTTCGAGAATACGGAGTACTTAATAAAGATGATGTACTAACGGAATTAAGAAAATATGTATTTCCAGGTGAAGGTGAAAAACAATTGCAATTTGTTAAAGATTGGAGAGAAATGATCCAAAACGGTCAAAAGGGTTTACCAGAATGGAGTAATGAATACAAAATACAGGATCATAATTATTTTCAACACATAATATATTCGGAAATTATGGACAAGAAAAAAACCAGTTACAATGAAGCGTACGAAAGATTGAAATCAATTTATTCGGAAAAATATCCAGCGACAGGTGCATCAATTTTGCTTCATACTTTTGAAGCACAAAAAGCCTATGAATCGGTAACTTTTGAGGATTTTGCCGCTATACACAATTATATGGGAAGTGGTTACAGTAGAATGGAAAAAGATACAATAGAAACGAGATCAATGCGAGCAGCATTGTACCGATTGGCCATTAGACAATCAGAAGATCCGGCTAAAGAATTTGAAAAAATTCTCTACCGTGGTGAAACTAGACCCCAGGAAGTAGTTGACAAATTGTTTCGTGAAGGTAACGAAATAGAATTCAATCGATTTACATCTGCAACGACGGAAAAAAAAATAGCATACAGATTTCAGTTCAGTTCAATGGATAATGTTAAAATTTTATATGAAATGAAATTTTCCCAACCATATATAAGAGCAAAATTGGAATCAATGGATAGATTCAATCATGAAAAGGAAACGGTTCTTCTACCGGGTAGTAAATTTCACATTGATCAGGTGAAATCCGAAAAAAGTTATTACAAGGAAATAATAGTGGTAAAAATGACTTTTCTTCATGATAAATTTCCAAAACATGAATGTCTTAAGAAATATATGAACGAATTACAGAAGCTAAAGGAAAAAGATGCAATTTTATTAGAAAGTCCCCAGTAAAAAAAAGAATTGGGAGTAAGCGAAAAGAATTGGTGGTAACTTAAGCTGAATGCGGTTTGGCGAAAAAACCGAATTGGAACGTTACGGTGAATTATTTTTTTCTTACCGTGAATTCTTTTTTCTTAAACATTTGAATTGACGTTTGTTTATTCGAGTTTGCATTATAAATGAATAAAATAAATGCTTCGAAGTCTAAAAAGACGATTTGGAATAAGAAATATATAATTTAAAAAAAATAAATGAAAGCGAAGTGTGACAGATTTACCAACGATTTTATCAAATGAGTAGTGTTCATATGATAAATTTACCATATGAGTAGTACTCACATGGTAAAATTGTCAGTAAATCTATCACATTTCACTTTTATTTCTTTTTAAAAAATTATATATTTCTTATTCCAAATCGGCTTTTTTAGAATTCGAAACATTTATTCTTATTCATTTATAATGCAAACTCGAATAAACAAACGTCAATTCAAATGTTTAAGAGAAAAGAATTCACGGTAAGAAAAAAATAATTCACCGTAACGTTACCAACAATTCTTTTCGTTTACTCCTAATTCTTTTTTTTTACTGAGTCATTTTCGTTAATTTTTTGCATTTCCAAATTCTTTAAATTAATTAATTTAATCAATTTTCCGATTTAATATAAAAACATTTTTGTTTTGCATATTTGGGTAATTTTAAATGTCATTCAAATCAATTGTTTTTTTATTTTTTAATAAATATTTCATAAAACAACAGTCTGCGCAATTGAAAAAAAATACTGTAATTCGAAATTTTTAATAAAGAATAACAAAAATAACTGTAAAATATATATTTCATTTGAATAAATATTTCTCTTCTTTGAAAAATTTTGTAAAACTTCAATTTTACGAAAATTTTATATATAAAAATAACGATTGAAACATTTTCGTTCTAAATAAAATTTATCAGCAAAGTAAAAAAGTAGAATGATAATTTATGCATGAGTTTGAAAAACAAATAACTATTGTTATTAACGAAAAACATTAAAAAAGTAAATTAAAGTAGATTAAATATTTGTAGCAAATAAAAAACTAGTATTTTATTATTATATAATAATCAAGGTTATGCATATATAAATTAATACAGTTTTAAAAAAATTGTTTCAGTAAAAAATTCGTTATATTTAATAGTTAAAAATAATTATAAAAATGGAGTCGACACATTTTATGACTCCTATGGAAGCTGTGCAAACGGTTTCAATATTCAGTTATCTAACAATTCTCAGTGATTTTTTATTGGGTAAAAATTTATTAAATGTGACTAATCAATTTCAACCGATACCAGTGGTAAATGGATTGTATCATTATTTGAACGACAATAGTAATGAAAATCAAACAATCATCATTGAACGAAAATTACAATTGGCTCGTAAACTTATTGAAGGCACTGATTTATATGGAGCAAAAGAAAACGAAATTCCAGATCCAATTTTTGTTGATTCACTATACAGACATATAATTACAACACTTGTGTTTGAAAAGTTTATAAATATTTATGGATTTCTTGTAGAAATTGTTCGTAATTCTAAAGATTTAGAAATAAAGACAATACACGACAATATTATGACGGCGTTAACAGAAGAAAAATTTCAGAATGAAAATGGAAATTATTCCATGTTAGAGACATCGACAATTTCGGAAATTATCAAAAATTTTATTCATCCTTTGTTTCCAAAAATACTATCAGAAAATATTAATTTATTATCAATTGATTATATTTATGCTCAAGCTGGTTTAATGTTTCTTTTGTCCGGAATTAGTTCACCGTTATTAAAATCAACTGAATTTAACCAATCTGGGGAAATTAACAGTACAGTTCAATTTGCTCAATACGTAATTATTGCACATACTATTGAAAAATTGGTAATCGATAAAGAAATGAACGAAGTAGTTTTAGGAATTTTTTCCCTTCCAGCTCTATTTTATTACACTTACAATGAAAAAGAGATGCTAAAAAATATAAGTATAGAAAATATAATGAATAATGCGACTCTAGGAATTGAAGCCTTCAAAATGTTGTTTAAGTATCTAAATGAAAAGTTCGAGAAATTGGATAGTATTAAGAAAAATGATTACCGATATCAGTTTTATTTGGCTAGAGGAAATTTTAAAAATCGTACAACACTGGCTAGAGAAATTATTAGCAGCAAATGTCCGCTTGTTAAAAAAGAGGAATTAGAGGATGAAGTTACAAAATACAAAAATAATCCTGATGATTATCAATGTAATACTGGAAATGGGAAAAAATTAGAGGATGTGAATCGTCTTTATCAGGAACAGGTGAACGATATTACAAATAAATACTTTGTCTACGAAAAGGAAACCATTAAAGAAGCTATGGGTTCGGAATTTATTGAAGCCATAGATGATACCAATGTAGAAATAACCAGAGGTTTGGTTACATATCAGGCTAGCCCTATAGGATATAATGAATTTCAATGGGTAAAAGAATCAGACGATTTGTTCAGGTTCCACTTTGTCGACGATAAAGAAGCATCATATTATTTTGCTTTTGTGCGGGAGAACAACGAAATTATGGTAATGGTAGAAGATTACGAGAGTTCTGATTGTTCCCTATCAAAAAAACGAAAAACTAAAATAATACATTGCAACCCTGGAATTCTTCGTGATAAATTAGAATTGTCAAGAGACGAAGAATTTTCAAGGAATCACTTCCCGTTAGTTAAGAAACATAAAGATGAGAGGTTCGAAGTCTTTTTAAATCGAATTGCAGAGGAAAGAGCTAATAAATTTAAAGCGATAATCACACGCGAGGGATACGACCAAACGAGAAAGGAATGGTGGAAAGATTTCGGATTATCGCTAATTCCTTTTTACACTTGCGTTCATGGAATTAAAACGGGAAATACAGAAGAGGAAACCTCATGTTTATATGATGCTCTAGCATTTTTACCCCTTGTTGGAGATTCAGAATTTGTTTTAGAAAAATTCACAACAGTTACAACAAGAGCTTTATTTAAAGCAGCAGGTACTAATTTTGCGTCTTTAACACTGAAGACAACATGGAAAACAACATTGGCAGAAATAAGTGAAATCTTATCAGAAGAAGGAATAACATTTTCTGAATCACTTACGAAAGAAACATTTCAGAATTTTGGATTATCTTTAATTCGTTCCATAGATCCTGAAATTGAACTTATTTATGACATTGGCCGAGAAGGATTGAGTTCGATGAGAAATTTAATTAGTAAACTTGGGAAATTACCATCTTCCTTTGAAACTTTAAATTCATTATTTAAATATGAAAAAACAATATCAAATACATTTACTAAAGTTGAAAACAAATTCTCCAATATGGATGTGTATGTAAATTCGTTGTCGAAAGAAAATTCTGCATATGGTCATAAATACATTAAGTTTTCTGAAAATCGAATTTTTCCGATTAGGCAAATTGAAGAATATGGAAATATGGAAAAGCCGGTTGTAATGATTAATGGTAAGGAAAATCTTTGCAAGGCTGTTGATATAAAAACTGGTGAAATAATTGAGAAAGAAATTTTACATATTAAAGGTGAGCATATTCGAAATGAAAATTCTAAATTTAAAATAAAAAGTTTCCACGACACTGACAAATGTAAAAGTGTACGTTTTAGAAGATCACCAATGCCATATTTTTGTATGAGAAATACTTTAAAGAAAAAAAGAGAAGAATTTGAGAAAGAGGCAATGGACTATGTTCAAGTACATGGACTACTTTCGGATGATTATGTACGAGACAAACTAAGAAAGTTTGTATTTCCAGGTAAAGGTGAGAAACAACTACAATTTGTAAAGGATTGGAGAGAAATAATCCAAAAAGGCGAAATGGGTTTTCCAGCTTGGAGTAAGAAATACGAAATACATGATCCTAAATTATTTGAGCGTCTGATGTATTCTGACATAATGGACAAAAAAGAAACATCTTATCAAGAAGCATATGAAAGACTCCATTCAATTTATTCCAAAAAATATCCAACCTCGGGTACATCAATTTTGCTAGAGGATTTTAAATTACAAAAAGCCTATGAATCAGTAACTTTTGAGGATTTTGCTGCATTACACAATTACATGGGTAGTGGACATAGTAGAATTGGAAGAGATACAATAGAAGGAAAATCGATGCGAGCAGCGTTGTACCGTTTGGCCATTAGACAATCAGAGGATCCTTCAAAAGAATTTGCAAAAATTCTATATCGTGGTGAAACTAGACATCAAGATGTAGTTAAAAATTTGTTTTATTCCGATAATAGAGAACTACAATTTAATCGATTTACATCTACATCGACAAGCAAACTAATTGCAATTAAATTTCAAGATACTTTAATGAATGTTAAAATTTTATACGAAATGAAATTTTCTGAACCATATCTAAGAGCAAAATTAGAAACGCTAGATAAATATAATAATGAAAAGGAAACAGTTCTTCTACCGGGTAGTAAATTTCACATTGATGATGTAACAATTGATAAAAATGAAATGTTAATAGTTAAAATGTCTTTTCTTCATGATAAATTTCCAAAACACGAATGCTATAAAAACTTTATGGACGAATTAGAAAAGTTAAAGGAAAAAAGAGATACTTTATTGGAAACTCATTTTCGTTAAATTGTTTTTTCCAAATTCTTTGATTTAAAATAAAAATTACGATATTAGCCAATATTTCATTTAAAAAAATGACAATCTGCGTAATTTTAAATACTGTAATTTGAAATTTGTAATAAAGAATAAAATAAAAAAAAAAAAAAGAAAATTTCTGTTTCACGAATAGTTTAAGAATATTATGGACGAATTGGAAAATTTGAAGAAAAATGGCGCTACTTATTATGAGGCTGATAAACTTGGTTCGTTTAATGAGGAGGCGAAAAATTTTTTTAATAATCTTCCATTGCCCAAGTTTAATCATTAATTTTTAATTTTCCATCAGTTTTAAATAATTCTTTTGTGATAGTGAAACAAAAAATATTCAGACAATTAACTTTTCAAGTACAATTACATGTGTACGATAATAGTGATGGGATTTAGAATTAGAATATAAATTCAAATTTAGAAAATAATTAAATTCTATTCATATTAAAATATTTTGTCAACATTAGCAACTACTTTTTTTTGTTACGTCCCATCTATAGAAACACACGTGTTGGAAAAAAATTACGTTCTTAATGTTATATTAAAAAAATAATAAAATAGTTATCTGCAACACATTTTTACTGAAAATCGTGCAATTGCGATTATTGGAATTTGCAATATGGAAAAAAAATATTGTGACGTTGTAAAATTTACAATTTTACAAATCACAAAGGTTTATTTATTTTTTCAATATATTAAATCACTTTGCTTTATTATTCTCGAAAAAGATATTTTAATATAAAAATTTACTAGACGAAATCACATTATAGATTCGAGAAATGGAAAAATCTTATTTAATAATAATTTAATATTAAGAATTAATGTCTGTAATCCCTTTTTATTTACTTATTTTCGAGCTATCATTCAACTGAAACAAGAAATTAAGAAAAATATCAAGATTTAAGAAAACTTTGAGAAAAATTGATTATATTGAAAATTTTGTATTGGTCAACCTAACATCAATTTTGATGTCGTCAATCATTGGATGTTTTGAAGTTTATTATCGATTATTTGGATATATTTTTATTATTAAAAATTTGGATTCTTGAATATTCACTTCCGATGTACCCATTAATTGGATAATTGAGAGATGCCAAGTATTTTCACGTGTTATGCAAATATCACCCTGAGAATATCATTGACTTCATTTCCTGGCGAAACATTCAAAAATTATTATGATTTTTGGAAGGCTTCTTTATATTTTTAAATTACTATTTAAAACTTCTGTTGCTGCGGTTAGGCAAGGCCCATATAAAATGTTTAATGTTTTGGATTTATCTCAATTTGAAGTTTGAAGATTTTTACTTGAGTGTGGCATTATCTTTGTAAATTTCAATATTAATTCCGAATTCATTAATATATATATTGGAGAAGAATTAATGATTTACCATCTTGCGTCGGATTAACGTATTAAAATCGTTAATCAAGAAGAAGTATTATTATTATTCAAGAAAACAATTTTTGTCAACAACATTTATTATCAAATTTGAATTTTGCACTTGATCAGTTGGGACTAATCAGCGTCAAGATATAGATGAAAATCTTTTTACCGACCGTCAAACTTTCTTTTTTGTCCCGATCTTTTTATTTTTTTTAGATATTCATTTTTTTGGTTGGTAACGAAAATCTCCTAGGAGAAAACAAACAACGTCTTTTTTACAGTGTGACCAGGCCGCAGATAGACTTGACCCCCACCATGTTTCCATCCGCACACTAACACATGCATATACATTCCCTGTTAGTGTGCGGATGGAAACATGGTGGGGGTCAAGTCTATCTGCGGCCTGGTCACACTGCTTTTTTATTCATTCTTTAATGTGATTTCGTAAAGAAAAGACGTCATTTCATTTTTTTTTGTATAATTTGATAATTTGGGAATCTCAATCAATAAACGGATATATTTCAATCATTTATATTAAAAGGAAATAAATAAAGAAAATAAATAAAAGGAGATTGATTTAATAAAAAGGAGGAATTATTTGCAATTAAACCATTGGAGACATTCGTTACCGTCAGCCATTTTTGAACCCAACCTTTTTTTTGGAATTCTTTGGTAAAGTTTTATTTATTACATTTATGAATGATATCTCAAAATTATTAATTTGTTTGAATTTTTTTTCAATAATGAATTTAATTTTCCTTAGATCTAAATTTAATTTTCTTTGAATTTAATTTGGAATTTCAATTTAATTTAATTTAAAAATGATTTATTTTGAATTGAATTGATTGTTTAATTGATTTTGAATTTATTTAAGAATGAATTTAATTTTCTAAATATAATTAAAAGTTGATTGAAATGTCATTCTTTTAATTTAATTATTATTGTATCCATTTCAATTTTTCCATTTCCATCCATTTTTCATTTCTCGAATTAAAGAATCCTTATTCTTTTAGAAAAAAGAAAGAATAAGTATTATTATTATTATTTTATATTATATCGAGTCTTGACTCAATTTTCTTTAACATGTTCAAAAATTTTAAATAAATGATTATGGCCGTGTGTACTCTTCAGACTAATTTAACAATCAACAATAATTTTGATTTAATTGTCGAATTTGACAGTCTCAAAAATAATTTGCCTGGTGGCCTTGTGTATTTTTCCAGACTAATTCAACGATTAAAGAAAAATCTATTTAATCTATTTAATCAATTTAATTCTTTTGTCCCTTAATTATTTATTTATTTTTATTTTTGTCCCAAGAAAGGACTGGCGCCCAACAAACAATTTATTCGAGTCTTCCCTTTTGTAACTTTGATTTAATTAATTGATTTTCTTAACATTCAGCATCATTAATAAAATCATTTGGTTACAATATTACTGATAAAAAAATATTTATCTAAAAACTCCAATATTTACGACTATTTTTATAATATAAAAGCCAATGTCAATCGTGACATGTTTGGATATTCATTTATGCTGAAACAAAATTTCTTAATAAAGCAAATAATTTTATAAAAGTTTAAAATAAAGATAACAAAAGCAAATTTTTTTGATATAAATATGTATAAAATTTCTAAGAAAACTAAAAAATTAGCTGATAATTTTTATTTGACTTTTAAGAAATGCTTGATTCTTATCGTAAGACCTTGAAAAAGTAGATATAAAATATGTTAATATAGTGAAATATTTGTATTAAATAAAATCGAATTAGGTTTCATCATTATACTATTAGATAAAATTTTATATAAATTTATATAAATTGACTTAGAGAAATTTCGTTTTTTTTGTAGTCCTCTGCTATTTTAAAAGAGATTTCCAATTAATGCAAAAATTTTATTTTTTACAGCAAAAAAATAATTATAAAAATGGAGTCGACACATTTTATGACTCCTATGGAAGCTGTGCAAACGGTTTCAATGTTCAGTTATCTAACAATTCTCAGTGATTTTTTATTGGGTAAAAATTTATTAAATGTGACTAATCAATTTCAACCGATACCAGTGGTAAATGGATTGTATCATTATTTGAACGACAATAGTAATGAAAATCAAACAATCATCATTGAACGAAAATTACAATTGGCTCGTAAACTTATTGAAGGCACTGATTTATATGGAGCAAAAGAAAACGAAATTCCAGATCCAATTTTTGTTGATTCACTATACAGACATATAATTACAACACTTGTGTTTGAAAAGTTTATAAATATTTATGGATTTCTTGTAGAAATTGTTCGTAATTCTAAAGATTTAGAAATAAAGACAATACACGACAATATTATGACGGCGTTAACAGAAGAAAAATTTCAGAATGAAAATGGAAATTATTCCATGTTAGAGACATCGACAATTTCGGAAATTATCAAAAATTTTATTCATCCTTTGTTTCCAAAAATACTATCAGAAAATATTAATTTATTATCAATTGATTATATTTATGCTCAAGCTGGTTTAATGTTTCTTTTGTCCGGAATTAGTTCACCGTTATTAAAATCAACTGAATTTAACCAATCTGGGGAAATTAACAGTACAGTTCAATTTGCTCAATACGTAATTATTGCACATACTATTGAAAAATTGGTAATCGATAAAGAAATGGACGAAGTAGTTTTAGGAATTTTTTCCCTTCCAGCTCTATTTTATTACACTTACAATGAAAAAGAGATGCTAAAAAATATAAGTATAGAAAATATAATGAATAATGCGACTCTAGGAATTGAAGCCTTCAAAATGTTGTTTAAGTATCTAAATGAAAAGTTCGAGAAATTGGATAGTATTAAGAAAAATGATTACCGATATCAGTTTTATTTGGCTAGAGGAAATTTTAAAAATCGTACAACACTGGCTAGAGAAATTATTAGCAGCAAATGTCCGCTTGTTAAAAAAGAGGAATTAGAGGATGAAGTTACAAAATACAAAAATAATCCTGATGATTATCAATGTAATACTGGAAATGGGAAAAAATTAGAGGATGTGAATCGTCTTTATCAGGAACAGGTGAACGATATTACAAATAAATACTTTGTCTACGAAAAGGAAACCATTAAAGAAGCTATGGGTTCGGAATTTATTGAAGCCATAGATGATACCAATGTAGAAATAACCAGAGGTTTGGTTACATATCAGGCTAGCCCTATAGGATATAATGAATTTCAATGGGTAAAAGAATCAGACGATTTGTTCAGGTTCCACTTTGTCGACGATAAAGAAGCATCATATTATTTTGCTTTTGTGCGGGAGAACAACGAAATTATGGTAATGGTAGAAGATTACGAGAGTTCTGATTGTTCCCTATCAAAAAAACGAAAAACTAAAATAATACATTGCAACCCTGGAATTCTTCGTGATAAATTAGAATTGTCAAGAGACGAAGAATTTTCAAGGAATCACTTCCCGTTAGTTAAGAAACATAAAGATGAGAGGTTCGAAGTCTTTTTAAATCGAATTGCAGAGGAAAGAGCTAATAAATTTAAAGCGATAATCACACGCGAGGGATACGACCAAACGAGAAAGGAATGGTGGAAAGATTTCGGATTATCGCTAATTCCTTTTTACACTTGCGTTCATGGAATTAAAACGGGAAATACAGAAGAGGAAACCTCATGTTTATATGATTCTCTAGCATTTTTACCCGTTGTTGGAGATTTAGAATTTGTTTTAGAAAAATTCACAACAGTTACAACAAGAGCTTTATTTAAAGCAGCAGGTACTAATTTTGCGTCTTTAACACTGAAGACAACATGGAAAACAACATTGGCAGAAATAAGTGAAATCTTATCAGAAGAAGGAATAACATTTTCTGAATCACTTACGAAAGAAACATTTCAGAATTTTGGATTATCTTTAATTCGTTCCATAGATCCTGGATTTGAACTTATTTATGACATTGGCCGAGAAGGATTGAGTTCGATGAGAAATTTAATTAGTAAACTTGGGAAATTACCATCTTCCTTTGAAACTTTAAATTCGTTATTTAAATATGAAAAAACAATATCAAATACATTTACTAAAGTTGAAAACAAATTCTCCAATATGGATGTGTATGCAAATTCGTTGTCGAAAGAAAATTCTGCATATGGTCATAAATACATTAAGTTTTCTAAAAATCGAATTTTTCCGATAAGGCAAATTGAAGAATATGGAAATATGGAAAAGCCGGTTGTAATGATTAATGGTAAGGAAAATCTTTGCAATGCTGTTGATATAAATACTGGTGAAATAATTGAGAAAGAGGTTTTACATATTAAAAGTGAGCATTTTCGAAATGAAAAATTTGAATTTAAAATAGAAAGCTTCCACAACACTGAAGTATGTGATAGTGTACGTTTAAGAAGAGCTCCAACGACTTGCATAAGAAGTTATTTGCGGAAAAACAGAAGAGAAGTAGAGAAAGAGGCTTTGGATTTTTCTCTGAATTATGACGAATTTATTTTAGTTGATGTACGTGCCAAATTAAGGAAATTCATTTTTCCAGGTAATGGTGAAAAACAATTGGAATTCGTTAGAGATTGGAGAGAATTATTAAAGGAAGGAAAAAAGAATTTACCAGCATGGAGTAAAGAATACGAAATAGATGATCCAGATTTATTTGAACATTTGATGTATTCCAATAAAATAGACGAGAGAGTAACATCTGCTGATGAAGCAATGTCGAGAATCGAATCAATTATGTTCAAAAACTTTAAAATTTCTTCCGTTGAAAATATTATCGAACAGTACAATTTATACAGGATATATGAGATGCAAACTTTCGAAGATTTTGTTGCTTTAACGTATTTAAAGCATTTCGGATTTACTGAATTTGGTATTAATAATATCGAAGGGAGAACAATGCAAAGAGCTTTGTACCGATTGGCCATTAGACAAATGGAGATTCCTAAACTTCCACATGTTCTATATCGTGGTGAAACTAGACCTCGAGATGTTGTCAACAAATTGCTTTATCCAAGTAATAAGGAACTAGAATTTAATCGAATTACATTTACATCGACAAACAGAGATATTGCACTTCAATATCACAAAAATAATAAAAATGTAGTTAACATTTTATATAAAATTACAGTTTTTGATCAATATCCAGAAGTAATATTAAACTCGATAGGTTTGTCTGACGAAGAAAAGACAGTATTTCTATTACCGGGTAGTAAATTTGTTATTGATACTGTTTCAGATTATATAATTAATGAGAAGGAAGTATTATTAGTTAAACTGTCCATTCCTCGTGATGTTCAAAAACACACGTTCTATAAAAACATAATGAACGAGTTAGAAAAATTAAAAGAAAAAGATGTTAATTTCATGAAAAAAGTTTGGTCTTCCTTTTGTTGCTCCTTAGGATAAGTCTGGGGGAGATGACCAACTCAAATATGTTGCAGAATTTATTATTAAATATCACTTATTACCAATATTCTAACTTTATTTAGTGATAGAATTTAAATAAAACTAATTTTGCAAAAAAAAATTCTACAGTTAAATGCTAGACCTTTTAATCAATAAATTTTTAAATTCTACACAGTAAAGTTCTAAATGAAAAACTCTCCACGATTAATTAGAATTTTTTATATTCTACACAGTCGATATGGCATAAGTATGTTTATTTATGAAAAAAACAGGGTTGCCATGTCGACTGTGTAGAATATAAAAAATTCTAATTAATCGTGGAGAGTTTTTCATTTAGAACTTTACTGTGTAGAATTTAAAAATTTATTGATTAAAAGGTCTAGCATTTAACTGTAGAATTTTTTATTTCAGAATTTTATTCTGGTTATTATTAAAGTGCAGAATCTTCTTGTGCAGAGTTAATCGTGTAGGGTTTTCCTGAGTGCAATTTAATTTGTACGGTTATATTTTGTAGTATTTAATCATTTAGAATTTTTATTATTTGTTTTTAAATTTTATTCCGCATATTATTGTATAGAATTTTTTTTCAGAGTTAACGGTGTACTCTCTAAATTTGAATCAGCGGAATCTCGCTGATTCTCAGCTATAAGTATACCACTGATTCTAATCAGCTTATATGCACTGATGAATTAGTGGAATTTCACTGATTTTTCAGCGTATATCTGCTGATTGGTACCAGTGGTATACTTATCGCTGATTCAAATTTAGAGAGTAGGGTTTTCCTGTGTGCAATTGAATGTCTAGAATAAAATTATGTTTGATTTAATTGTGTAAAGTAAAAAATTGTTAATTAATTTTATTTTGCTTATTGTTCAAGTGTAGGATTTTATTTTGTAAAATTATCGGTGCGCAATTTTCTCGTGTAGGGTTTATTTGTGTAGAATCTATACCGCACCGAAAAAAGTACAGAAATAAATATTTCAATATTATAAAAAAAATTTGTTCGTTATTATTTTCAATTACAATTTGTCCAGTTAATAATTCCTTACATTTGTCATCAAAATCAACTACTCTCTAAATCTGAATTAGTAGAAAACTACTAATTAACAGTAAAACCGTGAACGAATCGGCCCTATTTCCATTAGTAAAAAACAACTAAATTAAAACTTAAATTTAACTAATTGTTTGTTTAAAAAAATTACTAAAATTTTTAATAGACATAAATCTACTAAATTTTTAGTTATGTAAGATAACCTAAAAATTAGATTAACTAATTAGTCATTTTTAACTAAAAATTAATAATTACTGTTACTAATACATTTGATAAACGAATCGGTGCTGTTGAATTAATTATTACTAAATTATGCTAAAAATATGAAAATGACAAAAAAAAATGATAGCAAAATGTTTGTTAAAATTATCAATATTTGCAGTATCTATATATTTTTTTATTTTAATTACATGTATTCAGGCAATAAAATCTTTTTTACTTTTTGTATTCTTAATCAATGTAGACACTTATATTGTAAAATTAAAATTTAATGACTGTTTATATAAATATACACTATAGAATACTAATTTTAATAATTTAATAGGAATAAATAATGATTAATCGATTCAATTAAATTTTTAATTTACAATTCTAATATTTTACTTTTTTAAAAAAGATACCTACAGAAAACATTTTTTCTTTATTCCTTAAAACAATTAATTTAAATAATTTTGAAAAACTGCAAAATTTAAAAATAAATTTTTTTATTTTATTTTCTACAGAAAATGATTGAAAAGATGAAATCAGTATAAAAGTTAGCATCAATTTTGATTTTCAGAAAAAAAAAACAAGAAAGTCATTAAGGTAAGAAGAAATTCTAGTTTTTATAAAAAAAAAATTATCAAACTTCTCAAATTGTAAATTATAAATTCTTTTTTTCATTCAGTAAAAGGAATTTCGAAAATGAACATCTCGACTTTTGTCAGTCCATTGGATACAGTACAAATTATTTCAATTTTCACCTACGTGAATACATTGAGTGATTTTTTATTTAGTGAAAAATTTCTCAATGAAACGGATCAATATAAATATATTCCAATTGTCAACGCTTTGTATCATTATCTAGACAAGGAAAATAATTTGGATAATCATCGAAAAATTTATTTGGTAAAAAAATTAATAAACAACACAGATTTATATGGAGCTAAAGAAAATGAAATTCCCGATCCTTATTTTATTAATACGCTAATAAATCACATTGTCAATTCACTAGTATTCGATAGATTCACCAATGTCTATGGATTTATAGTCGAAACAATGAAATACGCAACAAATGATTCATTTTACTATTTGATGAGACGTTTAAAAAAATCGTTAATTGATTTAAAATTTGAAAATCAATACGGTGAGGATTCAAAACTCGATATTAATGCAATTGAAAATATTTTTAGAAACATCATTCAACCATTGTTTCCCTGTCCTAGAAAGCAAACAACAAGAGTTACATCAATTGATTATATTTATGCACAAGCTGGTAAAATGTTTTTAAAATCCGGTTCGATAAATTCGAATGAAGAGGAAAAATTTCAAGAATATATTGAAACTGCTCATACTATTGAACAACTTGTATTGGCAAAAAAAGTGAATGAGGAAATTTTAAAAATTTTTGCCCTACCAGCACTTGTTAACTATATGTATAATGAAAAAAGTAATTTAAAAATGAAAAATACTGCAATGATGATAAATAGTGAAAAATATTGGCTAGCGGCATACAAGAGTTTATTTTCCCGTTTAAATGAGGCATTTTTCGAAATAGATAAAATACAAAATGACGATTATCGTTATCAATTTTATTTAGCATTGTCAAGTATTAAAAATCGTACAACGTTGGCTAGAGAGACAATTAATATAAATTGTCCAGAATTAAGTAACTTTGAAATTGATCAAGAAGTAACGAGATATAAAAACGAACCCAGTGATTATAGATGCAACAATACAACCTTAGAAAATTTGAATCTTAATTTCAAACACCTAATTGATAATATATCGAAAAAATATTACAATTACGAAAAGGAATCATGTCGTGAGGCTTTTGGTAAAAATTTCATCGATTCAATAAATAAAGAAAATGTTATTATAACCAAGGGATTGATACACTATCCATTTGGTATTAATTTTGAATTTTCCGCACATCAATTAGTAAAACCCTCCGATGATTTATTTGAATTCTATTATCCCGATAATGAAACATTTCTCTACTTTGCTTTGATTCGAAAAGAATACAATGTTATCTTAATTAAAGAGAGCGATAATCCAATTCTATTTCGACAAAAATTAGGATTGAATAATTACGAAACGTTAAAGGATAAATATTTTCCCATAACAATGAAGGAAAACGATGAAGAATTTGAGATATTTTTATCAAGAATTGCAAGTCAAAGATCAAAGCAATTTGAAGAGAATTTACAAGCAACGGAATATGATCAAACAAGAAAAGAATGGTGGAAAGATTTTGGATTATCGCTAATTCCATTTTATTCTTGCATTAAGGATATTGGGGAGAAAAATTTATTCCAAGCGGGATTATTTTGTTCACTGGATGTATTATTTTTTCTACCAATTGTTGGTGAAGTTGGTACAATTGCTGAGAAAATGACAACAAATTTAATGAAATCAGTGGTTAGTTTGACGGAAACAACAATGAGGACTGTTACATTGAGAAATTCATTGAGAACTAGTTTGAGAATAACTGGTAAAATGTTGATTCTAGAAATAAGGGAATTTTCCCAATTATTTACAAGGGGGATGTTTAGAAGAATTGGAGTCGCTTCTTTGAGATTTATCGATCCAGGTTTTGAATTACTATTTCATTTGGGGAAGGGAAATTTGGGATTAATAAGAAAAATGATTGTACGTTTGGAAACTGTACATTTGGCAACGTTTACATCGATGAAACTAATGTTGGATAGAACGTTAAAAGCAATTAGTGAATTTCCGAAAATGATTTCCAGAATCTCTGGTAAGGATATTTGGGTTAATTCTCTAATTACCGCTGATTCTGGATATGGATATAAATTTATTTACCTAAAAGGTGAGAAGGCGGAAATTAGGAGAATTTATCCCATGAAAAAAGAATTTCCAGTTGTTGAACGAATCCAAAAGGAAGTAAAACTTTACGAGAAGGTCGACATCGAAACGGAGGAGCTGGTAGGAGATGGGTTCTTTAATGAAGATGAAGGAGTTCTAGTATCTGAGGAAAGGGTTTTCGAAACAAAAATCGTTGGCAATGGTGAGTCAACACTCGAGGGTGGTAATATAATTACCAACGTGAGGCAAAATCTAAGAAGAAAATTTATTCAAGAAGCTATAAATTTTGCAGTAAAACGAGGAAAATCCGAAATCGAAGTACAAAAAGAACTCAAAAAATACACATTCAGAAAAAAGGAAACAGAACTAAATTTTGTTCAAGAATGGCTAGCACATCCGGAATTAAAAACCCCCCACTGGGCCGAGGAATTAAGAATCGAAGAACCGGACCTATTCTACAAATTAAAAACAAAATTATTTTTAGACTACCCAGAAATTAGTATCAAAGAAGCAACACGCAAAATTCTTCATCTCTATCCACGTTCCGATTATCCAGAATTACTCAATGAATTATCGATTGAAAAAGTATTGTACGATTTTAAGGAAAAAGAAGCATATAAACATTGTACATTTGAGGATTATTATGCATTGAGAAATTACGGTGCAAGTGGATATAAAAAAATGGGTAGCAATTGTCACGAGGCAAGAAGAATGAAAAATGCAATTTATAGATTAGCAATTCGTCAATCGGAGGAATTAACTGAAGAATGTGTGGGAAAATTATTCCGTGGGGAAAAAAGAATTACAGAATCAATTGAGAAGGATTTTTACCCCAATAGAGAAACAATTGAATTACAAAGATTTACATCAACTTCGACAGATATTAATACAGCGGATATTTATTCAGAAACACTAAATCCATCATTTATGAAAGTAATGTATACAATTAATTTTAATGAACCATATTTAAGAGCAAGGGTCGAACATTTATTTGTTCTCAATGAGAGGGAAACAATTTTACTACCAGGTACTGAATTAAAAATTAATAAAATCACAAGAGGTGTTCGGGAAAAATCATTTGGAGCGCAAAAATTTATGAATATCGAATTGAGCCTTGTCAAGTCATCGATTGTTGAAAGTCAACAGCGAATAATGAGGCAAATTAAAAAATTAATGGAAACTGATACTGTATTTTATGCAGATTAGGAATACACTTTTTATCAATTGTTGATTTTGAAACTAGAAAACTATTTTTTTTTTTAATTAAATTTATTTGATATGCATAAGATAAGAATTTATTCACATGACTGAACAATTAAATATTAACATAATTTTTCAATAAAATAAAATTAACAAAAAAAATTTTATTCCACAGGCTTTATAAAGGATTTATTATATACCATTGTAGATTTTGTAAGTGATTAATTTTTGTATCGTGACAGCTACTGTGGTTTTTCATAATTGAGGTATTATTTTACATTTTTTTTTTAATTTATCAAAAGAATACAGTTTTTTTGTTATTAAAATAAAAAATTGAATAGAATTCTTTTCACTGAATTTTTGTAAAGAATATATAGAATAGTGATTGTTTTTTGAAGACATTGTAAATTAAACTGTATATAAAATATTTAATAAAATAAAAATTATAAATCCGAAAATATTAATTTTGTTTTTTAGAATCGACTTATGAATACCAATAAAAATTAAGGAAAAGATATTTACAAATGGAAGCAAACTATAATTTTTTGGATATTGTTCAAACGGTATCAATTTTCAACTATCTAGATACATTGAGCAATATTTTATTTAAAGAAAAATATTTAAATCAAAATGATAAACTAAAATCAATACCAATTGTCAATGCTGTATTTCATTATTTAGACATTAATCAAACACAAAAAATTTTCGATAGAAAAACGTATTTAATTAAAGAAATTCTAAAAGACAGTGATCTCTATGGTGGCAAAGAAAATGAGAAAATTGATGAAAATTTTGTTGACGCATTTTTTAGACAAATAATAATTTCACTAGTTTTTGAAAAATATACAATTTATGGATTTTTGGCCGAAATTGTTCGGAATAATAATAATAATAATAATAATAATAATATGACAGTAAATAATTTATACGAAAAAATAGAATTAACCCTTTTAGAAATAAAAATTGAAAATAGTTCCACAAAATTGAGTTCGTTGACAATTAATAAAATTCTAAATTATATTATTTTACCCCTTTTACCTAAACCAAAGTCAGATATGCATATAATGTCATTGGATTATATTTACGCTCAAGCTGGTTCAGTTTTTCTTTATTCGAGTGAAATTTCGAAAAATAATAATTCAAAAGATCCTAATGTGGAATTTAATGATTTAACTAAAAATAATAATTCTGATGATAAATTTCAAGAGTATATTGCAATTGGTAATGCAATAGAACTATTAGCAACAGCAGGAAAAATTAATGAAACATCTCTTAAAATTTTTGCACTTCCAGCAATTTTTTACTATGTTTACAATGAAAAAACCCAAAGTATTGAAAATATAATTAATAATTCGACTCTAGTTACCAAAGCCTACAAAATGCTCTTTACATATCTAAATAAAACTTTTGAGAATGTGGAAAAAGCCCAAAAAAATAATCATCGATACCAATTTCATTTAGCTATGGCAAATTTTAAAAATCGTACAACACTGGCTAGGGAAATTATTAAAAGGAAGTGTCCACTTGTTAGGAATTTGGAGTATGAGGTTACAAAATACAAAAATAATCCTGATGATTATCAATGTACTGGAAAAGAGAATAAAACTTTGGAAGATGTTAATCGTCTTTATCAGAAACAGGTTAACAATATTGTGGATAAATACTTTGCCTATGAAATGGAATCAATTCGAAAAGCTTTTGGTTCGGATTTTATTAAATCCGTTGATGATGCAAAAGTGAAAATATTCAGGGGTTTGGTTAAAAATTCCTATGACGGTTTTAGTGTTTATGAAACGCAGTTGGTAAAAGAGGCAAACGATTTGTTTAGATTCTACTTTCCCGGTAATGAAACATCCCTTTACTATGCTCTTCTTCGGGAGAATAATAATTTAAATCTAATTCGAGAAACTGATTATTCTGATGATCCAGAAAGTTCTACTAGTCCTAAAAGTACAACTCCTAAAAATTCTACACCTGAAAGTACTACTTCTAAAATTTCTACTCCTAAAGCTCCTAGTATTCTAAACCCTTCTGGTAGACCAAAAATTTCGCCAATTCCAAAAATCACCGAAACTTTAAATCCCGACGAATTCCGTCAAAAATTAGGATTACCAAAAACTCAAATTTTCCGCAACAATTTTTTCCCCACTCTACTGAAGCACGAAGGGGAGAATTTTGAGATTTTCCTAACCCGAATAGTTAGGGAAAAAACGAGAAAATTTAATACCAGTCTCTCTCTCGAGAACTACGATCAAACGAACAAAGAATGGTGGAAAGATTTTGGATTATCCCTTCTTCCATTTTACACATGCGTTCATGAATTCCAAACGGAAAATTTTGAAATAGTAGAAATTTCATGTCTCCTAGATGCAATCTCTCTATTTCCCCTTATCACTGAACTGAGAATTTTCGTAACAAGTATAACTAAATCCTTACTAACAATGGGAGGAACAACACTTAAAACATTGGCAAAAAGAATGACAATACGTCAAACATTGTTAAAATTAGGTACAATTTTGATAACCCAATCTACCCCCAAAGTATTAAATTTCGGGCTATCGGTATTTCGTTTTCTAGATCCAGGATTTGAATTTATTTTAACAATTGGTGAAGGAGGATTACGTTCAATTGGTACTTTAATCAAACAACTAAAATCAATTTCTTTTAAATCCCTCGAACAAATGCTAATGAATGGCAAAGAAAAAATACTAAAATTGAAAAAAATTGCTACGATTGACTATAAGAATATTTACATAAAATCAATGTCAATTGACAGTGGTTACGATTACAAATTCACTTTTTTACCCGACAATCAATTAGTCGAATTGAGAATGGTTCAAGAATATAAAAAAGAAATACCAGTTATTTTTGATAACAAAAGCAAATCTTACAAAGCTGTAAATATTTTCACCGGACACATCAAAAACAAGAATCTACATCTTGAATACAGTTTGGAGAAACGAAAATTGATGGAAGAAGAAAAGAAAGTAGAAAATCTGAATGAAAACTTCCTTGACGAAAGTAAATGCGAGAGTGGAAGGAACAAAAGATCACCTAATCAATGCACCAAAACAGAATTATTAAAACAAAAAAGGATACATGAACAAAATGCCTTAAAAATAGCTCTGAATACTTTTAATAAAGAACAAGTAATAAGCGAACTTTCAAAATATTTTTTTCCCAAACCTAAAATCCAAGAAGAATTTGTCACCGAATGGATTAAAACCAAAGGACCACCAATTTGGTCAAAAAAATATCAAATTGAAGAAATTCATCTCTACAATGAATTAAAATACAAAGAAATACTTGATACTAAAATAACAGAGGAGGAAGCAAGAAGAAAAATTGAAAAACTTTATCCTTTAGGCGTTATTAATTCGCATACAAAATTTTCAACACCAAAATATTTAGCTGAACAATTTAACGAAAAACGTCTATACAAACACATGAAATTTGAAGATTTTTATGCATTACGTAATTATGGTGGTACTGGTTATAGAAAAATGTCACTAATATCCGATGAGACAAATCGAATAAAAAACGCAATCTACAGACTTGCTATTAGACAATCAGACGATTCATTTAAAAATTTTGAAACACTTTTATTTCGTGGTGAAACAAGATTATCAACAGAAATTGAAGAAGAATTTTATCATGGACGTAAAGAATATCAATTATCAAGATTTACATCAACATCAGAGGATATTGATACAGCAGAAATGTTTACTTATATTCATGATTCGAAAAAATCAAGTATTTTATATGAAATCTATTTTCCTGAACGTTATTTAAGAGCTGATATTAAAGAATTTACTAATCTACCTGAAAAGGAGACAATTCTTCTACCAGGTACAAAATTTCGCATAAATAGTATAAAAAAAAATAAAAACAGGCATTTTTGACGATGAAGAAAGAATACGAATAAAATTAGAACACATACCGGTAGGAGAAATTTTTGAATGGGAAAAAAAAATAATGCAAGAAATTTCAAAATTAAAAACATCGGGTACTGTATTTTATGCTTGACAATAGATTTTTGTATTTTTAGAATAAAAGAATTTTTGAAACTATGTTTCTAATTTAATATTCATTCTTTTTATCTTTTTGAATAACAATTGTATCAATATAGAAGGAGTTTATGTAAATTAATATTTACTTTATTTAGTTTATGTTAATTAATATTAATAACAATTAATTAATTATCCTAATGATAAGAATGTCAATGAATAGTATAATTTTGAAATTTTACTTCCAAGATAGTTATAAATAAGTAAAATTTTCAAAAAGAAATAGTATTCCATATTATAACAAAAAAACGAAGGTAATAATAATAATAATAATAATAATTTTCTGTAAAAAGTATTTTTAATTTTGAATTTCTGAATTCTTTTTTCCCGAGAAAATGGACATTGGGAATTTTACGAATTCTTTCGATCTTCAAGTAGTTTCTATTTTTAGTTACATTAACGTATTGAGTGATATTCTATTTGCTGATAATTATCTCGAAAAAAGTGATCAACATAAACAAATTCCAATCGTCAATGCTTTATATCATTATCTACAGGACAAAAATGACATTGATGAAAGAAAAATTAAATTGGTTCAAAGAATTATAAATGGAAGTGATCTTTACGGTGCTAAGGATGAAGAAAAACTGGATCTTCATTTTGTCAACAATTTACTGAATCACATTATCAAATCCCTAGTTTTTCAAAAATATGTCAATATTTATGGATTTATAGCCGAAGCTGTTCGAACATCATCTAATGAATCTCTAGTAGCACTAAAAAATCATCTAAAAAATTCTCTCCAAACAATGAGATTTGAGAATGAAAACGGGGAACCTTCAGCACTTGATCCTGTAGCAATTGAGGGGATTTTTGAAAATTTTATCAAACCTCTATTTCCCTTTGAAAATGACATTAGTATTATTTCTCTTGATTTTATTTACGGGCAAGCTGGACGAATGTTTCTTTTATCGGGAGAAACTAATTCATCAAAAGAAGAAAATTTGAATTTAGAAATTTTTCAACAATGTATTCAACTAGCACATGTTATAGAACAATTAGTGGCTGCAAATCAAGTAAATAGGACGGCATTAAAAATTTTCTCGATCCCTGCACTGATTTACTATGTCTATAAAGAAAAATCTAATTTCCGATCGGAAATTGGAAATATTGTGACAGATCCCCATCATTGGGCTTTGGCTTACGAGGCCCTATTTTCCTATTTAAATAAAACATTCACAGAAACGAGAAAATTGGAAAACGATCACAGTTATCAATTTTACGTAGCTTTGTCTAATTATAAAAATCGAACAACTTTAGCGAGGGAAACAATGGAAAAACACTGTCCTCCTCTTTCGGAACAAGAAATACAAAAGGAAATCACAAAATACAAAAATAATCCAAAAAACTACAATTGCAGAAATAAAAGTCTAGAAGATCTAAATCAAAATTTCCACCAACTAATCAATGATATAACACTCAAATACTATACCTACGAAATCGAAATCTGCCAACAGGCATTTGGTGATTTTGCCTCTTCCATAAATCAAAACAATGTTGTCATCAGCAAAGGTAATTTTCGTAATTATTTTTACATGACAATTGGTTTCAACGAATCACATCTTCAATTAATAAAACCCACCGATGATTTTTTTGAATTCTACTATCCGAACAATGAAACTTATCTCTATTTCGCTTTACTACGAAATGGCTATCATGTGCATTTAATACAAGTCAACGAGAGACCAAATTTAATACGTAGAAAAATTTTCGGCAAAATGGGACGTTTACGTAACAATATTTTCTCAACTCTAATGAAACGTGAAAATGAAAATTTCTCATTATTTCTATCAAAATTGGCTTTGGAAAAATCGAAAAATTTCAATGATAGTTTAAATTTATCGGGTTATGATAAAACGAGAACAGAATGGTGGGAAGAATTTGGATTATCATTAATTCCATTCTACACATGTGTTAATAGTATTAAATTGGGTAAAACAATATCTGCTTCTATTTCCTGTCCAATGGATATGATACTGATGATTCCAATTGTTGGTACAGCTGCGAATATTGGGGGAAAAATGGCAGCAAGCGTTAGTAAATCCCTAATAACGATATCGCAGACAACATTCAGTACAATGGCACTAAGAACATCGATGCAATCGACCTTGAAAGTTACAACAAGTCTTTTGTCAAAAGAAGTTGCGCAATTCATCGCTTTGTTTGAATTAAAAACATTTCAACAATTAGGAACCCAATTTGCACGTCTCATGGATCCGGGTTTCGAATTTTTTTTTCTAATCGGCAAAGGTGGGATGAGATCAATTGAAAATTTCATCAAAATTATAGAAAAGAAAACACCTACTTCGTTTGAGTCAATAAAGGCAATGTTAAAATTTTCTGAAAATGGAATAAGGGCTAAAGAAGTAGGAACATTATTTGGAAAAAAAGTTTTTGTAAATTCTTTACTAGGTACAGAATCAGGTTTCGGTTACAAGTATATTCGACTTGCAACCGGAGAAATTGCGGAATTGCGCACAATTCCTGAATTAAATCAACAAGTACCGGTTATTGTGACTCGAATAACGGAAAATGGGGAAAAAATCTACAGAAGAATTTCTTTAGAAACTGGTAAAGAATACGGAGATGAGATTTTGATCACTCACTGGCTGGAACAATCAAATCCAGGAAGTCTTCAGAAAATAGATAATGTCGATGGAAATATACTAAAAGGATATCGGAAAATAAGTACTAGTAATAAAATTGAAATTCTTAAATTAGCTACAGACTATGCAAAAAAAGTGGATAAACTATCAGAACAAGAGATAATGAAAGAACTGAAACAATATACATTTCCAACAGAATCCGGTAAAACCGAATTCAATTTTGTTCAAGAATGGTTGAATCATCCAAAACTAAAACCACCCATCTGGGCCGAAATATACAAAATCCCCGAATCTGATCTTTTCTTTCAATTAAAATTCAAAGAAACTATAGATAATCCCCATATAACAATGAAAGAAGCAGCGAGAAAAATACAAATCCTCTATCCCGTCAACACTTATCGTAGTGTTCTGCAAGAATTACCGGTTGATAAAATAATGACCGATTTTATAGAAAAAAAAGCCTACAGTCAAGTCACATTCGAGGATTACTATGCTTTGCGAAATTACGGTGCAAATGGATACAAAAAAATGGGAGAAGATTGTCATCAAGCGAGAAGAATAAAAAATGCAATCTATCGACTAGCAATCAGACAATCCGAAGAACCTGGTGAAATATATACAAAACAATTATACAGAGGTGAAACACGTATTCCTGAATCTATTGATAAAGAACTTTCTGACATTAATGGAGAATTTGAATTCACAAGATTTACATCGACAACAAGTGATGTTAGTACAGCTGTTACATATTCAAAAATTGGAAGTCCCAAATTTACACAAGTTATTTATGACATGAAATTTGATGAACCAATTTTAAGAGCAAGAGTTGAGGATTTATTTATTCTCAATGAAAAGGAAACGATTTTACTACCAGGTACAAAATTTCACATTGATCGAGTTCAAAAATGGTCTGAGATTATGCAAACGGGAGAGAAGAAGAATTTCATTAAAGTTGAAATGACATGTGTTGATCATATTTTACCAAAAGTTGAACGTCAAAAGAAACTTATGCAAGAGATTGAGAAATTAATGAAAACTGACACTGTTTTTTATGCTGCCGATGATCTTCAAAAATTATAATTTAAATCTTATTTGTACAAAGCGAAAATTAGCATATTAGAAAATAAATTATCATTTATATTATCTGATCTACTTATTTACATTATTCCAATGTATCAAAATAATATATTTATACAAGTGTTATAGTTAATAAATATGTTTTTTCATTTCTTATCTATTCGCAAATACATATTTCGTTTTAATCAAGCTAGTAGGGATTTAAGTACCAAACGTAAATAATTTTGTTCTTATCGAAAAAAAAATTCACCGAACCTTTTCATTAACAGATTTTTTTTGTAAAAAAGCAGAATAGATTTTAAATTCCTTTCCTGAAAACAAAAAATTAAAAAGGAATAAAAAGAAGAAAAATTATTTTCTTCTTGAAAGACATTTTTTATTATATGAATATAAAACAATAATTAAAAATTTTGGCAAGACATTGATACAATATATAAAATTGTATTTTGGCAAGAAATTAATGATTAATAAAATTTATAAAATTTGTATGTTAAAAATAATTATTGTAATTAAAATTAAAATATAATAAAACAAAAAATAAGAAAAACAATTTTTCATCTGTATAAAATCAATAGATTAACAGAAATAATATAAATAAAATCTAAGATTTAACATAAAATTTCGTTCCACTCTTTTCGAATTCATTTATATCTTTCATGATACTTTTTTCACGATCCAATATCGTTGATTGATTTTTCAATGCTGACAATTTAACAACGATACACTTAATTTTAACACCCGATTACAGTGGTTCACAATTGGTATCGTCTTCTATGCTATCGATATGAAATTTAGTATTAGGAAGTAAAATTGTCTCATTTTCGTCCAAGACTAATAAATGATTGCCCTTGCTCTAATTATTGGCTCAGCAAATTTCATTTCATAAAATACTCTCGTTTGTCCAGGTCCATTGTTTGTCATTGAATTTTTTTTCCCGGTAGTAAAGGTTTGATCAAATCATTGAATATTTGATCAACTGCTAGTTGATCGAGGTAAGAAGTTCCCCCATTATCATTATAAAAACGTACATTTTTTAGCGTCTCTTTGAGAAGCTCCGGTAGTTTTAGAGAATAATCTGTTGCAGCCATTTGACTATAGGCTATAAATCCATCGATGCTGCCGTATTTTTCAAAGATGACGGATTCAATAACGTGGTTCAGATTTTTGTTGATAACATTTGGATCTTTGACACCTTTTAGATTACAACTGCTTCCGACTTTTTCAGCTAGGCGAATTTTTCTTTGGTTCGAATCAAGTTTATTATTTTTGTCAAAACTATAGTGATACAAGGCATTGATAATTGGAATTTTATTGTTTTCATCAGTTCCTTTGAGAAAATTTTCTTCGAAAAGAACATCACTCAATGCTGACATGCAACTCAGCACAGAGATCGTCTGAAGCGTTCCCAAAGGGTTCGCTAAATTTCCTACCTCCATTTTGATTCAATAAATTTACTTCTTTTCTGAAAATTGGTTAAAAATATTTTTTAAATTGCAAATTTTTAAATTTTGAAGATTAGAAAATCAATATAGATACAAAAAAATATATTTATAGCAAATAAAAGTTGTACCTTTTTTTGTAGTCAGTATAAAATTGTAAATAATTCTTTGACAATAAGTAAATACTTGTTTTAAGAAACTTTTAGTGGTACTTAAGTTACTCTTCTAAGATTGAATAAAACTTTTGTTTTAAATGGTATTATGCTTTTCTTATCGACTTTTATATCAAATTTCATGACAAATTTTACTACGTTTTCCAAAATAATCTATATATTACAATAACTTGCATCATATTTTATCAAAAAATGTCTGTTATTGACACAGATGTCTGATTGTTTTAATTGTAGGAATTTTGAATATATTGTTATTGACATTAATTATATACGTTTTATTTTACTTATATACTAATTAGATTTCGTGCTAGAAAACACGTGCACATCTGAAATGAAGTAAAATATTTTTTTTTTTATCAGATAAAAATTCATTGACATACTTTTTTCTAAACACGCAGAATACTTCTTACGTTCAATTACTAATTTTTAGAAATATAATTCAAAAATCTTTTTTAAGTTAAATTATATGAAGAGAAATAATTTAACTGATGACTATCCGTATGAACTGCATTTAAAAAAGGCGAAAAAAATTTGACATTAAAAAAATGATCAGAATTAAAAGTTCTTAAAAAAAAATAAAATTATTGTTTGAATAATTTGGGCATTTCCATGAGAACAATTGAATTTTCGCCCGTGCGTTACGATGACTAAAACGGTTTTTTCATGGAATTGCCCAATTATAAAATTCGTAAAAAACAACATTAATGTTAATTTTTATTCATACGTAATTATTAGTTTACCTTGAATTAATTAGAAAATAAATATATTAAATATGTATTTGCGCACAGAAAAGAAAAATAACAAATTTTATTAATAAATGAAACACTTGTATCAATAAATTATTTCTTAATGATTTCATGATGAATTTAATCTAAACAATAAGTATAGTTTGTACTCTTAATTGTATATTAATGATGTTGTAACGAAATTAAAACTAAATTTTAAAATGAATTTTTTAAAATTATTTATTATTATTTATAAATTTTATTTATATTATTTATAATATTAATAAGAAAAAATTAACACACTAAATAAGAATCAAAAATAGCAAATCCATTATAGTGGCTTAATTTGGGTAATTTAAAAAAAAATTAAATTAAATTAAAAATTGCAAAATTTCAGTCAATGTAACTATCGATTATTTTGAGTTGATATGTTTAGAAAGAATTTAAATTCAATTAATATATTAAAATTCTTCATTAAAATGAGTGATCAAAGGCTAAATTCAATGGGAAAATTAAACGTTAATTTTTAATTTTTTCAACTTTTTCAAATGCAGTTCATGCGGAATGTCATTTAAATTATTTCCCTTCACGTTATTAAAAATGTATAATTTAGGATAAAAAAAAAAGTTTTTGCGTTTTGGAATATATTCCTAAAAAATAGTAAAAGTATACGTAAAAAAAACAATTCTACGTCTTTAGAAAAAAGTATGTCATTGAAAAGTACACAATTTCAAAATCAATGAATATATTACCGATATGAAAAAAAAATTTAATTTCCCTTTCTGTGTACGTGATTTTTAACATGAAGTCAAATTAATATATACAAACAAACCAAAATTATGTCAAAAATTTATTCAAATTTACTACAATTACAACACTTAGACAATTATTGTGTCAATAACAGACATTTTTTGATAAAATATGATGCAAGTTATTGTAATATATAGATTATTTTGGAAAACGTAGTAAAATTTGTCATGAAATTTGATATAAAAGTCGATAAGAAAAGCATAATACCATTTAAAACAAAAGTTTTATTCAATCTTAGAAGAGTAACTTAAGTACCACTAAAAGTTTCTTAAAACAAGTATTTACTTATTGTCAAAGAATTATTTACAATTTTATACTGACTACAAAAAAAGGTACAACTTTTATTTGCTATAAATATATTTTTTTGTATCTATATTGATTTTCTAATCTTCAAAATTTAAAAATTTGCAATTTAAAAAATATTTTTAACCAATTTTCAGAAAAGAAGTAAATTTATTGAATCAAAATGGAGGTAGGAAATTTAGCGAACCCTTTGGGAACGCTTCAGACGATCTCTGTGCTGAGTTGCATGTCAGCATTGAGTGATGTTCTTTTCGAAGAAAATTTTCTCAAAGGAACTGATGAAAACAATAAAATTCCAATTATCAATGCCTTGTATCACTATAGTTTTGACAAAAATAATAAACTTGATTCGAACCAAAGAAAAATTCGCCTAGCTGAAAAAGTCGGAAGCAGTTGTAATCTAAAAGGTGTCAAAGATCCAAATGTTATCAACAAAAATCTGAACCACGTTATTGAATCCGTCATCTTTGAAAAATACGGCAGCATCGATGGATTTATAGCCTATAGTCAAATGGCTGCAACAGATTATTCTCTAAAACTACCGGAGCTTCTCAAAGAGACGCTAAAAAATGTACGTTTTTATAATGATAATGGGGGAACTTCTTACCTCGATCAACTAGCAGTTGATCAAATATTCAATGATTTGATCAAACCTTTACTACCGGGAAAAAAAATTCAATGACAAACAATGGACCTGGACAAACGAGAGTATTTTATGAAATGAAATTTGCTGAGCCAATAATTAGAGCAAGGGCAATCATTTATTAGTCTTGGACGAAAATGAGACAATTTTACTTCCTAATACTAAATTTCATATCGATAGCATAGAAGACGATACCAATTGTGAACCACTGTAATCGGGTGTTAAAATTAAGTGTATCGTTGTTAAATTGTCAGCATTGAAAAATCAATCAACGATATTGGATCGTGAAAAAAGTATCATGAAAGATATAAATGAATTCGAAAAGAGTGGAACGAAATTTTATGTTAAATCTTAGAAGCAAAATAATTTATATTTATCATCAGATAACAAAAAATGTTTACATTTTAATTTATTGTATATTAATTAATAGTTATTAGAATAGTTATTTTTATTAACATACAATTTTATAAATTGTTTTAATGTCTTACCAAAATATTTAATATTGTATAATTTAATATTTAATTGTTTTTTGTATACTCATAATAAAAAAAATCCTTAAAAAAAAGAATTTTACTTATTCCCTCCTTTGAAATAATATCCCTGTAAATATATAACTTATTTCAACTGAATTATAATTTCCAAATTTTTTAAAAAAATTTTTGATTTGTTTGCTATTCATAAAGTAACTATTAGTGTGAAAATAGTATATTTCGATACAAGGGGCCAATAAGCGAGCGTTTTGCTCATTACACGAGTAATGGACATACGCTCGCGAGGCAACGAGTATCGAACCATATTTTTCTTTATTAGTGCAGGCATAACCTCGTTTGACAGCTACTTGCAGCTATTCAAAATGGCCGACTCCCTCATTGTGCGCGCGGACGATGAGCAAAATGTTTTGGCCACCTCTTAACGGTGAGCAAAATACTTTGCTCATCGTCCGCGCGTACGGTGAGGGATTCGACTATTTTGGATAGCTGAAAGTGGTTGCCTAACGAGGTTTTTGCATGCACGTATAAAGAAAAAATGTCTTTTTTTCTATATAAAACGTTTTTTTCTAACGGTTAGAATTTTAATAAAAAAGAACAAACGATTTTACTTTATTAAAAAAATGTTACAATTAACACTATTTAATCTGAATAGAAAAAATTTTGAAATCTGTAGAATTAATAAAAACTTATATTTCTGAAATATTACAACACAATTAAAGTTTGCATTATTTCTTTGTTGAAACACAATTGTATTATTTAACCGACTAATGATAATCAATAATAAAAAAAAATTTGTTAAGATTTTAAAAATTAATTTTTATAACATATCATCAATCTGTTAGATTTTATTTATATGTAAATTAGAATTCAATGAATTAAAGCAGGTACAAAACAATTTTTTCAAAAATAATACATTTCTAAAGATTGATTTTTGGTATAAATACTCCAATGAATTAAATACTTAATGAATTAAAAAAAACTTTTTTAAGGTTTATGTGTGAAACTTGAATCTAGTTTATGACTAAATCTATAAAATTTGTTAAATCGATTTTAAACCGTTTTCCGTATTCTAAGCAAAAAAATGTGAGTATTTCTTATTCTAATAAGTTTTATTCCACTATCTGTCTCATAAATTATACATATTTTCAAGATTTTTTTATAATTAAAATACTTAATTACGTCAAAACTTAATGCCTCTTATATTTTTTTCCTAATAATTAAAAAAAATTTAATGAGATTTCTAAATTACCGATTTCTTCTTTACCGATCGTCGGTAATTCAGTTCGCTATTTACCGTCTTTAATTATTTCCAAAGAAATTTTAATCATTTTACTTTCTTTTAGCTAAGGCATCAGAAAATAAATATTAACAGAAGAAAAAAGGATTAGGAAAATGGATATTTCTGCATTTATCTCTCCACTACAGGCAGTTCATGTTCTTTCCATATTTAATTATCTAAACACTCTCAGCGATGTTCTTTATGCGGAAAATTTTTTGAATGATCACGATCAACACAAACCAATTCCAGTTATCAATGCCATGTATCATTATATTCTAAAAGAAAACAATTCTGGACAAATTGATATTCATTACCGAAAGTGTCACTTGACAAGACAACTAATAAACGGAACTGATTTGTACGGGGCAAAAGAACACGAAATACCCGATCCTTATTACATCGACATGCTGTTCAATCACATTGTTAATAATCTGGTTTTTGATAGATTCACCAATGTTTTTGGATTTATTGCCGAAGTCGCCAGAAATACAGAAAGCGATTCGTTACTTCAATTGTTGAATAATTTAAAAGAAACGCTAGCTTCATTAAAATACGAAAACGAATACGGTGATGATTCACAACTTGATCCCATTGTTGTTGATCAAATTTTCATCGAATTAATCGAACCACTATTTCCGCGTCCTAAAAATTTATCACTACAATTCACATCCATTGATTATATTTACGCACAAGCTGGAAAAATGTTTCTAAAACTCGATCAAAGCGACACGATAGTTGATCCGGTATTAATTCAAGTTAATTTGACAAAAGACATTGAGAAACAATATCAAGAATTCATTGAAATTGCCCACTTTGTTGAACAATTGATACTATCAGAAAAAGTCGATAAAACAGCTTTGAAAATTTTTGCCCTACCTGCATTAATTAATTATGTTTATAAAGAAAAAGAAAATTTACAATCAACAAAAACTGTTGCCATTTTGAGTAGTCCTAATCATTGGAAACAGGCGTTTAGACATCTTTTTACCTATGTGAATGATGCATTTTTATCAATGACTACAAAACAGGAAAAGGACTATAGATATCAATTTTCTTTGGCTTTAGCAAACTACAAAAATCGCAGTACAATAGCAAGGGAATTACTCGAAATAAATTGTGCTTCAACATCAGAAGCAGAAATGCAACAAGAAATAATCAACTATGAAAATAATCCACAAGATTACAAATGTTTGATTTCAGAAGATTATCATTCTCTACCTGATCTAAATAGTCTTTATCATGACATGATAAACAATATTACAAATAAATACTACATTTATGAATTGGAATCATCCAAAATGGCTTTTGGGAAAAATTTCATAAATCAAATGGACAATACTCATGTTGTCATATCCAAAGGATTGATTCATTATGTTTACAGTGGTTCTATGACTATTACAGCAGAGTCCGTGCAATTAGTAAGTGAATCTCATGATTTATTACAGTTCTACTATCCCAGAACTTCAAAATACGAATACTATGCACTGGTTCGTAAAGGTTACAACGTTTCCCTAATTCGAGAAGCCAATGATCCAGAATTATTCCGCAAATCTCTTGGTTTACACGAATACGAACCACTACGTGACAATTATTTTCCCACAGTACTGAAAACAAAGGAGGAAAAATTTGATCAATTTTTAACGAGAATTGCTCAAGAACGTTCGGAAATATTTCGGAAAAAATTAGAAACAACTGGATATGACGAGACTAATCAAGAATGGTGGACAAATTTTGCCTTATCACTTATTCCATTTTACACATGCATTAAGGATATCAAGGGAAATAATATCGACGAAGCAAAATTTGTATGTCCACTTGATGGTGTATTTTTAGTTCCAATTGCTAAGGAAATTGGTCTATTTCTTATAAAAGCAGCTCAAGTTGCTGAAAAAGCAATTGTATCCTTAACGGAAACAACCATGAGAACAGTTTTGATAAGAACATCATTGCGTACAACACTACGAATCACTGAAAAATCCCTAATTGCCGAATTCGCCCGTTTCGAAGAATTATTCACTGATAAAACATTAAAAAATATAGGAATTTCATTGATTCGTCTCATAGATCCTGGATTTGAATTGGCGTTCACAATCGGACAAAAAGGATTAAGAACCATTAAATCCCTAGTGATTCAAGCGGAAAGAAAATTTTCCACTCTATCCCAAATAGTAAAATCAAGATTAACTAGTGCACAATACACACTAAGTCATTTTAGCAAAAAATTAGAGTATAAATTCGGAAAAGACGTCTACCTAACTTACGTTTTCAGTAAAGACGTTGGTTACGGTTACAAATATATTCCATTGAAAAATAAAATTGCCGAAATCCGAACAATTCATCCATTAAATGAAGAATTTCCCCTTGTCCATCGTAGTGGAGAATCAAAAATATACGAAAAAATAGATTTAGAAACAGAGAGACTAATCGGCGAGGAATATTTCAACGACGAAGAAGGTATTGTCTCCGATGAACAATCATTTGAATTTAATATCATCAATAACGATAATGATGTACTAGTAGAAGGTGGTAAAATAATGACATCCCTGTTGCAAACTTTCAAATCAAGAAAAACTCTTCAAGAAGCTGTTGATTTAGCTCTAAAGAAAAGAAAACTACCAGAAATCGAAATACGAAACGAATTGAAAAAATATGCCTTCCCACAATCGGAGAGAATGGAGATAAATTTTGTACACGAATGGATGAACAATCCAGAACTAAAAACACCTCTTTGGGCCGAAAAATATAAACTCGAAGAGCCTGATCTATTCTTTCAATTGAAATACAAAGAAACAATGGATACACCACATTTAACGATTGACGATGCAAAAGAAAAAATTAATGCCCTATATCCAAAAGAACAGCATTCGGATATTATCAAAGAATTACCAGTCGAACAATTATTAATGGATTTTAAAGATAAGCAAGCATACAATTCGGCAAGATTTGAAGATTACTATGCATTAAGATGGTATGGAGGAAGTGGATATAGAAATATGGCAGGAACAACACACGATGCAAGACGAATGAAAAATGCCATCTACAAATTAGCAATTAGACAATCGGAGAGTCCTAATGAAGAATTCGCCTCAAAATTATTCCGAGGAGAAGGAAGACTTCCAGAAGCAATCGAGAAGGAGCTTTCGAATATTAATGGAGATTTTGAATTTAGACGATTTACATCAACATCAACTGATGTTAATACGGCGATTACATATTCTTTAAAAGGACAATCACCACGTACAAGAGTTATGTATGTAATGTCATTTAGGAATCCAATTGTCAGAGCAAGGGTCGAAGATCTCTTTGTCCTTACCGAAAAAGAGACAATTCTACTTCCGGGTACTAAATTTCATATTGATAAAATAGATAGGTATGTCGATGAATTGGAATCGGGAGTTAAGCAAAATTGTATTCGAGTCGAAATGACGCATATTGATGTACCAAAGGAAGAACGACAAAAGGAGATTATGCACGAAATTCATAAATTGCAGAAAACTGATACTATTTTCTATCCGGAAGAGGTTTCTACGAATTAGTTTCTAAACGTTATTCGCACACTTAATCATTTAGACCCTAAAAACGATTTTTCGATCAAACTATCGCGAATATGTTACATAAAATTTTACTTCTGTATTTATTTTTATATTTAAAATAAGTTAATAAAAAAATAAAATATCTTAATCTAAAGGAAAAATTTTAATCTAACCTGTCCTTTTTCGTCCAAAATCTATCTTACCCTAGCATTTACTCCCCATGTCTCATATTCCCAAAATAAGTTTTTAGTTATTGTTATACTTTTCACAAATTCGAAATAAATTAAATGGTCAATGATTCTTTAAATTAACATATCTTTTGATTTTCTGACATTGAGAATTATAAAACTGAACTTTCTCACTTTCAATGAAATAATAAAAAAAAATTAGAAAAAAAGATCAATAGAATTAGTAACAAAAGAACAATTTAGTAAAAGATTTATATTTTTTTAATAATTGTTAATTTATACTTGTCAAATTTATTTTCTATTCATAGATTCCGGAATGATAATAAAAATATGTAAAAACTCAACAGAGAGATAAGAAAACAATAATTGAATTTGATAATATATAATCAACTGTATCTTCATTAATCTCATAATACTGAACATTAGTTTTTTCATTCATATGTAAATGAGAGTAAATGAAACTAAACAATATATATAATATATAAACAATAATATCTAAAGATTTTTTCATTCATCTTTCCGTATATAAATTTCGATTAAATTGAATTTATTTCTATTAAATCGATACTGCTAAAGTAGAAACAAAAAATTGAGTCATAAAATTGTTTTTTAAAAAAGTAGTAAAATTTTACTATTTGTGGTACGTATTTTTCTTCATTAGTCCCAGAATCTTTAATCAAGATTTCATCTAAATTTCAATTCTTCTTTTACAGCTACATAACAAGTGTGTAATGCCAAACAATTTTTTTTGCTGAAAATAAATAAAATATTAACGAATGACAAATTAAATCAAAGTAACAAAAAATGGATATTTCAGAATTTATCAGTCCATTGGAAACAGTTCAAGTACTTTCAGTTTTTAATTACATAAACATTCTCAGTGATTTTCTTTATACTGAGCAATATCTCGATAAAAATGATCAACATAAACGTATTCCAATTGTCAATGCTCTATATCATTATTTACTAATTGACAAAAACAATAAGAATATTCAAAGGAGAAAAGTTTATTTAACAAAAAAATTAATAAACGGAACTGATTTATACGGTGCAAAAGAAAACGAAACACCCGATTTATATTTTATTGAAACATTATTTACACACATTATCAATAGTCTCGTGTTCGATAGATTTGTCAATATTTTTGGTTTTATAGCAAATTGCATTCAATACACGAGGGACGATTCTTTAATTAATTTGCAACATTATATAAAAAAAGTTCTAATTAGTTTAACATTTGAAAATGAATACGGTGATGATTCAGAATTAATTCCACTTGCTGTTGATACAATTTTTAACGATCTAATCGTACCTTTATTTCCACAACCGACAATATATCCTATTAATGTTACATCTGTTGATTATATTTATGCAATGGCTGGTAATATGTTTTTACGATCTAAAGAGACAAATTTATTCGATAAATATTTAAATATTAGGGGAAAAGTTGATGAGAGAAAGTATCAAGAATACATCGAAATTGGACATGTTATTGAACAATTGGTATTGGCTGAAAAGGTGGATAAATTAGCTTTAAGGATTTTTGCACTGCCTGCATTGATAAATTATGTTTATAAAGAGAGAAAAAATTTGGAATCGATACAAGAAATCGTGAATAGCGAACATCATTGGCAGGAGGCGTATCGACATCTCTTTACCTATTTGAATAATTCTTTTTCAGTTATGGAAAAAATACAGGATAACAATTATAGATATCAATTTTATTCAGCAATGTCGAATTTCAAGAACCGGAGCACTTTGGCAAGGGAAATAATTGAGATGAACTGTATCGAAATTTCAGAAATGGTAATGAAATCCGAGATCATTAGATATGAAAATAATCCTCAAAATTACAAATGCCTATTTCCATACAATGATAATCCGCTAGATGATCTTAATTTTCTTTATCAAGAAACGATAAGTAATATTACAAAAAAATACTATATTTACGAACTTGAATCATCAAGATCGGTATTTGGAAACAATTTCATAAATCAAATTGACAATACAACGGTTATTGTATCTAAAGGTTTATTCCGCTATTTCTATTATGGAGGTTTGGGTATTACCGCCGATCCCGTACAAATGATAAATGCATCTCACGATTTACTACAATTCTACTATCCAAAAATAGAAAAATACGAATACTACGCACTGGTTCGACACAAATACAACGTTTCTCTAATCAAAGAAGCCGATAATCCAAAATTATTTCGCAAAACTCTTGAATTAGACGAAAACGAAATATTACGCTCTAATCAATTTCCAACAATACTGAAAAGCGAAGAGGAAAAATTTGAAAATATTCTCAAAAAAATTGCCACCGAAAGAGCTGACGTTTTTCATAAATCTTTAGAATCTGGAGGCTACGATGAAACACAACAAGAATGGTGGATTAATTTTAGCAAATCACTGATTCCATTTTACTCGTGTATTAAAAATATTAAAAAACAAAATTTACAAGAAGCTTCATTTCTTTGTCCGTTGGATGTTCTTTTTTTTATTCCAGTTGCTGGTGAAATTGGAAATATAGCCGGGAAAACTTTATCTACAGTTGGGAGAGGATTTTTAATGATTACGGAAACAACATTGAGAACGCTAACAATAAGAACTTCGATTAAAACACTTTTGAGAGTAACTGGTAAAACAATTGTAGAAGAATTGAGCCGATTTGGAGAATTATTTACAAGAGAAACTTTTCAAAATTTAGGAATTTCGTTGTTACGTTTCATTGATCCTGGATTTGAACTGGCTTTCACGATCGGTAGCAGAGGATTAAGATGCATTAAAGCTCTTGTTCTTCAGGCAGAAAGAAGACTTTCCACAGAATCACAATTTCTAAGGGAACAATTATTTAGAGCCGAATATACATTAAGTCATTATTCCCAAAGAGTTGATCAAATATTTAAAAAAGATGTCTATGTAAATACAATTCTAGGTGTAAATAGCGGTTACGGATATAAATATATTTTAGCAAATGGTCGAGTAGCTGAAATTCGAACAGTTTATCCATCGTTAGAAATTCCTCTAGTACGTCAAACTGAGAAAACGAATCAGTTTAAACCGGTTAAAAAATACAGTAAAATTGATCTTAATACAGGGGAATTAATTCCAGAAACCTACTTTGAAGATCAAGAAGGTATAATACTCTCTGAGGAGAAAACATTTGAATTTAATTTTGTAAGCCTTGAATCATCTTTATCCGAAGGTCCCAATTTATCATGTGATGGTAAATGTCCAAAATCTCACAAGGAGCGTTTTGCCGAAGCTTTGAATTATGCCCAAGGAAAAATCTCCCAAGAAGTTGTTCAAGAGGAACTTAAAAAATATGCCTTTCCTATTAAGGAAAAAACAGAATTAGATTTTGTTTCTGATTGGATTAAGAATAAAGAACTTCCAAATTGGGCTGAAAATTACAAAATAGAGGAAGCTGAAATTTTTTACGATTTACGAAATAGAGAAGTGTTTGATAATATTCAATTAACTAGAATCGAAGCAAGACAAAGAATAGAATCAATTTATCCTCCAGAGTATGAATATTATGGATCAGCTGGTATACGTGCTGAATTTATAACCACAGATTTTATTAAAAAAAAAGCTTATAAATTGCAAGCATTTGAAGATTATTTTGCAATTCGTAATTATTGTTCAGCGGGATACAAAAGAATAACGGCAAATACAAATGAAGCGAGACAAATGAAAAATGCTATTTATCGTTTAGCTATTAGACAATCCGAAGATTTTATACACGACTATGCTAAAGTGTTATTTAGAGGTGAAAATCGAGTTTCAGAAAGTATTGATAAATTATTTGTACCTGGAGAGGAATTAATATTTCATAGATTTACATCAACAACAAGGAAATTAGAAGCAGCGCTTGCATTCACCGGAAGTAGTAGATATCCATTTAGAAAAGTTGTCTATGAAATGGAATTTTCCCAACCCTATTTGCGAGCAAATGTCGAAGATTTATCACCTCTTGAGGAATATGAATCGATTTTATTGCCTGGTACCAAGTTTCAAATCAGAGAAGTAATATATGAAAGTGGAAATCAAAATTATGTAATAGTAAAATTGAAACATAAACACGAATTAATCACAAAGGCTGAATGGCAAATGCAAGTTATGAACGAAATTAAGAAATTAAAGGATACTCAAACTTTATTTTATGCAAAAGATACAGACACTTATCGTACATCCATACTTTGATTCCAAATTTTATTTAAAATTTATTAAAAATAAAAACAAACAACAAAAATGGTTATTACTTATTTTCCTATATTTGACCTTAAAAACATATATGAAATTTTTAAATTCGAGCAATGAACTTTGCATCATATAGAAAATATTTAAAAAAGAAAACGTGTTTTAAAATTTTGTAACAAAAAAAATTTTAATTAATTTCTTTTGTTGATCACAATATCATTATTACTAGATAACTACTCGAATAGAAAATAAATCTAAAAATATTCAATACAATTAATTGTAAATCTGCTAATTGTCATTTATCTTCTATTATACAATATGTAAATCATGATTAAACAAAATGAAAAAGCGCGTACAAAACAATTTTTTTTGTGAAAAATAATAAATTTCTAATGATAATTTTTAGTGTATAAATATGAATGCGACTAATTTAAATTTTCAGTTTCAACAATTTTTATCATAAAAAAATGTAATAAACAAAATATATAGTTGATATCCAACTCAAAAAAAAAACGGTATTAGTTTAGAAAAACATTTAAAAATTTGTTACAAATTATTATTTTGAGATTTTTCCAAATTCCGATGCAAAACAAGTAAGTATTTTTTATTCCAATAAGTTCTATTCCACTTTATATCTTGTAAATTAATAATATTTAACATTTTTTTCTAATTCTAATAATTAAACACGGTTGAACCAAATGCCTCTTATACTTTTTTCCGAATCATAAGAAAAATATTGATGTAGATTTCTGAATTACCGACAGAAATAGTAGATTTCTTTGTTACCGACCGTAGGTAAAGAAGTTCGCTATTTTAGCTTTATCTAATTATTTTGATTAAAATTTCCTTAATTACCGACAGTAATAGTAGATTTCTTCTTTACTGAACGTCGGTAATTCAGTTCGAAATTTAAACGTTTTCTGATTATTTCCCTTAAAATTTTCTAAATTACCGACGGAAATAGATTTCTTTGTTACCGACCGTCGGTAAATAAGTTCGTTATTTTACCGTTTTTTAATTATTTTCATTAAAATTACATAAATTACCGACAGAAATAGTCGATTTTTTTTTCTTTACCGATCGCCGGTAATTCAGTTCGCTATTTTACCGTTTTTTAAAAAATTATTTCCAAAGAAATTTTAATCATTTTACTTTCTTTTAGCTAAGGCATCAGAAAATAAATATTAACAGAAGAAAAAAGGATTAGGAAAATGGATATTTCTGCATTTATCTCTCCACTACAGGCAGTTCATGTTCTTTCCATATTTAATTATCTAAACACTCTCAGCGATGTTCTTTATGCGGAAAATTTTTTGAATGATCACGATCAACACAAACCAATTCCAGTTATCAATGCCATGTATCATTATATTCTAAAAGAAAACAATTCTGGACAAATTGATATTCATTACCGAAAGTGTCACTTGACAAGACAACTAATAAACGGAACTGATTTGTACGGGGCAAAAGAACACGAAATACCCGATCCTTATTACATCGACATGCTGTTCAATCACATTGTTAATAATCTGGTTTTTGATAGATTCACCAATGTTTTTGGATTTATTGCCGAAGTTGCCAGAAATACAGAAAGCGATTCGTTACTTCAATTGTTGAATAATTTAAAAGAAACACTAGCTTCATTAAAATACGAAAACGAATACGGTGATGATTCACAACTTGATCCTAATGTTGTTGATCAAATTTTCATCGAATTAATCGAACCACTATTTCCGCGTCCTAAAAATTTATCACTACAATTCACATCCATTGATTATATTTACGCACAAGCTGGAAAAATGTTTCTAAAACTCGATCATAGCGACACGATAGTTGATCCGGTATTAATTCAAGTTAATTTGACAAAAGACATTGAGAAACAATATCAAGAATTCATTGAAATTGCCCACTTTGTTGAACAATTGATACTATCAGAAAAAGTCGATAAAACAGCTTTGAAAATTTTTGCCCTACCTGCATTTATTAATTATGTTTATAAAGAAAAAGAAAATTTACAATCAACAAAAACTGTTGCCATTTTGAGTAGTCCTAATCATTGGAAACAGGCGTTTAAACTTCTTTTTACCTATGTGAATGATGCATTTTTATCAATGACTACAAAACAGGAAAAGGATTATAGATATCAATTTTATTTAGCACTATCAAACTACAAGAATCGTAGCACATTAGCAAGGGAGATAATCGAAATGAATTGTGTCTTACTAGAAACAAAAATAGAACAAGAAATAATCGACTATGAAAATAATCCAGAAGATTACAAATGTTCCATTTCTGAACAGCTTCTACCTGATCTTAACAGTGTTTATCATGATTTAATTAACAATATTACGAAAAAATACAATATTTATGAACGGGAATCAATAAAATCGGTTTTTGGTGATAATTTCATAAAACAAATGGACAATACAAGTGTTGTTATAACCAAAGGATTCATCAGTTACATTTATTTTGGATTTTTATCCATTACAGCAAATTCCGTGCAATTAGTAAACGCATCTCATGATTTATTACAGTTCTACTATCCAAAAGCAGAAAAATACGAATACTATGCACTAATTCGTAAAGGTTACCACGTTTCCCTAATAAGAGAAACCGATAATCCAAAATTATTCCGCAAATCTCTGGGTTTAGACGAAGACCAAACCCTACATGATCGAAATTTTCCAATTGTAATGAAATCAAAGGAGGAAAAATTTGATCAACTTCTAGTAACAATTTCCCAAGAACGTTCAGAATCATTTAAAAAATCAATGGAATCAATGGGATACGATGAAACAAAAAAAGAATGGTGGACAAATTTTGCCCTATCACTCATTCCATTTTACACATGCATTAAAGATATTAAGGAAAAAAATATCGACGAAGCAAAATTTGTATGTCCACTTGATGCATTATTTTTTATTCCAGTTGCTGAGGAAATTGGACTATTTGTTAAAGAAGCTGTTGTAATTGCTGAAAAAGCAGTAGTATCATTAACAGAAACAACCATACGAACAGTAATGTTACGATCATCATTGCGTACAATGTTGCAAATCACCGAAAAATCTCTAATCGAAGAATTTGATCGTTTCGCAGAATTATTCCCGAGAAAATTATTCAATTTAGGAATTAGCATAATTCGTTTCTTCGATCCTGGATTTGAACTTGCGTTCACAATTGGAAAAAGTGGATTAAGTTCTATTAAATCGTTACTAATACAAGCGGAAAGAAAATTTTCCCTTGCATCTCAAATAGTTAAATCAAGATTAACAAGAGCAGAATATACTATAAATCATTTCGCTACAAAACTAATGCAAAAATTCCAAAAAGACGTATACCTAACTTCTATTTTTAGCCCAGACGTTGGTTATGGTTACAAATATATTCCGCTGAAAAATAAAATCGCCGAAATTAGAACCATATATCCATTTAAAAAGGAATTGCCTCTAATTTCTAATTTTCAATCAGATTCCGAATTGAAAATATACAATAAAGTTAATTTTGAATCAGAAACAATAGGCGATGAATATTTTATCGAAGAAGAAGGTATCGTAACTGAGGAAAAATATTTCGAGATAAACATCTTTAATGATGAAACTGATGCAATAGTTGAAGGTGGTAAAGTTACAGCAAAATTGCTGCAAACTTTTAAATCAAGGGAAATTCTCCAAAAAGCTGTTGATTTTGCCCTACAGGAGGGTAAACTACCAGAAATGGAAATTCGTAACGAATTGAAAAAATATATATTCCCAGAGGCGGAAAAAATGGAAATGAATTTTGTTCGCGATTGGATGAATCATCCGGAACTAAAACCACCTAATTGGGCCGAAAAATATAAACTCGACGATCCAGATCTTTTTTTTCAATTAAAATACAAAGAAACAATGGATACACCACAATTAGGGATTGACGATGCAATGGTAAAAATTAATACTCTCTATTCACAAAAGGATATCATCCAAGAATTACCGATTGAGGATTTACTGAACGATTTTAAAGAAACAAATGCCTATAATTCGGCAAGATTTGAAGATTACTATGCACTAAGATGGTACGGTGGTAGTGGATACAAAAAAATGTCAGGCACCACACACGAAGCAAGACGAATGAAAAATGCTATTTACAAATTAGCAATTAGACAATCGGAGAATCCTGATGAAGAATTTGCTGTAAAATTATTCCGTGGTGAAGGTAGAATTCCAGAAGCAATTGAGAGGGAAATATTGAATTTGAATGGAAATTTTGAATTCACGCGTTTTACATCAACGTCAACTGATGTTAATACAGCGATTACATATTCTTTAAAGGGACATCCATCGGATACAAGAGTTATGTACGAAATGACATTTAGAAATCCAATTGTCAGAGCAAGGGTCGAGGATCTTTTTCTCCTTACCGAAAAGGAGACTATTCTACTACCGGGTACTAAATTTCGTATTGATAAAATTGAAAGATACATTGATGAATTAGAATCGGGTGTTGAGCAAAATTGTATAAAAATTGAAATGACGCATATTGACGAACCAAAGGAATTAAGACAGAAGGAGATTATGCATGAAATTAATAAATTACAGAATTCTGATACTGTTTTCTATCCGGAGGATCTATAATATGGGACATTATTCCTACTCTCGGTCATTTAGACCCTATATTTCGTTTCCAGTTACTTTTTTATTCCATTTTAGATTCTATTTACTTTTCTCCTACTTTTTCTTCTATTTTTCACCTCCATCAAATTGACTTCGAAGCTCAGCGCCAAAAATTATTTTTCACAGTACTAAAAAATGGCAAATTTTTTTTTTTTTTAGTTTTTCAATTCAAATAATACCATGAAAAATATAACTTTTCCAAGGTATTAGCGAAAACTATTTTAAAAAATAATTTAATATTTTTTTGATACGTGAAAAATAATTTTCGACGCTGAGCTCTCGTCGACGCCAATTTTGTGAAGGTTATTTTTCACGCTCTTTAATTTCATTTAAAAAATTCATCTTACTCCAGCATCCACTCCCCATTTCTCATATACCTCAAAAATAATTATAATAAAAAAAAATTATAATTTAAGTTCCGTTAGTCCCACACTCGGTCATTTAGACCAAGGACTTTTTTTACGGCATTTTATGTACAATTGTTTTATAATAAAACAAAAATACAAATAACATTGATCATATTATTATTATTATTATTATTATTATTATTATTATTATTATTATTATTATTATTATTATTATTATTATTATTATTATTTCCATTATTTTTATTATTATTTATTATAATTTTTATTAGAAATATTCGCATTTGCCTAGATTTTTGGTAGAAAATAATTTAAAATTTGTTTTCGTAATTTTGAAAACGTTACTAATAGTAAAAATAAATAAAGGACACTTCTAAAAAAAAATTGTGCAAACTAATTAAACAAAAAACATCTTTCGTAATAATAGAAATTTATGCATATTTTTTTTTTTTTTTTTTTTTAGAAATTTTAGAAAAAATGTAACATTTATTTGATTAAGAATATGTAATATTTGTTTATAGATAAAAAAAAACGTGAATAATAAAAAAAAGGCTGACGATATAAATTCTAAATGTTAAGCAATTGCCATTAGGATTTTTATTTTTTTAGAATATAAACATAAATTAAAAAGTGAGCAAGTAGTAAAAGCTAAATTTTTTAAATAGAATTTTTTTTATTTTTTCAGTAATCTACAAACTTTTATTGCTTTATTTTTAAAACATTTATTTTCTAATCGGTAAGTTAAAAAATAAAAAATTTCTTTTATTTTGAATAAGAATTTAAATTTATATAAAAATAATTATTAACAAAAATTAAAAATTAATAATTAATAATTAATAAATAATTCATAATTACTTAATAAATATAATAATAAGTAATTAATAATAATTAATAATTAATTAATTTTATGCGAAAAAATATTTTGATTAATAAAAAAAAATATTTTTTCAGATAAAAATGAACGCAACAAATTTTAACAGTCCATTAGCAATTGCTCAAACAATTCCAATTTACATGTACGTTAATATAATAAGCAATTTTTTATTTATGGAAAATCAATTAAAAGAAAATGATCACTATAAACATATTCCAATAATAAATGCATTCTACAAATATTATGAAATAAATGCAAAAAATTTTGAAAAAAAACTCCAATTGGTACGTAAAATTTTATCAAATACCGATCTTTATGGTTCCAAATCATATGAAAATTTAGATGAAACATTTATTAATACAATGCTCGAGTATTTTGTTAAAACAATTGTTTTTGAAAAATACACAAACATTAATGGTTTTTTGTTAAATGTTACATTATCGTTAAAAAATCAAAAAATATCTTCATTAATAGAAGAAGCAACATTAAAATTAACAGAAACAACATTTGAAAATGAATATGGATTAAATTCAAAATTATCAACACTTTCTATTAAAAGAATTATTATTGATTTTATTTTACCTCTATTTCCCATAAATGATGAGAATTTAAATATATTTTCGCCAAATTATTTATATGCATTGGCTGGTTTAACATTTTTTCGTTCAATTGGTATGAATTTAATTTTCTATTCGAAAAAAAATGTAAGTGATAAAATTTTATTAAAACACGAAATGTATCAAGAAATATCGTTTAATGAATTTCGAGAAATTGGACAAATTATAGAGCAAATGATATTGGGGGAAGAAATTGATAAAATTGCTTTGACAATTTTTACACTTCCCGCATTGCTTTATTATTGTTATAAAGAAAAGGAGAAAAAAAATATTTTAAAAATTCAAATTATAGTAAATAATCCAAATTATTTGAAAAAAGCTATTGTATGCTTATTTTCTTATTTGGATGGAGAATTTAAAAAAATTAAACATTTACTAATGATACCAACAGCGGAAAGTGAATTTTATTCTGCAGTTTCAATTTTCAAAAATCGTACCGATATTGCTAGGGAAATAATTGAAAATAATTGTCTAAATAAAGAGGATATTGAAAAAAAAATCGAAAATTACAAAAATAATAACAATGATTACTACTGTTATAATTTTACCAAAATTATAAAATTACCCGATCTTAGAGAAAAATTCATGCAACAAATAACTGATATTAAAAATAAATGTTTTAATTTTGAATATGAAAAATTAAAAAAAGCTTTCGGTAACGATTTTATAAATACAATGAATCGATTAAATGTTGAAATTTATCATGGTTTTTATCTTCAATTTTTTAATATAAACTATCTAATGAAACCAATACAAATTTTATCCTATCCATATGTTTTATTTAAATGTTATTTCCCTTCAAATTCAACAACCGATTATTATGCTCTAATAATTGAAAATAATTTAAAATTTCAATTAATTAAAGAATCCGATAATTACGAATTATTTCGTGAAAAATTAAAATTTACAAAAAAACTAAAATTTTCATCACTTAATTTTCCATATTTAGAAAAAAAAAGTGAGGAAAAATTTGAATTTTTTTTAATAAAATTAGCAGCAATTCGTACAAAACAAATTGGTGATTATTTACAAAATTCAGGTTATCATGAAACTGATAAAGAATGGTGGATTAATTTTGGATTATCATTGATTCCATTTCATGATTGTATTTCAAGTATTTTTGATAAATATCAGGATATTAATTATAAATCATGTATTATTGATTCAATAATGTTGATACAATTTTTTCCATTTTTTGGAAAAATAACAAATAAATTTGGTGAAATTGTTACAGCATCCATTGAACATGTTTACGAGGCATTTTTTCTAAAACAAACATTAAAAATTATTTTAAAAAATTTCACACTATTTTCTATTAAATTATTAAAAAATTCTCTCAAAATATTCAATGGGAAATTTTTAAAAAATTTTGGAATTGCACTATTACGTTTAATTGATCCCGGTTTTGAATTATTATTTCAAATTGGTAAAGGTGGTTTAAAATCAATAAAATTAATTTTTGATTTGTTAAGAAAAAAATTTTTTATTAAAAATTTTGCATTTGAAAAAATAATTGCACATGGTTTGAAAATATTAAATCAAATTTCACGAACGATTGCAAAAAAATTCGAAAATAATAATAATATCTATGTTAATTCATTCGATGACGATTCAGCTTATGGTTTTAAATATATTAAAATTGGAAATAAAATTGACAAATTAAAAAGTGTTGCGGGTAAAAAAGAACCATATATTTTTAATAAAAGAAGTTATAAAAAAATTGATCCAATTATAGGGAAAATAAATAATGAAGAAATGAAAAAAAAATTTGAATTAACATTTGAAATGACAATTTTGAATAAAAATAGTTTAATACTATGTGAGGGGGGTAATTTTTTATGTTTGAGTAAAGAAACAAAATTATCGAAAAAAAATGAAATTACACGTTTAAAAAATTTGGAATTAGAAGAACCAGAATTATTTTACACTCTACAAAATGAAGTGAATTTTCAATCGAAAAAATTAAATAATAAACGAAAAATGAAAATTAAAATTCATCAAGTTTATGATAATTTGGAAATAAATAATTTAGCTGATCAAATATTTGATAGTTATACAACAACAGAGGCAAATTTAAATTTAAAATTTGAAGATTATCTTGCATTACGTCACTATGGTGCAAATGGTTATCAACAAATAAGAAGTGATTTGGATATTTCACGAAGAATGAAAAATGCAATTTATCGTTTATCAATAAGACAATCGCACGATACAATTGATAATTATGAGACATTATTGTTTCGTGGTGAAATTCGCGATACAAATGAGATGGAAAAAATATTTTACAACGAAAGAAAAGAATTTGAATTGCAAAATTTTGCATCAACATCAAATGATCCAAGTGTTGCGCGACAATTTTGTCTTTTAAAAAGTGAAACAACAACAAGAGTAATGTATCAAATGAAATTTGAAAGACCATATTTGAGAGCAAATGTTGAACAATTTATGCCATTACGTGAAAGTGAAACAATTTTATTACCTGGAACAAAATTTAAAATTAATGAAATTAAATGGAAATATGAAGGTGAAAAAAAAGTTGGATTAACGGTGAAATTATCATATGATTATGATAAAGTGAATTTATTTGATTGGCAAAAAATGGTAATGTGTGAAATTAAAAAATTAAAAGAATCGGGAACTATTTTTTATGTTGAAGATTTGAAGAAATGAAAAATTTTATTTAATAAAAAATTTATTCAAAAAATTAAATTTTCCATTTTTTAAATTTACCCAAAAAAAATTGCTAATAAAAAAAAGGTTTTATAGTTTTTTTTTTTTTGAATTTTTTTTACTGTTTGCAAATTTTGAAAAAAGGAAAATTTCTCATTTTAATCACTGAAGATAAAAAAATTATTTTTGATAAATTTTTTAATAAACATATAATTTTGTGTTTTTTCCAGGTTTTTCTAATTAAAAAAAATTTTTTTTTTTCGAAATTATTTTCGAAATTTTACAGTAATTGTAATTTAAATTTTTCACAATTTTTGGAAAAACTTCAAACGAATAAAGAATTATTTAATTAATTTATAAATAATAATTATTTTAAAAAAATTTTTTACTGGTAATTAATTTTAAAAAAATACAATTTTCAAAAATGATTATTAAAATTCAAAACTTTGAAAAAAAAATCCTTCGAAAGTTGAATTATTTTTCAAAATAAATTAATTTATAAACAAAATAATTTTATTAAAAAAAATTTTTTTTTTTTTACTAAAATTATTCAAAAAATACAATTTTCAAATATTATCTAAAAAATTGTAATTACAATTTTTTTTAGAATATTGAAAAAATTTTTAAGGAAAAGAGAATTATTTTTTTTTTAATTTTAATCTATAAACAAATAATTTTTCAAGTTTAAAAGAATTTGTAAAAAAAAAATTCTTTAATTTTTCAAACAAAAAATAATTTAATAATAATTAATTAATTATTAATTAAATAAATTACTAATAAATTAAGACCACGAAAAATTATTATTAAAAATAAATTAAAATTTTGCTAAAAAAAATTTATTAAAAAATTTAAAATTTTTGGTTTTTTTTAAATTATCATAAAATTCCAAAAATTTAGAAATATTTAAAAAAAAATTATAATTATATAAAAATATTTGCAAGTTTAAAAAATATTATAATTATAAAGAAAAATTATAAATTATTAAAAGTATTATAATTATTATAATTTCCAGAAAAAATGTTTCGGGATTTTTTTTTTCGAGAAAATTAATAGTAATTCGGGAAAATGTTTTCGGGTTATTTTTTATTCGGGCAAGTATTTTCGGGATTTTGACCGAAAATCGAAAAAAAAAGTCCAATTGTAAAGAAAATTAAATTATGGTAATTCTCTTATTTTTACGAAAAAATAAAAATATTTGTAAGTTCCAAAATACTTTATAATAAAAATAATAATAATAATAGTAATAGTAATAATAATGATAATAATAATATTAATGAAAATAATAATAATAATAATAATAATACATCGCTATACTGTTTAGCAAAAATATAAAAAAACGTATAAATATATAAATAAATATAAATTAATGTACTCACTTAGAAATAATTTGATGGATCGAGAATCGTTGAAAGGTAGCAAAACACCCCATGTTAAATCGATGACATTTTCCATATCCAAATAATCCTCGTAGTTATCATCAAAATTACTTTGTGAAAATGGTAATGTCGATGGTAAATAATCATCTTCTTCTATTTGATTTTCTTCATCGCCCGCTGTTGACATATTCTCGAAAATATCCTCCGAATCAGACATCTTCTCTTCTTTTTTCTGTCACTTTTTTTTATATATATATATACTGGGAGAAAAAAAACACACACACTTTTTTTTGCGCTTATTTAACCATTAAAAAAATTTGGAAAAGATGCCAAAGAAGTTTATTGTAAAATGTTAGACGATCGTTTCGAGAAATAATTGACTTGGTTGGAATAATTTTTAAGTTTCCCAATTCACGTCTATTTAGATACATTAAATATTTAGCAATTGTGAAAATTTGAAAGGCAATTTAAAACAAAAAACACTGGATTATAATAAAGCCAAAAAGATATTCAAGTTTTCTTCAAATACGTTGTATATGCAACTTATATGTGGGGGAGAAGAACAAGAAACAGTGTTGCCAACTATTGTACTAAAGCCATTTGATACCAAACACGGTGAAAAGAAAAATTTTTACCCCTAATATTTAATTATTAATTAAATTAAAATAAAAATTAAAATAATTATTAATTAAATTATCAATTTAGATTATTTATTAAAATAGAATTTAAAAAAAAAAAATTTTTTGTTTAAAATAGGAAACAATTCAAATGTTACCCTCGCGCAGGGATGGAACACTGTGATTTGGCGTCATATCAGGGTTGGGTAGAGTAGATTTTCATTAAGGGTTGGGAATTAAAAACTTGACTATTGTAAATACGCCTTGTCATTCATTTGTGAATAGTACCTTTAAACTTTCACTAACACACAGACAGACAATGGAAGAGTGTGACTGTGAGTGAAAAAAACATGTTCTATCTGTCAAAAAAAGAAAATTTATCAGTGTATTGAAGTTATTGAATTTAAAACAAATGTTCTGAGTTATTTTAGAGTTTTTTTTTCTTTTCTTTTAGAGTTTATATATAAAAATTAGAATTTAAATTTAAAGAAATTAATTATGGCCTGGACACATTATCAAAAAGTCCTCGCCCTTCTTATGGTGATCACAGGATCTTTTAATACTCTTTCAGTCAAGTGAGTCTTTTAATTTCTTTTTTATCGTAAAAAAAATATAAAAAAAAAAAAGAATTTTTTTTCCTTTCATTTTTTTTTTTTGCAATTTTTTTTGCCAAATCACTTTATTAATTTTAAAATCAATAATAATTATTCGTTGTTGTGTGACTTTCTATTTTTATCATTTACATAAATAAAAATGCGGGCATTTTTCCAAGAAGTAAACAAAGGTTTTGCGTTTTTTTTTTTTATTGTTAACTAACATAACCTATAAGTGTAAAAAAAAAAAAAATGTTAACGAAAATTTAAAAAAAAAGAACAAAAAATTTGCAATGAAATATCACATTATTTAATATTAATTAATAATATAAATTATAGTAATTAATATTATATATAGAGTATTATTTTTTTTTATTTATTTACAAAAAAAAAAAAATTATTATTTTGGAAAATTTTTTTTTCGAAACTTTTAAAATGAATTTTTTACCTACTAAAGTTTTTTTTTATTTTAATTTGTTAAAAATGTAGAGAAAAAAAATGTTTAGCTAAATTTTTTAAATTAGTTATATTGTTTAATAAATTATTATTATTATTATTATTATTATTATTATATTATTATTATTATTATTATTATTATTATTATAATTTTATTTTTATTATTTTATTTTTATTATTTTATTTTTGTTATTATTATTATTATTATTATTATTTTATTATTTTATTATAATTACTATAATAATAATTATTATTTTTCATTTTCCTCGTAAAATAAAAAAATATTCGTTTTATTTTTTATTATTATTAATTAATTTAAAAATAAAATATAATTTTTTTTTAATTATTAAATATTGAATAATTATTTCCTTTTATTGTTTAATAATTTTGTGTAAATAATAATCTCTAGTGCTGAAGTAAACGTCATCGTTGAAGAATTTGCGATTAATTTAAAAAAAAAATCTCTCTCCATTATTGTTGAACTGAATTGCAATTTCTTTTTTTTTTGTAACCAGATATGCAGATAAATTAACATCGAAGGGAAAAGATGGACAAATCAGACATTTTACACATCCATTTATGCAATCTGCTTTTATGTTTGTTGGTGAAATGATGTGTTTATTAGTATTTAAACTTGCATATTGTTACTATAATCGACAGGCGGTAAGAACATTTTCTTTAAATTTAATAAATTTTTTTTTTTTTTTAAATTAAAACCAAAAAAAAAAATTAAATAAAAAAAGAAATAAAGGAAAAAAAGAATTAAAAGTAAAAAGAAATAAAAGAAAAAAAAGAATTAAAAATAAAAAATAAATAAAAGTAATAAATAAATGTAAAAATATAGATAAAAATAAAATATATGAAAATTAATTTTTTTTCGTACAAATGAAAATAATTTTGTTTTCTAATTAAATGAAAGAAAAAAAATTATTTAATTTAAAAAAAAAACTTTAATAAAACAAATAATTAAAATTTATGAATAATTTTAATTAATAACTATTATAAATTTTAATTAACAATTAAATAAAAAATAAATTTCCTTTTTCAGAATGGCTCTGTTGAAACAAATGCATTAACAAAAGGCTCACGTGATTTTAGTTCGAAAATACTTGCAATTCCCGCATTTTGCGATACAATTGCAACATCAATAATGTATGTTGGCTTAACAATGACATATGCAAGCAGTTTTCAAATGTTACGTGGTTCCGTTATTGTTTTCACTGGAATTTTATCTGTCGCATTTTTAGAACGTAAATTGGGAATACAAAAATGGTCGGGAATTGCATTAGTTATATTGGGATTACTTATTGTTGGTCTTGGCGATTTTTTCACAATGAAAAATGAACATAAAGGGACAAATTCCGTTATTACCGGCGATTTACTTATTATTTGCGCACAGGTGCGTTTTCTTCTTTTCTCTCAAAAGGGGGGGGGGGGGGGGGGAATTTTTTTTTATCAAATTTTCCCTTTCAATGAAAATAAATTTTTATTTATTTTTTTTTTCCTAAAATGAATAGTTAATTTATTATTTAGGAATTTAATGATTTTAGGTGATAATAGCGGCACAAATGGTAATTGAGGAAAAATATGTAACGAGCAAAGATATTCCGTCACTTCAAGCCGTTGGTTGGGAAGGTATTTTTTTTGTAATTTAACTTTTAAAAATATTTATCAATTTTTTGTATTAAATTACTCTTTTTTTCTAATCAGGAATTTTTGGATTTATCGCCATTTGTTTGGCGCTAATTCCACTTAATTATATTCACGCTCCTCCTCCATTTGCGGACAATTCAAGAGGAACATTGGAAGATACAGTCGATGCTTTAGTTCAAATTAAAAATAACGGACGACTTTTTATGGCGATTATTGGTAAATATATATATATTTTCTTTTTATTAATCTATAAAAAAAAAGAATAATTTTTTTTTTGCGAGCGTAAAAAAAATTTATTTTACAAATATTTTTTCAGGAATTATGTTTAGCATAGCATTTTTCAATTTTGCTGGCATTAGCGTTACCAAAGAATTGAGCGCAACAACGCGAATGATTTTGGATAGTATCCGAACACTTGTTATTTGGATAATTTCCCTTATTTTAGGTTGGCAAGATTTTCACTATTTACAGGTAATTTTCTTCTTTTTCATTAATTTTCAATTTTTCCAATTTTATCAATTAAAAAAAAGGGGGGTGATTTCAATTTTTCCAAATAGAAGGAATAATTAATAAAATTTGTAAATTAATAATGAAAAAATATTTTCAGCTCTTTGGATTTGGATTTTTATTGATTGGAATGTGTCTCTATAATGATGTTATTATTCCACAATTGACAAGAAAATGTATTTGTCGATTATCGCGATCATTGCGAACACGATCGCAAACTCAGGACGAGGAACAAATTGTCAACACAGCCGCTGACGATGTGGAAAATCCTTAATGAAAACTGACATTAAATTTTCTACGTTTTTTTCTACATTTTTTCCTATTTTCTTTTCTTTTCTTTTTTTTTTTTAATTCTAAGTCTTCTAATAATACTTTATACATTTTTATATTATCGACTATTTTATATATAAAATAAATTATATATTTGATATATATATATAAACAAAATTATATATTTTATATATAAAATAGCAACAAAAATATATATATATATATTTTTATCGCAAATATTTCGATAAAATGTGATTCTAATTTTAAATAGAATTTTTAAGTAACAATCAATTTTTTCTAATTGATTTTTTTTGTGTTAGCAAATTTTTGACAAAAAAACAAAACCTTTTTTCGAAATTAATTTAATTTTCGAAACTGATTTTTTTTTAATTTTATTGAAAACTGACTAAAATTTTTATAAAAATGACAAGACGACGATTTTTTATATGTAAAAAAATTTATTATACCTTTACTTTTACAAAAATAAAGATGTAAATAGTTTCATAATATGTATTTGGCTCTTATTTACAAAAATACTTAATTATTTAATCCTGAGAATCTTTGAGATATAAGTATTAAATTTAAATACAAACTAAATACTTATATAAATTTATAATAATATTTATAAAAACAAAAAAAAAAAAAAATTTCTAAATAATCTTATAAACAGTCTTACAAAAAAAGACTATTTTTTTAGCTTTCATTTTATTTTCAATGCAATAAAAAAAAAAAATCAACATACAATAAAATAATTGTAATAAACCAATAAAAGAAAAATTGATTAGAAAAATGCAACAAAAAAAAAAAAAATGTACATTTATAAATTTATGTACAATAAAAATTAATTGTCTCCTGAGAGAAAAAAGAAATACAATCGCAGAAAAGAATATTTTTCTTAAAAAGAAAAATAATAAAAAAAAAATTACGTCGACTGTAAAAATAATTCCGATTACAATCGGAGAAATTTCAAAAAAAAATATTTTTCTTACAAAGAAAAATAGAATAAATTGTAAAAAAAAATAATAATAATAATTGCGATAAAATCGCAGAAATTTCAAGAGAAAAAAAAAATATTTTTCTTATAAAGAAAAATAAATGAAATTCAATAATTTTGATATCGAATCGAAGAAATTTAAAAAAAGAAAAAATCTTTCCTTCCTCGATAAAGGAAAAAAGGCACATTTTTTTTTTTTTTTTTGTTGAAAGAGAATTTTCTCTTTACAAATAATAGAGAAGTGTCTCGAGTTGTGTACTCGGTTGATTATGAATTGCTTGTCCAACAAGTGCCGACAATTTATGTGCATATTGACACGGTGCTGGTACTTTTACAGGTCCACAAAAATTGTAATACATTTGTGTTAATTTATAAGTGATTCTTTGAATTCGATCGGGTCCCCAATTTGTTGTATCGTGAATTACATTGTAAGAAGAAGGTGTCACTGTTCCTCGTCCACCGCTTTGTGAAATTAAAAAGAAATCGTATCTGAAAAAAGAAAATTTCAAAAATTACCAAAAAAAAAAAAAAATTATAAATTTAATTTCAATATTAATTTACTTTTTTTTTTTTTTTGTTGAAAATCAAAAAAGAAGAAAAGAAAGAAAATTCCCTTTTTTTTTGGCTACTCACCTTGCAGGATTTGTCACGACATCATCGACAATTGTTCCCGGTGGCGCATTTTGTGTACCATAAAAGAATCGCGAATTAATTCTCTTTGTGACAATAATAAATGCAAATCGATATTTACTTTCATCGCCGTACAATGCATTTAATTTATCTTTAATTTGATTGACTTCAATTTCCAAAACAAATGGAATTTGTCCCTCGCCAACACCATCGCGATAAAATATAATTGTCGATGGCAATACACCATTAACTGTTTTATATTTGTGGCAAGCTTTCACCATATCAACCGACAGTGTATTTGATAATTCCTCACCATTTGTGTGCGCACTCACTGCACTAAAATAGCGTCCACAATTTTTATTTAGCGACGAGACAAGAGCACCTGTTTTTTGGAAAAATAATTTTTTTTTGAGAAAAATAAATAAAAAATACCTTTTTTTAAAAAATAAATAAAAAAAAAAAAAACTCACCGTAATCACGTCCTCGCACCGATTTATCGTGACAAACATCAAAACCAGCGACCATAATATTACCATCGGGAATATTTACTGTCCAAGGTGCACCGCCTAATTTACAATTCATTTGAATGGCAATTTTTGTCGCTGCAGTTAAATTTGGTTTACCCTTGGAATAAACTGTTCGTCTCATTACAACTTGTGATAATACAGGACGATCGACGCAACATTTTTTCTTTATCGCCGAATAACAATCAACATTATTATTTGGCACCATGCAAAGAATCATTTGTGGATTCGATTTACTCATAACATGTTCCAATGCTTGTGTGTAACTTGTTATGCGATCGTTTTGCATATCTTGAATACGCGGCTCAGTCATTGGAAATTGCATACCGCGTGCCGCTTTTATTATTGAACCAACGAGATCCTAAAGAATTTTTTTTTTTCAAATTAAAATGAAAGCGAAATTTACTTTTTTAAAATAGAAAATTAAAATAATTTAAAACAATATTTACCTTGCATTCGTTCATCATTCGATGGGGTACAATGACAACCCAATCTTTTAAATTTGCCGTGACCAACATTTTATTTGATCTTATATCATTATCCCAACTTCCACCGGTTGGATTACAAACTTTTCCATCGGCCATGATTATTGGCTCCTTTGGAATGACACGTCCATTTACATTGGTTAAATTATTATCCAATTTTAAGCCCCATTCTTTTAATTCCTTGACAACATTTGGTTCGCGCAATAAACGTGCATTGAATGATTTTAAACGTTCAATACGTCTACGTGGATCTAATTTTGTATGCTCCGCCAATGCGTTCATTATTCGGAAATTTGATCGCATTTCGTCAGTTAAGCCTGAAAAACGAATTTCTCATCGTTAAATTTTATATAAATAATAATTTTACTATTTACTAATTATTAGTACTAGAAAATAATTTACTAATTATTAGTATCAGAAAATAATTTACTAAGAGAAAATTTTTATTTTTATTTAAATTTTCAGAAAAAATTTTACCTGTTAAACGACAGAGTTCAGGAACAAGATAAATCAATTCCGCCTGTCCGGCTCGACGATCTTTTGGTTTTGATCTTGACACTAACATTGGTTGCGATTCATTTTTAATTCTAAGACCATATTTTTTTGAATAATATTCCTTATAGGATATTGAATCACCATTTTTCAATTTAAACGTTGACGATGGTCGTGTATCAAAATCAATATCATCAATACGATAATGATTATTATTATAATCGGTAAGGACAATTTGTCCTAAAATTTGTTGTGAAAAATGTGCCTATTTGTGAAAAAAAAAAAAAAAAAAAATTATATTATTATTACTGATAATAACAGAGAAAAAATTAATTTCGCAAATTAATTACCTGATAATTTTGACGATTAAATTCAAACGAATCCTCAAGTACATTGAGTACAGTTTTTTGTAACATTACTTTGTGTGTAATTTCAGAACACATTAAAATATTGGATTCACATTGACGAATTGATGTTAAATAACCAGGCCATAAATCGATAACTAAATTTTCTGTTCTTACTTCAATCTAAATGAAACAGGAAAAAAAAAATATTAACAAATAAATATAAATTATAATCAATGACAATTAATAATATCAAAATAATAAATAAAGTAAAAAAAAAAAAAAATAAATACTATTGAAATTATAAAAATTAATTTCAAATATGTAATTTATTTAGAAAAGTAAATGGATTAATAATAATGGAACACTTACTTTATTTTTTGGATCGAAAAAATTGCGTCCAACCAATTTTAATTGCAAATGATCGAGACATTTTCTCATGACAATATTGAAAAACGAAATATAATGATAATCGCCTTTCTTTAATTCGCCAACCATTCGAATGTTTATTTTAATATTTTCATCGTCCGATTGTCTTTTTGAAAAAAGTTCCAATTCATTTGGTGGCTGCAAGAAAAATTAAAATTCAATTCATTTATTCAAAAAAAAATTCAATTTACAGTTGTTTTTTTTTTGTGAAAAATTTGGAAATTTATTTTCAATTTCTTTCAATGAAAAAAAAAAAAAAAATTCCAAACCGATTTTTGTTCTCGAAGGAAAATATTAAAATTAGGCTTGATTTACAGAAAAATAAATAATAGTAAATAAAAGAAAATTTTAAATAAATAAATAAAGAAGAATAATTTTAAAAAAAGAAGAATTTTTAATCAATTTAATAAATAAAAATGTCCCGTCAATTTAATAAATGAATAAAAATTAATTGAAATTTTTTTTTTTTTTATAAATACCTGAACTAATTTGGAACTCGTGTACATTACGGTACCATCAAAAATATAGGCACCCAATTTAGGACGATGGAGTTTAAGTAAACCTTTACGAACCACCGTTCGATCTTCTTGAGGTGCAAAATCAACTCTATATTCATAGAGATTCCAATTTTGTGTTTGTGTCATCAATTGGAAATAATTTGATTGCAATTGAATTTTGCCTCCATAAGTTCCTGTAGAAAAAAAGCAAGAAAAAAAAAATTACTACCTTTTTCTATTAATTAAAGCGAAATAAAAAAATATTTTTTTATTATTACAAAGAAATAAAGAAACAAAATTAATTTTTTTTTAATGACAAAACCAAAGAAAAAAATTTTTTTTTATTAAAAAACTGATTTATTTTATTTTTTAAAAAATTAATTAAAATAAAATTGGTTGGATATGGCTGAAAGTATTCTACGGATAAAGTCGAGTGGGATCCGCAACAGCTGTCCAATTTTAAAATTAAAATTAATTTAAAATTAATTTTACCAAAAATACTGTTTTTTATTTTTATTTATTTATTTGATTAAACAATATTTTTGATTAAAGTAGTATTTTTTTATTATTAAAAAAATACTATTCTTAATTACTAAAAAAATACTGTTTTTATTACTAAAAAAAAAACTGATTTTTGAAAAAAATTTTTACGAGGCCTATTAAACGGTTATTATATTTGCTGTTTATTGAAAAGTTAATTGAAAACGAAGTAAAATAATAATCATCAATAAAACTGATTTTTGTTATTAAACTTATTTTTTTATTATTATAACATAGAAAAAAAAATTGGTTATTATTCAATAAACAATAATTGTTTTTTTTTTCTTAAAAAAATTATTGTTTAACAGAAAATTTTGGAAAATATATTTTAAAAAAAATCTATTCAGTTTTTTTTCTTTAAAAAAATCATTGTTTAACAGAAAAATTTTTGGAAAATATATAAAAAAAAAAAAAATCTATTCAGTACCTTGTTTAGTGGCACACGCTGTAGGTCTAGTAAGCATCACTTCCGATTCATTTATTCTTCTGCGTCCACGCATTGCACCTCGTCCTACGGCGGCAACTGCACCAGCTCCTGGAGCATCTTCTCCTACAATTCAATAATTTATAATTATAATTATATTTTTCAATTAACTATAAAAATAATAACAAATAATAATATATTTAATTTACTAATGAATTTAAGTATATTTCATAATTAAATTTTAATTTAATAATTCAACAATAAATCTATATCAGTTTAAAATAAAGAAAATAAAAATTATATGTTTATTTGTTCGTTTGGAAAAAATCGGAACTTCGTTAAAAGCCGAAAGGCTTAAAGAAAAATATAAATAATAAACAAATAAAGAAAATAAAATAAAACTAAGAATTATAAATATATATTTTGTAATTAAATTATTTAGTAATATTTTCTTATTAAATATGGTAATTTTTATAATACGTTATCTTCTTAAAAAAAAATTATTGTTATTATTATACTAATAATAATGGTAATAATAATGAAAATGAAAAATAAATAATAGTCAACGGAAAAAAATAATAATGAATCATCAATTAATGAATGAAAATCTATTTTTTTCAAATTAAATTAAAAAAAGGGAAATTATTAAAAATACCTTTTGGCAAAGCCGCAGCTAGCTGAGAAACATTTATCTCTGCGGGTCTCTGAAATTATAATATTATAATATTAATAATAATTATTATTTTTTTAAAAATAATTTAATAAAAATTAAATAGAAATATTTACTTTAGAAATCTAATTATTGATTATAATATTTAAAGAGATAAAATTCTAATAATATGTAGTAATAATTTAATAATTTCTAATAGTTTTCTTTCAATTTCTCACCTGAGTTTGAGGAGCTGGTCCAGAGGGAACATTTTGGCGACCAGCACCACGTCCAAGTGGACTACGTCCCCAAGCTTGACTTGGAGCCTGTTGTTGCTGCTGCTGTTGTTGTGGTGGTTGTTGCCTTTGTTGTTGTGGTGGTTGTTGCCTTTGTTGCTGCTGCTGCTGCTGTTGCTGTTCTTGTTGACGTCCTCGACCTCGTCCACGTCCCATTGGTGCACCTCTTGCCCAAGGATTCGACATTTTTGTATTCACTAGAAAAAAATTTTTTTCTTCTTCAAAAAAAAATTCTCAAAGAAAAATTAAAAATTTTTTTTTTCAAATATCTCCGAAAAATTTCGATCTTATTCGTTCGACTAGAATTTTATGACTGACCTTGTCCTCTCGAATCCAAACAGGTACAGCACAAGTGAAAGAGAAGATGAAACTCATTAAGCCGAGGGGGCGTGGAAAAGTTTGTATAGAAAAAAAATAGGAGTGGGGAGTATATTTTCCTTTCGGAGAAAATTTTCACTTAAAATTAAATTCAGCAAAAAGGGCAATAAAAAAAAAGAAGAGAGAAGAAAATAAAATTCCTTTAGGAATTTTATGACAAAAAATTTTTCCTACAAAAAATGTTAATTATATATATATATAATATTAAAATGCTTTGTCCTTCTGTCCTAACTTGAAGTTGGCCTTTTCAGATTTCACGTCTTTTTTTTGAATAGTAATTTTATGACGTGTCAAATTTTGACAATTCTTTTTCTCATTTTTGCCAAAGTTGTATAATTGTGTTTCCAAATATCGGAATAAGTTTTTTTAAAATTCCAAATTCGAAAATTCAATTCACGAAGCTGAAGTACCAGGGGCCAACGAATACCTATTAAATATTAATTATAAAAACACAGACCTCGAATCAACTTAAAGACACAAAAAAAAGTCGTTTTAGTCGATTTATATTTCAAAAAAAAAGTGGATTTGTTTTTTATTTTAACAAAAATATTTTACAGATTTTTAAATAAAAATTTTTTTTTTTTAATAATAATCCTTTTCGAAGGGTTAATGTTGAAATTTTTAGAAATAATTAAATTTCAAAAGATATTATTAATTTTCAAACAATTATTAAATTTTACGGAACTAAAAATAATTTATCAAACAATTTTTGGAAAACATTTTTTAAATTTAATTGAATTTTCAAAGATTTAAAATTGAGATTTTTAAAATTAATTGTTTAAGTGTTTTGTAATTAAAATTTTAGATGATTTCACTAAAAATTTCTTAGAAAATGCGGACAAAAGACAATAATTTGAAAATCATTTTTAATTAAAAAATAGTGAAGAATCATTTTAGTTCAAAATTTGTTAAATAATTGAATTGAAGAAGATCTGAAGAAGATCTAAATTTTATACTAAAAAATGTATTTTATTTACATTTTTTTTTCAAATGTAAAAAAAAAAATGTCGCATTTTATTAAAATAAGTCGATAAAAGTCGTATTTTTGAAAAAAAGTCGTATAATCCGAGGTCTGTAATAATTTTCATTATTATCATTTAATATGTACTAATATTCTAATAAATTAAATTATTATTGATAATATTAATCTTTAATTTCTTTATAACAAACAATTAAATACTCAATTTGGCGCGCGTTTAACTTTGCTAGTAATTTAATAAAATAACAATTAAATTATATATTATAATGTAAATAAATATTATTACAATAATTTTAATATAATATTAATTTTTTTATTATTTAATAATAATAATAATAAAATAATAATAAATAAATAATGAATAACAACGGATAAGTAAATAAAATACCAGAATAAAGAAAATAAACAAAGAAATAATCCGGAAAATAATAATCGAGAGGGAAAATATTTTTTTTTTTTTTTGGGAAATTCCGCAAAAGTAATTTCTCATAATATGGAATAAATTAATTTTTGGAAAATATTTTGGGTAGGATAATTTATTTTATTTAATTTTTTTTTTGAAAGAAAGGGATTTTTTAAGAGGACAATATACATTAACAGGTGTTTAAGCCTCTGTTAATTATAATGAAAGTCTAGACATCGTAAACTTAAAATTCATGTGGAGTAGTTTAAATGAAAAATCTCATTATATGGTAATTAGGGGAAAATTCAATATTTTTTCAAAATGCGCGTCAAAGATAATAATCTTTTTTTCTTGGTATTCTCCTCTGATCCTTTTGAAATGATCTTATAAAACGATTAAGAAATATGCATACAATAATTTAATAAATTAAGAGAAAAATATTTAGAAGGTTATATAAAAATTATTCATAAATACAAATAATTAAAAAATTGTTTAAAAAAATACTTTAATTATTTTTTATAATTGCGGAAAATTTAAAAAATTATTTTTTTCTTTTATTAACAATATCTATCAATATCGGGCATAAAAAACCGAGTAAAAAACTATTTCGATTGATAGAATTGTAATTTTAATAAAAAAAAAAAAAAACACGAACATTATAATAATATTTTGTAATTAAAAATTTAAATGTATTTAAAATTTGTTTTATAATTATTACTAATTTTTATTATTTTATTTCTATTTAATTATTAATATTTTTTTAAAATTTATCGAATTTATTAATTATTATTATTATTTATTAATTTTTAACTATTAAAATTCCTGTTTTTTTTTTTGTAATAATTTTCATATTAATTTAATAGCGCAAAAAATTGGTAAAGATAAAATTAAAAAAAAAAAAAAAATTAGTAAAGAATTTGTCATTTTTAAATACGACGACAAAAAAGAGCATTTTTAGGTTATGTGTAACATTTTTCGGGACTTCGCGTGTTTTTATTTAGACGTCAATTTATTATAATTGCGATATAATTATAATAATAAAAAAAAAAATTGTCTCATAAAGGAATTTGTTTTTGTTTATATCTACCTCTTTTCGATAATTAGAGGGATTAAAAGTTCCAAAAAAAAGGTTATGTAATTTACAAATGAAACCTTATCAAATAAAAAAAAAAATTATAAACACCCAATACTTTTTTCTATTGTTTACATAAGTCACGTAATAGTTTGTCTATTTTTTCATCAAGCGATTAAAAGATAAGAATAAGGTGAATGAACTTATTTAATTCATTCATTTTTACGAATTGATAATAATTTTCTGTACACGTTTATTCTTTTTTTTTTTTTTTTAAATTTATTTTATCTTTATCGAAAAAGAAAATTTGAGAAAAATAAACAGAGGGAATTAAAATGAGAAAAAGATCTACTTACCTTTTTTTTACTGCCCCGCAGATTTTTCTACTCCAAAAAAAAATTATTTTTTTTTGTATATAAAAAGCAGACTATTTTCGAGAGTACGATTTTTTATGACAATTTATTGTTTAATTTAAATAAGAATTTAATTTGTTTTTGTTCCATTTGTTACGTTTTCTCTTTATTTGGAATTTTTTTTTTAAAAAGAAAACAATTAAACAATAGAAAAATGAAACCGGTTGTGCCAACAACAAAGCTACAAAGGAAGTGAAACGAAGCTACGCCTAAAAACCGGAAGTTACCAATGAAGTCAAATGCAAATTATGTTCAAAAACTGTAATTGACTTTAAAAAAATTCACCGCGAAATTCAAAAGTTACTTATGTTAAATAATTTTTATTTTTTATAATTAAGAAACGGATAATAATAAAATTGTGTTCAATAATAAAATTTAAATATTTTATTTATTATTTTAGAAAAATTTTGTTCTCTTAAATATTTTTAATTTTATTATCAATGAATGGTAAAGAAGATTCATATACACTCAAGCTTGGGGTGATATATATATTAACACGCATGGATATTTTTTGACAGATTAGAATTGAATTTTATTTAATTTCGTGAATTTTTTAGATAAACTTTATTAATATAAACAAAGTCTACAGTATTTTAGGTAAGTAAACAATTAATTTTTTCACTTATAATTGATTATTATTATATAGTTTCATGTAAAACTGTTGTTACCATGAATTCTAACCTCAAAAAATTGAGAGAGAAAAAAAAAAAATCTGCAATAATTATTTTACATTTTCCTAAAAAATTTCGGAGTATTATTTCACAAATATTCGATATTTATATAGATTATTTTTTTAATTTAATTCAAAAAAAATGTTTTTCTTTTTTTTTTGTTTGATAATGATATTTATCACAAAATAATTGATGTTGGTTTTTATTTGAAATATTTTCCGGCACAAAAATTATTCTCAAGAGAATGAGAAGAAGGGGAAAAATTTTCACATTTTTGTCAATTAAAAATTTACGTTAAAAAAAAAAATATATATATATATATATAAATAATTCGTTCAAATTAACTATAAAAATATTAAATTTAAAATTTATTGCAAAATGTAATTTTTATTGAAAAATTGTTTTTTTTAATTATAAAAAAATATATAATTTTAATTGATAACAATTATTTTATTTATTTAATTATAAATTAAATTAATTTTGTTCAATTAGTATTTTTAGTCTGTTAACAGTAAAATTTTAATTTTATTAAAATAATAAAATTATTTGATGGTTTTTAATATATTTTTAAATTCAATTGTTTTAAAATTTGAATTAAAAAAATTTAATTTTTTTTAATTCAATTATTATTTTAATTGTTTATTATTATTATTTATTATTTTTGTTACTGTTATTATTTTGTTATTTTTCTATTTTATTATTATTATTATTATTATTATTATTATTATTACTTAAATATAAATTAAACAAATATTTTTTAAATAAAATTCTTTTAATTTTGTATAAAATTGTTGTTTTTTTTTTTATTTGTATTATTTTGATAATTTCATTAATTAAAATAATAAGATAAAAAAAATACATTTTTTAATGAAAAAATCTGTTTTTTTTTTTACTATTTAGAAAAATGGTGTTGTCGTGTCGTTATTACAAGGCAAAATATCCCGAGGTGGAGGATGTTGTTATGGTTAATGTCCGCAGTATAGCGGAAATGGGTGCATATGTTCATTTATTGGAATACAATAATATTGAGGGAATGATATTGCTCTCGGAATTGTCAAGAAGACGTATTCGTTCAATTAATAAATTAATTAGAGTAGGAAAAACTGAGCCAGTTGTTGTCATTCGTGTTGACAAAGAAAAAGGTGAATTTTTCTTTTATTCATTAATTTTTTTCAGAAGAAAAAAAAAAAATAAATAAAAATGAAAAAGAATTTCTTATTTTATTTTACAAAATTTTTATTTTTTTTTGTATTTAATTTTTAAAATTTTGATTTTTATTTTTAAATATATTTTTATTTATTAAATTCTAATTTTTATTGTTATATATTTTTATTTTTTAATATATTTTTGAGAAATTAAAATTTTTTTTTTTTTAAGGCTACATTGATTTGAGTAAACGACGTGTTTCCGCTGAAGATGTGGAAAAATGTACGGAACGTTATGCAAAGGCAAAAGCAGTGAATTCAATACTTCGACATGTCGCGGAATTATTGCATTATGAAAATGATGAACAACTCGAGGAACTTTATCAAAAGACAGCTTGGTATTTTGAGGAAAAATACAAAAAACAAAAAGCATCGGCTTATGATTTTTTCAAACAATCAGTGTTGTAAGTATTATTTTGCAATTTGTATAATTTGAAGAAAAAAAAAAAAAAATTTCTTCCAATGGATTAATTAATTTTTAATTTAGTTGCAATTTTTTATATATTTTCTTTTTAAATTCTTTTTGTTTTATTTTCGCATAGGGATCCATCAATTTTAGCGGAATGCGGCTTGGACGATGAGACAAAGGAAGTTTTATTAAATAACATTAAACGTAAATTAACATCGCAAGCGGTGAAAATTCGCGCTGACATTGAATGCGCCTGTTATTCTTATGAAGGAATTGATGCTGTTAAAGCGGCATTAAAAGCAGGTTTAGCCCTATCCACCGAAGAGCTTCCAATTAAAATCAATTTAATTGCACCTCCACTTTATGGTAGTTAAATTTATAAAACAAAATTTTTTCAATTTTTAGCAAAATTTATTTTTTTTTTATTCAATTTATTTACAAAAGAAAAATTGAATTTTCAACTATTAAACATCCGAAATAGAATTGAAAAGAAATTGGTAATTTAAATTAAGAAATTTTATTTCGAAAAAAGTAGAATTTAAATTTACATTTTAAATTAAATTTTAAATAATTTAGTTTAAAAATAAAATAATTGTTAATTTAAATAAGTAAAAAAATTTTTAGTAAATAGTAAAATTAATTAATTTTTAGTTTAATTTTAATGGAATTTTGAAATGTAATTTTCTTTTTTTAAATTACAGTAATGACGACGAGTACGCCGGAGAAGCAAGATGGTCTTAAGGCCCTAAACGATGCTATTGAAGTGATTAAAGAAAAAATAACAACACTCGGAGGCGTTTTTGCAATTCAAATGGCTGTAAGAACAAAAGAAAAATTATTTTATTTAAAAAATCGTTTTTTTTTTATAAAAAAAGGAAAATTATGAATTTTATTTATTACATTGGAATAGAAAAAATTCCAGAACAAATTTTTTTCATTGAATCTAAATTAAAGAATCAATAATTGGAAATTAAAAATATATTTTTTTTTAAATTTTTATCGTTTTTCCACAATTTATGTATTAATTATTAATTTGTAAAATTTTGATTCTTAATTTTTTAAATCCATTTTTTAAAATTCATATTTTTGGATTTAATTTTAAAAAAACGTAATACCAAAATTTATTAATAATTGAATTTTGTAAATGACAATTAAAATTTGCAAAAAAATTTTCTTTAGCCGAAAGTTGTCACCGCAACCGACGAAGCGGAACTTCAACGGCAAATGGAGAGAGCAGAAATGGAAAATGCCGAAGTTGCTGGCGACGACGACGAGGAGGAAGTTGAGGGTATGGGCGACTTTAGCGGAGGTGAAGACGATAATGAGAACGCAGATTCACAAAAGGAAGAGGATTAAAAGAAAAAAGATAAAAAAAAAGGGAGAGGAATTCTTTTTGTTTATACGACAATTTTTTTTTCTCTTCTGCCATTTATTGAGGGGGGGGGGAAAAAAAAATAAAGAAAACAACGGCAATTATCGATATTTGTATAACGCAAATTTTTTTCAAAATATATAATTATGAAAATTGTCTCGTTTTTTTTTTTTTAATTATAAAATCCTGATGAATATTTAAAAATTTTATTTCGAAAATAAAAGTAGAATTTAAATTGAAAAATTGTTAATTTACAAAAATAAATCAAAAAATTCACAAAAATAAATAATTTAAAATTAAACAAAATTTAAAAATTTTGCGGATAACTTAAATTTTTTTTTTAACTAAAAATTTGTGTTTAGAGAAATTAACTAATTTATTAATTAAATTTTAATAATTAATAAATATATAAAAATTACTTAAATAAAAATATTTCTTAGTTTTTTTAAACAATTATTTAAATATTTTTCTTTTAAATTAAATAAATAATTTTATTAGTTAAATTAATAATTTTGAAATTAAAATTTTAAAATAAAATTTGTTTAAAAAATAAATGAAACTAAAGGTGATTTTTTTTTGCAATTTTTATTTCTTTTTATTACAAATTTCTGATGAAAGTCATTGAACAATCATTTTTTTTTTGCCAAATAAAAAAAGAATTTCTTTTTTTAAATTTTTAATCATTGGCAATGGTGACTTCAACTTCTACGCCAGGTTCAATGGAGATGCTGGTGATTTGTTTAACAATTTCGGATGGCGAATAAAGATCAATGACTCGTTTATGAATTCGCATTTGGAAACGATCCCAAGTTTTTGAACCCTCACCACAAGGTGTTTTACGAGTTGTGATCCTTAATATTTTCGTTGGTAAACGAACTGGTCCCTTCACCTTCAATTTTTGTTTTTTCGCTCCGTTTATCAATTCCGAGCACACTGAAAAATTTTAAACAAAAAAAAATTAGTTTTCTTTTCTTTTTTTTTAAATTAAATCTTTTTAAACAATTTTATTTATTTATAATTTTTTTTATTATAGTTTTTTTAAAATATTCGTTCTTCAACTATTGTAAAGTAAATTAATTTCGATTTTTTTTTAAGTGGAAATTAATTAATTAAATAAAAAAATTCGTAAACATATTTTTGTATAAAAAAATTAATAATAAAAATAATAATAATAATAATAATTCCAAATAAATAAAAATAAACGATAAAAACTAAAAAAAAAATACAACATTCTAAAAAAATACGATATTTAAACTAAGAAATCAATAACAAAAAAAAAACGTGTTACTCACCCTTTTCCAAAGATCTAACATTTCGGGAAGTCAAAGTAATCCGGATTCGATGAACTGGTGGAACATCGGGTCCTGGTTTTTCCGGATTTTCTGCTTTCAAACTAGCCTACAAAAATAACATAAAATATTTCTATATTGTTTATTTAACAAAGCGAAACAATTATATTCGTTTTTCGATCAACATAACCTCAAAAACGCCAAATTGACAATTGAATAACAAAAAAAAAAAAAAAAACAAATTAATATTCATATATACAAATAATTTGTGAATAAAACAGTAAATTTTACTATAGAAGAAAAAACAATACGATTTTACATGAAAAATAAAAAGAAAATAGACGCACTTGAAACGAAGCTAACCTCAAAAAAAAATGATTTTCATTTCATTGATTTACGAATAAAAGGGGAAAAATTCTCGAAATTGGAAAATATTTACAATTTTGTGAAATTTAATTAACTCACCATTTTTTGTTGCTAATTTCCTGGTCGAGATAAACAATTTATTCGATGAAAAATTGATCAGCGCTGAACCAGTGTTCTCATATGTGGCACGTGCACAAAAAGGTAGAAGAAAGGAAATTTGTCCACGAGGATTATTTCCGGTCCAATGCTGCCAATATAATTTAAAACGGAAACTGCGCTTACGCCACTATTCACAAGCAAAATATTAAATAAAATACAAGGTAAATTACATTTGGATAAAAGTTTTCTTAAATTAAATTTTTATTTTATCAAATAAATACAAAAAATGTTTAAAAAAAACTAATTGATAACAAATTAAAAAGAAAATAATTGCTTCTGTCAAAGATTCAAAAAAGAATTTTTTTTATGTTGGTAGAAGTATAATGTTGAGTTTTTCGTTATCTTGAGTTGGCAATGCTGCTCATTGCAAATGGCGTCGTCAAAAAGTAGAAGACACAATTTTTGTTCGCTAATATTAAATCTTCTAGTATTTTATTAATCATAACGGTAATTATACAAAAATTTTTTTCCTAATTAAGTACAATTATATATGAATAATCGAAAATAAATAAAAATTTCGTGGCAGTAAAGAAAATGAATAGATAAAATTTTTTTCGACAAATTTACAACCTAAAAATTGACATTACAACTTGTTGCAACTTGTTGTACAATGACTTCACATTACTGCCGCTGTATAACTTTCGAATTATATATTAAAATATTAATATAAAAAAAAATACGGATTAAATTTATTAAAATTATTAAATGAGAAGTAATAATTATTAACGAAATTGAAAAAAGGTTACTAAATTAAAAAAGTAGTTAAAAAAAAAAAATTTCTATGTTGGTAGCAGTATAATTTTGTTTCTTTTTGCGTTGGTAACACTGCTCACTACAGTTGTCCTGGTCATTGTTGAAAGCGCGGTTGAAAGTTACAGTAAATTTTTGGTGTAAAACAAAAAATATCTCATAATCTTTTTGTAAATTACAAATGTATTTCAATAATTAAGTTCAACTTGATCGAAATATTCAAGATTTCAACTTATTTTTGTTGGTGAGTATTAAAATTTTTTGTTAATTTGACAAATTTCCCGACACTTTGGAATTTAACCTAAAATTTACTGCAAAACCAATTTCACCTTTCGATTCAACATTTACACGGTTATTTGTCCCCCGTATTTTAGAGATAAAATTTAAAAAGCAAAATTTTGTTAAAAATATCATATATCGTATATTTATTTAACTAAATTTATTTATTTTCCAATACAGGTAAATATTTTATAAAAAATCAAATTTTAACGAATTTTTTTTTTCTAAAAATTCTAGTAATTTTATACAATTTTTTTGAACTTTATATTATTAGTTTAATTATTAATTAATTTTTTTGTATTTTTAAAAATAATTTACTGAATTTATTATTATTGAGTCTCTTTTTTGTTTAAATATTTATTAGGATAATTTTTTTTTTTTGCTTTTAATAAAGAAAATGATTATTTTTAATTGTTAATCGTTTGCAAAGTTTAGAATTTAAAAAAAATTTTCCATTAAAATTACTTTATTAATTAGTTGCAAATATTAATTATTTACAAAAAAAAGGGACATTAAGAAAAGATTTAATTTTTATAAAATCAAATTAAGAAATTATAAATTATTTGAAAGAAATATTTTGAAAATATTCTTAGTTATGTAAAATATACCATAAATTTTATTTTTTTTTATTAATTTACAGGTGTTCAATACATGAAGGATGGGTGTTTGTTGCGGAGCTGCTCCTGGAGGAGATCTTGCATTGCTGAGTCGCAGTTCAATGTAAATTGATCATAATTTTTTTTTCCTCAATTTTTCTTTTTAAAAATATTTACGAATGTTATTAATAAAATTAATTTGATTAAATATTTATAAATAATAATAATCCTTAAAAAAAATTTTGAAAAATATCAAATTCCAAAACTAAAAAATTTATTAATAAAATAAAAAATAATAAATATTTGCAATATTTCAATAGTTGCAGTAAAAAAAAATAGTTTTTATTCTATTTGTTTAATTTATTTTACAATTTATCGTAATATTTTTTTTAATTATTTTTTTATTCTAATAATTGTTCAGAGATTTATATAAATAATGATATATTTAAAAGTATAATGATAATTATTAGAAGTATGTAATAATTGATAATTACGATTACCAAATATTTTCTAATAAAATTATTTTTTTTCAGGCAATTGGTCCAGTAGAAGGAAGATTTTTAACGAGAGTATCTGCTGTTATCGTATCTTTTATACAACGCAGAAATTTTTCCTTACAGGTGAATCTTTTTTATCCAATAATTTTCAAAAATATCAATAAATGAAAAAAAAGTGTTATAAATTAAATAAAAAAAAATTAAAAATATAATAAAAAAATTATAGATTAAATTTATTTATAAATATAAAAATATTTATAAAAATTTTTATATTTAAAAATAATTGACGAGGATTTTTATTTATTTTACACATATAACATCGGAAATTATTTTTTTTTCAGGTAATTGGTTTTTTTTTTTGTAATATAGTTAATTTTATATAAAAATTTGGAAAATTATAATTCATTGAAAATTCCCTTATAAATAGTGTGGAAAATAATTGTATAATTAAATTAATATTTAATTTATTATTATTATTTATTTTTATTTATTTAATTTTTTGTTTTTTTTATGTTTTCAGGTCCATTTCAATTTTCCAAATATCGAAAAAAGACTAGGAAGGATGTGGAAGAAGAAAAGTGGCCCCAGCATACAATTTTTTTTTCTCTTTTCTTATTTTTTTTAAAAAAGATTTTTTTTTTCTGCTTCCAACCTTTCGCAGAAGTGCGATCAAGAAAAAGGGATCTTTGGAAGTTGGCCTGAAGCGCTCGAGAAGTGGCAATGACGTTATTGCCCCGACGTGGGATGATTCGCCGATCGATGAGTCGTTTTTTATTCAAACTCCTTCCCTGTTTAAAACGGTTATTATTTTTTTTTTGGTAATTTCAAATTAAAATAGATTTTAAAATTGAAAAAAAATGTTATATATTTAAAAATTTTTTCCAATTTTCTTGACTAAAAAAATTAAATAATTTCGGACTCGAGAGCCAGTAAATAATAAATTCGATTTAAATAAAATATTTTTTAAAAAAATGAAAAATAACAGGGAAGGAATTCTGACAACATAGTGACAGCATTGACAAAAGTTTATTATTTTCTGGTATTTTTTTTTTTTTTTTTGAGGGGTAATCTGAAAAAAAGCGTGTGATATTTTCGTAAAAAGCCCTGAAAAATTTCTAACACTTCCCACAATTTGAAAATATTACACGTTTTGTGGATTTTACTACCTTAATACTACGTAAATTAATAATATTGTCAATGTTTTTTTTCATTTATATTATTGTTATTTATTTTCTGTATAATATTTTTGTTTTCTAATTTTTCTTATTCAAAGTAATTTTCTTGTTGTAAAAAATAATTTCCATATTTAAAACTAAATTTATTGAATTTTTATTAATTTACTTTAAATAATTTAATTAATCTTTTGAATAATTTTTCAATATTTTCCATTGTAAATTCTTTTTTGTAATAATTCTCAAAAAGTTAAAAATTAATGCACGTGAAATTGAAAATAAGTTTTGTTTTGATAATTTTTTAATGAGGGACTATAATTAAATTGATTTTTTTTTTCAGAAAAAGAATCGCTCAGGTGACGACTGCGTCCCGGGACGTTAATCCTAGTGTAGGTAATTTTGCACCTGGGCGATATTATTTTCGTTATATTCGAATTTCGTTTTCGAATCGGGTATAGGTAGGAAATTCGGGAAAAGTAGTAGAGAAATATTTTTCGTTTTTAAATATAGCTGTAGGTAGGAAAATCGTGAAAAGTAGGCAAATCATTTTTTTTTCGTTTTAAATATAGATGTAGGTAGGGAAATTGGGTGTAAAAAAAAATGTAAGTAAAAAAAAAGTAACTGGAGTAGCAGTGAAAATTTATTTTATTTCAATTTATTATTTTTTTTTTTTGTCACTATGTTGTCCTATATATTAATGTTTTGTGAATGTTTTCTAAGTGTTTTGTGAATATGTTTTGTTTAATTAATTATTATTTTCAGTTCAATCATCGTGGTGAGCAATAATAATTCTTTTTTTTAATTTTTATAATCATTTATTTTTTCAGGAATGTGTAATTTATTATATTTCACTAATTTTTACTATATTTTACTAATTTTTACTATATTTTACTATATTTTACTATATTTAACTAAATTTAACTAAATTTATTTATATTACCATATATGAAAATTTTATTACTTTTACAAAAAATGAAAATATATAAAACAAAATTGTAAATAGCATTTAAATTACAAATTTTTTTTTATTTATCTGCTATTGCAAATTTTTCGGACATTTTTTCGGAAATTTTATTATTCAGCATTGCAATCGCGTAAATCGCAGCTTTTTTTTAACGGGAGTGTTATTAATATTTCGAGTAAGTACAATTTCCGGGTTATTAAATTTATTAATTATTAATTTTATATTTATTACTATCATTATTGATATTATTATTATTATTATTGTTGTTATTATTATTATTATTATAATAAATTATTATTATTAATATTTATAAAACTAAATTAAAAAAAAATTCCGGTGAAAAATTAATTTTGATTAAAAATTATTTTAACTAAATATAAAAACAATAAATTTAACAATTAAAAAATTTTTTTTTTTTGTTTTCTAAAAAATTTGCGTAAAAGCATTTTAAATAAGAGCGCATTTTTGTCAATTTCCGGTTTTTAGAAAGGAAATACGTGAGTTAAATACAGGACTAAAAATAACTGCCCAATTTAAAAAATGAAAAATCCAAATAATTTGCTTAATTAAACAAAATTATTATTTTATTTTTTATTCCCATTTTTTTTTGCAACTAAAAACCATAAATTAATAATAATAACAATAACGGTAAAAAAACAATTATATTGATCATGTGAGTTTTATTATCAAACAGAAATCAAGTTTTGATAAAAATTTTCTTATATTTTTTTTTTTTTGAACATATTTTTATTAAAAAAATACTCGACGTAATTTTTAAATGGGAATATTTTTATTATCCAGATTTAATTCGTTTTAAATATTAAGGTATAAATAATTTTTTATTTTCTTTGCAAAATATTATCAGGTGATAATAAATCTTGAATCATTTTATAACCTTAAAATTCTGACGTTTATTTGACGTTTCAATTTGAAAAAAAATAGGAATTCAAATTCCTCACTGATGATTAAAATTTAGAAACATTTTTATTTTCAATGGTTTTTTTTTTTTTCTTTGCATTTTTTCTAAATGAAAATTTTTTATTATATCGATTATGTAATAAAAAGTTAAATTCGTCACACAAAATAATTGTTTTTTTTTATCGTTGTTGATAAAATCTTGTGAAAAAAAATTTTTTTTCTTGTTTTGTAGGTGAAAAAATAAAATTTTAATTTAATTATGTATGGAATTATGAATAGAAATTTGTCGACATTAAAAAGAACAAATCTCCAAAATGTTAGACTCGCACATCATTCGTGAGTAAAAAAAATAAAATAATCATTTTTTTCTCATTTTATAATAATAATAATTAAAATTTGAGGAAAATTTTTTCAAGTGATCCAAAAAAAAAAAAAAAATGTTAACCTTGGATTTTTTTTTAAAAATATTTATTTATTTGTAATTTATAATTATTTTTTTTAGTAAAAAATGAAATATTTTATAAATAAATAAATGATAATAATAATAATAATGAATAAAATAATTATAAACTATTATTTTCATTGGCAATTATAATTTTTTTTTATTGAAAAATTATGGAATAATAATTAATTTTTTTAAATTATTTTAGGTGTAAAATTTTGATACTCGGGGGTGGAACAGGAGGATGTTCAATGGCAGCAAAATTATCGAGAAAATTCAAAGAAAAACCATCTCACGTGATAGTCGTTGATCCCGCCGAAGTATAAAAATTATTTAACAAAATCTGTTTTTTTTCTTTAATTTGTATTTATGAATTATTTTTTTTTTTTTTGTTCTCAGCATCATTATTATCAGCCATTTTTCACATTAATTGGCGGTGGAATTGGAAATATGAAAAAATGTCGACGAGAAATGAAAGATGTTCTTCCAAAAAATGCCCAATGGATAAATGATTTTGTCATTGAGATTGATCCAAAGAATCAAAAAATCACCACCAAAAATGGCGACACTGTTAATTATGAGATTTTAATTGTTGCCCTTGGACTTAAACTCAATTGGCAAGCTGTTGAGTATCGAAAATTATTTAAAAAAAAAAAAACTTTTTTTTTAGATTGAAAAATTAATTAATATTTTATACAATTTTTTTTTGATTTAATTTATTTTTATTAATTAAATTAATTAATTAATCAATTAAATTTTAATTATTTTTATTAATATTAATTTAAAAAATTAATTTTTGAAGTTGAAAAAAAAAATTTTATTTTATATATTTTTTATTTTTAAAGGTACCAGGACTGGTTGAGAGTCTTGATAATCAAAAATCGCAAGTGTGTTCAATTTATAGTCCAGAAACGGTGCCAAAAGTTTATGGGGCAATTAAAAGAACAAAAAATGGAAATGCACTTTTTACTTATCCAAATACACCGATTAAATGTGCAGGTGCACCACAAAAAATAATGTATCTCGCCGAAGCTTATTGGCAAAAAGTAAAGTATATTTTTCAAAATTAAAAAAAATTTTGGTTTTTCAATTTTTTCTTTTAAATTAAAAAAAAAAAATTCTAATTTGCATTTTGAAAAAAATTTGAAAAGAAATTTTGAATTTATAAATTCTTTTTTTAATTATTGAATTTGAATTTATAAATTTTTGGAAAAAAATTCTATTAAAATTTTTTTAAAAGTTTTAATTTAAAAAATATAATTAATTTTGAATGTAAAAAGGAAATTATTATTTTTTTTTTTTTTGTAATTTCAGCATAATTTGAGGGACAATATTAATGTTGTGTACAATACTGCATTGCCAGTGATTTTTGGAGTGAAAAAATACGCCGATGCACTTTGGAAAGTTTGCGAAGGTCGACAAATTAAAGTTCATTTAAGCACGAATTTAATTGAAATCAGGCCCGATAAGTGTGAGGCTGTTTTTCAAAATTTGGTGAAACCAGAGGAAAAACGAGTCGAAAAGGTTTTTATTTCAAATTTAATAAATTAATAATTAATTTATATTAATTTAATAAATAATTAAAACATTAAATTAATTATAATTAATGAAAAAAATAAATTTAAATAATTGAGGCCCAAAAAAATTTTTTAAAATTAAATTACCTAAATTAAAATAATTAAAATAAAATATATAATTCTAAATTTTGTTTAAAGAAGCAAATGGAAATTTTTAATTTTAGAAAATTAATAAATTAATAATTTTTTTCCCTCAGTATTCGCTGTTACACGTGACACCGCCAATGACAACACCTGACGTTTTAAAAAATAATCGTGATATAACCAATGAATCGGGTTTTCTTTGTGTCAATGAAAAAACTCTTCGTCATGACAAATATCAAAATATTTTTGGTATTGGAGACTGTACAAATACGCCAAATTCAAAAACAATGGCCGCAGTTGGTAGGATTAATTATTATTAAATTTAAAAATTTTATTTATAGAAATTTTCAAAATTATTTTCAAATTCTATTTATTTTTAAATTTCAAAATTTTTATTTATTTATTTCAAAATTTTATTTATTTATTTATTTTTAAATTATTTTTAAATAATTTGATATAATAAATTGATAAAAAAAAAATATTTTACAGCATCTCAAGTGAAAGTTTTATACGAAAATATCATGGACCATTTAGAGGGTAAAGAGATGTCACAAATTTATAATGGTTACGCATCATGTCCAATTGTCACTGGCAATGATAAATGTATACTTGCTGAATTTGATTATAAATTACAACCGCGTGAAACATTTCCCTATAATCAAAGAAACGAATCACATTTGGCTTTTCTATTGAAAAAAGATGTTTTTCCCTTTGTTTACTGGAATCTCATGTTAAAGTAAGTGGTACAAAAAAAAAAAATTTTTAATTTAAAAAAAGAGCATTTTGATTTTTTCTTTTTGCAAATTATAAAATTTTTCATATATGTAATTAGAAACAAAAAAATTCTTTTTTTTTCAGTGGCCACTGGCATGGACCTGAAGCATTTCGAAAAATTTTCCATCCTTTTGCAAAAAAATAATAAGTAATACGCTGAATTTTTACAAGAAAAAAAAAAGAAAGCAAATTCAGTTTCTAAAAATCGCGAATGGCGATTAAAGGATTTTTTTTTTCTTTTTAATATGAGAGATTAGTGTCAAGTGGTCCATATGTGATGTGAAATTGATGGAGAGTTAAAAAAAAAATGAGTCTTATGGAGTAGCACACAAACTGGAATTTTTTCTAGAGATGAGTATTTAAAAGTACGTTTTTTTAAAAACAAATTTTTTTACACTTTTCTTTTTTTGTACAAAAATATATTTTATTCTTTTTTTAGTAAAATTTACCATATATATTTTGGTGAAAATTTACTACACATTTGGTAGAATTTACTATATATATTTGGTAAAATTTAGTATATGTATATTTTGTAAAATTTACAATTATTTGTAAAATTTACTATATTCTGTAAATTTTACTGTGTTTGGTAAATTTTACTATACATTCGGTAAAATTTACCAAAAAAAGATTTTTTTTTTTCGTAAAAATTTACACCTTTTTTTTATAAAATTTATAATATATACTTTTTGTTGTAAATTATTATATATTATATTGTAAAATTTATTAATAAATATATTATATGGTTTTTGGAAAAATTTATTATTTTTCTATAGCAAAAATAAATATCGTTTTATGTGACTCGCATTCTGAAGAAAGGGACCTAAGAAGCAAACAATTATAGGTTATGTTCATAATAGTTTTATTTTTTGCGATTAAAATAAGTTTCCTTTTAATAATAATAAATAAAAATAATTTTTTTGGGGTATTTTTAATTGAATATATGAAAATTTAAACATTTGTATTTTGATTCCTCTTTGTGTATTTTCACTTCAAACTAACACAAACATAACCTCCCAGATAGCACGGAAACTTGCAGGAAGCTTGCGGCAAGTTCACCGTGAAAGCTTGTCTGAGCTAGCGGAATGTCCCACCCAGGGCAAGCTTTCCGTGAAAGCTTGCTGTAAGTTTTCCAGGAAAGGTTGCTGCAATCTTGCCATGAAAGATTTCTGTAAGCTTGCTACGTAAAGTTGCAGGAGAATTTCAACAAGCTTCTGGAAAGGTTGCTGCAAGCTTGCTGCAATAATAAACGTCACAAGGATTTTCAAATTAAAAAAAAAACAAATAAATTTTTTTTTAATTTAAAATGTATTTTTTAAAAATTGCAGCAAGCTTGCAGCAACCTTTCCAGAAGCTTGTTGAAATTCTCCTGCAACTTTACGTAGCAAGCTTACAGCAATCTTTCACGGCAAGCTTGCCGTAATCATTCTTAGTATGCTTGCAGTAATCTTATAGCAATCTTTCATGGCAAGATTGCAGCAACCTTTCCTGGAAAGCTTACAGCAAGCTTTCACGACAAGCTTGCCCTGGGTGGGACATTCCGCTAGCTCAGACAAGCTTGCACGGTGAACTTGCCGCAAGCTTGCTGCAAGTTTCCGTGCTATCTGGACTCTAATTTTTTAATCGTGGTAAAATTATCATAATGGTTACCTATGATTTCTCCAACAAGGTAAAAATATCTCTAATATAACCTACAATTTTTTAATCGCTCTAAAACTATTATAAATACGTGTAACCTACAATTTTTTAATCGTCCTGAAAACTATCATAAACATAACCTAAAAATTTTGAATCAAGGTTAAACTATCATAAACATAACCTATAATTTTTTAATCAAGGTGAAACAATCATGAACATAACCTATATAATTTTTTGCTTCTTACATTCCTTTTCTTCAGAAATGAAGATTTTTATAAACCTAACCTCAAAAACTATACTGTCTATTTATTGCAGTGTTTGTTTTTTATTAAACGATTTTTGTTAAATATTGAAAAATAAATTTTTTTTGAGGTTATGTTTCTCGAAATCTTTTTTACCGATAGTTTAAAACTGTTAAAAAAATGTTTTTTTTTACCGATATTAAAATTGATGGCAGTAAATTAAAGTACCTCTATATATTTATTTTTTTTTATTTATTTATATTTATATATATGAGTCTGTTACAAGTATAACTCCGTTGCGACGTCGTTATCGAGTAATAACAGTGATATGTGTTCTGTCTAACGATAAACTATTCGAGAAATTTCGCTTTTCATTTCTCGTTATTTCTAATCGCAAAAAAAAAAAAAAAAATAATTTTGTTTCTCGAAAAATTTTTTTTTCCCACTCTTCTTTTTAATTAAAATAATTTTTTTTTTTTCGAAACTAAAATTCCCTCTACTATATATGTATATTTTAGAGGAATTGGATTAGAAATAACGAGAATAGAAACAATTACATCGTTTTTTTTTTGTTTTTTCTAAGTTTTTTAACTACATTTTTTTTTTTTTTTTTATTATGGACAGTCATAATATTTTTTTTTTCTGGATTACGTGTGTTTCGATTATGGCCCTTTCTTAGAAATGCGCAGTTTTTTTCTTATAAAATTACAACACTAGTGTTTTACAATGAGAATATATATATAACATTTGCTGTAACGAAAAAAAAAAAATTAGCGTTTTATTATCTAATTTTTTGCCCCATTTCGTGAGGGGGAGAAATCTTTTTTTTTTGTAATCTACTAGAAATATAGAATGAAAAAAGAAACTAGAAATTTTTCACACACTAATTTTTTATTGTCGATAAATTACTTTACCGATTGAACACAGATTGGAAACTGTGTGTGTGTGTGTGTGTGAAAAAATTCCTAAAGGTCCGTTCAATATATAAAATAGAAATGGCATTGAAAATTAATTACTATATAGTATTCGAATATTTTTTTTTGTTCTTCGCTGTTTTAAAATCTCAATAGGGAGAGAGAAAAATTTGAAAATTATTCTTTTGAATATTTTTCTTAAAATTATATATATATGCGCGATATATAATTATTATTATATTATAATTATTATTATGCTATTATAATAATAATAATTATTATATTATTATAATTATTATTATACTATTATTATTATTATTATTATATTATTATTATTAATATTATCATTATTATTACCATATTCGTATAATATATAGATTATCTATTTACATGTACACGAAATGCAAATAATGCAAATAGTATAGGGTAGTAGTTTTTTTTTTTTTTATATCGTTTTCCTACCCGAGCTGCCTCTACTCACACACATCCAAACACTGTGCTCTCCACTTAATTCAGATACTGTTCTTTTTTTTATTTATTTATACGAAAGACGCTCACTTATTCAATGGATGAATTTTTTTTTTTTTTCGAAAAATGAATTGTAATTCGACTTTATTGTAAAAAATTTTTTTTTTACTAAAAAACGTTTTTTTGATGTATATAAAGGTAGCAAACTTCGTATTGAACTGAACAGTCTTTGGCTCGACTACAGTGAACACTTTCGATACGAAAAAAATTCGCAGGAGATCAGTGTTTTTTTTTTTTATTTTTTGCGTTTTTTTTTTTTTGTAAAGAAATAAAAATCAAAATCTCAAATACGAGACATTTTGTGTAAAAATTGTCAGTCATATATATATTTTCTATATATATATATAATAAATTAATTATAAGTCATTAAGAACTCTTTTTACAATATCTATATACAAATTAAAATTAACTAAATCGTAAACAATACGAGGATTTATAAATACTGTTTAAAAAAAAAAAAAAAAAGTGCTTGGAAGTACGTCACATTTCTTTTCCATCTTATCGAAAAAAAAAATATCAAAAAAATTTTTAGAATAGGTTTTCGAAATTGAAAATTTGCAATTATAAAAATTAAAATGTTAGAGTTCTTCTAAGATTTATCTGATTTGAAGAAAAGAAAAAAAAATGCAATGAGATGTGTATAAAAAATCATTCATTCTCGATTAACAGGCATACCGTGAATTTTTATCATATTTCCCGTCCTTTTCACCGTGTTTTTGTCCTTTTTTCTTTTTGGTTTCTATTTTTTTTTTTTTTTTTTTAAGCGCACAGTAAACTGCGTGTGGATGGAAAAGGAAATGCTTCTTATTTTCTTTTTTTTTTTTTCATCTTCTTTTTCATTCCCTAGAGAACAACATCGGGTAGGGAGCAATGCCACTAGGCAAGTTGCATCCCACTTCTTCCACCATGACGACCCACACCAATCATTGAACCACCACCGGTCATATCGTCGCGTACAATTTTCCTTTCTTTGTAATAAATTTCCTCACTTTCCTTGTCGCAAAGCAATAATAGTGCACCGCCAAATAGAAAAATTGCCGCACCCCAACCAACGCCATAGGCCCAACCAAATTCCCATATTGGACGATTTCCTGTTGAAATCATTTTTTTTTTAAAATATTTTATTTTATTTTGAGTTTGATTTTGACTTTTTCAAATTTTTAATTAAATTTTAGTAAAAGGGGTCATTTAAATATTACGTAAGTATATTTTCAAGGGTTTTTGGACCAAATAAGCATATTGTAAATGGAAAAAATAAGAATTTTAAGCAACTGAGGAACCCCTCCCTCCCCCTTAGATGCTTACGTCACCGAAAAAACTATAATTCTAAATTTAAGAATATAGTTTTTTCCACAGAAAATTAAAAGGCATTAAAATAAGCTGCAACGCTTCTTATTTTAATGCCTTTTAATTTTTTGTGTCAGTGACGTAAGCATTTAAGGGAGAGGGAGGGGTTCCTCAGTTGATCAAAAATTCTTATTTTTTCCATTTACAATATGCTTATTTGGTCCAAAACCCTTGAAAATATATGCTTACGTAATACATGAATGGCATGGGAAACACAGTTTTCTGTGGCTCTCAAATTGAGATCATAAACAGCATCAAAACGTTGCATTATCAACAATTTGATACACTTTATGCACAGAAAATTAAAAGGCATTAAAATAAGCTGCAACGCTTATTATTTTAATCCAATTTTGCTTATTTTAATACCAAAATGGATTAAAATAAGCAAAATTGGATTAAAATAATAAGCGTTGCAGCTTATTTTAATGCCTTTTAATTTTTTGTGTGGTTTCAATTTGAGATCCTCAGAAAAACTGTAAATAGTCGGCAATAAGATATTCATAAATTTAGAATATTTTTTTTTTTCAGTGGTAATACTTGAATGACCCCCTTAAAGTTAAATTCAAGGTAAAATCAAAGTGAAAGTCATTACCTATTGAGAAAAATGGAAAAACGAATATAGTAATTTTTACTACTTTAAAAGTAAAATCGGAACTGTCCTCTTGTTTCTGCGCATTTCTGTCAATTTTTACTCCGAAAATAGAAAAAATTAACTATTTCTGTAATAATTTTTACTATTTCAGAAGTAAATTTTACTATTTCTGAAGTAATAATTGCCAAAAATGCGATTTTACTTTTAAAATAGTAAAAGTTACTTTATTCGTTTTTCCATTTTTCACCGTGATATGAAAGTCAAAGTGAAATTACATAATTGCACCCCTGTCTGCTGTAACTGACAAAAAAAAAGGATTAGTGTAAAAATTAGTAAAGAATTTTTTATTACCATAATTTAATTCCGCTGCAAAGCAAACGGGATAAATGACCAATGCAATCAGCAACGACAAAACTGTATGGGAAAAGAAAAGATTTGTTAATGCGGAAGAAAGAAAAAGAGATTTTAATTATTTTTTTTTTGTTATACTCACAGGCAATTCCCATGCAAAAAACAGCGAATCTGTAGTATTTATGTTTTCTGCGATGGTCCTGTGTACGAAGACCTAATCCTGTTAAAACAGTTGCAACAATATCGGCGAGTATGCAAACAATGCATAATGCTGCGGCAGCTCTTATGTATTCTGTAAAAAGAGGGGGGGGGGAAATTAAACTATAGTTATGATTTTTTAAACTTTTTGTGGTTTTTAAAACTAATTACAGTTTTAAAAAACTGCTTCTATATTGGATATAATCTCTAATAATGCAAAGTAAACTAGAATTTTTATAAAGGTTGCGACAAATTTTTTGCCTACTTCAAAAATAAGAACCAGACTATATACTTTTCCAAAGTAATTCGGATTCGAATCTGACATCAGGAATTTATTCAGTATCCGATCCTGCATACAAAACAGTACCTAAACTTGCAGCAATATTTGCAACATTTGTCTCGATATTTTAAAATTGCAACAATATGCCAGAAATAATGGCATTATTGTGAGGCAACACTGCAAAAAGAAATATATTTTATTTTAAGATGTTTTGGTAGCGTTTTTAAGACATCAAGATGTTTAAGATGTCTTAAAATCGCTACCAAGTTATCTTAAAATAAGATATACTTCTTTTTGCAGTGAATGTTGCGGTAAAAATTGCTGAAATTTTAGTTGCTATGAGTGACGTCTTTTTGGCACCTAACATCACCCACAGCATCTAAAATTTCAGCAATTGCCTCACAATAATGCCATTATTTCTGCAATATTGTTGCAATTTAAAAATTCTAAATATACTTAGGCAATATTGATGCAATTTTAGGCTCTGCTTGGGATGCTTGACCAATTCTGAGGTCAGATTCAGATTCAAAATACATGCAAAAAAATGTTCACCTAAAACAATGATATATTTCTCTAGAATAGGGAAAATTTTTGTTATTTTAGTGAAACATATCGCTGATCTATGGTGAAGATTTTTTTTTGCGTCTGGTTGTTGGTTCAGAAGTAGGGTAAAATTTTGTCGGCTTTCTATTATCTATAGAAATATTTCCATGTAATATTCTTTAGTTTTTTAGCAAATAGTAAAAATATTTTTGAATAGAATAATGTATTTTTTGGGATATTGTGTAGTATACGAACCAACATCGCGAGCTTGATAACAACCGGGAGCATCTTGAATATTAAATGGAAGAGGTGTTTGTGCTCCCTCCTCGATGCAATGTTCAAAAAGTCCTTGTCTCCATCCCGAGGCCATTAGCCAATCAGTCGATGCAAGGCCCATTATCATCAATAATACCACTATTACCCCACATATAAAGGCGATCACCTGTGAGAGAATTAATTAATTATTATTATTATTAGCGGAAAACCTTCTTTAAAATCACCTTCATTATACCCTTGAAAATCCAATAATAATTCTTTAATAATTCACTATACTTTAATAAGCCAATGATAATAAAAATCCATTGATAATCCACTATAATAAATAGTAATTTGTAATAGTAATTAATAATCCACTATAATAAGCCTTTAATAATCCGTTAATAATCTACTAATAATCCTTTAATAATCCGTTAATAATCTACTAATAATCTGCTAATTATTTTTAATTTTCAATCCTTTATTTAAAAAAGAAACTAAAGGGAACAAAATTAAAAATATATGTACACATTTTGGTATAGTTGAGAATAGAAAAGAAAATTCGAGATACCTTATAAAGAAAATTTTAAGGGACAACAAATTTTACATAATAAAACATTTTTCTACCTGGGCGATCTCATTATCTCCCATGTGGTCATCCGCAACCGTGTACATGATCATTTTCATCAAAAAAAAAAAGAAAAAAAAAACTATTTAGATCCTTCAATAATACTTTCTCCCTTCGCGAACAATTTTCCCGCTATTATCTCATCCGTTTCTCCTCCAGGTTGGCAAAAATTCGATCAACTCTTGTGACGTAAAATCTTTGCGAACATTGCTAACACTTGTTTTTTTTTTTTTTTTTTTTAACTTTTGGTATTAAAAATTTTTTCTTTTTGGAAATAATAAATGGGGGATATGTGATGGTTGTAGAAAAAAAGGGAACTTTTTTTTAATTTCGACCACCTTCAATCGATGTAAGTAAAAAGCCCGCGGGAAAAGGAACACTGGATTTTGATTTTTCACGAAATAAGTGAAAAATGGTTTTCTTTTCTTTTTTTGTAATTTACTAGATTATCCGTGGCTCTTGTGTAAGAGATAAAACGGCCATATTCACTAAACAGTTTTTAGTCATTGAAAATAAGGATTTCTATAGAGGGGAAAAGCGCGAGATGTGATTTTCACATTTTCTTTTTTTTTTTTTTTTTTTTTTTTGCACGAGAAGGTCATCTCTCGGTCGGTGTGATAAGGCGGAAAAATAAAATACCTTTTGTCGATATCAAAAATGATTTTACTCCGCGAGGGTGTAATATTGATTTTTCACGACTATACATATATACAGAAACTACATTACCGCACGTTCTGTTAATTCATTTAAAAAAAAAAAAATTTGTTTACTGCAATTTCATATAGAATTTTTTCTTTTAATTGAATTTAATATGTACAACAAACTGAAAATATTTTTATCTTAATTTTTAGTTTTAAAAAAAATAATTTTTCTCATACCTTTAATGGTCTTGTGATCGTGACCGTTTCTATTACCGTTGTTTGGGACATTTTTAAAGGACTAACTGAAAAAAGATAATAATTTTAGGAAAAACAACGAGAAATAATAATAATAATAATAATAATAAAAAGTGCAAATTAAAAATAGAGAATAGGCTATATTTTTCAGGGAGAACATAATATAACCTTAAAATCACCGTAATATTAATGAAAAAAAGAAAATTTACCTAAAACAGTGAAAGGTTTCAGTAGAATAGCGAAAGATTTAACTAAAACAAGTAAAATTTTTTGCTAATTTAGTGAAACGTTTCGCTGTTCCAGGTAAACTGTTACATTAATTGAATATTAGCAAACTTTTACATGGAAAAAATTTTAATTTAAAACAGCGATATATTTTTCTGGAATATAGGGAAAACTTTTGCTGTTTTAATGAAACATTTCACTGTTCCAGTAAAACTTATCGCTTTTCCAGGTAAAGGTTTTTTTTTCCGTGATAAATTTTAACATTACTTGAATATTAGCTAAATATTATAATATTCTTATATTACAAATTACAAATATCTTACAATTGTAATATTACTAGATTGTAATATTGTAATATTGTAATAAATTTTAATATTTAGGTAATATCTAAACGATATTACATTGTAATATTTAGTTAATATTTAGAAAATATCTAGATAATATTACATTTTATTATTCAGGTAATATTAACATGTAATATTTACTAAATATTACAATGTAATATTGGCGAAATATTATATTGTAACATTACTTGAATATTAGTTATATTACATTTTAATATTTAGGTAATGTGTAGATGATATTACATTGTAATATTTAGTTAGTATTTACGAAATATCTAAATAATATTACATTACATTATTTAGGTAATATTACCATGTAATATTTAATGAATATTACAATATAATAACTGAATATTAACTAAATATTAATATAATATCACTAAAATATTACATAGTAACATTACTTAAATATTAGCTAAATATTACATATTGTGATATTACCTAAATATAAGTTAAATATTACAGCCAAGTATTATTTAGGTAATATTTAGGTGATATTACCTTATTTTTTTTAGTTAATATCTGGATGATATTTTACAATGTAATGTTTAGTTAAATTTAGATAATATTTAGATAATATTACATTATAATACTTATGTAATATCTAGATGATATTATATTGTAATATTTAGTTAGTATTTACGAAATATCTAAATAATATTACATTACATTATTTAGGTAATATTACCATGTAATATTTAATGAATATTACAATATAATAACTGAATATTAACTAAATATTAATATAATATCACTAAAATATTACATAGTAACATTACTTAAATATTAGCTAAATATTACATTGTGATATTACCTATATATAAGTTAAATATTACATTATTATTTAGGTAATATTCAGGTGATATTACATTATTTTTTTTAGTTAATATCTGGATGATATTTTACAATGTAATGTTTAGTTAAATTTAGATAATATTACATTATAATACTTATGTAATATCTAGATGATATTATATTGTAATATTTATTTAATATTTAGTTAATATCTACTTAACATTACATTGCGTATTACTACGAGTCTTTCATGTAATATTATTGTGATATTAAGGTAATGTTATGTGCTGCTTGGGTTAAAGATAAAAATTAAAAAATATAATAATAATAATAATAATAATGCAACAATCAGAACCAAAAATAAATAAAAAAATTCAAAAAATAAAATTAAAAAATTGTGTTGAAATTCCAATATGATGAGAGTGAAGTGTTTAAATAAAATATTTATTAATGACGCATACTCTGTACATAGATATATATATGTATATCTTAGTAATTGAAAAATCTTTCAAGAAAAAATTCTTATCATTTATATATAAAAAAAATTGAAATACATTTCTAGTTTTTCTATATTTTTTTTCCAAAATTCTCTTGAAATGTATTAATTATTATTATTTTTATATATATATATATATTATTTAAAAAAAAAAAATTGATGAACCCTATCCATATTTTTAATGTGCATATTTAAAAAAATATATATAATTTATTCACAATTCTTCATTGTTGAGCATTTTTCTTTAAAAAAAAATTCACACAATATTATTATTAATAAACACATACACTTACAATGGAAAAATAAACAAAAGCACTGTCTTTTGTTTTTTGACACTTTCAGCTGTTTCTCTTTTTATATAATAATAATATGTATATATATATTTAAATGTCACATATACACTTCAAATCACGCACTTGTCGACTAGGTTATACTTCTTGATAAAACATTGTTCGTATATGAATGATTGTTATAATTGAATCTAATTGAATTAAGGAGAAATACCTTTCATGGACTCAATAATATATATGATTCACGAACTTTAATCGAGTTTTTCTTTTAATGATTTAAAAAAAAAAATGGGGAAAGGGTAAAAAAAATGACGTCAATAATCATTAATTTTTTTCTCTCTCTCTCTCTTTTTCTATATCTTCAAGATGAAATGACGCCGAAAATAATTTTTGAGCATGAATTATTTTATGTATATATATAGTTATAGAAGGGAAAGTCGATTTGTTGAATTTGTTAGCATTTTGTATTTCTGTCTTTTTCTTTTGTATATGAAAACGTGTGGATTAGAGAAGGACGGAAAAGAGATTTCTGCTGAAAGGAGAAACAGACATTATTCTTTCTGTCTCTCTCTCTCTCTTTTTCTTACTTTCACTTTCCGTTGACGCCAGGGCAAAATGGAAAACTAAACTTTTGATTGGTTTGTTCCAGAGGAATTTTTCTATAAGAAAAGCGAATAAAATTAATTTGTTTATGAAATAAACAAAATAAATACAGGGAAAAAAATTTTTACCTGAAACAGCTATAAGTATCACTGGAATATAGTGATGTATTTCATTAAAACAATGAAAGTTTTCGCTATTCTAGAGAAACATATCGTCTGTTTCAAATAAAGATTTTTGTTCGTGTTAAGTAAATAAAATAAATATCACGGAAAAAAATCTTTACCTGGAACAGGTATAAGTTTCACTGGAATAGCGATATGTTTCATTAAAACAGCGAAAGTTTTCGTTTTTCTAGATAAAGATATATCTCTATTCTAGAGAAAAATATCGTTGTTCCAGGTAAAGATTTTTTTCCGTATATTTATTTCATAAACGAATAAATAAATTTTATTCGCTTTTCTCATTGAAAATTCCAAAATGTTTTACTTAAAATAGGAAAAGTTTTCGCTATTCTAGAGAAACATATCGCTGTTCCAGATAAAGATTTTTTTCCTAAAATAAATTATATAGAATTATTTTCCATTTTGTATATTTAAAAAAAAAGAAGGTAAAAGGTACAGAAAGAAATGACATCACAAAAATTTAATTAACTTTTACACTTTATATTACGAAAAAATTTAAAAATGGCGTATCTACAATACTTATTTATACATATATATTGTTAAATTTCTTTACATCAATAAGAATTTCTTATATGTATATATATATATATATAACTTATATCAAATTTTCCATCCTTTTTTTTAAGATATCGTCCATTTTTTTTTTGTTTTTTTTTTGACTTTTTTCCAGTCTCTATACTTTCATTTAATAATAATAATTATTATTATCATTATTATGATTACACTCATTCAATGATAACACTTAACGAGGATTTATTCTAAATTTTCATTTTCCGAAACACTTGAATTTGAAAATGATTCCTCATCAATTGGCACAAAATCTTTTTTCTTTGCTCCTTTTTTTACAATAAGTTTTTGTGTTTTTTTTGTCTGAAATTTTTTTTTTTTTTTTAAAAAGAAATATTTAGAAAATTAAAATATTAATAATTTATTAATACCTAATTAATAATAATTTTAATTTGCATTTAAAATAATATAATATTGTCGAAAAAAAATATAAAAGCACATTGGGACACCACCCTCTTCACTAACTATGACGCTTTTGCTTAACCCGCACCAATTATTATGCGACTAATGTTAATATTGCGAATGAATTATAATTTTATTAAATTATTAATAAAAAGTAAAATTATAATTCATTCGCAATATTAATAATAGTCGCATTAATAATTGTTGGGTTAAGCAAAAGCGTCATAGTTAGTGAAGAGGGTGGTGTCCCAATATTTTTTTTTTTTTTTTTGGTAAATTATTAATAAATTTAAGCAAAATTATAATTTATTTGAAATATTAATAATAGTAACAATAATAATTGGTGCGGGTTAAGCAAAAGCGTCATAGTAAAGGGGATGGTGTCCCAATATATATTTTTTTTTTGTAAAAATTATGTTTTCAAAAAAAAAAAAAAAAAAAATTACCTTTGGCCATTTAACAGCAGGTCGTTTTGATCCTTTGGATGAATTGACTTTTGGAAGATATTTCTCGGCGACAGGTTCCACTCGTCTTATATCAAAATCCTGATCAACTTTAGCAATTGTTTGTAATCTTTGCTCCTCCGATGTAACATACAAATCATCTGGTTGATGATAAGTATTGTGAACGTCATATGCTTTTTTACTACAAAATAGAGCCGCGCACATTGTACATTTTATTAAATTTTCTGGAACAGCTTCTCTTTCTTCCTGGTGAAAACAACATAATATAATAATAATAATAATAATAATAAAAATTATTAAAAAAATATTTATGTTAATTCGTATAAATATTAATTATAAGTATTATTATTTAGAAAAAATGTTTTCTAATGTAAATATGCGGGTTAAGCAAAATGCGCGAAGTTAGTAATCGGGTGGGTGTCCCACTGGGCGTTGGTGGTTTTTTTTTTTTTATTTTACCATACCTGCGTGTGATTTTTTTCCAAATGTTGTTGTAAATTGAATTTTATCATATATTCAGCACCACACAAATGACAATAATAAACGCTCATTGCTTCATTCAATGAATTTAATTTAATTTTATTACTCGGCGGAGGCGTTGCAACTGGTTGAAACATATTAATTATTCTGCCAAAAATAAAATTATTATTGAACTAAAATTTTTTAATTAATTTTTTTTTATTTTTATATACTTTTTTTTTTAATTTAGAAAAATTAAATAACAAAAGTTGGGAAAATATTGTCAATTATTTTTTTTTTTACCTTTTATGAACTGAACTATAATGATACTGCAATGCTTTTGGATTGAAAAATAATTCATCGCAATCATTACATTTTTTATATTGACCTTCGTCAATTTTCTCCGATTCATGTGAACTCAAATGACTGTCACGTAAATTCTGTTTGATAATTTTTTTTTTTTTAATTATTTAATAAATTATTTAATAAACTAATTAATTAATAATAATTAAAAAGTAAGAAATTACTTTATACTTTTTTGAAAAAATAAAATTAGAATTTTAATGAATATAATATTAATGATAATATATTAATTAAATAATTTTTATTAAAAATAAATACCTTAATGGGAAATTGCATTCCACAATAGGGACAATAAAATTTTTCCGGTGCATTTGGATGCATTTTAAATCTATGTCTAATTGTTGACGTTACTGTTTCGAATGTTTTTCCACAAAGATCACATTTTGCATCGGCATTTGTTTCTGCTGACGTTGGCTTACCACGATGATCTATTTCTTTATTTGCATGTTTTCTGAAAAATAATTTTTCTTTTTTTTTGATTTTTTATTCCCTTTAATTCACAAAAATTGCAAATAAAAATAAATTTGAATTTCCCGCGATTTACTCGGTCGGTAAGAAAGTGAGTGTTTACAATTATTTAGAAGTTGAAAAATGATTTATCATACGAGTATTTTTCAATTATCTCACGAAATTTAAAAAAAAAAAACAAAATTTATTAAATAAAAAATAATTATTCTTTCTATATTGGAAATTTTACAAAAAAATATTTTAATTTACCTAAAATGCTCCTGAAGTGCTTCTTTTGAGTCTAATTTTGCACTGCATAAAACACACTTGTGATCCTTTTTTTCACTCATGATAACAAAAAAAAAAAAAAGATATATTTTTTTGTAATTAAAAAAAAAATTTTTCTTTCTTTCAAAATATATTTTAAATTCCTTGATAATTATTTATTATTTCCAGGGAATGTTGTGCTTCTGTCATTTATACTTATTTCACTATTATATTAATTATACATTCTTAATAAAATAAATATTATTTATGAAAACACTGACATTAGAAAAAAAGTATGTTTATCAATTATTTTTTGAAAAACACATGTAATAACATTTTTTTTTTTCATTTATCTTTGGTAATATAAATATATATATATATATATATATATATATATGTACATATAAACGAAAAATAAATATTACAGTTTAGTGTTTGCGATTTCACAAAAAATCAATCACACATACGTTCGCCATCTTTAATGAAAATCGCGCCATCTACAAATGACATATATTACCGGGCGGAATTAAATAAAAAAAAAAAATAGAAAAATAATTTTTAAATGTAATTTTAAAAAAAAAAATTTTTATTATTATTTTTCTAATTTGTTTTTTTTTTTTTAAATTATTTCTTGTAAGAAAATTAGATAGAAGTTTAACTTTTGATATATTTTTGGAGACATTTATTTTTATGGTGAAAAAATAAAATTACTAGGGGGCATTTAACTTTTTAAACCCAGTGACGGATTTATTTTGTTGACAATAAAAAAAGGGGTTGAAAAATTGAATTTTTTAAATTAATAATAAGTAATAATAATAATAATAATAATTAAATAAATATTAGATAAATTAAAAAAATTTGAATTTAAAAATAAGTTGAGAATTTTTATATATAGAATGAAAAAGAATTGTAACATAATTTTTAATTATCTAAAATTTTTTATTATTTTTAGTAATTTGTTGTTACGATTTTGTTTTCTAATTTATTTAGGGTATTTTTACGATTTGGTTTTCTAAAATTAATATTTTTTTTTACTGCCGATTCGTCTTCTTCTATGTTTTTTCCGCAATTGAGTATTCTGTTTAATTTTTGGGATTTTTAACTTGTTTTTGTAACTGAAAATAAAATAATAATAATAATTAGAAAATAAAAAAATTAATTTACTTTAATTTCACTTTTGAGGTTACGTTTTATAAATTGTAACATAACCTTACATTTTAACGGTTATTATAAATTATAACACATAACCTCAAAAAAAAAAATTTTTTTTCTTTTTTTTTCACTAAATCAATTTTTTTTTTTTTTGGTTTTAAACATAAAAGTCGATTGGAAATTTTTTTTTTTTTTTGTAATTTCGGTACTTTTTGATAACTCTCTGTATACATACGGCCCTGGCTAGGGAAATGATTTCAGGCGTGACGAACACGCAGCAGCAGCACACGAAACGAACCTACGCAGATGATGTCAGGACGGGAGATGTCGGCAAGATGACAGCGTTCGTATAACGCTCGTCATACATCTAAAAAGAAAAAAAAAATTTTTTAATTAAAAAAAATTTGCGCAACTTAGTTTGAAAACAAAAAAAAAAAAAAAAAAAAAAAAAAATTCGCGAAATTTTCATAAAAAGTGCTGTTTCAACCAGTCCCCGCCCTCGGAAAAAAATAGTCGTCCATTTAAACAATCTTTCTCACTCTTATTCTCTCTCTCCCTTTAACTTTCTGTGTCAATGTATGTGTTGTGTAGACGATTATCATCATCCTCGTCGACGTCGTCGTCGTCGTCGTCATCGTCATTCGTCGCCAATTTAATATCAAAATATCAACGATGTCGTTCTAAAAGTGTTGTGTACGATTCCTCTTTTTCAAATTAATTTCAAAAAAAAAAGAAACCAAAAAAAAAAAGAGGGAATCGTACAAAATTAAAAATTTGTGTTTCTGTTACGTTAAAGCCTTATTTTTTTTTTTTTTTTTTGGCTTAAAAACGTAAAAATAGAAAAATAAAAGGATATGAGCATTTTCGGTGATTTCCAGAGGGTCTGGGTCCAACGATTCCCAGACAGCGCCCTGCCGGCCGCCTGGGAAGAAGACGTCAGAGCCAACCTCGTTAAACACCAACACAAGGTGCGGACACTCCTCTTATATATATGATAAAATATTTTCCCCATAAAAAATTTAAATGTCACTATTTTTTGGTTCTATTTTTAATGTAGGAAATTACATATTCTCATGTGGAATTCCCGAATTTTTTTTTTTTTTTTTTTGTCTCTTTCGCAATAATATATAATCGTGTATACAAGAGATTTGTTATTATTATCATTATTATTATTATATATTTTCTCGTGCAAAAGGTAAAAGCCTTTATGAGAGGTGGAAATTATTAGAAATTTCTATATTATGATACCTCAAGTCTCTTTGGTGCTCGCTTATAATTATTATGTAAGGATGCATAACAATCGGGGCCATCTCTATTATTATTATTATTTTTTAGAGCGTTTGTTACGTATATTTTATTTGATTTCTAATTGGGGAAAAAAATTTCATTTAAGGGAACGTTTATAAAAATTAAAAAGGGAAAATTAATATTTTTCATTAGTAAAATTAAAAAGGCAGTAATTTATAATAGGGTTATGGGAAATTTTTACGTTAATTTTAAATATGATAAAATTTACCATATACAGAAGGAAAGAAAATTTATAAAATTATTATATAGTTTATTATCTTTTATTATATTATATAAATAATTAAATTATATTTTTTTAACTTGGATTAATGGTAAATTTTTACCTTACATATATAGATTTGTAAATATTACCATAAAAAAAAATTTAGTAAAGTTTATTGTAAAAGTAAGATAAAATTTACCTTACAGGTAAAGTAATTTTTATTTTATAATTCACTGCAAAAAGTTGGTATCTTCTTGGTATCTTAAAACAAGATGTTAAGACGGAAATCGTAACTTCCATTCGCTTCCATCTTAGAATAAGATGTTAATTTTAATATTTAGATGCTTTATTCCTATTATAACATCTTAAAATAAGACACTTTAAATAACTAAAAAGTTACTACCAAAACATCTTATATTAAGACACTTCTTTTTGCAGTTTACGATAGTTCTTACCTTCTATATCTTATGGTAAATTTTATCATAATGTAAATTAGAAAATCGCAAAATCTATTAACACTTTTACCCTAAAACTATCCTGAAACTACCCTAAAGCTATTCTAAAAATATCTTAAAGCTACCCAAAAACTATCTCAAAAGTTCCTTAAAATTATCCTAAAGATACACTAAAACTATCCTAAAACTACCATAAAATACCTTTAAATTATCCTAAAATATCCCAAAATGCTCTAAAATAAAAATTTCCATAAAAATCTAGTAAATTTTTATAATAGTAGTATAGTAAAATTTATCTTAAATTTAAAGTATACTTTTTACTTTCGAATTACAGTAGTTTTTACATTTCAATGTTTTAGTAAATTTTACCATAAATGTACATTATACAATATTTTTCACAAAAAACCTTTTAAATTTTACCTTAAAATTACTTTAAAATTACCTTAAAATTATACCTTAAAATTACTTTAAAATTACCTTAAAATTATATCTTAAAATTACCTTAAAATCATACCTTAAAATTACCTTAAATTACCCTTAAATTACCCTGAAATATCCTTGAAATACCTTAAAATAAAAATTGTCATATATTAAATCATATCTCATATATTAATCTCTTATTTAATTAAATTATTTAAATATTTTTTTTGGTAATATTGTTCTTGTACTTATAATATATAAAAAAAAGTAATTTTCTTTTTATTCTTAAAAATTCCGGTTGATTACACATTGTAAACATTGATTATCCCTGTTTTATTTGATGTGAAAAATAATTGCCCTTTGAATTTATTAGTTCAACTAATTGCGCTAAACCTTGGGACTAATTATAAATGAATATATTTTTAAGATTCGAAGTAAGTTTTATATCCTTCTCTCACTCTAAATATGGAATGAATGTGATAAAATTCATATATACACACACGAGATGAAAATATTTTTATTATGAAAAAAAATTGCAGTGAGCGTCAAAAAAAAAAAAAAAAAAATAAATAAATAAAATAATCGTCAATATATTTAATGAAAAAAATGTATTTCAACAATGTGTATAAATAATGTAAACAATAAGTGAGAAAAAAAAGAAAGAAATTTGTCGTTGGAAAAATTGATAAGTACACACAGATATTGACATTTTTTTGTGTTTCTTATCAATCGCGTCAGATTAGAGAAAGAGAGAGAACATGTATTTTCAGTTCAGATATATGAAATGATAATAGTACAATTACATATCAAGTTCCGACTAAAATTGTTTCCAATTTTACAAAATTAATCAAATTTTTCTTGCCTCAACATTGCAATAAAAAAATTTATGCTTTGTTTTAAAATCTGTTTTTTTTTTTTAAATAATTTACATGATTGATTGACAGTGAGTCATTTGATTCATTTTGATTATACTTAAAGAATGTCTTCGAACTTTACCAGGAAAAGAAAAAAAAAAGTGTCGCGGGATTACAAAACTTAAAATGACTCAATTACTGTTACAAATATGTTTAATTATACTATACATGTATATCGTGGAGAAGAGCCTAATTCGAATTAGGTTTATCAAGCTTCATACGAGATTAATATATGAGTCATTCGGTCCCTTATATATATATATATATATATTTATGTATAGTCATTGGGAGATAGTGCAGAAAAAAGTATCACTGTAATAATTGAACAGGCGTTGAAATTACGATGAATCTTTTTTTTTACATGTTAAATTGTAATGCAATTAAAATTCAAAGTAAGAGTTAGGAAATTTTAGAAAATAGCAGTTGAAACTACTTTGAGCCAAGTTTAAATCTCTTTTGACCCTAGTTTAAACCTACTTTGAACCTTTTTTAAATTTACATTGATTCTACTACCCTAAATTCCACCTCGTTTGACCCTACGTTGAACACTACTCTACTTTAAACCTATTTTGAACCTACTTTAAAACTACATTAATCCTAAATTGGACCTATTGTGACCTTAACCTTAATCTACTTTGAACCTACTTAGACCTTACGTGGAACCGACATTGGAGCTACTTTAACATAGAACCTACTTTAACGTAAAACCTACTTTAACGTAGAACCTACTTTAAAACTACATTAATCCTAAATTGGACCTATTTTGACCCTAACCTTAACCTATTTTGAACATACTTTGACCCATGGAAACTATTTTAAACCGAAATTTGATCTACTTAGATCCTAGCTTAAATCTACTTTGATCATTAAATCTACTTAGAAACTACCTTCATTAAACATTAATCCTACTTTAAGCCTACATTGAACCTTATTTGATACTCACTCGAATCTTTTTTGAGCCTACTTTAACCATAAATTGAACCTAATTTGACTCTAAATTAAACCTACATCGACCTAGAAGCTATAAATAATAGTCTCGTTGCAAAGATCTTAAAATCTTAAAACAAAGATTTTACCCAAATCTTTGTAACGAGACTTCTAAATACCAAAAAACATCTAATCATTGATAAAAACTATAATTTATATTTCAGGTCGCTGCACTAAGGGAGGAACTCGAGAAAGAAGAATTTTACGTGGAATATCTTGAGAGGCTTCTTGCCGATGTTGAACGTCACAAACAATTGGCAAATAATACAACATCAGAATCAAAAACAACTGGTGCCGAATCACCAAGTCAAAGTTTTCATACTGCCGAAAATAGTCTCAATGAATCGTCATTGGTAAAAAATGATGGCGAAACGAATACAGAATCAATTCCAGTACGTGAGGATATTAGTACACTACAGGATAAATGTGTTTCTGAATTGAGTTCAACGTTAAATTGTCATCGACGGCCAAAAAGTGAAATACCAAGGAGTCCCGAGAAAGTACCTGAATTTCGAAGAAACAGCAATCCCGATGTACCGAGTAATTATGTCACTGTCATTGAAGTCACTGGGAGTTCTAAAAAAGAAAAGAACGAAGAATCCGTTAAGGATGAGGAAGAAAAGGGTTCGTCATTTTATATTAGGGATTATTAGGCTAATTTTACTTTGTAGGGGGTTTTTTTTTGTGTTTTACGATTTAGTTTTCTAATGACTAGTTTGGATCTTCAACTTGTTTTTAGAACTGAAAAAAGGAATTAGTAGATGAAAAAAAAGTTATATTACTTCTGTTACTTAAGTTACTATTGTTACCTTAACAGTGGACTCCGATGAGAAAGCGACGAACGACGATGCTGAGGATGGTGACGCTGAGGCATCCGAAGAGGAGCCTTATTATGATTCAGTGGCTCTTGATCAAACGGGAGAATATGTTTACATAGACTCAAGAGTACCGGCTGTTGAGAATAATAAACTTCCGGTAAGGAGGCCACCCTCCCTACCAGAATCACCAGGGAACCAAAGTAATTACGTCAACATTGACTACTTCATCCAGTAAGTGCTCTAAAGGAAGCTTGTTATTTTTTTCGGTTTCTTCTTCCACTTTTCAGTTTTTTTTGTGAAACCACAAACACCACTTACCTTCTTTTTTGGACGTTAGTAGTAAATTTTCTTTTTTCGTTTCACTCCTATTGGTTCCTCAGGCATAGGGCAGCAATGGACAGTGAGGACGAGGAGGGTCCAAGTCCAGCGCCACCGATCCTCCTTCGTGCACTATCGACTGACAACGAAACAGGTAGTAGCGATGCCGAACCATTGAGTTTGAGTGAAGGTAGCCTCGAATCACCAACGCCAACAACACCAAGAAGAAGTCAGGAGAAGGTCAATAAAGATGGCGATCAAGACGACAGAACATTAATGGTCAAATGTATTGTCAGTTCGGTTGTTGAGAGCGAGACAATCTATGTTGAATGTCTTAATGTCATGTTACAAGTGAGTTTTTTGAGGGAATGATCGAAATGTGTTTTGTCGATGCGCAGTAGATCATAATTTGTACTACAGATGCACAGTAGATCGAAATGTACTCTTTCGATGCGCAGTAGATTAGAATTTGTTCTAAAGCTAAGAACTAGATCATAATTTATTCTACAGATGCGCAATAGATCACAATTTACTCTACAGATGTGTCACAATCTGTTTTAAAGTTGCGCGATAGATCACATTTTTTTTCTATTGATGCGCAGTAGATCACAATCTATTTTACAGTTGCGCAATAGAACACAGTTAGCTCTTTTTAATGCGCAGTTGATCGAAATTTGTTTTATTTATGCGCAGTAAATCAGAATTTGTTCTACAGATGCGCAGTAGATCAAATTTTGTTAAATCAATGTTTTACTATCAATTCTGTTTACAGTATATGAAAGCAATTAGAGCAACATTAACAACATCACAACCAGTAATTACCGAAGAGGAATTTGGAACAATGTTCTATAAAATACCCGAACTTCATGCATTACATCAAACATTTCTTGAGGGTTTACGTAAGAAAATGGAAAAATGGGACAGTAAAACGACAGTTGGCGAACAATTTAAAGTAATGGGCAGTAATATTGGTGTTTATGGTGCATTTTTACATAATTATGCAAGAGCAACTGACACTGTTCGACGTTGTTCACATCATTCGGCACAATTTGGTGAAATTACAAGAGACATTAGATTACGAGGTTTTCCCAAAGGACCGGGATTATCACTTGAGGATTTACTTCATAAGCCAGTTGCACGAGTTCAAAAAAATGCCCTCGTTCTTCATGTAATTTTTATTTTTTTAAAAATCATTTTTTTTTTGTAATATTCTTTTGATTTATTGGAGTTTTTTTGTTTAGGATCTGCTTAAACATACACCAGCGACACACGCGGATCATGCTCCTCTAACGGAAGCTCTAACAATGACAAGAAATTTTCTCGATGAATTTAATATTATACAGACCAAATCAATGTTCCCAGTAAGTTGATTTTTGTTTTGAAATTGATTTTCGTGGTTGGAATAATATATTAATGATGGAGAGATCTTCTGCGCATAGGTTTAGTTTACAAATGCGCAGTAGATCATTATTCTATCGATGCGCAGAAGATCATAATTATTTGTACAGATGCGCCGTAGATCACAATTTGTTCTATCGATGCGCAGAAGATCGTAATTGATTCTATAGATGCGCAGTAGATCACATTTTGTTCTATCGTTGCGCAGTAGATCCCAATTTTCTCTATCGATGCGCACTATAATTAATCTTTATTTATAATTAGAGTCACGATCGAGCACAACGAAGACTTGTCAAGAATTCATTTGTCGTTGAATTGGCTGATGGACATCGAAAATTACGACATCTATTTTTATTTAACGATGTAATTGCTTGCGCCAAATATAAAGCATCAGGACGTGAAAAATTTACTTTCGAATTAAAATGGTATATCCCCGTTGCTGAGGCAATGGTCCTTGAGGATGGAATTGAGCCTAGAGAAAATAGCCCCGCAAATGTTGTGGCACTAAGGTATTTTAAAATCGAAATATAATTATAAAATTTGACTAACAATAATAATGAAAACAAATATTGTTTCAGATCACAGGCGTGTACCGTGAGGGATCAAATATTATGGGAGGAACGAAATGATGAGAAAAGAATTCGCATTGGTGGTAGAGGTGCCGATAAGAATAGAAAAAAATTAGCCGAATTAGAAGCACAATTGGTATTGGCGTCACCAAATTTAGTGTTACGTGTCTCGTTAAAAAATCAAAATCGTATACAAAATTCATATACATTTTTTTTATCAAGTGAATTTGAACGTTCACAATGGATTGAAGCTGTTGAGGCATTACAACAAGGTGGACAACCACCAGGTTCATTACCATTGACAATGTATGAACTTCAAGCCTGGGTCACAGCGTGTCGAACATATTTACAAACAGATATGGGAAGTTATTTATTACGTTCACGACGTGATGAGAGTCTTTTACTTGGTGATTTACATTTGACTTTACTTGGTCTCACACCACCGGGACTTGATAGAACTGGAGATCTCTATATTATTGTTGAAGTCGATAGTTATGGTCATTATTTTAAACGTGCACGAAGTCGAGTTGCTCGAGGTCAAGCGCCAACTTGGGGTGAGTTAATTTTTTCATATACATGCGCAGTAGATCACTATTTTACATAAAAATGCAAAGTAGATCACAAATTTACCAAAAAATACGCAGTAAATCCTTAACTATTTAGTAAAGAGCAGTAGATCACTATTTTTTGGCAATAAATCCTCAATATGCGCAGTAGATCATCAGCTTTTGTAAACATGCGCAGTAGATCGGTATCAATTAGATGCATGCGCAATAGATCCACATTTATTTTAACCATGCGCGATAGATCGCACTGAAACTAAAATCATGCGCAGTAGATCATCAGTTTTTGTAAATATGCGCAGTAGATTCTAATCTATTAAATACGTGCGCAGTAGATCAGTATCAAGTAAACCCATGCGCAATAGAACCCCGTCTATTGCAAACGTGCGCAGTAGATCAAAATCTATTGAATGCATGCGCAATAGATCCTGTCTTATTTTAGACATGCGCAGTAGATCACAATAAACTAAAATTATGCGCAGTAGATGAAATCTTACTGTAAACATTGCAAAAATTCACTTATATTTATCCCCAGTACGTATTTTTACTTTGGATTTTCAAAATTGACGCTAAATTTTTATTTACAGGTGAAACTTTTGTTGTGGAACTTGAGGGATCTCAAAATTTAAGGATTCTTCTTTATGAAGAATGTGGAACACGTTCTGTTTTGCGTGGTAAGTGCACTCAACGATTGAGTAGATCTTGGCTATTGGAAAATCAAGTTGATCAGGTATTGAAGTCATTAAATTTGGGTCCTGCGTCACTTGATGTATCATTGAAATTTGTACCAAGTGAAGTTACCCTAAGAAGAGTGCCTTCGGCTAAACCGCAGGGACTTTTTGGCGCAAAAATTCAACAAGTTTGCAAGTATGTTGAAGAAAAAAGAAAATAAAATTCTTATTTTGGTAAATTGTAAAAAAAAAATTTTTCTTTTTTTTTTAGACGGGAGAAGCGAGATGTGCCTTTCATTGTTACGGCTTGCGTTCGAGAAGTTGAGAGGCGAGGTGTGGGTGAAGTTGGTCTCTATCGTGTGTCTGGTTCGGCTTCGGATTTGGCAAAATTGAGAAAATCGTTTGAAAGCAATTCTTACGAGGCTGAGCAACTACTCAAAGAGGTAAGGGGTTGATTTTTTTTCAAATAGTAGATTGGTATACAAAGCGCATGCGTAGACCTGCGCAGTAGATCTGGGGACGTGAAAACAATGCGCAGTAGATCTAGAAGTATCAAGTACATGCGCAGTAAAGCTAGAAGTGTCAAATACATGCGCAGTAGATCTAAAAGTGTCAAACACCTGCGCAGTAGATCTAAAAGTGTCAAATACATGCGCAGTAGATCTAAAAGTGTCAAACACCTGCGCAGTAGATCTAAAAGTGTCAAATACATGCGCAGTAGATTTAAAAGTGTCAAACACCTGCGCAGTAGATCTAGAAGTGTCAAGTACATGCGCAGTAGATCAAAAAGTATCAAAAATATGGGCAGTAAATAATTAAAATAAATTTTTAATTACAGGTGGACGTGCATTCAGTGACGGGTGTATTGAAATTGTATTTACGTGAAATGCCAGAGGCATTATTCACTGACGCATTATATCCAGCATTTCTTGAGGCATTTCAAACTGGTGAGGTGTCACGTAATACGGCATTACGTCGAGTTTATGAAGGTTTACCAACAGTTAATAAAGCTGTAATTGATTTTCTATTAGCTCATTTAATACGCGTTAATAAGCATGAGGCTCAAAATAAAATGTCATTGCATAATTTAGCAACTGTATTTGGTCCAACATTATTGCGTCCCGGTACAAGTAGTAATCGTACTGATTCAAAAAGTCGTGATCCACTTGCTGCCGGTACTGTTGATGTTATGGCACAAGCCGGTATACTTTATTGTTTTTTACAAATGCAAATGCAGACGCAACAAAGCAATCAATCACTCTAGTCGAGTACATCGCGATCAATCAATTTAAATCTATTTTTTATCATAAAAAAAAACTTTTGCCCCCTAAAAAAAGAAATCCCATATAGAAGCTTAGAATTATAATATATATATATATATATAATATGCTTCGTTTATTTAAAAGTTAACCATGAAAAAAATGTGAACCTTGGACAAGAAACGGATTCAGTCAAAAAAAAAAAAAAAAAAAAAATACTGATTGACATTTCGTATTGTCTTAGTACCAATTCACACCATACACTTTGTAAGTAGCGTGTAGCAGAAAGTGATATATTTTATACTTTGCGATTGTATTTTAGACGTGTTATATTTTCACGTCGCTCTTTTTCAGAAGAAAGATTTAAAAAAAAAAAAAATGAAAAGAGGAACGCTTTTAAATACATAAAAAAGATGAATAGAGGTCAATGCTTCGAAAAATGTACACTTTTTGCATTCGCGCGTTCCTATATAAATAAATATATATATGTAGACAATTCTAATATGATGCAAAAAGAAAAAAAAAAGAAAAACCTTTGTGATCCTTTTATATATATATATATATACTTATATGTATACTCGTAAAATTTTTGAGATGACCTCTCTCTTTTTTATAGAACCTTTACAAAACAAAAAAATCCGGAGTTCTTTATACTCCAAAAAAAGTGTTGAATGCTTCTCCTCGCTTCAAGACTGATTTTTCCGTCTCTGGTTAAATTTTACTAGACTCTCGTTAAGAATTGTTTTTTTTTTTTTTAAAAAAAAGCAAACATTTTTGAAAGTAGATTTTACGAATGCAAAAATAACGTTTTTTATATTGACAAAAAAAGCGAGATTAAAAATTTTTCAGACAATATTCGCTAATTATAAATATATAATAAAAATTATTATTATTATTATGTCTTTATAATGCATGAGATTTGGATAATTATGAGAGAAAAAAAAAATTAGCTTTAGATAAAATGTTTGACATTTTTAATAATTTCTTTTTTCAAATTTTTTTTTTTTTTGAGAATGTTTATCGAGATTATTGTGTGTGTGATAGAAATTTTGTGAAACTGAATTGGAGGACGCTTCTGCGCATGCGCTGTAGATCATTTGAAATTTATAGACATGCGCAGAAATAGCCAAAGGATTGTAAACGTGAGCAAAAATAGAAATTCGCTTGCCTTAGACGTGCGCAATAGTTTACAAAAAAATAAAAAAAATTATATACCTGCGCAGTAGATCAAAACAAAAGTGCTCTATTTATGCGCAGTAGATCAGAAAGTATTCTTATATATATGCGCAATAGGTTTTTTAAAAATAAAAATTTATTCTATCCATGCACAGTAGATCAAAAAAAAGAAAAAATTTATGTGCAGTTGAGCAAAAAATATTTCTGCATATGCGCAGTAGATCAGAAAAAAATTTTATCAATACGCAATAGATCAGAAATGCTTCTTTTTTATGCGCAGTAGATTAGATCATGTTCTCTTCATGCGCAATAGATCAAAAAGCATTCTGCATATGCGCAGTAGATCAAAAAATGTTCTATTTGTGCACAATAGTTCAAAAACATATTTTACTCATGCGCAGTAGCAGCTAAACGACTTGGGGATCAATTTTTTAAAACCGTTTTTTGATATAAAAACAAAAAAAAAATCTAAATTTAATGAGAGATGCCTGTAATCGATAGTCTTCATATAACCTAAAAATAATCCTGCCGACGCTCATTCCAAAATTGTCAATCCTCCCTCCCTCTTTTTTTCCGTATATAACAATAATTAGTATCGATTTTTTTTTCGAAATCAATGCGATCTATATTTCGATAAATGATGTGGTTTTTTTTTCTTTTTTTGACAAGTGTATGTTTGAAAATTTTTTGTAAATGCATAATATATATTGTATAATGTATGTATGGTAATGTGCGTGATCCAAAAAAAAAAAAAAAAAAAAAAACCGCCTTTTTGTATAGGTAATGTAATATCAATATTACATACGAAATATTTTTCTTTATTGTGCGCACATTCTTGGAAATTTGTTTTTAATTTTTTTATTAAAAACAAATTTCGAGAAAATGTGCGCGCATTTTTTGTACATTTTCGCGAAGTGTAAAGACGATTAACCATCACGAATATGATATTAGAGCATTAAATATATATTGTACATGTATTATTATTATTATTATTATAATATTATAATTATTGTATTATTATTATTGTATTATTATTATTATTATTATTATTATTATTATTATTATTATTATTACTATTATTGTATTATTATTATTTTTATGATTTTTATTATAATTATTATTATTATTACTGATTTTCCGCAATATGAGATTGTTATTGCACATCACAGAAGAAAATCAACTTTACTATCGCGGAAAGAAGGATGTACTGCCAAAAAAAAAGATTAAAAAAAAAAAAATTACTAAGTAAAATATATAAAAATTTATAAACTTGTAAAAAAAAAAATTTTAAGGATTTTTGTCCAGGAAAAATTTCCTTTATTACTAACAATTAATATATATATATATATAATTATTTAAACCAAATACATATGTTTAAATTTGTATTTGTTTATAATAATAATAATAATTTTTTTTTTTTGTACATTAAATTTCGAAATTATTTTCATTTTCTAATTCAGGACAATCTCGTGCTGGTGGCGGCAATGGTAATCGTACCGGTGTTGCCCCAATATTGTCCCACAATCCGGGTAATCGTGATCCATCTGAACCGTTACATTGCATTCCTTGAAAAGAGAAAAAATTTAAAATAAAAAAAAAAAAAAACATTAAAAAATATGTTTTTTTAATTTAAAAAAAACATTTGAATTTAAAATAATTTTGAAATGCCAATTTGAAATTTTTTTTTTCTAATAATAAAAAATTTAAAAAAATATATATATTTATTTAAAATTATACCAAGAGGTGCAGCTTCATAAAGATCGTGTAAGGCAGCTGTTCTAACACGAGTCCATTCGATGCTCTGATAATTCTCCGAAATTCCTTTCTCATTGCTTGTTCCTTGATTTTCCCATTCGTGCATATAGCGAAAATATGTCCTTAATGCGTCATCGCTAATGGCACTCTTACAAACCTAATAGATAGGGAAACAATTTTTTTTACCTGAATTCTAGACAATTTGAGGTTATGTTTGTTTTTTCAAAAAAATAAAAAAAAAACAAGAGGAAACAAAAATTGCAATAGCAAAACCGTTTTTTGCCACGTTTTTGAATATATTTAAAAAAAAAGAAATTTTATTTTCAATTTAAGAAACAATTTTATAAGCGAAAAAAAAATCGAGGTGGACATTTTTCTAAAAAAAAAAAAAAAAAAAAATTATTTTTTTAAAAGTAGAAGAGAAAAATATTTTTGCCATTATTTTGAATGTGTTTTGAAAAAGAAAATTCGATTTTTAGTAAAAAAAATATATTTTTTATAGGTGAAATGAAAATTTGAAGTGGATATTGAGGTTATGTTTAATATGTACGCACCTCAAGACGAGTATTCGGATAATAATGAATGTAATTAACACACATTTCGTCGGATATTGCAAATCCTCCAAGAGTTATGTTATTTCTTGTCATTGTATTATAGGTACACGTAGTTATTAAAGAATCGCCCTGAAAAACGTAATCTCTTATATAATTTTTGATATTAAAAAATAATATAATTTGTAGAACATATAGCAAAACTTGTTTCTTTCTCTTAAGAAATATATTCAAAAAATTTTAGTAAATTTACTTTTTCCTTGGTCCCCTTACGTTGATACGGTCCTGAATTTTTGAAATTTTATTTCTATTTTCTGCAAAAAGAATCAAAATACCGGAAAAAGCAAAATTTGTTCATTTTTTTCCCGTAATTTTGTTCAAAAATTTTAGTAATTTTATTTTTTTAGTTCCCCCTTTTGATACGGCCCTGAATTTTCAAAATTTTATTTTTATTTTCTACAAAAAGAAACAAATTACCGGTAAAGCAAAATTTGTTCATTTCTTTTAGTAATTTTCTTCAAAAATTTTAGTAATTTAATTTTTTCTCAGACCACTTTTCTTGATACAGCCCTGAATTTTTGAAAATTTTTTCTATTTCCTGTTCAAAGAATCAAATTACCAGTAAAAGCAAAAATTTGTCCACTTTTTTTTGGAAATTTTATTAAAAAATTTTCAATTTCAGTAATTTAATTTTTTCTTAGTCCTCTTTTCTTGATACGGCCCTGAATTTTCAAAAAAAAAAAAAATTTCTACCTTCTGTAAAACAACTCAAATTACCGGTAAAATAGTCACATGTTCCGGTAAAAGTCGAATTTCCTGAAAATGCGTCGAATAATGATTATCGTAATTTAATAGCGGTAATTCCTCGCCATTTCGCACGTGACGTGTGACAACTTTTGTTCCCGTCAAATGTGTATGTAATTGAGAGCCAAAAATTTTTATTCCACTTTGAGGTAAACCAACACCAGTACATTCCATTATACAATGTCCCGATAAGGGAAAGGCTTCCTAAAAAAAATATTGAAATCACAATTTATATTTATACTTTGTTCCCGAATCTCAACGTGAAAAAAATTGCTTCCACCTCGAAAGTTTGACATAAAATTAAAATTACAATAATAAAGCAATTTTAATTTTTCTTTCAATTTTTTCAATCTTTCGTGTGAACTATTTTAATGGTATAGTTCATTTTTTAAAAAAATCAAAATTTTTCATATTTTTGGCGGGAAAATTTAATTTTTCATTGCTATTTTGAAAATTTGAGAAAATTTTGTTGATACCTGTTGGGGTGGAATTGCCATTTTGTCCGTGTATTCCAAACCTAATTCCATAACACCTGCGTCATATTTTCTTAGTGTTTTTGTGAGGAAAAATTGTATACCCGATGAATCGATCATATTTTCGAGTAATTCGGGATTATTATAGTGCACTTCGAGCATAACGTAACGATTAAAATTTTCACCTCCAATTGACAATCCAGCGTCTTCGGGATAAACAAATGCATCTGCTCCCATTGCCCAAGCGGCTAAGACTTTTTTGCAAATCTGTTTGGAGTAAATTTAATTTTTTTTTGCAAATCAAATTAGGATCGTAACTAAAAAAATGGCGACTAAAGGGGCACCAGAGAAAAAGAAATAAAATAACAAAAAAAAATTAAATTTTGTTGAAATGTATTCAGGGGCGTAACTATAATGGTAACTAAAGAAACCCTTAGCAAAAATTACTATTTTTTTACTGTATATTCAGGGGTGTAACTATAATGGTGACTAAAGGGGCCTTAGGCAAAAATTACCATTTTTTTAAAATTTCGTTACAATATATCCAGGGGCGTAACTAAAAATGGCGACTAAAGGGGCCCTGGGAAAAAGAAATAAAATAACAAAAAAATTAAATTTTGTTGAAATGTATTCAGGGGCGTAACTATAATGGTAACTAAAGGGACTTTTAGCAAAAATTACTATTTTTTACTGTATATTCAGGGGCGTAACAATAATGGTGACTAAAGGGGCCTTAGGCAAAAATTACCATTTTTTTAAAATTTCGTTACAATATATCCAGGGGCGTAACTAAAAATGGCGACTAAAGGGGCCCTGGGAAAAAAGCGGTTTTACTGGAAAAAATTTTTAATAAAAAAAACTATTATCTCATCCAGGAACGTAGTTAGAAAAAAGAGCCCCTTTGGCAAAAAAACAATTTTCTGTTCATAAAAAAAAAATTTTTACTTGTGTTTTTTGAGGACGATCCGCACTATCACATGGTCCATTGTATAAAGGAATTTCCAAATCGGCCTGTCCTGCGCAATAAAAAACTTCCATATGATGAACCAAATGTTCATTTCCCTTTTGTATTACTGGACCAAATTGTAAAATATGATGTCTGTAAAATAGATATACTTTTCTCAAAAAAAATAAAATAAAATAATAATAATAATATTTAAAAATATAAATTAAATTAATATTTAAAAAATAAATTTTTAAAATAAAATATATTGTTTCGGAAAAAAAAATTTCTTCTCACTTTTCACTTAATTCTGGTGATAATTTATGAACTCGACACCAGTATGTTGTCTCATCGTGGGGAACTTTGACATTGTCATTTAAAATTTCAAAATTCCAAGTATTTTCAGGAAATGTGGGTTTTTTGTGAATTCTTCTTAACATTTCGGTTCTTGACATGCCTGAACTTTTGGCGTCATCAATTGTTAGGCCAGCCAATGATGATAGGGGTCCACGACCCTTCAGCCAAACCATATGAGTAGTACCTCTCTTTAAAAAAAATATATTTTTTTGTTTCCTTTTATTATTATTATTATTATTATTATTATTATTTATTAAAAAATATTAAATAATTTGGAAATTAAATACTAATTAATTTGCAAATAGAAAAAATTGATAAATATTTTTTAAAATTTAAAATATTTTTTTTCACCTCTATAATGTAATCATGATTATCACAAGTATCGAATTTTCTAGTAAAAGTAAATTTTGTAATGTTTCCTCTTCTTCGAACGGCAAAATTTTCACAGTCCTGCTGTGTATCTAAATTAATTGATCCATCCTCATTTGCCCATGCGTCCTTAATAAAAAAAAAAAAAAATTATTTCTTATTTAGAAAAAAAAAAAGATTATTTATATTATATTTTAATAAAAATTCTATAATTAATTATGGAATTTATTTAAATAATAATAATAATTTAATTATTATTATTATTATTATTTTTTTATTAAAAATTATATTTTTTCTTTAAAAAAAAAAAATGAAATATTAATTCAAACCTGAATTTTTACATCACGATGCCAGTCCATCCAAATGATACAATAATCAGCTGGTTTTAATTCTCCATAATTTGAAAATCCTATTGCAAACCATGAATTTTCTTCACCCATATAATGAACTTCAGCAATTATTTTTTCACCAATTAAATCGACTCTTTATAAGAAGGAAAAGAAAAAAATACGTGTAAAAATTACAATTAATTTTTGTTTTAAGAAAATTTTTTATTACAAATATGGATATAAATTTTAATTGTAAAAAATTATAATTATAAAATTATTAATAATTATTATATTATTTATAACTATAAATAAATAAAAAGTATAAATAAAAAAAACATATAAATAAAAATAAACAAAAAAAAAATTTTTTATAAATAAAAATATAAATAAATTTAAAAAAAAAACTTAAAAAAAAATGGAATTTATATTTTAGTTTTATTAAAAAATTTATTAAAAATTTATTTATGTAATATAAAGACACTGATGTTTTTTTTGGTTTTTTTACCTCCAATGAAAAGTCGCCTCGGAACCAAGGGGAACAGTATAAACATGATTTTTTTGATTGTCATTAAAGTGAATTCCCATTGAATGATGTTGATGCATTTGTGATAAAACAATTTTTAATAACGTTGCAATTATTAATAATTTCATTTTACACTAATTTTATTTTTTATTGAAAATTTTTTTCACAAAAAAAAAAAAATTAATTCAATTCAATTTTTCCTTCTGATAAAATATTTTTTTTTTTAAATAATTTTTTTTTTTAATATTAAATATTACATATTCTTAATATTCTCTTTAACGATAATTTATTTTTTTTTATTTATTATATAAAATATAATTTCTTTTTATTATTTGTTACTTTTACACACTATAAATAATTATAATTTATAATAAATAATTTTTTTCTTCTTTTAATTTTTTTTTTTTTTTATGTTTTAATATATGTTAGCACTTTATTTATTTACATTGTTTTTTTTTAATTTTTTTTTTTACTAATTCGTTGAATAAAAAAAAAAAAATTTCAATTTTCCACTTCCGGTTAAATTCACGGGGATTGTTCGATTTGTACTAAAATAAGAAAGCCAAGAGGAATATCACCTCGAGGCACAAAATATTATGGGGGATTATTTTGCGCGAACGCTTTGCACCGTGAAAAGCGCGCAGAATCATCATCCAACAAAAGAATTTGTAAAATTTCGGGAATTTCTTCCTTTTTTTCATTGGTGGGGAAAATTAATGTAATGATAAAAAAAAAATAATAAAAAAAAAGTAAAATAAAAAGAAAAAAGAAAAAATATAAAAAAAAAGAAATTAATAAAAATGAAACGTGACTAAACGTTAATTGTACCAATTTCAAAGTCGACTGGAGGCGTAGAAATTGCAGAAAACAATAATAATAATAATAATAATAATAATAATAATAATAATAAATTTAATTTTTTTATTTTTTATGAAAATTTTTTAATTTAATTTTTTGTACAAGAAGTACCATTATAAAAGAAAACAAAAATTAAAAAAAAGTTAATTTGCAATTTTTTTGTATTTTTAATTATACAATATAATATAATTGCACACGCGTAATAGAATATTTAAAATATATAAATTTTAAACAATGAAGTTTATATTCAATGATGTGTAAATAATAATAATAATTGAGTGCAAAAATGTGCAATCTTGTCAATCATAAAAAAATAATTCATACTCATATATAATTATATAAATATTGTACTGTTTTTTTTTTCTTTTTTTTTTCATTTTTCTTTACTCTTATTTTGCGTCTTATTTTTTCCCAACAGAATATAATTATTTTATTTGCGTAATTTACTTAAATACTAGTAATTTTCTAATCACAAAGTTAATCGCAAATCACGAGAGAGAGAGAGAGAGAGAAAGAGAGAGAGAGAGAGAGAGAGAGAGAGAGAGAGAGAGAGAGAGAGAGAGAGAGAGAGAGAGAGAGAGAGAGAGAGAGAGAGAGAGAGAGAGAGAGAGAGAGAGAGAGAGAGAGTACTCTGTAAAGGAATTTCATATTTTTCTCTCCTGCGAATTTATTAAAAAAAAAAAAAATGATTATTATTTCTGTCATTTATATTATATTTGTTAAATGTTTAATTATGGTTGTAAAATATACATAATACAATTATAATTTAAATATTTATTATTATTATTATTATTATTTATAATTCTAATTAATTAATTATATAATTAAATTTTGTATTTTTTAAATTAATTAAATTATTAATATTTATAATTATTGAACAGTAAATAATAATAATTATTTTTGGAATTAAATAAATAAATAATAATAATAATAATTGTAGATAAAAATATTAATTGAGATAAAAATTATTTTTTTTTATTTTTTTATACACATATATAGATATAAAAAAAAAATTGAAAATGAAATAATAATAAAAAAAAAAGAGATCAAGAAATTCCGAACTGTGGACAAAATTATTGCATTCCATGTGAGGTACCATAGTCTTCATAAAACGTCAATCAAGAAATTCCGGAATACTTATTCAACACTTGAAGGCGGTTGGTATTCATCTAATATGCCAAGAACGTGATCATTATACCTCCCTCCCCCCCCCCTTTCAGCCCCTAAACCCTGTTTTTTAATTTAAAAAAAAAAAAAAAAATAGAAAATAATTCCCATATAACATAACCTAGAGAATTTTTTTTTTTTTTTTTTTATACAAAAATATAAAAATATAAAAATAAATTTATAAAGTCCAAAAATATATTTGTCATTAAATATAAAAAAAAATTTATTTCTCTTCAGAATAATATTTAAATAAAAAACTGAATTTTCGATTTTTGCGACCAAATGACCGAACAAACATAACCTGGAAAAGAAAATAATTTCTTTTGCCGCGCTTTTTGAAGACCAATAAAAAAATTATTAGAAAAATTTTAATTGGTTGAATTTTTGAAAATGGCGCTAAAATATTTTTTTCTAGGTTATGTTTGTATGGAAAATTCGGTGCGTTTTAAAAATGAAATTAATTAACAGTATACAATATATATATATAGTTTATTAGTAATTATCGAATAAAAAAAAAATGGTGTAAAATAGAAAATTAAATAAAAATTAAATAAAAAAAAATAAATAAATAAAGTGAAAATTTGCGGTTTTTAAATTTTTTGAGGTATTATGAAAATTGAAAAAATATTTCGAAATTTTTTTTTTTGAAAAAAATAATACTAGCGTCATGGTAGTCGTTTCCTACTAATTAAAGGTCGATGATTCCGAATTTTACATTAAAAGAAACATTCACTGTTTTTTTTACTACTATTAATTGTTTAAAAATTCGATTTATTTAAAATTCAATTTTTTTTAAAAAACTAAAATTACTAAATTTAGTAAAAAAAATTTATACATATAAAGTTATAACTAAAGAATGCAAGATGATTAAAAACTTCCATTAGCCCCAATTGAGTTTCATAAAATAAAGTTCAAAGCTTCGACTTTGAAACAGTCATTGATCTTATTCATCATCTCTCTCGTGTAAAAAATGCGTGTGATAAATGTTTCTTTCTCTCTTTTTTTCTCTCCCTCTTTTTTTCTGTAAATTAATATATTCAAAGAAAGAAAAAAAATTAGTTTTCAAAAATAAATTTTAATACTATTTTTTATTTTAATATTATTATTATTTATTATTATTATTATTATTATCATTTTTTTATCGTTATTCTTATTTTTATTATTATTTTTATACATATTTATATTATTAAATAATTTAACATTCAATTAAAATTTTTTTTGTCTTAAAAAAATGTTATACTTCCGCGAGGGATCGAACTTGTGTTTTCTTATTCGGTGAAACGAGCTATGAACCACTAGACTATACTCACTAATTTTTTTTTTCTTCTTAATCAAATTAGATTTATATTGATTGTTGTAAACAAAATTTTTCGTATAAAAACGAAAAAAGTTTTTGTTATTTAGGCAAGCAAAATTTTTTGTATATAATAAAATAAATAATATATATATATATATATATATATAAATATATAAATATTAGTAAATAAATAATTTCAATAATTAATTATTAATAAATAAATAAAAAAATAAAATAGAAATAAATAAATAAATTTTTTAACATATTTTATATATCAAAAATAATTTTAAAAAATTAATTCCAAAAAGATAATTAATCGTAGCACACGTGTTGAAAAAAAATGTATAGTGAGCATTTTTTTTTCCACGTGCACGTATAAAAGAAAAGGGAAATTAAATTTCATAGTATATACATAAATAAATTATTATTAAATAAATAAACATTTTTTATTATGATTATTATTATTATTATTATTATTAAAAAAATATTTTTCATTTTTATGTATTTACTATAAAATTATAATAATAAAAATTCTTATTATTCTTCATTATAATAAAAATCCAAATATTTAATTATTGAGAATTAATATTTTTGGCTTTAATTATTGTTATTATTTTCTTTTTAAATATAAATTAAATTTAATAATTAATTTTTTAAGATATATATATATATATATATATATATATATATATATAAATAAAATTATTTACTAAATTAAAATAAATTTAAATAAATTAATTACATAAATTAATCATATAAAAAATTTTTTTTTAAAATTTATAAAAATGTAAATATAGAAATAAATAAATAAAATATTAATTTTGCAAATAAATTTTATTAAATTAATTATATATTAATAAATAAATAAATATTTTTTGTTTTCTCTTCTTTTTTTCGTTGGCAAATTGTGACAAGAAAAAAATTTTATTATTTTTTTTTTTGCTTCATTGAATATTTAAAAAAAAGAGAGTTGCGCGAAATAGAATATTACCGGCATTTAAGGTGATGACGAAAAGAGAGGGGGGTGGAAGTGAAAAAGTAATATAGAAATAATGGTGGGGGGGAAGGAGAGTAGAATATACTATGTACATATATATATACATATATATTGAAGCAACGTGGCACGATTGGAGTGGGGGAAAAATATTTATTTCTGTATGTGTGTGTGTATATATCGCTTGGTTACACTTTATTTTCAGTGACTGGGGGGGTTTTTGTAAAAGCGATTTGAAACGCTTTGGACTTCAGTGTGTCGGAGCTAACTGGTCCAAGTGTTTGCGTCGTTTAAAAAAGTTTTTGCGACGAAAACTGAAAAAAAAAAAAAAAAAAAAAAAAATTTCACCCGTAAGGAATGTAATCTCCTATGTCGAGGCCTCAATTTTCATGCTCTGTGCAAGTGTTTGTGCAAGTAACAATTTTAATTCAGGTGAGTTTTTTTTTTTTTTTTTTTTTTTTTTTTTTTTATTTATTTAATTTTAAATATGTATTGTATTAAAAAAGAGTGCAAATACAGTACAGTAATTTTTTTTATAAATTAAAATTTTTTTTTTTTAAATTACAAAAAAATATTTTTCAGTTTCGCTTTTTATACACGCGCGAAACACGTGCATTATAATGATGACAGCTTATATACTGTATTTTATATTATATTATATTTCCATATAGTAATATATATATATATATATATATATATATATATATATATATATATATATATACCTTTCCTCATGTTTCGCCAACCGCCATATTTGAAAAATTTTCACGGGACATCATTAAAGGAAAAACCCAAACTTAAAGTGAGAATTTTTTTTTGGCGCGAAATTTCAAAATTTAATTGTTTTTTTTTTCAATTTTTATATAGCCGAGAATTTTTTATATAAATTATAAATATTTTTTAAAAAATTAATTTTTATTTAACAGAATTTTTTTATTTAGCCGAGAGAATTTTTTATAAAAATTAAAAAAAAACAAATTTTTATTTAACACAATTTTTATATAATATAATTTTTATTTAACCTGATTTTTATTTAACAGACTTTATATTTAACTAACAAAATTTTAATGTAATTTCTATAATATTATATTTTTATGAAAATTGTTATTTATAACTATAAATTATTATGAGAGAAAAGAAAATTTTTATTCGCAAATTAGCAAAATTTTCATTGACCGAAATTGAACAAAAAAATGTCCGAATAAAACACTCGTGTTCATAATAAAGCGCGCAAATTTTGAAAATTTAACCAATTAAAAATTATTTTTATTATTATTATTATTATTATTATGTTTAAAAAAATTAATTTGTATTATTATTAATTACCTGTAGAAATATATTTTTTTTAATTAAAAAAATTTTTTATTAATGATAATAATAATAATCAAAAAATAATAATAATGTTTATTAAATATTTATTGCGCCATGTGGTGAGAAATAGAGAAAAATAATGTTATAATTTTTTTTTTTCCTAACTTTACCAAGACAATGAGTATAATTGAAAGCGAATATAAGTTATCTGTGTTATGTCAACAAAAAATTTATTATATCTTTTATATACACACAATTGTTATAAATTAATGTAACTCTCTAAATTACTAGGAATTGTTTTTATTATATATATGTTTTAAACTAATATTTTTAGAATTTGTGTCATTTGTAAAATGAAATGTGTGTAATCGCAATATTATTGAATTTTTGCCAGATAAATACGAGAAATTACTGTACTCTTATTCATATATGCACTTCTTCTAATTATTTTTATTTTGCTCAAATTATTATTATTTTTTTTTATTATTAGTATTTTTTTTAAAATTATTTTTAAATTATTTTTATTGTTTTTTTTTTTATTTTTTTATTTTATTTTTTATATTTGTATTATTATTTTTACTATTTTTTGACTATTTTTTTTTATTTTTCATATTTGTATTATTTTTTTACTATTTTTTTTATTTTACATACTTTTATTATTATTTTTACTATTTTTTTTGTATTTTTTTATTATTATTATTTTTTATTTATTTAATATTAAATGGACTGTAACCATACATATTCCTAATACTAAAAGCTGTTAATTATTATTATTATTATTATTATTATTTTTATTATGATTATTATTATTATTGTTATAATTATTCTTATTTTTATTATTATTTTCATGAATATTTATATTAATTTAACATTAAATTACAATTTTTTTTGTCTTAAAAATTATTTTTTTTTTTATTTTCGCGAGGAATCGAACTTGAGTTGTCATTGAGTGTGACGAGAGCTCTTAACCACGAGACTATTTACCAATATTTTTTTCATGTCAATCAATTTATATTTATCTTGATTATTGTTATTAAATTTTCGTATAAAAACAAACAAAAAAAAATCTTTGGTATTTTAATATCTAATTATTCTAAAAACAATTTGATTGTCTTTAAAAAATTTTTTTAATTTTTATTATTTTAAAAAAATTTTTTTATTATTTTATTTTTTTATGTCAAAAATTTTTTTAATACTTATTCTATTATCTTAAAAAAATTACTTTATTTTGGTTTTAATTAAACAAATTTTTAAATTTGTTTAAAGTAAAAAAAAATTCTTCAAAAAATTATCTTTTTGGGTACGTATAGTAATATTTATTTATATATATATAGAATTTTGTTATTTATTAATTAACTATTTCTATATATATATATATGTAAAATTACAAATGATATGAAAGTTTTGCAAGAATTCTGACAAATGACGATATAAACGTTATTATTGACGTCATTACATCTAAACGCAAGTATATAAATGCTTTTATCATATATATCGTCAATATTGACAACAATTTGGCTCAGTACCCGTCATTCCAACGGCGATGAAACACTCAATATTATCTCAAAGTCTAGTGACACGCGAAAAAATCGCATTAAAAAGAACGGATCTTCCATTTTACACAATTTTAGTGAGTCACATTTAAAAAAAAAAAGAAAATTAATAATTAAAAAAAAAATTTTTCAATAATTATTTTTTCCCCCTTTTTTTTTATTTAAAAAAATTAATTAGTTATTTAATAACCCATTATTAACAGTTTAACAATAATTATAACTGCAATAAAAATTATAATTATAATATAATTATAATATAATTATAATTTTAATTATAATTTATTATAATAATAAATAAAATAATATTGGTAATAGTAATTATATAAATATAATAATAATAAATTTTATTAATTAAAAAAATATATTTTTACAATGAATTTTTTTTCCGGAAGTTTTGGTTTTTTTTTTTTTAAAGATATATGATTATTCGTTTATTGTTACATCACACAAAAGCTGAAATATATAATTGTTTATTCATTATTCAAGACCTTGAAAAAAACAAATTCTTTTGAGTAAAGAACCTCGTCTGCAAATAATTCTATTAATAAAAAAAAAAAAAAATGAATTTTATATTAACTTGTAATTTGACATAAATATATAAAAAATCAGATGTTACAGTTTTTTTGTATCGTGGAATTTTTTTTTAAAAATTTTTTATTGTTAATTTTTACAGATTTTAATTTTTTTCACTGTTGTTTTTAATTTTTTGTTAATAAAAATTATTATTGAAACAATAATTAATATTGTTAATAAAATTAATAATTATTATTAAACAATAATTTTTTTTATTAATAAAATTATTATTTAACAAAATAATTATTTCTGGTAATAATTATTTTTTATTAATAATAATAATAATATTATTAAAAAATAATAATAAATATAATTATTATACAATAGAAATTTATTAATTAGAAATTAGATAATTATTATAAAAAATATTTGCAAAAAAAAAAAATTACTTTTTGTCCCCCTTGGTCTTAAGGAACGTTCAATTGATACGCTCCTGACGAAGAGTGGGGGGGATAGCGCGTCACTCCCCACTCCTTTCGTCGGCGCTTTTTAAATTGAAAAATTAAAAATTCAATTAAAAAACGCTTATTACTCACAATTGATTATTTATTATAGTATTATCTTTTTTGATTGTATATCAATCATATAAATATATATAGAGATCTAACCACTTTGTATACTAACGTTTCGATTGCGTCATTGAAAAAAAAAAAAAATGATATTATCCCACATGATGATTTTTTTTTCAAAGTAATTAGAGTTGTTCATTGGCTAATAAATCTAGACTCGTTTCTTGAAGACGCCAGTCTGTCGCCTTACTGTATATTTGCGCATGTATCACCTCCTCCATTTCACGCTTATACAGCCTTCACCTTGAAATTTCAATTATCTATATTTTAATATTAACAACGTAAAAAAAATTATTAAAAAAAAAATTTTTGTTTACATTTTTTTAATATAAAAGAAAAAAAAATATTGTAAACATTCAGTGCCGTATGAATGTTGGGACAAGTTCAAAAAAATTTATTCTTGTAAATTTTTTTATTTTTCCAAATTTTGTTTTATTTATTATTTAAATATATTTTTACAAGTTAATAATTTTTTTACTTTTTTTTATATAAATTTATTTACACATATAAAAATAATTTTTTATTTCTAAAATTTATTTATTTTTAAATATATATTTATTTTTATATTTATTTATTTAAACAATAAACGTGTTTCAAATAAATTCTTTCGTAATTTATTTATTTCTAAATTTATTTATAAAAAATTATCTACTTAAAATAATTTTTTTTTATTTATAAATATATTTTTTTTTAACAAAATAAAAATATTTATTTATTATAAAAATTGTTTGATTAAATTTTTTATACATATAAAAAAAAATTTTATTTATTATATTTTTTATTTTACTAAAAAAATTTTATATATAGATTTATTGTATGGACTCTTGAGAAGATGAAAAAAAAAAAAAAAAAGAAAAGAACTCTCGGCAGAATTTTACGTGTCCCGATTTAGAGTCAGTTTGTATATCTTTGTCATAAACTGCAAGCAGAAAGGGGATCAATTTTCATGAGACTGCGAAGTATATCGTCACTTCGTGTGTATATGAAAAAAAAACAGAGTTCAAACGAATCAATAAACAATCAATTTTGCCTAATCAAACAATTATCGCCTAAGTGAATTGTTTTATTTATTTATTTCTTACTATCAACATCGAGAAAATTCTTTTTTACTTTGTTGAATAAAAAAATATTTTAAAAAAATTATTAAAAAATATATTTAAATATATTTTTTAAAAAGAAGGGTTTTTTTTCGCTAATAGAACCTTTACTATTAATGGATAATTTTAGTTTGAATTTTTTTTTTAATTAAATTTGGTATTTAAAATTACCACTTGCGAGAGAGAAATACTTTGAGCGCCGCCCTGGTGGTCTTTATTGATACTTTTTGCTTCTTAAATCATGGAATTCGTTTGCTATTGATAAAATATTTATTATTCCAAAAAAATGTTAATTAAATATTGATAAATTACGCCTTTCTAATTGACTGCTTGTGAGAGAAATTTATTCTAACGCCGCCCTGGTGGTTGTAAATTGTACTTTTTGACTAATATTAACAATTTTACATGAAAATTCATACCTTAATAACATTTTTTACTTAAAATATTAATTAGATATTAATATTAACTAATTAAAAATAAAATATTAATTAATTTTTTAATTTTAATTAATTTAAAAATTAAATATTAATAACATTAACATGAAAATAAATATTTTTTAACTAAATTTGGTACTTAAAAAATTTATTTTCATGTAAAACTATTACGGAAAAAAAATGCAATTTTACCATTCTAAATTCACCGCTTGCGAGAGAGATGACTTGCAGCGCCGCCCTAGTGGCAGTAAATTGTACTTTTTGCAAAAAAAAATGATTTTTTTTTTTTAATTTTCAGAGAACGTAAGACTATTTGTGTGAGTGGCCACTTCTGGTCAAAGGAAGAGGGCCACAGTCTGAGCGTGGGTGCCTGTAATCGATGGGTTGAGAACGCGAAAGTGTTTTTTCATTTTTGAAAACCAAGGTGTATAGCTTACCGATGAGCCATGCTAAAGGTCGTAGGCGCCTCGTGGCTGCAAACCCGCATCTCCACCTATCTTCTCATTGGTGTTGCCATTTTGGGCATCGGTGCCATTATCTTCGGCGAGTTTGGACAGTAAGTAAAAAAAAAATGTCAAAAATTTTATGAATTAAAAAAAAAATGGCAAAATTTTATAAATTTAAAAAAAATAAAAAGGGCCAAATTTTATGAATTAAAAAAATAATTTTTTAATAAAAATAAATCGTTTTTTTTGAAAATGGACAAATGAAATTTTGAGAAAATAATTATTTTTGGATTAATAAAAATTGAATGATTTTGAAAAAAAAAAATTTTTATCTGTATTATAATCAAGTTTATACAAGAAAGATTTGTAAAATAAACATGGCACGTGTTTAAAGAGATTATCGTGTATCGAGTGACCCAGACGGACAGACCGCCCATCTTGCAGTTTCACGTTCCCAAAAGTATCGTCTTCCATTTAAAAAAAAAAAAAAAAAAAAGTTATGATCTTTTCTCTGTCTGTTAAAAATTTTTTTTTTTCTCTCTGAAATCAATTTAGCAATTATTTTACGTGAAAAAATAATGTTACTGTTTAAAAAAATGCAAATTAGGATGTAAATTTGCGTTAAAAAAAAAAATTAAAGGTCCAGGAAATAAAAAGTTGTCTGTTAGCTGAGAGGTTAGGGCGACTGACTCGCAACTCGTTAAGTTTGGGTTCGAATCCCGTCGTGAAATTTTTTTTTTTTTTCATAAATTTATTACTATTTCAATATTATATTTACGAACTAAATAAATTAATGGTTGAAGAAAATAATTAATAATAATATAATTTAATATTAATAATTAATAATAATAATATAATAATAATTAATTAATAATAAAAAATTCATTATATAGAAAAATTATTTTTATTCAAAATTATTTAGAAAAATTAATAATTAATTAAATAAAAATATAATTAATTAATTATTTAATTAAGAATTATTTAGAGAAAAATTAGAATAAATTTTTATTAATTTTTATCATTAATAATAAAAAATAAAATTAATTTATATAATTTTGTAAATAGAAAAAGGAAGAAAAAAATAATCGTGGAAAATTTTATAATAAATATATATTATTGCACGCGGGTTGATGACCGAGGTTAGGGACATTCAGGGATCAAAATACTGCACGATAAGTTGATGTGATTTGAGTTCGTCTCGCGACGCGACATGATTCGTCTGATTGATAAGACGGTAGCTTTTTACCACGTGCCATCATGTAATATGGGATAATTGCCGAATGGTTGATTAAATTGTGTCTATATGCTTTTTTCTAACTAAAGATGCCTTATATTTAATTAAAAAAAAAACTACCAATCTAAAAAAATTTTCATAATTAAAAAAAAAAAAAAAATTTACATTTTTTTCGACAATAAATTATTTATTTATTAATTGAATATATTATTTAAATTATTCTCTTTATTATTATTATTATTGTTATTATTATTACTAAATTTTATTATTTTAATTAATATTTAATTAATTATATTGATTAAAAAGTATTATTAATTTTGTCAATAATAATTAATTATTTATTTTATCCGCTTTGAAGAAAAAGTTTTCTTAGTAGAAAAAAATTATAGGTTATGTTTATGATAGTTTGGAGTGAAAAGAGACAATTGTCTATTTTCACTCCAAATTATCATAAACATAACCTATAATTTTTTTCTTCTTTAGAATCCTTTCTTTAGAATCTCCTTAGAAATTATTCATAATTTTTATAAATAATTTATTTAATGTAATTAATATATATTATATATTTAATTAATGATAATAATTAATAATTATTCTGTCAGTGTTGAACACGATGGAACGTATGCGGCGACTGCTTTTTGGCGGCAAAACATTCATCAATTTGAATTCTGGGGACAAGGAAATGATCTGTCAACAATTCCCATGGGTGCTGCACGTGCTTATTACAAATCTGCAATACCAGAAACAGGGTAATTTTTTTTTTAAATTAAAAATATTTTTTTTTTTTTTTAATAAATTTTTTTTAATACATTTTTTTTCTTTTTAAGATGGTCCATCTTGGAAATAGAAACATCGAAAGATTATCCAGACGAGGTTCAAGCTTATGCAGCGGGTTGTTTAGAGGGTAGCTTAACGTGGCAGTTAATCTATCAACATTGGTATAATACTGTGCGAGCAGCATGCGCACCAAGATCAGCGCTTTGTGTAAAAATGCGTAAATATCTGCGTGAGAATAGCGAAAAAGCCATTGAAAATGCTCAACTTTTGAAAGACGAGGATCCATATTGGCATCTGGTAAATATAACTACGGTGAAACATCTGAAATGTATGATGTGTTACATTTCGGAGGTTCTTGTCCATAAATCGATTTACTTGTTTCGATATTATCGATTTACTACTGTAGAACCTCTGAAATGTGACACACGAGTTATCACTTTACTCTGTTGTGTCACATTTAGGAGGTTCTTGTCCAGAAATCGATTTACTGGTTTCGATATTATCGATTTACTACTGTCGAACCTCTGAAATGTGACACACGAGTTGTCACTTTACTCTGTTGTGTCAGATTTCGGAAGTTCTTGTCCATAAATCGATTTACTGGTATCAATATTATCGGTTTACGACTATAGAACCTCTGAAATGTAAGAACTCTGTTGTGTCACATTTCGGAGGTTCTTGTCCAGAAATCGATTTACTAGTATCGATACTTCATAAAAGTATTAAGGAACCTCTGTAATGTGACATATACAAAGCGTCACATTTTAAAGTTTCTACTATTGTAAGACCTCTGATATGTGACATTGAGAATCCGTCACATTTCGGAAGTTCCTCTTGTATTATCAAATAATAATGACTATTGATAGAGAAAAAAAAATCCCAGGTAAATTTATTCTATCGTCAACTAAGAGGCTTGGAGGCAGGTTGGAAATTAGCTGTTAATAAAATTCATCAATCAGTTGAAATAGAAACAGAGGATTTTCTTTGGATGGCAATGGCGTCTGATTTGCCCGATTTAGAGAGAGCACACAATGGTTCGGAAAATTTGGCAGGATCATATGGAATGATTTTTTTAAAAGCATTACAACGTGAACATTTTGAACCACTCATTGCATTGGTGCACAACACCGGCGCACCGTAAGTTTTTAAAATTATTTCAAAAAATAATTACTCTTTAAGAAAAAAAGTTACTAATAAATAATTTTTTATTTTACTTACATGCTGCTTTAAGATTTTAATGGATAACAATTATTCAAAGTTCGTTTTATACAAATTTTGGTAATAGTTATAGGAATATTTACTAGTTATTTTTTTTACTAGAATTGCGGTGTGCATGATGTCGAATTTGAATTTTGTCCATTTACAATGAATTCTGGTGGAAATTTAGTTACTTTCTAGTAACTTTCTGGAAATGATGGTTACAACAAGAAAATTACTAGAAAGTAACTAAATTTTTTACTAGATTTGGTAAAATGCTTGTAGACGGTGTGAATGAACCTTTACAAAAGTGTTTTCATATTATTATTATCACTATTAGAATAATAATAATAATTACTATTATTATTATCCGTCATAATACACCCAATTGTATAACTGTTGTACATCCGGTTTGATGGCATTTTGAAAAGTCGTGACACTTCTATAATAATTTTAGGTAAAATCAAAAGTTACTATAAACTCACTAAATTATCACTAGAGCAGGGTGCGGTAGTTGACCAAGAATTATGACAACTGACCACGAACTAATAAAATTATTATAGAAGTGTCACGACTTTTCAAAATGCCATCAAACCGGAAGTACAGTATTTATGCGATTGAATGTATTATAATTTACAATTAAATCTTTTTTTTTCCCCACCTAAAGTTACACCAAAATGCTGAGGCTTATAAAAAGATACAAATTCGCTTATCATATGTCATCAAAAAAAGGTGCAGAATTAGTACCAAGTAATTCCGTGGTTATGACATCATATCCAGGTGCATTGTCATCGCAAGATGAAAGTTACATCGTTAGTGGAAAAGAGAGAGAATTAATTGTAGCTGGAACGCCATTAACAATTAGTAATCGTAAATTATGGAATCGTCTCAGTACAAAAGAGCATGTAAGTTGTTGAGAAAAAAAATTCTTTTTTTTTTGCATTAAAATCTTGCCATTTTCTACAATAGATTTGTGGAAAAATTAATTATTTTTTATTAATTTCACGTATTTTTAGAGAGAAAATAAAATTCGAGGTGGGCGCGTTTTTTTTTGTAGGTTATGTCACCGGCAACAATAATGGCGGCAAATTTTCTCTCAACAAATAGTGATAATTGGTCGAATGTGATGACATTAAAAAATAGTGGAACTGCCAATCGTCAATGGGTAATTTTTGAGCCACAAAAAAATATCGTTAGGCTATTTGAACAAATTCCGGGAATTACTGAGTCAATTGATTATACGAAAAAATTTATGGAAATGGGATTTTTAGTTTGCACTGGCGTGCCAATTATACAGGAAATAAAAGACTATGCAAATTTTGAATTGGCAGAAGCCGTTTTACGTGCCACTGAGGTGAGAAAAGTAAAGCTATTTCTACAATCTTTTGTTAACATATAATAGAGTTCTTAAGAAATTTAAGTTGTTTCTACAATAAAGTTCTTTTGTTAACATAATAGAGTTCTTAAGAAATTTTAGGTTATGTTGACATAAGAATATTGTAGAGACAGAGTGGGGTAACATGGGAAATAAAGGTCGGTTCATAAAACAAATTTGTTCATAATTAATTTTCAGGTGGAAAAGCATCAAAAAAACATGACAACCGTCGAAGATGTGAGAAAATTAATGCGAGGATGTAGACACGAGGTTGAATCAATAACCGATGAAAACGAAGATTTCAAATGTAATTGGAATTTTAGTGAGCAACAATTATTTTCCTATAGAGGTGATCTTGATGATAAATCGAGACCAGTTGGTGTAATTGATTCGAAAATTTTTCTATCCGATCTCGATGGTCTCGATGCATTTGAAGCGACATCTGGACCAGCATTTTTAAATTTCAATCAAGCTTTTAATTGGTCTAATTCATTTCCAAATATTTCACATGTTGGACAACCGAATATTTTTCAATTTGATAGTGTCTCACCCAAGTGGGTTTGGATATAATTTTTTTTTTAAATGCAATATTTTTTCTTTTTAGGCTGTGTTCACAATGGGCGTTATAGGTTAGTCTATTGTGAATGCAGCTTAATGTGTTTTAAATAATCTGTTTTTTCAATTCACTATTTTTTTAACAGTTTTTAAATTGAGAAGTTTTTAAAATCAATTTTTACAATTGAAATTATATAATGGACATTGAATTCATATTTAGGAATTCTAACCTCAAAAATAGTGTGTTTTCTTTGAATCTCGTTTATGAAATTATTTCTGAACTTTTTTTACTAGACAAATGTTTAAATTCACTTTTTATCTATTGAAAATGTTGCATGTGAATAATTATAATGATTTTTAATATTTATAATATGAAAAAAAAATTCTGAGGTGAGAGATTACAAATTTGACAAAAGCACAACAAAATAGTTGTGTAGCTCCATAAAATATTATATGTATTATTGTTTTTTTTTCATTTATATATTTTTTTGTATTTTTGAAATATTTAAATTTTTTTTACATGAATCTCTTTTTTTTGAGGTTAAGAACAATTTTTTGTGTATAAAATATCATTTTTTTTTTTTAGAAGACTGTTGTTTTTAATAACAATAGTTTTATCGATTCCAATTTTTTGAAACTTCGTTTTTGTCGGATAATATTTTCGAAATGTTTTAGTAATTTTTTTTTAAATGTAGTTTTTTCAAATTTCATCGAGACATATGTATACCTTTATGTATAGCTGGCTCATATGTTAGCCACCTGTGGTAATTTTTTTTACAAAAAAAAATTATATAAATTGTTTTGTGAAATAAATTATGAGTTTATTTATTTAATTTACCTGTTTAATCATTTTTTATTCTATGATTATTGTGAAATTTTATTTAAAATTAATAGGTAATTTTATTTTTAAATAAAATAAATAAAATAAATAAAATAAATAAAATAAATAAAATAAATAGAATAAATAAAATAAATAAAATAAATAAAATAAATAAAATAAATAAAATAAATACAATAAATAAAATAAAATAAAATAAATAAAATATATAAAATAAGTAAAATAAACAAAATAAGTATTAATTGGATTTTTGTTAATATAAGAAGCTCATTGTGGAAACAGCTTAATTAGGGTTGTATCCACAATAGGCTCCTTATGTTAATATAACGTAACAATTATTTTATAATAAATAATTTTGTTCTTACTATTCCTTACGATTTATTATTATTTTCTATTATTTATTAATATTTTTTACTATTTTTTTACTATTGTTTTATTTTTGTAAATTATCATATTTATTTTAGATTTATTAATTAAAATAAAAAATATCGATTTGAGATCGAGATTTTTTTTACGATTCATAGCTAGTCAACCCTGTTTAGATGAAAATTACTAGAAAAAATTCCCGCCGAATTATTCTCGAATTCTAGGGAATTTATTCGGGCGCCATTTTTATGTTTCCAATCCTGGTATACACTACTTGTTGTTTGTGTGTGCGTGTGTTAAATAAAGCGTTTCTCGTGAAAATAAATTTTGTTTGTTTCCAAATAAAGAAGATTTTTTTTTTATTAAATATCATGTACAAGTGAATTAAAAGTGTTCATTATGTTTATAAAACAGGTATTTCAATTTAATTAACAAAATTATTCTCTTTATATCGATCTCTTTAGTATTATTTCAAGTTCAATTAAATATTGGCTTGTATTGCAATTTATAGGTTATGTTTGTACTATTTTTTTTATAACTATTAAATTAGGGGATTCTTTTATTTTCTTTCTTTTAAATAAAAATTATTCTTGATTATTTTTTTCATTATTTCTTTTGGAGAACAAATTTTCATTGTAAATTTTTATTTTTAATGTATTTTTTTTTCTCCATTGACGACAAAAATTCCATTATTTGACGTTTGTGTTTGTTTTTTTTTTTCTCTCTATTAAAATCTGTCAATTTTGGAATTTTCTCGTTTTTTTAAATTAGTAAGTTGGTAAAAAAAAATTTAGAATATAATTTTAATTATTTAATAATTCAAATTTATGTATATAATAATTTAATTGATTATAAAAAATTTGTTTAAGAAAATTTATTTCGAGAAAAAATTATTTCAAAAAAATTTATTTTTGATAAATTTATTTATCTATTTAAAAAAACTATTTGGAAAATAATTTTTCCTTTTATTTTTTAGGTTATTATTCAGGGTTTCAAATCCTATAGGGAACAAACGGTCGTTGAACCTTTTGATCCAAGACACAATGTTGTTGGTAAGCAATTTTTTTTTTTTTTTTTTAAACAATTTTTTAATTACAAAAATGTAAATAAAAAAAAATTCAATTAATTAAAATCGTTTATTTTTGAAGTGAAATTTAAAAAAATTACATTTATATATATTTAAAATTTTGTAGATATAATAGCGATTTTATTTTTTTGCAAATTTTTAAAAATTTTAAAATTTTTTTTTCCATTTTGCAAATTTATATTATTAAATTTGATGATTTGCTCTTTTTTGAAAAAAAAAAATATTTTACATTTAGAAACGAAAAATAATTTCTATGTGAATTAAATATATTTCTCGAGAAATTTTTATTAATTGCGATTTTTGTTTTTTTTTTAATAATTAAATTTTTTGCTCTAACTTAAATTATATAATTATCATAGAAAAATGAAAAGAAAAATAATGATTAATAATTATTTAACAATTAATTAACAATTAATAATGATTTAATAATTATTTAATAATTATTTAACAATTAATAATGATTAATAATTATTCTAGTTGGTAGAAATGGTTCAGGGAAAAGTAATTTTTTCTACGCAATTCAATTTGTATTGAGCGATGAATTTTCACATCTTCGACCAGAGCAAAGACAAGCTCTATTACACGAGGGTACTGGTCCCCGTGTTATTTCCGCTCATGTGGAAATTATTTTCGACAATACGGATGGACGACTTCCGGTTGGTTTTTTTTTTCTATTTTCTTTTTCTTTTTTTTTTTTTTTTTTTTTTTTTTTTTTAATTTTTAAAGAAATTTTAGCAATTTTTTTATTTTAATTTTCAAAAAATTTTAATAGGAAGGAAATTTTTTTTTTATTTATTTATTTTTTTTTTTTTACAATTTATAGATCGACAAAAATGAAGTTTATTTACGTCGTGTAATTGGCTCGAAAAAGGATCAATATTTTTTGAATAAAAAAATTGTTACCAGAAGCGATGTAATGAATTTATTGGAATCAGCCGGATTTTCCCGTTCAAATCCATATTATATTGTTAAACAGGGAAAAGTGAGTATTAAATTTAAATTCTGTTTTTTTTTTTTTTTGAATAATAAAATTGAATTATAATTTTTTTTACATTCAAATTAAGATTTTAAAGTTAAAGTATTCAAATTAGTTTTAAAGGTAAAAAAATATTTAAATTAAAACTTTTAAAATCGTTTTTAAATTTAAATGGAAAAATTCTTTTAATTTTTTCTAATTAGTAGAAAAAAAATGTTATTGTAATTTTTTCTTTTTTTTTTAGATTAACCAAATGGCCACAGCTCCCGATTCGCAGAGACTGAAACTTTTGAGAGAGGTCGCAGGAACAAGAGTTTACGATGATCGACGTGAAGAATCAAAATCAATTTTAAAAGAGACTGAGGGGAAAGTTGAAAAAATCGAAGATTTTTTACGAACAATCGGTGTGTATTTTTTTTTTTTCTATTAATTTATAATAATTTTGTTTTCAATTTCAAACAAAAATGTTTTTTTTTTTTACAAAGAGGAACGTTTAAAAACATTGGAAGAGGAGAAAGAAGAATTGAAAGAATATCAACGTTGGGATAAGCAACGTCGATGTTTGGAATATACAATTCATGAGCGTGAATTAAAGGAAAATAAACGAAAGCTCGATGAATTGGAGACATCGCGTGCAAATAGCGGTGCCGAGCAGGCGAAACTTTGTTCGGATGCAAAAAATTCTCAGGAACAAGTTCGCGCTGCTACAAAACGTTTGAAGGAAGCTAAAAAAGAGGTTCAATCCGCAAAAGAAGAACGCGACACTCTCAGGTAAGGAGAAAAAAAAAAATTAAAATGCAAATTCTGCGGAAAAGAAAATTAAAGCAAATAAATCGGTTTGTAAATTTTGCTATTTTTTTAAAAATACAGTGCCGAGCAACAGCAACTTTTAAAAGAAAAGACAAAATTGACATTGACAATTAATGATTTATTGGAAGAGGTAAAGGGTGATAATGACAGTCGTAAGAGAGCGCAACAAGAATTGGAAAAACTCAAAGCGAACATTGCCGAGAGAGAAAAGGAACTTGAATCAATTAAACCGGAGGTAAAAGAAAAATAATTAGAGAAAAAAAAAATTAAAATATATATAATAAATTTTTATTGCAAATTAATAATATTTAATTTTTTTTTTTTTCAGTACGAAGAAATGAAACGCGTTGAGGAAGAATGCACTAGAGAATTGGCATTAAAAGAACAAAAAAGAAAAGAATTGTACGCAAAACAAGGAAGAGGTTCTCAATTTACCAGCAAGGTATTTATAATTTAATTTTGAATAATTTAATAGAAAAATTGATTTCAATGGAAAAACAAAATTTCTTTTTTAGGATGAAAGAGATAAATGGATACAAAATGAATTGAAACAATTGACAAAGCAAATTAAGGATAAAGAGGAACATCAGAAAAAAATAAGTGAAGATTTGAAAAAAGACGCGGAAAAGCAAGTGATGCTGGAGAAAAAAATTGAAGACTACACACGGGAAATGGAGCAACAGAGAAAATCAATTGACGATCATAATAAACAATATTATGATCTTACAAAAGCAAAAGATCAATGCCAAGCGACACGAAAGGAACAGTTAGTAATTTTTAAATTAATTTACATTCTATTACAAATTTTTTTTCAGTACAAATTAAAATTTATAATTTAATTAAAAATTTAATTTAAAATAAAAATTTTATTTTTCCTATTTTTCTGCAGATATCGTCAAGAAAGTGTTCTTCAATTAAATTTATCCGGTTTAAAGGAGGATTTAGCTAAAGCCGATCAAAGTTTACGATCAATGGCGGGAAAACCAATTTTAAACGGAAGGGATAGTGTTCGTAAAGTTCTCGATACATTCAGGTAAATTTTTATTTTTTTAAATTTTTAATTTTATTTAAAAAAAAAAAAAAAAAAAAAAAAAATTTCTTTCACAGACAAAGACCCGATATGGCGCACGAGGTGAGTTCATATTATGGACCAGTTATTGAAAATTTCGATTGCGATAAAAGTGTTTACATGGCTGTGGAAGTAACAGCTGGTAATCGTTTATTTCATCATATTGTCGAATCAGATAAATTTGGAACAAAAATTCTCAAGGAAATGAATAATCAACGATTACCCGGTGAAGTGACATTTATGCCTTTAAATCGTTTACACGTGAAAATTCAAGATTATCCAAAAACAAGTGACGCTATTCCAATGATATCGCGATTAAATTACGATCAAAAATACGATAAAGCTTTAAGGTATTTTTTTCGATAAATATTTTTAAATTAGCGGTGGGGAATTTAAAAAAAAAAAATATAATTTTTTTTTCTTTTTTCAAGATATATTTTTGGAAAAACGCTAATTTGCCGTAATTTGGAAGCGGCAACGAGTTTAGCGCGTACTTCAGGTTTAGATTGTGTTACATTGGAGGGCGATCAAGTATCATCGAAGGGTTCATTGACGGGTGGATATTTTAATACATTAAGATCACGTCTTGAAATTCAAAAAACACGATCGGAATTGATGACACAAATTAATGCACTAGAAACACAATTGACGACTCTTAAGGATGAAATTAGAAAAGCCGATCAAAGTATCAGCTCCTATGTGAGTGAAATGCAAAGAACCGAGACGAAGAACAGCAAAGCCAAGTTAGTTATTTTTTAAATTTTACTTTTCATCCCTTTAGGACTAAAAAAAAATTTCTAATCATTTATCATGGAACTTTTTAAAATTACGATTTAGTTTTCTAAATTAATTTTACTTCTCCATTCTTCTTTTCTCTTCTCTCCAATTGAATTCCAAGAAAAAAAAATACATTACAGTTTTTTTTATTTTCTTACACAGAGACATTTATGACAAAATGAAGGCTGAAATTAGAATGATGAAAGAGGAATTAAGCGCAATTGAAAGGTATCGTACGCCAAAGGAAAGAAGTTTAGCTCAATGTACATCGAGTTTGGAGGCGATGCGCGCAACAAAAGAAGGTTTAGAGAGTGAATTACATCAGGAATTAATGGCACAATTATCGCACGCTGATCAACATCAAGTTGATACATTAAATGATGATATAAGACGATTGACACGTGAAAATAAAGAGGCATTCGCAAAAAGAATGCGTCTTGAGGCGGAGAAAAATAAATTGGAAAATTTATTAACAAATAATTTAGTACGTCGTCATGATGAACTTGTTCAAGCACTGCAGGAGATTTCAGTACAAGATCGTCAACGGCAATTGGATTCATGTAAGGCACAACTTGCTGATATTGAAAAAAGATTGGTTAAAGTGAATGCTGATTTTAAATCACAAAATGAAAAAGTTACGAGTGCAATGAAAAAGCAAAAAGTTGAAGCGTCTGAAGTGGAAAAATGGAAAGTTAAAGAAAAAGAAGCGCAAGAAAAAATTGAAGCCGATGCAAAAGATTTGGAAAAATTGGCAAGTAAAGCAAATATTTTACAGCAAAAAATTTCTGAATGTACACAAAAAATTACTGAACTCGGTGCATTGCCAAGTCATGAGGCTTATTCAAAATTCAGTTCAATGTCGACAAAACAATTATTTCGCGAAATGGAAAAGGCGAATAATCATCTCAAGAAATATAGGTAAATATTTAATTTTGATCCGGAGGGGGGAAATTAGAAATTGTATTTTTAATTTTATTTCAGCCATGTGAATAAAAAGGCGTTGGATCAATTTATGTCGTTCAGCGATCAAAAGGAGAAACTTGTGAAACGAAAAGAGGAACTCGATCGTGGTGATGAGAAAATAAAGGAACTTATGTTTGTTCTTGAACAGAGAAAATGTGAGGCAATTCAATTTACTTTTAAACAAGTGAGTAAATATTTTAGTGAAGTTTTTAAAAAATTGGTACCATCGGGTCATGCACAATTGGTTATGAAAACTGCCGATGGAGAAGAAGGCGATGATGCATCACAGGAAGTTGCGGATTCTGATCGTTTTATTGGCGTTGGTTAGTATTATTAAAAAAAACCGATTTTTTAAAAATATTCTACAATATTTCCATTTTCTCTATCAGGAATTCGTGTTTCCTTCACCGGACATAAAGCTGAAATGAGGGAAATGAATCAATTGTCCGGTGGACAAAAATCACTCGTTGCATTGGCATTAATTTTTGCTATTCAAAAATGTGATCCCGCACCATTTTATCTTTTTGACGAAATTGATCAGGCATTAGACGCGCAACATAGAAAAGCCGTTGCCGATATGATTCATGAACTTAGTTCAGACGCACAATTTATTACAACTACATTCAGGTTTGTATTTTTTTTTTCCTAATTTTAAGTGGAGAAATTTAAATTTTAATTTAAAAATTTTACAGGCCCGAATTACTACAACATGCAAATAAATTTTATGGTGTAAAATTCCGAAATAAAGTATCACACGTGGAATGTGTGACTAGAGAAGAAGCTGCCGACTTTGTGGAAGATGACACGACTCATGGATAAATTTATTCTTTTTTACTTATAAAAATTTTCTTAAAAAAAGCGTCGAAATAAGAGAAAAATTCATTAAGCAAAAAAAAAAAAAAAAAAAAAAATGACGAATGGAACAAAAAAATTCCAGAGTTAAATTTATTTTGAGAACAGGAATTATTAGATTCAATATAAATTAACTTTTTTACGAGTTAATCTAGGGCTATTGAGAATAATGAAAAAAAAATATACTAAGTTTGTAATCCCGAGTTAAAATTGTAATAATTGGTATTTTAATTGAGGTTGAAAAAAAGGGGATAAATACTTTTACGTATATAATACATGAAATTTGTTTTCATTATATTTCCCTTCATTTTTTTTCTAAAAAGTAATATTTTTATTTAAAATTATATTTAAGATGAATTTAATTTGATAAAAAAGAGAGGAATTTCCTTGTTCCTTAAAAAACAAAAAAAAACTCTAAAATTTGCTTGGGAAAAATTAATATAATTTTTTCTAGAAAATAAAATTTAAATCTCAATGGAATTTAAAGTCTGCTAAAATTACTTCTATTTCCCCTATCCCTTCCTTTATGGAAATTTAATTCCACTGTTTTTTTGTTTTTCATTTCAAAATTACGATTGAGTTTTCTTTAAAAAACATTTTTTTTGCCTCTTCTTCATTCTTGATCCGCTTTCCTGAAAATAAAAATTACATTAAAAAAAAATTGTAAATAAAAATTTTGTTGCCAAAAAAATATTATTAATTATTATCGATAGATGTTAATTTTGTTTCGCGGTATTTATGAATTTTACCGGTAAAGAAGGATAACAATTTGAAAAGAAAATTCTTTTTTTTTTTGCATAATTAAAAAAGTTTTGCACTGTAAATTGCAAATTTGTTGATTCAAGGGTGGTGAATAATTTTTTTTTGGCGCGAATTTATTTGAAATTAAACAGTTTGCAAAAAAGAAGTGTGTGTGTGTTTATATTTCGCAAAACGTGGGTGGTATATTGATCAAAAGAGGTTCATGTGACGTCACTCAGGATCACGCCACATCCCCGCCCAAGGATTCTCGCCATTCTATTGGTCCATTGTGACATTACCATACAGATATAACAACCGAAACAATATATTCCTGCGATGTAATCGTGGTCTTTATATATACTCCTCTAAACTGTATGTTTTGCAAAGCCTAAAAACACTGTGGGAGAAAATTCACAGAAAAAAAAGACGCGTGATATCGCGACAAATTTCCATTCAACTTTCCTTAAAACAGCTTTTTCCATTTTTGGATTTATGGGTTAGTATTGTATATATATATATAAATTGAAATCGAAAATTCAATTTTGAGGTTAAGTTTTCGGGGGTTTTTGTTAATAAGGATTTTATTTTTTTTTTGTTTATCGTTAACATAACATAACCTTTTGAAAAATTGAAATCGTAAACAATTTTAAAAATTTTCTTTACCATATTGTGTAATTTTTTTTTTTGAATTTGTTTTTGCAAACTATAACACGGCCTCGAATATTGTGACTGTGAACAACGCAAACAAAGATGATTTGTGTATGTGTACATGTAAATCTAGAACGTGGGATGTCCGATTGCTCCGCATGCATCTTCAGATCATCCTCCAAGGTTGACTTTTCAATCTCGCGTGAGTGAAAAGTCGTGAAAAATTTGTCTATTTTTCCGTTATATTTATGTAATAAAATTGAAAATTAGAATTCTATTGCGATCTCAAAAAATTTCGTAGTGCGTCGTATATGTGTGTGTGTGTGTGTCACGCTTAGGAAAATAAATACAAAAAAAAACACATGTGTCGCTCCTCCATTCGTAGCAAAATTGTGTTTTTTTTTACCTTCAACCCTCAAAATGCCACGTGGTAATATGAATCTAAAAAAAAGTGACTAAATTCTTAATAATTTTATATAAACAGTTAAAATACCGAGAAATGAAAATAACGGTTACAATTGTGTTTCTGTGAATTGCGACGAAATTTCTACTTCGTGGAAAAAAAAGAGGATTCTCTCTTTCTGAGAAAAGTAGCACGTTGGACTTTCTCCCGAATTGGCAGTATTTTTCGTTATAAATTTAATCGATATTATTTACTTTTTTTTTTCTTCTTTTAAAACAAACGAATAATTAAATTCCCATTTTTGAGAAATTTACAGGCGGAGTGGTTGTTTTTTTTTCTTTTTATAATCAAAATATAAGAGGAAATTTTCATCATAAACAAAAAAAAAAACGGGGGATCAAAGATCAAAGATCATCTATTGAAATTATATGTCCGCGTCCGATTCACGAGGTGCGGAACCTGAAGAAGGACAGTGATTCAGTTGCTCGCTGACCGTCCCGGGCTTCTGGTCGCGACTATTCTTGATAATTTTTGGTTTTTTTTTTATTATTATTATTATTATCAGGTATATCCTATTTCTAAACCAGCACAAGTGCGTCTAACTCTTTCTCTTATTCTCTTTCGTCGTCTGCTTTCCAGTAGACTCGTGGGTTAAGAAAAAAAACAATAAATAAATAAATATATATATATATATATATATAAAGGAGAGATAAATAGAGGGAATAAATTTTCCGGGAATTATTTATTCTCGAAAAACATTGCCGAATTTCCAGAAGAAAAGGTAAGCCTTACAGACATACACATAAAATTGGAACAGTCCCATTTAAAAACGAGAGGAAAAAACTTAATATGGCATGGGGGGGGGAGGGAAGGGTATTTAAAATCGACCAATCAGTGTTTGTTTTTTCTACAGTTGAAAATGAGTTTTTTTTTCTTTTTCGGGGAATTGTTTTCTTATCTATTTGACGAATTGGAAAATTAGTGTCGTTTTAATTTTTTGAGGTTAGGGTGTTTCTTTCTGTTTTTTGTTTTGAAACTTTGAGCGACTCGTCTCTCAGTTGCAATTTAGGTGATTAACAATATAGTTTATTGTTATTATTATGCGGTATGAGCGGCTACAGATAGTAGAGATTATAACTCAGTTCCTATATACACAGTTGTTGGATACATATATGCAGTGCATATATCATTTTACATCACAAAAAATTATAGTAGTAATAATGTAAATAATCATTATTAATATTAATATTATTATTATTATTAATATTATTACTATTATTATTATTACTGTTATTATTATTATTATTATTATTATCATTATTATAATTTTTCTTATGTGCTGTTAATTTTGCTTTGACATTGATAATCGTTTTTATTATTTTAAAAAGTTCCTACGCTAAAAAAAAGTATCATTACAATTTTTGCATAAGGACTTTTGGGAAATCTTCATACAGATATACATTGGCTTCTGAATTATTATATTATTTATGATAGAATTCTCCAAAAACGCGTAGAATTTTAATTTTTACCGAAAATTACAAAAAAAAAAAAAAATGGTTATAGAAATAATATTTTTTTTTAAATTAAATAAAAATTATATTTAAGATAAAACTAATTTGATAAGAACGAAATTGGAGGAATTTCCTTGTACTTTAATTTAAAAAAAAAATGTTAAAAAGCAAAAACTAATTTTATTTCTAATTTAAAAACTCTAAAATTTGCTTGGAAAAAGTTTAATCTAATTTTTTCTATAGAAAATAAAATTTAAATCTCAATGGAATTTAAAGTCTGCTAAAATTACTTCTATTTCCCCTATCCCTTCCCTTGTGGATATTTAATTCCACTGTTTTTTTTTGTTTTTCATTTCAAAATTACGATTGAGTTTTCTTTAAAAAACCGTTTTTTTTTGCCTCTTCTTCGTTCTTGATCCGCATTCCTGAAAAAATAAATAAAAATTATATTCAAAAACAATTGCATTTCATTGAAAAAAAAAAAAAAAAATTGTTAATAATTTCTAAACATAACCTACAAAAAAAAAAGGCGGGACTTTAAAAAATGTGACCAATCAGGAGAAAATTATGATTGATCGCGAATTCTTGAATAGTGGACCAAAAATTTTTACTTTGTAGGTTATGTTTGTTCGGACATTTGTAATTTTCGGTAAAAATAAAAATTCTGTGTGTTTTTCGAGAATTCTATCATAAAAAATAAAAAAATGAAGATTCGCTGTGTTAAATGAAAATTTCTACTAAATTAAATTTCTATTACCCCTTGAATCATTCTAAACAAAAAAATTTTTTTCACCATTATTTACAATTGACAAAACAGATCGTTTGGAATAATAAAAATTCAAGAAAAGGTTCAAAGGCCGAAATATAGATATACAGAAAACAAACAGTTTGATTAGTTTGGTAAAAACATTATTTTTATTATTATTATTTTTTTTTATTATTCATCTCCTAGTGACGATTGTTCTACTTTCTTAAAAGAAAATTTAATCTCTTCAAATGTAAATTCCGCAACAAGTCTATACTCTCGATAAATTGAAGTTAAACGCGAGTTCATTATATATATATATATATATATTATTTTGCGCTATTGTTGTTTGTCATCTCCGTTATTTTTAATTCCATGGAAACAAAGGTGCGTGTGTTATCGATTTGTATATATAAAAGAAATTGTTTGATTATTATCGGGGATTATCAGAAAATCTTTCAAGGCTCTTTTTTAAAAAAAAAATAAAATTCTTTTCGATTTGTTTATATTTTTTTTATTTCTCACTTTTTGGATGCAATGTAATTTATTTTTTCGAAAAAAAAAACTTATGTAAAGCAATTTGTTACGCTTTGTAAATTATTATGTTTTTCTGACTCATTGCTGATGATGATATTACATAAGCTAAGGAAATAAAGAGTCTAGGTTTCTTTTATATAAAAGAAAATATACTACTTGATCTATTTCCTATAATTTTATTGTATATATACCTATATATGCTTATAAATTCCCATTAATGGTCGCATATTTCTAAAGTTGTTATTTCTTATCGTTCTCTAATAATGTAGATACGGTTTTTATATATTGATATTTTTTCTTCAATTGGAGCGCAAAAAAAATTATGAATAATTTTTATAATTTTTTTTTTCTCTGTTTCCTTTATATATTATTGTTTGCTTTTCTTATACATATATATTAATCGTATTGTAAAATGCGTTTTAAAATATAAGAAAAATAAAAGAAAAATATTTCTTCATTGTTAAAGCAATTCTTAACGACTTAATATACACCTCCCAGTTATAAGGTCCGAAGTTCAATGTCATATAGTTATCTCAAATGCAGGGATAAATCTCCGGTTCAAATACACGTGCAACTTAAGTGAAGGAACCGATTACATTACAATTGTATATGTGCATACTTTACAGGTATATTATAACTGTTGCGTTTTATTGTGAACAATAATTATTATTGTTATACTAAACGCGAAAAGATTTTCAATATTCATTTATATACACTCGGTTTAAATTTCAATTTTGAGATTATGTTTTTCTAATATGGACCAATGATGGTAATAATAGAATAATAATAATAATAATAATAATAATAATAATAATAATAATAATAATAATAAATATCGTGAAGAAATATACACGGAGAAAAAAGATTTCTTTTATAAAGTAACTTTTACTACTTTCAGAGTAAAACTGAACCAACTCGAAGTTTCTGCGCATCTCTGGCAATTTTTACTCCAAAAATAGTAAAATTTACTCTAGAAATAGTAAAACTTACTACGGAAACAGTAAAATTTACTACAGAAATAATAAATTTTACTATTTTTGGAGTAAAAATTGCCAGAGATGCGCAGAAACTTCGAGTTGGTCTAGTTTTACTCTGAAAGTAGTAAAAATTACTTTTTCTTTTTCTCCGTGTAGTGAAGTAACACAGTGAAGAAATATGAAAGACCCTAGGGGGTATACAATGAAATTAATATTAATGAATAATAATAATAATAATAATAATAATAATAATAATAATAATAATAATAATAATAATAATAATAATAATAATGATGATCTGAACTCAGATGAGGATTGGATTTTTATTTAAATATTCTTAACAGTCGATAGTGCAGCATAGTTACGTTTATCCCTTGACGGACACAGACCTCTTGATTTGGCTTTGACTTCCTAGTCAGTACGTGTCCTTGATACGTTACAGCAATAGCAGAAGTGACACTGTCCTAATAATATCTATTTTTAATTCAACATCTCAAGAGCATTTGTATAAATAACATTCAATCGGCTAGTTTCAAAAAAAAAAAAAAAAAAAATTTCATACCTTTAAAAATAACGCATGTTTTATTAATTTTATATAAAAATCGGACACAGAAAAAGAAACATTCTGAAATTTCGAATATATACTTGGTATATACCTATTTTAAAATATTTTATACTTAAATTCAGTATCTAATATTCTTAAAATTAGAATATTACATATACTGAATTTAAGTATAAAATATTTAAAAATAGGTGCCAAATATATATTTTTAGAATGTTTCTTTTTCGGTGATTTAAAATAATTGAAAAAAGGAAGAAGAAAATGTAAATTTCAAATAATTAAAGATTGAGAGGTTAAATAACGCGCGTATACGCTTAATCAGTTCGGTAATAGTTATTATCCACACGTCATTTAATGAATTATTGATATGCAATTTATCAATGTGACTAATGACCATATAATGATATCCATATAGTATACATTAATTGTTAATTATTCTCGGATGATTTTCGTTTACCATCTCTATTTTTTTTTTGCTTTAAATGACAATAAAATATAATTTTTTACAAAAAAAATTTTTAATTTCTTAATATAGGTAAAATATATTTATATTTGCAAATGAGATATTTGCAAAGATTTTTTTTTTTTTAAAACACTTTTATTATTCATCACAGTTATTCGTATAAAATTAACAAGAATTAACAGTGATGTTTTATTTTTAATACTTCGATAAATAAATCTATTTATAAATAAACTTTTCTCTTCAATTTACAGTTCATTTGTTATTTAATTTTTTGTTTTATTTTTTTTTATAAAAATTTTCATTTTAAAATATATATATATATATATATATATATATATATATATATATATATATATATTAAATTCCTCCTGGTATAGTAGTTGTATATATACCTGATATACCAGGAGGTGTTTCGTGCAATATATATATATATATATATATATATATATATATATATATATATATATATTTAAAATATATATATATAAACTCGGCAGAGCGAGAAACGGGGAACAGGATATACCAGGAGGAGTTTCGTGCAATATATATATTTTATATATATATATATATATATATATATATATATATATATATATATATATATATATATACATACATGTACAGGTTGGGAGAAAGAGACTTGAGAAAATACGCTAGGAATTTTTTTTCATACAATAATTGCAGAAAAATGAAGAATTTGTTTTAATGAATAAATACTAGTTGAAAGTAGACTTTATTGTTATTATTATTATTATTATTGTTATTGTTATTTTTTTCTCCAAGGAACAAAACGAGGTGCATTTATCTTGATGATCAATGCAACTCGTTTGTGCCAGTTGACCCCGCGTTATGCCGTTTCCTGTGCCCTTTTGGACTCAAGAACATCAATTGGCTCACTGACAATAACCTACTTTATAAATAATTATAAAATAACAATAATGATAATAATAATAATAATAATTATTATTATTATTATTATCATTATTTACAATAAACTGGACAAGTACGATATTATTAATAAATCTATTTTAAATTCTATGCTATTTAAAATTTTTTTTAAATTACTTTAATTACATACTTTAATTTTTTTTTAATTTTCCCGCTTTAAAGAATTTAGAAATTTTGCACAGGGGAAATTATGAAAAAATTTTTTTTAGTGTTTTAACGGTGTATAAAGGTGAAGGGCAAAAAGATTTATATAGGTATATAAAGAAATGAAATTTCATGGGGGATGAATGACGAATTTAATTGGAGGAATTCGAGCGTTTCCTGCATCGGATGTGTTTCTCGTTCTGTTGGAGGATATCAATGGTTATATATGCGACCTTAATAGTATGGAATTGACGCCTAAGCTTTTGAACGTTTGTCTTTATCTCTCTCCCTCTCTTTCTCGGTCACATATATTATAAATGAACTTTGAACGGGTTGAGGGCAAGATTTAAACACCCTTAATAACAATCCCAAGAAGGAGAGAGAAAAAGATAAATTATTGCGTCCAATATACATGTACCTCTATATATTTCTACTCTCCTGTCACGAGCGAATGTAATATATATATATATATATATTTCCTTTCTACTTTATCTCATGTGTATAATAAAAAAAATTAAATGCAATTTTTAAAATTTAGTAATACTTATTTTATAGTAACGTTTCCTAAATATTATTTAACATAAATGTTATGTTACTGTTATGTTACTGTTATGTTACTGTTACTTTACATTACTGTTATGTAACTAAACAGTAATGTAACGTAACAGTAACATAACAGTAATGTAACATATAAAATTTGTTATATTATAGTTAGGTAACGTAACTGTTATGTAACATTACTAAGTTACATAACAGTAGAGTAACAGGAACATAACAGTAATGTAACATAAAAATTGTTATATTATAGTTAGGTAACGTAACTGTTATGTAACATTACTAAGTTACATAACAGTAAAGTAACAGAAACATAACAGTAATGTAATATAACATTTATTTTATATAATTGATTTAGGTAACATTACCGTAACATAACAGTTATATAACTTAAATAGAACAAAATATCAAACATGTTACACAAATTCTATATGAAAAATAGACTTCTCTAGAATTAATAATATTAACAAACTCCTTTTATTGTTGATTTATCCTTATAACTTATACCTTTTGTCACTAACCGGAAAATGGGTTATGGTTTTTCTTTGCAGTTAAATTAATTACCCGCATCCAAAAGAATCCGGAAGTAAGAGTACCAACATAAGACGCCACCATGATCGTGGACGACAAACAGTGAGTTGGTGTAAAATTTCCCACTAACACGTCTATTAATTAATTAACTCCTGATACGTTTGTGTATATTAATTATTCTAATTTTTTTTTTTGTAGTTTTTGCTGTCACTTGCAACTATATATATGCATGTTGACAGATTGCTTTCCACATTCTTTATTATTATTTCCTTAAAAAAATTCTCCTTTTTTTCGAAAACTTTATTAAGTGCATGTTTCCTATATTGTATAGAAAAAGTATTTTTAAAAGAATGTATACTTGGAACCTATTTTAGAATATTTTGTACTTAAATTCAGAATGTATAGTATTCTTAAAATTAGAATCTTAGAATCTAAATATGTATAGTATACTAAGTACCAAGAATATAAATTACATACTGAATTTAAGTATAAAATATTCTAAATTTCAGAATTTGTAACAATTTGTTACTTTTTTTTAAAAAAAAAACGTTATAAATTTATAAAAACACAGTAAAAAATTTATTCTCTCTTTATTTAGAAGCATATTTGCATTCGACAAATGTAACAAAAATTTTATTACACTTTTATTATGTACTTGTATTCACGTTTAAAGCATGTTTGCACGTGCACAAAGTTACATATTTGAATGAGTTTTGTATAAATATAGCAAACGATGAATGAGTTGGTATATAATGCAATGTAAATAATATGTATATATATATTTACGATGTACTGTAATTTAATTTCGCATGCTACTTTTCAAAAGTAACGCGTTACTTAGAAACTATAATATAATGAACTTAGAAAAAATTGACGCGGTACTGGTACCAGTACTTCGCCAGTACTACGCCAGTAGTCAATTTTTATATATGGAATGTTATAAAATTTATCATATACAGTAAAAAAAGCTCCATGGTAGTCACAGCCCATGAGTGCGAGTGAGACAAACTTATGCGTAACGCATGCTTTCCTATGACTACCATGGTACTTTTCTTACTGTATAATACACCCAGTGAAAAAAAATTTCTTTCTAAGAAATAATAGAAATAAAAGATATTTCGATGTTATATATAGTAACAATATAAAGTTTCATCACCTGTTTGAGTATTATAGTCTAGCATTGAAGATGAACTGTCGCACTTTGTCTGACGTCAATGATTCTGATTTCGTATCCTTGGCCTGGAGCAAATGAGTCGGTGGCACAAAAAAAAGTGCGAGGCTTGCGTAATTTTTTTGTTTTAACCTTTTTTTTCTATTCTCTAAAATCTTCCGTGTATTCACAAAAAAAAAAAAAACGCTGATTTGTTGTATTTTATTGAATTTACGATAAAATGCAAATGAAATTAAAATATATTTTTGAGTCATAAAATAACTATACATAAACATAAAACTATTAACAGCATATGCAATTGAGTCATAAAATAACAGAAATTGACCTAGCATGGTTATATGGATATTTTATCACTTTGGAATTTTATCACCTTTTGCGATTTTTAAAATCATTTTTTTTTTATTTTTAAAGTATAGATAAAAGTGCATAACTGCATATAAAAAATAATAAAAATTGCATTTCTCTTAAAATATCTAAACCTCTTTTGGAACTTTATCCTAAAATAGCTATATATATAAAATTTCAAAAGTCATAAAATAACAGGTCAAAAAAGAAGTTGTAAAATTTCAATTCACATTCTATAAAATATAAAAAAAAAATTTAATTTTTTTAGAAAAGAGTTTTAAATGAAAAAAAAATTTTGTTTTATGAATATACGTAAAATTAGAACATTGTACTCGCAAAGCAGACGCTCATGCATCTTGCAAATGATTATTTTAATTGTTGGTAATTGTTGGCTTTCACACTCTTCACCAGGGTCAATGTACATTATGTTTTTGCAATTAAAAGCTTTTATCATTTACATAACAACGTTTTAATCTATATTTCACATATTTTAAGTAAAAAAAAAAAATTATTAATTGCAGGTCAATCGCAATTTATCATTTATTTTTAGTATTCCGTTATATTATTTTATTGTAGCTTACAAAATCAAAAATAATTTTTTATTTCAAATGAATTCACGAGGAAAATATGTGATCCATCGTAAATCCGATATTACACCGTGTGATCATCCAAAGTCCAGAGATGATAATTATATATATTGTATTAACGGATTCTGATCTTTTGGTCCATGAGGCAATTTATATTGAATAATTATCACTAACCTTAAAATATTATGTTAATTTAAATTTTCTATATTATAATAATTATTATGGAGGTTGTAATTTTAAATTTGGAAAATTTATTTTAGAATATATTCAAGAAGAATTAATTTAATGTTTATCTTCTAAAAGAAATTTCTACACTAAGGAAAAAGAAAACAAGGCTTCTTTCTTAAAAAGATATGTGATTGAAAATTAAATATTAAATGTCTCAAGTCTAGACTTTGAACTTTATTGAGTAATCTAATTGATTTAGTAACTTTATAAGTTACATAACAAAATTTTATAACTTCCCTATACAGAATTGTAATATAGTTTTAAAACTATTTATTTCCACTCTAATTTGACAAATTCAATTGACCCGATCAAAGATCAAAACTTATGAGAGGAACAGATAACCTTTTTTATTTTTATAAAACTTTATTTTAAAACCCTTATAATGATTCTTGGTTCAGCGTTTATTAGATAAAAATAAAAAAAAAAAATTATACGTATATAAACATTATTTAGACTTTGTTGGAACTTTAGAATTAATATTTATAAATTTCGATCATTTTATAATATTGTTTTGACAGTGAGAAATAATATTTTTAAAATTTTCCTCTATTCAAATACTAATATGAAGATAGATTATATCGTATTTACACAACATAATCCTATTATTTGGAGAGAATCGACAAGTGGAAACATAGTTCTTGCAGAACATTTGCAAATGCGATTAGTACACAATATACTGTATATGCTTACTATTTGAATAAGCGATTTGCAAAAAAATATTCTTTTTCTTTTACTATTTAACACGTTTATACATCTCTTGTTAATGAAAAGAAAAATTGTTGTAGTAATATTTTTAAAATTAAATTAATTATTTAGTCTTAATTTTAAAAAAATTTAGAAATAATAAAAATTTGCGATTTTATGACCTTTGTGACAATTGAAGTTTTTATGACTGATTTTATAACTTTTTGTTGTCTTACAATAATTATGTCAAAATTTCAAATCAAGAAAATATTTCTTCTAACCTAACCTTTGATTTTTAATATCACGTGTAAAAATGACGCTAAAGAGTTTTGTGTATATTAGACCTCGAACAAAGTCCGTTTGAGCGGCGATCGATGCTGATGAGAATCCTCACCTTACTTTTGCTCTCTTCACCGAGAGTATATATATATATGTATATGTTTGTGGATAAGATTAAACGGGGCCACAATTAAAATTCAAAAACCTATTTCAAATATTTTGCCTTCTTTTTTTAAAATTGAATGTCATAAAATTGAAAATTATTTTTAAAAATAAATTTTAATTATTCTTTAAATTCTTTTTTCTAGGGAAATGAACGGTTTTTGGATAAGTGGTGCAATCCATGCAATTAAGGCCTTATCTTATGTCTATGACCTTCTCACTTTTCCCGTTTATTTGATTCTACAACGACCATGGACAAAAAGAAAAGCTTCGAGGCGTATCAAGGCAAAACCTGTGGCAAAAAGCGAACATTCAATCACCTACAGGAGTATCGATTCACCAAGATCGATACACATTCACCTCGAGTCACAGAAAATCGATACAATGGAGAAAATGTTAAAATTTGTTGCCAATGAACACAAAGGTAAACGTTGTCTTGGCACACGGCAAATTCTCGCCGAGGAGGATGAACTCCAACCAAATGGACGAGTTTTCAAAAAGGTTCGTGATAAAAATAAAATTACATAGGGACAAAAATTTGAAAAAAGAGTTAACAATTTAATTACACGGTAAAAAAAACAATAAAAGAAACTTTTTTATGAAAATTTTAGTAAGACCTCGAAATAGACCCCATCATTGTTTTTTGTTAATTATTATTTATTCATCATTAATATAAAACAACCTTTTTCCCTTGAAAACGGCTTCACTTTTTTTTATATTTTCTTTTATATCGCCAGTTTTCAATAATATATTATTTATTCATCATTAATATAAAACAACCTTTTTTCTTCTATCCTCCTTCGTGTCCCCAGTCATCTGAAACAAAAAAAAATGAATTAGAAATAATCGCTTATAATTAAAAAAAAATTTTGTAATAAAACAATTGTTTTTTTACAGTACAAAATGGGAGAATATAAATGGAAAACATTTATGGAAGTGGAAAAAATGGCAACGTCCTTCAGTCGTGGATTAAGAGTACTTGGTTTAACGACAAAGAAGAATATTGTAATTTTTGCTGAAACAAGAGCAGAATGGATGATTGCAGCCCACGCATGTTTTAAACAAAATCTCAGTGTCGTGACAATTTATGCAACATTAGGTGACGATGCCATTGCACATGGCGTTAATGAAACTGAAGTTGATACCGTTATAACTAGCCATGAATTACTGCCAAAGGTCAAACGTATTCTTGCACGTTTAGCGGAAGTGAAAAATATTATTTACATGGAAGATCAACTTAAGCCAACTGATACTAATGATTTTAAGGTTGGAATTTAAATCTAAACAATTGAAAATTTAAGTATTTAGTTAATTATTAAATATTCACGTTTTACAGGAGGGCGTGAGACTGATTCCATTTTTGGAAGTGATTAATACGGGAAATTCATCACAAGTGGAATTGGTATCGCCAAAAGGCGATGACACAGCAATTATAATGTATACTTCCGGTTCAACTGGTGTACCTAAAGGTGTGTTACTTTCGCACAAAAATATGATCTCAACATTAAAAGCATTTTGCGATGCAATTCATATTAGAAATGATGATGTATTTATGGGTTATTTGCCATTGGCGCATGTTTTTGAATTACTTTCCGAAAGTGTTTGTCTATTGACGGGAGTTGCTATTGGCTATAGTTCACCACTTACAATGATTGATTCGAGTAGTAAAATTCAAAGAGGCTCTAAAGGCGATGCTTCTGTACTTCATCCCACTTGTCTTACTGCAGTTCCAGTAAGTAAAATTTTTCTTTGAAAAAAAATTTTTTCTTGAGAATTATTTCGACGAAGAATAAAAATGGGATTTTTTTTTTTTACAGCTAATTTTAGATCGAATATCAAAGGGAATTAATGAAAAGGTGAAAAAATCCGGACCCTTTAGACAGGCGATATTTAATTTTGCCTATGAGTATAAATTAAAATGGACAAGACGTGGATATGATACGCCATTCTTTGATAAATATATTTTTGGAGCAGCGAGACAAGTATTGGGTGGTAAAGTTAGGCTTATTTTTTCGGGAGGAGCACCATTGAGTCCCGATACTCATATGCAGGTGAAACTTTGCCTTTGCGTTCAGGTTATTCAAGGTTATGGACTCACTGAGACAACATCGTGTGCAACTGTTATGGACAGTAAGTAAATAACCTAATTATAATTAGGCGAAAATTTCATTTCATTAAACTTTGCAATTAAATATTCCAAATATTGCAAGTAAATATTTACTAAATTTTCAGGAAAGTTTCGATGCTGTGGGGGAAAATTTTAAAAATAGTGTAATCTATTTAATTTTTAATATTTTGAATCTAAAATTTGCATTTGAATGAAAATTACAAATTTTCTCGATAGAAAACGATTCGGATAACATAACCTCGAAAATCTCGAACATAAGCTAATTTGCTAATCGTTTCTGAGAAATTTTTATCAAAATGCAATTTTTAATAATTCAAAAGTGTTAAAAAAAATTGCTTACAATTTTACTGAAAAATAATTTTTTTATTGAAACTACGAAACTAATAGTTTCCAACTATGATTAGCAAAGAAGCAATTAAATATTGCAAGTAAATATTTACTAAATTTTCAGGAAAGTTTCGATGCTGTGGGGGAATTAATTGTTGAATTTATTTTCAATTAATTACAACACTTTTTATATCATTAAATGAAAAACTCACCTTTTACGAAGTCAAAAAAGATTCGTTTCACATTGAACAAGAAAATAGACGATATATAAAGTAGTCGATGCACGGTTGAGTAGTCGAGTTAATCATATGCAGGGTTGGGATGCTATTGTCCCCACTCGCCATTTGTCATAATTCTTGTCAACTACCGCACCCTGCTCTAGTGAAAATTTAGTGAAATTATAATTAAAATTAAGTTACTATATAATATAGTAATTAACAAAAAAATTAAAATTACTATATTATAGTAACTTTCAATTTTAACTAGAATTTCACTAAATTTTCACTAAAGCAGGGTGCGGTAGTTGACGAGAATTATGGCAAATGGCGAGTGAGCTTTAAGGCTTGGGAGATATAAAAAGAGAGGCATTCATTAAACTCAGTTCACATGTAACCAGGGTTGGGAAGTGAATTAAACACTAAAGCTAGGATCACACGCCTTTTTTGTATGCATCCTAAAATTTTACAATACCCGAATTGTTTTCAGTGAAGGACAGAAGTTCCGGTAGAGTGGGAGCACCAAGTACAGTGTGTGACATTCGTTTGGTTAATTGGGAGGAAGCCGGCTATCGAGTAACAGACATGCCACATCCACGTGGTGAAATTCTCATTGGCGGTGAAAATGTATCCGATGGTTACTATAAAGTTCCTGACAAAACGAAAGAGGACTTTTTCTATGAAGACGGACGAAATTGGTTCCGTAGTGGTGATATTGGTGAAGTTCATCCTGATGGTTGCATCAAAATTATAGGTGTGTTTTTATTTCCCTAGGATTTAATAAAGAATTTTTTTTAATAATTTTTATTAAAAACTTTTTTTTTTCATTGAAATTTTATTCCTTTGAATGCAAAAAAAAAAAAAATTATTTTTTACAATACAGATCGTAAGAAGGATTTAGTGAAACTTCAATTTGGTGAATATGTCTCACTTGGAAAAGTTGAGTCCGAATTGAAAACTTGTCCACTAGTGGAAAATATTTGTATTTATGGCGATGCCAGTAAAACTTACACGGTGGCGCTAGTTGTTCCAAATCCACGTACACTCGAGGAAATGGCGACAAAATTAGGTATCACATCGACAAATCTAGAGGATCTTTGTAATGATCCAAGGATCGAGAAAGCCGTACTTGAGGAGCTTGTTGAGCAGGCCAAGAAATGTAAGTTTCATAATAATAATAATAATAATAGTAAAAATTTTGAAGAAACATAAAAAAAAGTTCCTAGCCTTCCTAGGGAGAAACTAGTAAATTTAAGGTGCGTACACACCTCGTAATGTTGAATCTAGTGAAAATTTGGTTACTTTCTAGTTATAACTGCAAAATTACTAGAAGGTAATCAATTTTTCACTAGATGCATCATTACGAGGTGTGTATGCACCTTAAATTTACTAGTTTCTCCCTAGAATCTTTTTCAGCAGGCATAGAACTGTACGTTTTTAAAAATAATACTACTAATAATAATGGTACTAACAATACTTATACTAATAATAATAATAATAATAATAATAATAATAATAATAATAATAATAATAATAATAAATAATAAATAATACTATTAATAATAATAATAGTAGTAGTAAAATTGTAAAAATTTTACGAAAAAAATCCCTATCATTCCTAGGGGGATACTAGTGAATTTAGGGTGTATTCACACCTCGTAATGATGCATCTAGTGAAAATTTGGTTACTTTCTAGTAATTTTCCAGTTATAATTAACATTCTTCCCTCCCTACAAAACTTACTAGAAGGTAACCAAATTTTCACTAGATGCATCATTACTAGTTGTGGATGCACCCTAAATTCACTAGTCTCTTCCTAGAATCTATAGAAAATTCCCTAGACCCCCTCACTCAAAAATACGAAATTCCCTAGATTCTCCACTATTTTTTTTTCTTTCCTAGTGGAGAATAAAAAATTTTTAAACATTTTATTAAAAACGGCGGCAAATTTGAAAAAAAATCTATTATTTTCTACACCTACTTTTCAGGTAAATTACAAAGGTTTGAAATTCCGGGTGCAGTAAAATTGTGCGCGGAACAATGGTCCCCAGATATGGGTTTAGTTACAGCAGCATTCAAATTAAAACGAAAAGCCGTTGAGGAACGTTATCAGCATGAGATTAGTCGTATGTATGCTTCGTGATGTTGTCGAATGCACTTAAAAAAAAATTTGTGATTCGTTGACTGAGACAAAAAAAAAAAAAAAAAAAAGATGAAAACTGAAAGTACCATCACGACTGAAAAAAAGAAAAATGTGGTCGACTGCGATCATTAACAATAGTCAATTTGCACGTATTTTTGATTCGTGATGTAAATGACAATTTTTGATCGCAGTTTTTTTATTGGAACCCCAAAAACAAAATACTCTTATAATTTTTTTTTTTTGCTTTTTTTTCCTATGAAAAAAAAAAATAAATTAATTGGGAGGAGGGAAATGAAGAAAAAATTTTTGAGCTTTTTCTCAAAAAAAAAAAAAAAAAAAGAAAAGCCTGAAACTGTTTGGTTTCTCATTGTCTTCCAGCCACTCGAGCTTTTGGGCTAAAGAAAAAAAAATCGTGCATACCTCATTTTTATTAGATCAGAAGAGAAAATTAAAAAAAAAAAATAATAATAATGCTTTTCCCTGCGCACACGTGTATATATATATGTATATTTTTAATTATAGATTTATAGATCGATGAAAAAAAAAGACTCAAAGTGTTACAGTTGCAGAGAGTTCTTCCTTATTCTGTGTCTTTATCTCTATCTCATTTTCTTAATCGTAGGGATGGGTGAAAAAAATCACAAAAAATTCGATATCACTATATAGAAAAAAAAAATTTTCCCCATATTTCCAAAAAAAAAGAAAATTTTTTTATACAAAAGGAGATGAGATGACAAAAAAGGATATTTTTCCAAAAAAAAATTTTACAAATTTTACTTTTTAATTTCTCCCATATACATATATATTTTCTATATAAGAATAGTAATAATAAAAAAAAAAAAATAATCGGAATATTTTTCCTACACAAGCCGTTGCAAGTTAAGCACAAATTTTTTCAAAAAAAAAAATAATCGAAAAAATTTTCTTTCCAATCTGCGAATTTTACAAGTTGCTTTATTTATTAAAAAAAAATATTTTCAAAATAGGCAACGGTTAATAATTTATAGAAAATTATGTAAAAAAAAAAACAAACAAAAAAAATAGTGATTTACGTCTAATATTGAAAAAAAAGACAGTGACTTGACGTAAATTCCCGTAAGTAAATTTACAGTAACTAATCGGTGTTTACTTGGATTTACGTAAAGTAACAGATATTACGTGTAAAAATAAGATTAAAAATTGTGCATAAAAAAGAAATAATTGAAAGTTATTTTAATTACAGGCATATTTAACGGTATTTACTTAAGTTACCGTAAATTTAACAAATTTAACGATATTTATGTAAATTACCACAAATTGCGTAATTAAATGGTATTTACATAAGTTTTTCGTAAATTTGTCTACGGTATTTTGCGTAAATTACCGTAAAATGCGTAAATAAACGGTATTTACGTATATTACCGTAAATTGCGTAAATTAACCGTATTTACGAAATTTACTCTCATTTAGCGCAAATAAGCAGTAATTACGTAAATTACGTAACAAATTAAGCAATATTATTTACGTAAATTATGAGAGGAAAAATAGCACAAAAATTACATAAAATATCAGAGAAATTACGTATTAAGCAGAAAAAAATGAAAAAAAAATTATGTAAATTTATCAAAAATGTTATGTTTGAAAGTATTTAAAATATATTGACTGTATATTGTGGTAAGTCGCTGTAAATTATGATAAATTGCTGTATATTGTGAGTAAAGTGTATAGAACGGTATAAGTTATCTTCGTTGTATTGAAAAAAATTTGTACTTCGATAATTACAAATTTTTTTTTAACTGTTACTTTATGAAAACCAGTGAATTATTATTTGCTTTCAAAAAAAAAAAAAAAATTTGCGAAATAATTTTTTTTGGCGGTAATTAGTAATTTTTCAAAATAATTAATTAATTCGATATTCTGAGAATAAAATTTTAAAAAACACGAACTAAAGCCTTTTATTGTAATTTTGATAATCTCTTGTTCAATTAAAAAAATTGGCAATTTTTTTTTTGTAAATACAATTAAAAAATATTTTTTTTTGAATCAAAAAAACAAAAAAAATTTTTAATTTCATTTTATGTTAAATGGGGATATAAGAAAAAAAATCCACATCCTCCTCTAATTATTTAGAGGAATTTTTTTGTAGTAAGAGAATTTTTGAGATTTTTTGTTTTATTTTTTAGGAATTTTTTTTTCTTCAAAAAAAAAAAGAAAAAAATCTAGTGTGTTTGTGTGTGCGTTGCGGATGCGTGCCTTGTAGAATTTGAATGAATGAAGAGTAATAAAAAAAAAATCGATGCCGCGTGGAAAAAAAAGTATAGAGATAATTTTTAAATAAATAAAAAATAAGGTTCCTCATATTGAATTAAATAATAATATATTAAATGGTCGATTATCAAAATTCTATGTTATTATTATATAATTATACGACGAGTAATTCAGACTCTGTTAATATATAAATATATTATATAGAGCGTAACGACCAGCGGTTATTATTAATATTTAGTATGTAATATTGTCTATAATTATAGAAATTGTCAAATAAATGTACAAACCTTCCAAAAATTAATTTTTATTTTTGGCCCTATAATTTTTTTTCAGAGGCATTTTAAATGATAAATCAAATTTTATTAGAAAAAGAAAAGAGAACTTTTATTGCCGTGTGAATTACACATAAAAATATTTTATTTAATATAAAAAGTAACTTTTGAGGCATGAAATGCGTGCTGAAAACCGTATTTTTTAGTAGTCGATCTACTGCGCATGCGCAAATCACTTTTTTAGTAATTTTTATAAGAAGCTAGTTTCCTTTTTTTTACTCTATTATTTGACTTATGTAGTTATACAGTGAAAATATTATAATTTATAATGTTCTAAATGTATTTTTTTATCTTTCTGTTCATGTTACCATGGAAACCTTGTGCGCGAGACAAGGATAGAAACACTAATAAAATACTTTTCCCCCCACCTTTTAAGGCAAGTGTTACATTTCGGAGGTTTTGTATTATGTATAAAATTTTTTACATGTGTATTGTACTTTAAGGTGTAAGAATTTATGGCGGTAAATTTAAAATTTTAATTTTTAAATTCTATTAAATACAATGATATAAATTATAAATAGAATAAATTTTTATTAAAAAAATTTATTTATTTTTATTATTATATTATTTATTTTTGTTTATTTTTTATTAACTTGACAAAAATAAAGTTCCTAGGTTAATAATCACAATTTAAGAAACAAGTACAATAAATAAATAATTTAATTTTTTTCTTATTGTTTATTATTATTTTTATTATTATTAATATTTATATTCTTTATTTATTTTTGTTATTAATTTTAATTAATATTTATTATTATTCTATGTTTTTATTTTATTTTAAATATTATAATAAATTTTGTTGTGTCTTAATTAATTACATTATTGATTATTATTAATTAAATATGTTTATTAATATTTAAAAGTATTTATTAGTTTTTGAATTATTTCAAATAAGCGCGCGCGCTCTTTCGACCAATGAAAATCAGTACTGTCCAGTTGGCAATACTGCTTCCTTGGTTATTATGCAACTTCCGACATTCAAGCGGAAGAGGCGCATCGGCCATTTTGTATTATCGGTTTTTACGTGTGTGTGCGTGGGTGTACGTCGAAATCTGGTTGCAAGTGACGATTTTAATATATAGTTGGTGTTTTTTTTTCATTACAAAACAAATAAAATAATCCAACTCGTTGTTTATCGTGTATTCAGTTAAATATTGTGATTGTTTAGATTAATTAAATAAGTGCTTAGAGAAAACAAAAAAAAAAAGTGAAAAAATGGGTCGAAAAAAGAAGAAGCAATCGAGGCCATGGTGCTGGTATCCTTTTTTTCCTGTCTCTCTCTCTCTTGTTCTCTCGAAAAAAAAGAAAAGAAATATAAAAATGTCCGTTCACACATTTGCCCTTTTTTACGTAACTGTACAGCTAGTTTTTAATAACAGTTATTTTTTTCTGACATTTCATTTGTTTCTGTAAACTAAAAAATGGAAAAAATTAAATAATTTTTTTTTGCACACATGATAATTTCGGCGCTTGCTTTTTTTTCTCTGCTTTTTGCGCATAATCGAAATATCGTTTATTATTCTTTTTTTCAACGTCGCGACGCAGACAGATTGTTGAGTAATTTTCGATTATTATTTTTGTAGGAAAATTTTTCTTTTATCTATGAAATTTGACATGAATTTTTTGAAAAATAAAAATGATATGGAAAATAAAAAATTATGTTTTTGATTAAGCGAAGGGCAATTATAGGAGAAAAGTATAGTCAAAAGTTGGAATGGAACCAAAAAATTGAGATTATAGATTTTCTTTGCAGAAGAGAGAGAGAGAGAGAGAAAGCGTAAATTTATTTTTTAATTGAGTTTTTGTTGGTTATGTTTTAGTAAGTAAAATTTTGTTGGGTTTTAAAGAAATTTAATTTGCTTATTATAATAATAGTAATAATAATAGTAATAATAATAATAATGATTTGAGCAATTTTGAGGTTAGGATTCCAGTTTCTAATGACAAGGTTTTTTTTTATTATTCTTATATTATTATTTTAAACATTATTTTATTATTTTTTACTCATTTAGTATTTATTTATTTATTTATTTTAACTATTTAAATGAAAATTAATTTATTTTTGGTAATTAAAATTTTTTTGAGTTTTATATTTTATATCGTGAATTTTTTTAAATATATTTTATTTTATTTATTAATTATAATTAATTTTAATTTTAATCAGTTAATTATTTTTACATAAAAAAATTTTTAATTAATTTTTCTTTACCGAAATAATATGTTAATTTTTTATTTTAATTTTTTCTTAACTTATTAATTATTTTAACAATAAATTTTTTATTTCAAAATAAACGGGACGATTAATTAATTTTACAATTAATTCAATTTTTACATAATTTTTTTTTTTTTTTTACTAATTTTTAATTATTTCTTCATTAATTAATTAGTATTTTTTATTTCGTAATTAGTTTTACTTGAAAAAATTTTATAATTTTTTCCCAAATTTTTTTGTTTTAAAATTTATATTTAATAAAAATTTTACCTTTAATTTTTTTTTTTTTATTTCTCTATTCCTTGTATTTAAATTTTTTTTTTTCATTTTTTCTTGAAAATCCATTATTTTTACATTGAATTTTTAATTTTATATTTTGATAATTTCGAAAAATTATTTATTTCCTTAACTTTTGATTTGAAAAAAAAATCTAAAGGTACTGCAATCGAGAATTTGACGATGAAAAAATTCTCATTCAACATCAAAAAGCAAAACACTTCAAGTGCCACATTTGTCACAAAAAATTATACACAGGCCCCGGTCTTAGTATACATTGTATGCAGGTAAAAAAAAAGAATATTTTTACTTTAAATTTAAATTAATACTATTTTTTTTTTTTTAGTATTATTAATTTAAATTATTTTTTAATCTATTAATAATAATAAAAAAATTTTTTTCAGGTACACAAGGAAGCAATAGACAAAGTGCCGAATTCACTACCAAATCGAAGTAATATTGAAATTGAAATTTACGGTATGGAGGGAATACCGCCGAACGATGCAAAAGAACACGAGAAACAAAGAAATGGTAATCGTCCAGGTTCACCAAGTTCAGGTGAAGATGAACCCGTGCAAAAAAAATTAAAACCCGAGGGTTTATTGGGTTCAGCGCCAGGTGCAACAACAAATTCAAATTCATCTGTGATGTCAGGAGGAATGTCAGGAATGCAAACACATCCAACAATGCCTCCAATGGGACAATTCCCACCGCCCATGCATCCCATGATGGGACCAATGGGACACGTTGGTCCAGCATTTATGGGACCCGGGTAAAGATTTAAGAAAATTTATTTTCAATTCTTAAAAAATATAGTTTTTCATCTATTTCAATGGTTTGAAAAAAGTTTAGTTTCTGTTATAAAATTGGGGGGGAAAAAAAATGCGACAGATACAAGTTCAATTGTAATAATTGCTCTGCTACTTATATTGGTGAATCTAAACCGAGGAAAAAAAAGAAAAGAAATAATAAAAATTCTGATTCAGTTGTAAACAAACATCAAGCTGATTATAATCATTCTTTCAATTTTGATGATGCAAAAATACCGGAATTGCCAGCAATTTCTGGCAATTTTTACTCAAGGGATAGTAAAATTTCCTTTTTACGGAATTTTACTATTTCAGGAGAGTAAATTTGACTATTTCCAGAGTAAAAATTGCCAGAAATGCGCAAAAATTACAGACACATTCACAAATTTTTTTCATTTTTTTTTTTTTTGCTAGAATGATGCAAGGAATGCCGGGCATGCCACCGGGAATGCAACCGCCAGTTAGTGGTGCATCAGTGCCACCAACACGGCCACTATTTCCAAGTGCAGCGGTGTCGACCGCTTCCTCAACGTCGGTAACGCCACTTGGCGCCGATTTTAAACCAATTACATCAATTGCCAGTGGATCAATTGGACCCATTAAGCCAACATTCCCCGCTTACAGCGGCTCGGACACGGCATCAAATAACAGTCATTCCGATCCAAAAGTCAATCTCATTACAACAACTGGCGCTGCCAGTAAAATTATACATCCACCCGAAGATCTCAGTCTCGTGAGTATTAAAAACAAAATTGCAAAATAAAATTCACTAAAGAAAGCACACATTTGTTGCCAAAAACGTTTGAAATCAAAATTAAAACCCTAAAGCCAAACTTAAATTAATTATTAATTATAATAAAGATCAATTATCAAATACTAAATATGTTACTATTAATCGAATAAGAATTAACAATTTCTTTTTCGTAAATAACAGGAGGAAATTCGAGCGAGATTACCGAAATATCAACGTCGACAAATTGCGGATTCTCGTTCTAGTCAGGCGGAAGTTGCGCAACAGCACGCTGCAGCATTGCATCATCATCATCAACAGCAGCAGCAACAACAACAGCAAGCTGTGGCAAATGCTGCGGCTGCATTTCAGGATCAACAACAACGTCAACAGGCCGCCTTAAGTGCCTTACAACAACAGCAACAAAGGTTTCAAAGGCCACCGCAGGCTGTTATGGTACCAGCATCAGCCGGCATGCCAGTTAGTTCCGTAGCATTAATGGCGCCGCTCATGCGACCAACCATGACACTTGCTGCACCAGCTCTTATTCATGGAGGTAACATGATGCGACCGCCCCCCATGGGCCTGCCACCAGGTAAGTCTCCTAAAAATTCTTGCCCTTGTTCCACCCGCCCCCTTTTTTTGTAACACTTATCCTCCCCAAAAAATTCACAACTCCAATTCCATTTTTTTACTCTTACTCTATCATATCGATTTAAAAATCAACGCGAAATATATTACCTTAGTGGATTTCTCTTCGGAACAGTGCGAAGATATTTCAAGCACCAAGAAAAAAAAGGAGCGTCTTTTTAAGTCAACTTTGCTCTGTTCCTTTATTTTTAAAATATTTTTTTTTGTCAAATAGTCTTGTATTTTCTTTTTTTTTTTTGCCGATGCTCGTTTTTTCATGTTGAATTGACGATTATTTGAAGAAAAAAGTCTTTCTATTTTTAATTGTCGATTCTACATGTTGTATTTTATTTGCTTTTTTTTAAAGAATATTTTTCTTTATGCTCGAATTGCATTTTTACTATTGAATGAATGTGAATGGTGATGTAAATGTAATTTCTTTGACGAAGTTATTTCTTGATATTTGTTATGTTATTTAATATTTCTTTTTTTCTTTTAAAGAAGTCTGGATATTTTGTTTCCAATTTGTGGATACTGTGTACTAAACTACTGAAGTTTGCAAAAAAAAAAAAAAAAAAAAAATACTGATCACTATACTACTGAAGATTTATTAGCAGAAAATACTTTCCGATACTGAAATGAAAAGACAACTAAAAATGATCATTGAATAATGATTCAGGGGGGGGGATAAATGGGGATACTTATCATTATACTACTGAAGATATTTTTGAACCATAATTGGCTCAAATTTAAAAAAAAAAAACGGGGGGAGGGTACTGACTATTATACTACTGAAGATATTTTTAAACCATAAAAATGGGTTACAAATTTAAAAAATGGGGATACTCACTATTATACTACTGAAGATATTTTTGAACCATAATTGGCTCAAATTTAAAAAAAAACGGGGGTAGGGTACTGACTATTATACTACTGAAGATATTTATGAACCATAATTTTGGTTTGAATTCAAAAAAAGGGGGTTACTGTCCATTATACTACTGAAGATATTTTTAAACCATTATTGGTTTACAAAAAAAAATGGGGATACTCACCATTATACTACTGAAGATATTTTTGAACCATAATTGGCTCAAATTAAAAAAAAACGGGGGGAGGGTACTGACTATTATACTACTGAAGATATTTATAAACCATAATTTTGGTTTGATTTCAAAAAAAAGGGGGGATACTGTCCATTATACTACTGAAGATATTTTTAAACCATTATTGGTTTACAAAAAAAATTGGGATACTCACCATTATACTACTGAAGATATTTGTAAACCATAATATGTGACGTGCTCTAAAAAAAGGGACCTTAGAAGCAAATGAATTATAGGTTATGTTTACGATTTTTTGCTTCTAAGGTCCCTTTCTTCAGAACGCGTCACATATTTGTCTGAAGTTCTAAACGTTCAAATAGATGAAATTTTCTTTTATTATAAGTTTATTAAAAAATTACTGCAGTAATAAAAAATAGAAAAAGTATATATTAAACATTTACTAAATTATTGATTCATTTTTAGATATTAAAAACTATACTTTATAATAAAATTAAAATCTTGTAAAATATAATTTTTCGTACATTTTAACGTTCAGAACTTTAGGCACATACCATAATTGGCTGAAAAGGGGGGTACTGTCCATTATACTACTGAAGAAATTTTTAAAATAGGGATACTCACCATTATACTACTGTAGATATTTTTAAGCCCACAACTGGTATACAAATAATTTTTTTTTAATATTCATTTTGCTAACAGACACAAAATAATCTTAAAACTTTTTTTTAAATTTTTAATTACACAGAATAAAAAGTAGAATTAAATTATTTTCTTTCTAAAATTAAATTCAGATAAAGTAAATTATTATTTTTTTCTTTCTTTAATCAAGAAACAATTTCGTCAACGATTGAACATTTCGTCAAACGAATGGAAAAATGTTTATTTAAATGAACGTTAAATAAAAAATATTTTTATTTACTATATGAATGAAAAAAAGTATAAAAGTCACGCTTAGGATTCATCCATTTTTTTTAATTATTTGAATTGACGATAAGCTCCTTAAAAAAAAAATCAAAAACTTTTACGTTTTAACGGTGCGTTTACAGGGCGCCCGGTCACTCCTTGGTGAGTGTCGAACGAAACCCAAGTCTCTGGTTACTAAAACCCTGTTTTAGACAAGTATTACAAGGTTGGTCCTTAGCAAATAGCATGCCGTGACATGGCCTATCTATATATCTCATATATTATTATCAATATTATAATTATCATATCATTTTTCAAAAAAAAAAAAAAAAATATCATCGTCATTTCTTTTTCATTTTTTTCTTTCTTTATTTCTGTCATTTTCTCATTAATGTTTCGCTCATATTGGCTAGTCGTTCTCTCTTTTTTTTTTTTTTTTTTGTTTTATTCACCCAATTCAAATTTTTCGTCGAGTGGTCAAATTTTCTCATTAAAATTTTCATTTTTTTTTCCATATCATAAATTCATTTATAGCTGCTTAATTTTAAGATTTTTTTTTAGTTTTTTTAAAGAGTAAATTATTTTTAATAATTTAAAAAAATGATTCCGTTGTGCATTTAATGGTTTGTTATTGCACTTTAGGTTTTGTTAGCGTTTTTTTTTCTATGAGCAAATAAATTGCTTTTTTTGCTTTTATATATTTCTTAGATTAATTAATTTTAGAAAAGTAATATCAATTTTTTATTTATTGATTAATCAATTGATTTATCGATTAATCGATTAATCCATTGATTGTCTCGACCACTCGACAATATTTTTTATTTGCATCTATCAATTTTTTTTTTTTTTTTTGAAGCCAATTTTATTAATTTTTTACGCTTTCAAATTATTCTTTATGCTCATATATATATATATATATATATCTATATAGTTAAATTGAATTTTTTTTTGTGACATTCCTCAACGACTTAACCGTTTCCTTTCGCTCTGTCTTTCTCTATCTTTCTCTCTCACTATCTTTCTCTGTATATTTCTCTCCATTTTTTTTTTAAACGTATTGATAGCTTGACATTTCTGGTGTTGTGAAAATTGTAGAAAAAGTTCGCTTTATTTGGGCACGGTAACGCTCTCAGCCATATTTACCAAAAAAAAAAAAAAAACAAAAACAAAAAAAAAGTTCGGTGAATTGATGCACTTTTTTTCATGAAACTGACCTTTTAAATAAAATTTTTTTTCTTTTAAAATGTTAGGATTAGGATATAAATCTTTTTTTTTGAAATTATGCTTTTCATTTCATATTTTGGTTTGCTTTTTAGTTTTTTTTTTCTTTCCTTTTTTTTTTTATCAATTATTTGAGTAAAAAAAATGTATGAATAAGTGAACTAAAATGTTAGTTTTATTTTATATTTTAGTAATTCATATTTTTTTTAATTTTATTTAAAAAATTCAAAATTTTAAATGATTATTTTTGATTAAATTTACATTTTTTATAAAATAAAAATTACTATTAGTAATATTTCTAACATTTTCATTATTATTACTAACGTTATCATTATTATTATTATTATTATTATTATTTTTATTAATTTATATCTTTTAACAAAATTAATTATAAATATCTTTATCATCATCGTCATCATCATTATCATCAGCATCATCATTATTTTTATTATTATTATTATTATTAATTTAAGTTTATTATTATTATTATTATTATTATTATTATTATTATTATTATTATTATTATTATTATTATTATTATTATTATTATTATTATTATTATTATTATTATTATTATTACTATTATTATAGCCTAGCTTTTGTGTAACACATTAATGATTTAGAAAATAAGTCGAGCTCTAAAAACAGACAGTAAGTAAATGATATTCACATACCAAGTATATATTACTGTATAATCAGTTATTTCTTGATCTATTTTTTTTTTTAAATTCCTCATCACTTACTAACGATTTTGGGAAGATAATGGTGATTCCTATATACACGTTCCTCCTTTTGTTTCTTAATTCGCGAGGGTTCCATGCAATGCTTTTTTTTAAATGGAGACATTTTTTGATCATTCAAAAAATGATTTGTAACAGTTTCGAAAGGTTTGGTTTTTCTTGTAAAAGAATAGATTTTTTTAAATATTAAATTAACTTTTTTTTTTAATTAATTAAATATTAATATAAATATTTTTTTTATATTTAAATTAAATTTGTTATAATTAATATAAATATTAAAATTATTTTTTTTTTTTTTGAATTTTACATTTTTCTTAAATTGACCCTTTCGAATCTGGTCTCCTATAAACATGTGAAAAAAAACACGTAAATATTTTTGTTGATCATTTATATAGCATTTATTTATTTATTAATATAATAAATGCTATATTTTTATATAAATCTACTCATACCTATATAATATATGAAAATTGAAGCTCGGGTGACAGTCGAGATCATTTTTTTAAATTAGCACTGCTCAGAAATTAAAAATTCTGATTTAAAAAAAATAAAATAGACTCGGAAGAATGTATTTTTGTATGGTTTGAGGTTAATTCTACTACTTTTTTTTTCTTGTGTGGTAGCACCTTCATCTCGGTTTTGTTGTGGATTTTTTCAATGTATATTTGGCACATGTGCATGCTTTCCTTTTTAGTTCATAGGCGAAAAAAACAAATCCAACTATATAAACTAACAAAAAAAAAATAAATAAAATAAAAAAAGAAAGAAAAAAAACACAAAACAAAAAAATTTGTTCGCTAAATTAGAAGTAAAAAAGAGGGAATGTTTCACACCTCTTGTTGATAATCCGAGACAATCGGCTGCTTGCGTAGCTTATATATACATTTTCTCCACATTTAGAACATTAAAAAAAAAAAAAAAAATACTCGAAAATTATAATCCTTATAAAGACGAGATCCACGGAATTATAATCCTTTTTTTTTTTTACTGACAGAACCGTTCTGACGATCTTTGCCGTTATCTGAAAAAAAATTTACATTTATTTTCTTACTGTCCTTTTTAATTTTGACTTTAGAAATTTTGTTATTTAAAATTTCTTTTTATTGCAAGCTTCCATTTTGACTCTTGAGAAATTATCCATTGAAAAAGTCCTGTAGCTTTTAGATTTTTTTTTTTTTTTTTTAGGAATTTACGAGACAGATTTGTGATTTTAATAATTGGGTTAAAATTCTTAAAAATCGTCTTACAAGAGGAGCGCATTTTATTAAATTTAGATTTAACCTTATACTTTAGGTCTACTTTGAACCTACTTTGAAATCAATTTAAAGCTACTTTAGAACTATTTAGAACCTCTTTCGATTGTACAATATCCTTACCTTGAACCTACATTTTATCTATTTTGAACCTAAGTTAATCATAATTTAAACCTCCCTTGTACCTATTTTGAACCTATACATTGGACCTGCTTAAACACTATACGTTGAAAATACTTTGAACCTGCATAGAACACACTTTGACCCTACCTTAGGCCTAGTTTGAACCTACCTTGAACCTATTCTAAGCCTGCATAAAATCTTATTTAACACTACTTTCAATCTACTTTAGACCTCTTTGGACCCTTCTTAGACCCTACATTGACCCTCTAATTTAACCGTTCTTTGAATCTAAATTAGACTTCTTTTCACCCTACATTGGGACTACTTTAAATCTTTATTTTAATTAAATTAACTTTAGACCTACCTTGAATCTGAATTAAACCTAATTTGAACCTATTCTGAACATACGTTAGATCTAATTTAACCCTACTTTGAATCTATTTTGAACCTACTTAAAGCTGTTTTGACCCTACTTTAATCCTGCGTTGCACCTTCTTTAATCTATATTGAACCTTTATTGAATCTAATTTGACCCTACTTTGAGCCTATTTTCAACCTATGTTGGACCTAATTTGACTCTACTTTAAACCTTTTTTCGACCTATTTTGATTCTACTTTAATCCTTCTTGGGACCTAATTTGAGTCAATTTGACCCTACTTTAAATCTTTTTGAGACCTAATTTGAGCCTATTTTGACCCTACTTTAAACCTTTTGTGGGACCTTCTTTGAGACTCTTTTGAACCTAATTTAACCCTACTTTGAATCTACATTGGACCTAATTTGATCCTACTTTTCTTCTATTTTGACTGTAAATTGGACCTGTTTTGAGCCTATTTTGAACACTTATTGAACCTATATTAAAAGTGCGCTCCTCTTGTAAATATAATTAAATTCCAATTTTCCCATCTTTTTATCCTATATAGAAAAATTTGGCATTCGTCGACAAAATCTTCCCAAAAAAAATTTATTTATTAAATAAAACCCCTTCAAAGCAACGATGGATCAGAACGAGGAGTTTCTCGAAACAAAAATGTAAGTTTCTTTTTTAAATAGTTAGAAGCAACGTTTTCGTGAATAAAAACCAAAAAAAAAAAAAAAAAAAAAATTCGTTAGCGCATGATCGTCTGTCACCCGATATTGCTTCCGAGCCAAAGGATCCACGATCAAGGTTTAATTTTTCTAAATAAAATAATAAAAAAAAAAAACCTTGGTCACCCATCCTGAGGTCTCGCAGAACGTAAGTACACCACTAATAAAATAATAATTAAAAAAAATATATATATAATTTAAGCTGAGGCTTGAATAAAAAATATTTTAAATAATGCGGATCCTTTTTTAAAGCCAAAAAAAAAAAAAACCCGAGCTTTACCTTTACGATGAGGAATCCGATATAAAAAAATAAAATACAAAAAAAAAAACAGTTTTTACATCAAATAAATTAATTAATTGAAATTAATTAACCGTTAAGGTGTACGTGTAATGATTGATTTTTCTGATTTACAGGTATGATTGGAGCATTACCACCGGGTGCAATGCATCCGGCATTTGCTGCACCAATGGGTTTTCCTGGCGCTCCAATGCTAGCGCCAATGATGCATCCACGTTTTAGATGATCGCCCCCAATGGACGGGCCCAATCCACCCCTGCATTTCGTGCTATGGGCTCGCCCCTAATATTAAAGAAAAAAAAAAAAAAAACAACAACAAAATTTCTCCTTAGGGTCCGGGACCTTGATAAAAATAACAAAAAAAAAAAAACAAAAACAAACAAACAACAACTTGCAAAACGCCAAGGCACTCCATCTCACGATTAAACCACAACAGAAGTTAGCAAAAAATCTTTGTTTTTTTTATCTAATTATTATTGATTAATTAATTAATTATTAATATCATCATCGTCACATAAACAGAGAGTGAGTTGTCCGCACAAAAAAAAGGAAAACAATTTGTGTTTTTTTTTTTTTTTTTGCCTTTTTTAGTTGGACACCTCAGCCTTTGTGTCGACGTCTCGGAGAGACAAGATCGCGGCCAGGTGGCGCTTCACGTTGTCGCTAGCGATTTGTTTTTTGTATGAAAATTGAAATTTTTGTGTTCAACTTCTTTTTTTTTTTTTATCTAGTTTTTTTCAAAAAAAACGATTTTTGTTTGTGTGTGTTTTTTTCTTTCCAAAAATTTCACATAAAAAAAGAGACTCTTGATTTCTAGCCGCAGCGTGGAGGTCATGTCGCCTCAGGTTAGTCGGATATTTTTATTTTGTTCAATTCCTTTTTTCGGTGTGATTTTATCACTCAAAAAAAAAAAAAATGTTTTTTTTACTTACCTAAATGGCGGTTCAATTTTTTTTTTTTTTTGAGGTTAGGAATGTTTTTGCCATTCAACCATAACCTCAAAACAAGAAAATATGGATTTATCGTTAAAAAAAAGGTAAAATTTTCTTTTTCTTTCGATTAAATCAATTTTAATTAGTTTATTTGATAATAATTTTACTACTTTTGAGGTTATGTGAATTGAATCTCAAAAAAGAAGGAATAATTTTTCCATTGGTTGAAAAAAAAATGACGCTTTCTTTTATTGGTAGGAATTAAAAAAAGAATTCCTAACCTCAAAAAAAAAAAATCGATGGTAATTTAAAATACCTAGACTGTGATCCAATTGTGAATTTTTTTTTTCATGATAAAATCGCACTGAAAAAAACATGCCTTTCCTTGCAAGAATCATGTTGACGACGCATGAGTGAGTGGTAAGTACGGAGGGTGCTCTTAAAAAAAATAAAAATAAAAAAAATTTTTGAAACGGACACCAGCTCTCGACACTCGACTCACGCCATTTTAATTCCCACTATATCCAAATAATCGAGTCATTTTTCGATCCTTGGGGGTGTCAATTTTACTATTTTTTTTTTTTTCATTTATATTTCCATTTTTTTTAGATGGAAATGAAAAAACTGCGCATGCCTCGTTGAATTTTCGCGCGCTTATTTGAAATAATTTATTTCAAAACGAATTATTTTTACAATAAAAAAAAAAATTTTTTTTGCTAATAATTTTAGTGAAAAAATATTAATTGGCTTAATATTTAAAATAATATGATAAAAATAATGTAAAAGAATTAATATTACTTCACGGAAAAAAAAATTTACCTGAAATAGCGAAATGTTTCATTAAAATAGGAAAAGTTTTACTTGTTTCAGATAAATCTTTAGCTATTTTAATGAAACATTTCGCTGTTTCAGGTAAATCTTTTTTTTTCCGTGATAATAATTACTACTATGTAGTTTTGTAATTTTTGACCTTTGGAAACAAAAAGTGTAAATGTCAAAACTAAAAAAGTAAAAAAAATTTTTTAGTAAGGTATGTGCATTAGTAAAATGAAAAAAAAAAAATATTAGATTGGGAAATTTTTTTTAAAAATTGTAATTGACTCCGAGGATTGAAGCGCCAAATTTTAAAAATCTTTTCCAAAATATCGATCCGAGATTTTTCTCATCCTTCTCAAAAAAAAAATCCTTTTTTTCTCTCTGCTGACTGTCCGCTAAGCCTCTTTTTCTTCCTCTTTTCTTTTTTTTTTTTTGTTCTCTATCGTTACACACACCGAAAAAAAGTCGTGTACGTACTTGCTCTGCGTATTGTTATTCAATTATTATATATATATATATATATACACACAATTTCCTTTTTTAGGGATCGCTCTGCGGAGTCAATTATTTTTTTTCAAAATTATAAAAATCTACTAAACAAATTTTTTTTTCAAAATAAATTAAAAAAAATACTGAAGTTATTTTTTTTGTGATTCTAATAGTTAACAAAAAAAAAAAGACTTGGCAGGGCTGTCTTTTCGTTTTCTTAAGCAAAATTTTTGAACATGTAGAAAAGTTCTGTTACTTATTGAGTGTCATATATATTATCGACTGTTCCGAATAAAGTTTTGTGGAAAGTTGGAAAAAAAACTGGGCATAGTCTGATGTTCTTAGAAAATCGAAAAAAAAAATAGTTTATTACATTTTTTTCAAATCAATTTAATACTCATATATGCTTTCAATTTTATTACTTTTAACATATACAGAAAAGTAAAGAAAAAAATTAAAAAAAAAAAAAAAACAAGAAATAACTATATTCAAGTTTTCTCAGAACAACGGGCGACAGCCACATATTGTTTCAACCAATCACAGCTCTCATCGCTGTTGGACCTTTTCTGGTCCCTTGCCACAAGGCAGGCGATTGTTTGGACCTACCGTCTTTGAGTCGTCGAATCCCGAGTTCAGAAAAATGTTGTTTTCCACTATTTTTTTTTTTTTTTACTGATGCATCGTTAGCAAAATCGATAAATTCAATGAAAATCGTTATATTCAGAAAAAAAAAATGAAACTTTGGTTCAAAAATCGATATATCGATCAAAATTCGATACAATAATTAAAGTTCGATATATCGATAAAAATGCGATATATTGACGAAAAATCGATATATCGCAGAGTATTCGATATATCGATCAAAATCGATAAAAAAAAATTCGATATATATTGATTAAAAGTCGATATATCGAGAAAAATCGAAGGGAAAATTTGTCGATATTTTATCGATATATCGAAGTTTTATCGATGTACCGAAGTTTTATCGATATATCGATTTTTTTAACGATATATATCAAAATATCGATATATCGAGTACAAATCAATAATTCAACGTAATTAAAAAAAAAAATTCAAGTTTAATCTCAATGTTTGAAGCACTTTATTCTAATTATGTATTTTTCTTGTAAGATTTAATTAAAAATTGACTTTAATTATTAAATGAAGTATTTTTTTTTTTGTATGTTGACGTCACTCGGGGATTGTATGACTTGATTGACGCGTGGCTGGACCGAGAAACAATATTAATTCACGGTAATCTGTAAGGAACGCGAGAAAACATTATTAACCGACTCGACGATCGTTCGAAACACAAAAAAAAATATTTCAAAAAATTGATAAATTAAAAATAATTTATGAATTTAAATAATTTTTTTAATGTATTAAAAAAAGGGGTTTTAATTTAATTTAATTTTTTTTTTTTTTTGAGTTTCGATTGTTCGACGACTGCTTAACACAGAGTATTGTGTGTACAACGGTATTATATATAATTATACAATATATATATTATGTCTATCTTACTTACAAAAAGCGTGCAAGAAATCCCGCTAAAAAAAAAAATGAACAAAAAAAGTATGAAAATGAAACCAATTTTTTTTTTAAATTTTTGAATCTCCAAGAATGTCTTTTTAAACGCCTGATAAACATAAATATATATATATATATATAGCGGACGTTGATGTCACGCTAAAATGGGAAAAAACGCTTTTTTAGCAATCCGTGAAACACTTCTGGGTGAGAGACTCTCTTCAAACAATGGAAAAGCAACTTTGTCGCTATTAAAAACAAAAACCCCTCGCAGTAATCCAACCTGCAGAGTCGTAAATAGGAATATACTTGAGGTAATGTCTCAAAAAAATTTGTTTTCATTCTATATAGTTATAATTAGCTTCTAATATTTTTTTTTTCTAAAAATTAATTTTATAAATTGCAAAAACAATTATGTTTTTTATAGCATAATAATAATAATAATTTTAAAAATAATTTTTTTTTCAGTTTTTATTATAATTGTGATAATTTTTTTTTTTTTTTAATAATATATAATATAATATATACATGTGTAATCTTTAACTCACTATCTTTCCAATTTTTTTTTTCTTTCTAGTTTTTAAGTGAATTATTGTTGTTTTATTTTTAAAGAAATATTTAAAGATTTAGTGTCAAAAAAAAAAAAAAAAATGAAATAAAAATCGAATATCGATTTTAGAACCCTAGTTACGGCTCTGGCATTTTAGAATGTCTAGAAATTCTTCTACAAAATGTTCTTTTCAGCCAAAGACGGACATGATCAGAGAGAACATGAAAAAAAAGTAAGAAAATGGAAAAACATTTTTTTTGAAATGATAGAAAGAAAGAAAGTGTATGTCGCACGAGGATGTATCTCTACGAGGTATTAATAAAGATGTTGATTCGTATGAAAAAAAAATTCTGAAAGGCAAACTTAAATTCGATAATTTATATAATTTTTTTAAGTGAATTACTGAATTTTTGATGTCTGTGTTCATTTTTTTGTTTCCTGCTTCCAATTCACCAACTTTTCCATCTTATTAAATAAAAAATTACCAACATAAATATCTACATTACCGACGGATGGTTAAACAGGAAAAATGAAAATATAAATATTACCAATATAGAAATCTACCTTATCGACTGGTGGGAAAACAGTTTTTATATTTCAAAAACTGTTTTACCATCAGTCGGTAAGGTAGTTTTATATGTCGGTAATTTTTTATATGTACCTTGGATAAAATAACTATCTGCTATATCGACAGTATTTTTTAAAATGTTTTTTTCCTAACCTTAAAAGTTTAACATTAAATTATTCTCTGTTAATAAAAATATACACGATTCGTGTAACCACAATATATAATTGGAGGAAATAGTGCTTTCCATAACCTAAAAATATATACATATTCCAATATTTGAAAAATGTATTTTAATTTTCTTTTGCAAAATAATGGTAAAATCAATGTTTTCTCCTGTTGATAAGTGTATGTTAATTTTGTTACTGTTAAAATTTGCATAAATGCACTAAATATATAAGGAGAGTTGAATTTATAGATTTTAACCTAAAATTAGCATCGTTATTCTAATTTTAGGTAAATATATGTATATTTAAAGTAAACGTGGTCAAGGATTCATATTAATAAAATTGTTTTAAAAAAAAATCGTTGCTATCACAGTGGTATAAGTTCAATAAAATTTATTGAAAAAAAATTTGCTATAATTTACAATAAGAGAAAAAAATGTAGAATAATATTTAATTAAATTTTATATAGTAATTTAAAAAAAAATCCTAAAATAAGCTAACTACACCCTTAATGGATATACTTTGAAGGAAACATAAGGATCGAGGGCTGCATTGATGAATTATTCATTATCAGGTCAATGTATTTGCAATTGCAATAACAAACCGAAAGCCCTCCTCTTAACGTGGAAATGCTTCCAGGCCAACTAAACTCTAATGGTATATATATGGCTTTTCCTATACATATATATATGTGTGTAAGTTTCAGAGAGTTGTTTAAACTTCCTCTCTCGATTTCCGCAGAATTCCAAAAAAGGAATTCTCATTTTACGTCCAGAATCTTCATCAGACCATGAAATCACTTTGACGCGCGAGAAAAAAAACTATTTTTTTATTTCACTCATGTGAATCTATTTTTTTCAGGTAAAAAGAAATTTTCAATTTTGATTGAATATTATAGAAAAAAATTTATCCTATGTGACAATTTGATTTTAGAAACTCGGAAGAATTCCAAAATCCTGTTTTGGTAAATTTTATTTTTAAAATCGAGAATGATAAAAAAAATAAATTTTCACATAACAGGAATTATATACAATCCTGTTTTAAATTTCAGGAAACGTAATAACCTGATGATGATGGAAAAAAAAGAAGTTAATTGCCGCAGTTGTTTTTTTTATTTGCTTTATTGAGGTGTGAAATTTCGCCACACATGTGAAGAAAAACTTAGTGAACGTGAGAATATCTAGGTTACTATAAAATGTAAAAGATCACTAACAATTGTTTTATATATTGGTTAATAAAGATTCAATAATAAGATAAAAGATTATTTTTAGTTTTTTTTCCGATGATGAAATATTCACATCAATGCCAAGCCCCCCTTTTGAATTGTATAAATTCTTTCTGTAATTTGTATTTAGAGAGATGAAAACTCATCTTTAAACGGCTAAACAGGTAAATGATCAATAGAACTATAAGAATATTTGTATATATATATATATATATATATATATATATAGCAAGCGGCACTTGATTCAATGGAGGGACGAGAGGGGTAAGAAACACGGCCAGTATATATGAAAGTGAAAGCAAAACTTTTAAAAACCTCATTGAATCACGTGCCAAGTCTGGTTCTAATAATCCTTGTTCATTCCATAGTATTTTTATTTGTATGTGTGTATTTCTTTTTTTTTTGTTTCAGGTTTTTCGAGTGCAAGACATTTACAAAATTTGACATGATGACGTCATTTTTTATTAGTTAATATTAATAAAATGTTTTTATGAAAACCAAATCGTAAGAAGGAGCGGGTGTGAAATATAACCCATAAGGTATGGTTAGATTTTATAAGGCATGTATTTGAAAGTTAGATTTTACAAGGCATGTATTTATAGGTTAGATTTTATAAAGCATGTATTTATAGGTTAGATTTTATAAAGCATGTATTTAAAGGTTAGATTTTATAAAGGATGTATTTATAGGTTAGATTTTATAAAGGATGTATTTATAGGTTAGATTATTTTAAAGAATAGGAGAAGTATAGGTTATCTAAAATAGCGCCCCCTTTAGTTTTTCTTAATTCAATTTTCTCAACGGTGTTAAATACGCGAAAATACTTCCAAAGAGATTTTTGCAATTCTAATTTTCTAACCTTAAAACCTAATTTTTTCGAATCTAATTAAAATAATTCTGATTAAAATTTCTTTTTACCTTTTTCTTTAGCCGTAACAATTGAATTCGTTACTTAATGCCCTACCTCAATATATAGTTATCAATGAAATGTACTTTCATATTCTTCAAAGTGAATTATATTGAATTTTTTCTTGCTCAGTTCCGTTTCTTCAGTTCAATATATATACGTATCCTAGATTTATTACATTAATTACTTTTCCGCGTAACAACTTCCTGCTCACAGAATACGATAAAAGACGTAAAAATATAGAGTAGTATATATATATATATATATATATATATATATATATATATATATATATATATATATATATATATATACTGTCTTCTTTGACACAATGATTACTTCCAAACTCCCCATTAATAACGGTTTATCGAACGGTTCTATATATACTATTTGCACATGCAAATAGCGATTTTTCTTTTTTCATTTCTCCTTTATATCTACTTTTTTTTCTTAATGTTTCTATGCATGCATTAAATTGCTTGAGTATTATTTTGTTTTGCGAAAATTGTATCTCCTATCAAAAACGAACTTGTGTTTCTCCATATGTTTGCAGTCATCGTTCAATGACACACACACACACACACAGGTCATGCGTCATGTTGACCTCAATGTGTCCTTTTCCTCGCAGGTACATTTTAGTCATGAACTAAATTATTATTCGAGAAAAAAAATGGAACGAGAGAATTAAATGTTTGTATATGTATAAAATGAAATTGCTGAATCAGTTAATTGAGTTTGTCATTTAAATTAATAATAGTTTTTGCACGAGATCGCCTTGATTAGCTTTGAAAATTCCCCCTTCCCTCCCGAAAAAAGAAATTGCTTTCAATGTTAAAATAAGTTTTTAATTTAAATTTAAAAGTTGGATATTTAAGGTTAGAAGTTAGATTTGAGGTTAGGCTTTAGGCGCACAGTTTAAGGTTGGGCTAGGCTTTAGGTTAGGTTTTAATCATAAAGTTTGAGGTTAAGTTTTAGGCATAGTTTTAGATTGTTGGGCGAGGCTTAAAGTTTGAGGTTCGGTTTTAGTTACAGAGTTTCAAGTTAGATCAGGCATAAAGTTTAAGGTTAGATTTTGGGCATATAGTTTTAGTTTATTGGGCATGGCTTAAGGTTAGGTTTAAGGCATACGGTTTTTAGGTTGTTGTGCGAAGCTTAAAGTTTGAGGTTAGGTTTTAGTCATAAAGTTTAAATTTATACCAGGCATAAAATTTAGGTTTAGGGCATAAAGTTTTACTTTACTACAGGCAAGGCTTAAAGTTAGGTAAGGTTTTAAGCATAGAGCTTTAGGTTTTGGGCGAGGCTATTAAAGTTTGAGGTTAGATTTTAGGTTATTAGTAAAGGCTTAAAGTTAGATTAGGTTTTATACGCATATAAAATTAACTAAAATTAGATTTATATTTGTTTTGTAGTACCTAAAAATTTAAAAAATTAAATAACAAAATTTTATAATTTAAAGTTGAGTCTCAAATATTTCGAAAGTTATATACGATTGCAAAACCAAAAAAAAAAAAATAATAATCCTGCGCTATTTATCAGGAAACGATTTGTTTGTGAAATGTCAAATTATGCGGGAGGAGTTAATAATAACTTTATAATATATATATATTACGTATTTGACTTTTTATCGATATATTATGGTAGGATTTAAGTAGTAGAAGAAGGGAAGGGTGGGGGGGTTGTAGAATGGTCAAATCGGGCCCAGATGAGGCCCCCGCTAATCGTAAATGTTATTGGTCAAAGAATATACATATATACACTGAAAACGTCCTTCAAGCGATCGGGCGAAGCCGGTTTCCCCTTTCACCCCTTCTTAACTCTTTATTCAACTTATCCTCCCCCTTTACCCACCCCCCTTTTTCTCCTCCCGTTCAGGTGCAATTCCTCAGTATGTCGCGCTGTCTCTCCGCGTTCGCGTTTTCTGAATTTCGACCACTTGTTTTTTGCCCTTCTAATTTAATTATACGTATACAAGTCACGTTATAGAATTTTTTTTTTTTCAATTTTGTGCATTGTCGTTGAAAAATTTTTTGAAAAGTATCTTTGACAGAAAAAAAATTTTTCCTTTGTTATAACAAAAAAAAGAGATAGTGATTTTATTCAGTATTTTGGATCTCGTAAGTTAAATCGGATTTTTAATAAAAAAAAAAAAATTTATGAAAAAATTTTAGTTACATGTTGTTTTTTTTTAGAAAAATATATGTTTCTTCATTAAATTTAAAAATAAACATAAATATTGTTTAAATTTTATCCAATGTACTGTGATATCAATGATTAAAATGTTGAAAACAACTAAACTTGTTGATAATAATATTAATAATAATAATAATAATAATAATAATAATAATAATGATAATCATAAATAATAATATTAATGACATTAAAAAATGTAAATGTAAATATAAAAAAGGATTATATAAATTTTATGAATGTTTAGGGGTAAAAAATTAGAGTTAAATTTTAAATTATAGAAAGTCGTTGGTTTAATGCAGTTAGAAGTTAATTTAAAAAAATTTGACACATTAAATATTAATTGTTTGAGTTAAAAAATTTAAAAAAAATTAAAATTTTTTTGAAAAAATGCATTTACTTCTTTAATCAAATTTTATTGATATTTAAATAAATTATTCACTTTAATAAATATTTGTTTCCAATTTTTTGCTTTTTCAAAAAATAAATTGTGAATAATTAATAAATTATTATTCACGTGAGTGACAATATAATAATTAAAAGCTATTGAAATTTCTGTTATATCGATTTCGTTTGAATGAAATAATTGTCCCGAGTCTCACTTCATTGTAATGAATTCGAGATATATTCAAACGCCAACCTAGTTTTTATTTTTATTAAACAAATTTACTTTTTTTTAGGTCAAAAAATCATTTTTAAGTCTTTTATTTTTTTATAAATATTATTATTATTATTATTATTATTATTATTATTATTAATATCATTATTCCTAAAAATCTTTTACTCTCATATGAAAAAAAGTCTTTAATGGTGTTTACAATATAAAATAAATTGTTAATAATTAAATGCTCGTAAAATTTGTGAAAAAAAAAACAGAAAATAGTTTATAATAAGTTTTTTTGTGCGGTAAATTTAAAAAGAGCCATTGCATTTTTATCAAGGAGTAAAAGTCCTTTGACAGTCTCGTAAAAGTCATTCATTATTCAGATCATTAAGTCATTCAACGACTCTGTTTATATATATATTTATGTGACGATAACTGTTAGTTTCGCACGTGCACTTTTTTTTCAACTTCATTTGCAATTGCATTGCCGGCACTTTTTATGCACTTTCAACCGAGTCAGCTATTATTTGTATTATTATTATTATTATTATTATTATTATTATTATTCCACAATGCTAATAATAATTATTTATTTATAATAATAAAGAAAAATATTTATTTATTAACAATTTACAAGAAAATAAATTTTTTTTTTCATATTAAAACAATATTCCCTAGTAATGCAATAAAATACAATAATAATAATAATAATAATAATAATAATAAAAAAATAATAAAATGTTTTAAATGATAAAAATAATTATTTTGAAATTTCTTTTTTTTTAACATTTAGATTTGAGGGACAAAGTTATTAGTAGCTACCTATACATATAAAAAAAGTATACATAATACAAGAAAGGAATTAAAAAAAAAAAAAAACAAGTTTCAACAAGATGAGAGATAGATTGATAAGGACGATGATGTTGTCGTTGTCCTTGACAATAATAATTTGTCTAATTAATCTCACATTAGCGATAGACAATCTAAAAGTAAAATATCAATGGAAACAAATGGACTATGACTGGCCAAATAATGAGACAAAACAAATGTTTCCATTTTATCGTCAGGAAGATAATTTACCCTTGGGATTAGAGGTCGCTGGAAATAGATTGTTTGTAACGGTCCCGAGATGGAAACCAGGCGTGGCTGCAAGTTTAAACTACATTATGCTTAACGGTTAGTTAACCAGTAAATTTGACTCACCTTTCACAAAATCAAGTCAACCCGCAAAACAAAACACTGCGCACTTGAGTGCGAGATTTAATTACAAAAATTTAATTTTCACTTTAGTCTCACATTACGCACATAGATTAGAGTTACACTTCTCTTTTTTTCACTCAACAAATTCAGAAAGATTATATATATACACAACAGTTTCGTATAAAAATTGAAAATCTCAAGAAAAAGTGAAAAAAAATTATTTACTCAATTTTACTAAACAATTACGTATTTTACGTAAATTACGCATACTTACGCAATTTACGCAAAAATTACGTGTTTTACGTAAATTACGTATTTTACGTAAATTACGCGTACTTACGCAATTTACGCAAAAATTACGTATTTTACATTGATAACGTAACAAAAATTCTACGACGAGTTACGCTATTTATTTAAATTACTTACGTAAAATACGTTTGTTACGTTTAAATACGTTAATAACGTTTATATACGCATACTAAAAGATCGGTATCGTATGTAAAATACGTTTATTACGTTTAGTAAATACGCATAGTAGTTTTTATACGTAAAATACGTTTTTTACGTTAAAATACGTATGATACGTTTTGTGCGTAAAATACGTTTGTTACGTTTAAATGCGTGTGTTACGTAAAATAAGTATGGTTTCTAAATTACGTACATTACGTTAAATTACGCATGTTGCGTGAAAATACATATGGTAATACAGTTACGTATGTTACATACAGTTACGTAAAATTACGTATACTTACGTATGTTACGTAAAGTAGCGATAAAAATGTAATTAAATTTTTTTAAAAATTAAAATTATTTAGATACACGAGAATCGCCACCATTAATTCCTTATCCATCGTGGGAGGCACATCAATATAAGGCTGGTGAGAAAATACCCGATATTGTATCAACATTTCGTATTCGTGCTGATCGTTGTAATCGTTTATGGGTCCTTGACACTGGTCTAAGTAATATTGCCGATACACCGGAAATGCAAAAACCACCGACACTAATTATTTATGATTTGTCGAATGATCGTATTTTACGTAACTACACAATACCCGAAAATCAAAGAACTGGTGATTCTTTATTTGCAAATATTGCCGTTGAAGATGAATCATGTACCGATAGTTATGGTTATCTTGCTGATCTTGGTGGTCCTGGTATTATTGTTTATTCATGGCGACATCATCAATCGTCATTGGTGAAAAATAAATATTTCCAACCAGAACCTGAGGCAAGCATTAAAAATTAAAAAAAAAAATTAAAATTTAGAAAATAAAAATGGTTAATTATTATTTAAATTTTTAAAAAAGAAAAAATTAGTTAATAAATTTAATTTTTCAGAGTAGTAAATTTAATGTTTCTGGAATTGTCTTTCATTGGAATGATGGGATATTTGGTATGGCATTGGAGCCAACTGGTGATGGTTACAGTACCTTATATTTCCATCCACTTTGCAGCACGAAGGAATATTCAGTTAGCACAAAACTACTCAGGGACGAACAACTTGCTAATAGACTTGGTAATGTACTTATTCAAAAAAAAAAATTATCTGTTTTACCGACTGTAGATAATGTAGATTTCTAGATTATTTACAGTCGGTAAAGCAGAAATCGCAGTTTTTCTCGTTTGAAGACAATAGTGATTTCTATATAATTAACAGACGGTAAATACAAGATTTCTACATTACCGACTGAAGACACTGCAGATTTTTACATGATCAACAGTCGGTAAAATAGAAATTTAATCTATTGGAAATACGGTTTCGTCGTACATTTCCAAAAAAAAAATGGTAAAAGGTAGAATTTATACTACATTGACTGAAGATACGTTAGATTTCTACATAGCCAACAGTCGGTAAATCATAAATCTGCATTATCGATTGAAAATGTAGTTTCGTCGTTTATTTACAAAAAACAGTAAAAGGCAGAATTTATACCAACTAAAGATACGGTAGATTTCTAATTGATTAACAGTCTTTAAATCAGAAATCTACATTATCGATTGCAGATATGGCAAAAATCGACTACTATACATACTGAAGATTATGTAGATTCCTACATGACCAGCAGTCGGTAGAGCAGAAATCTACTTTATCGACTATCGATTAATGAAATTATTTACAAATTGTTAATTTTAAGATAGTTTCCACTTTTTTTTGTAATATATAAAATTTTCCACTATTTTAGAATCTGAAAATCAGTTTAAAGAATTGGGAACACGAGGAAACAATGGCCAAAGCAGTGTCAGCTTTTTAGAACCAAAATCTGGAATTCTCATTTATGCTTTAGTGAATCTCAATGCGATTGCCTGTTGGAAAACGGGTACCACTTACGATATTCAAAATCATCGACCTATTTATATGAATAATGTTACTATGGTCTTTCCAAATGATCTTAAGGTAATTTTTGTTTTAAATATTTTTTTTTTTTTTTTTGAAATTTAAAAAAATATGAAAACTAACATTTTTTTATTTCTTAAATAGATTGATTCGAATGGAAATATTTGGGTACTATCTGATCGTCTACCACAATTTATGTATGATCGATTAGATCCAAATGATTATAATTTCCGAATTTTAACGGGATCATTGAAAGAGGCTGTTCAAGGTACTGCGTGCGCTGCTGATTTATCTGATCGATCATCAAAGACAATTAATAATAATAATAATAATAATAATAATAATAATATTAATAATAACAATATTAACAGTCGAAATGGATATGGACGAAGTGAAAATGGATTTAAACCAATGTTTAACAGAAGTGAAAGATCTATTTGCTCTTATGCAATTGTCATTTTATTGTCAATTTTCATCAAAACATTCTTTTAAGTCTCTCAGATTTTTTTTTCTTACAAATTTCATTAATTACACTCTTCAGAAAAACATTTCCAATTAAAAGTCTGTAAATTTACTGCCCTTTTTTATTGTTAAATATTTAATGAAAATTTATTGCTCTCCTTTTTATTATTTTTCTTAATTTTTTTTTTTTTTTTTTATTTCAATTTATTATCGTTTTTTGTCTACGATATTTTTAATGTCTTTCTTTATTTTTAATTTTTTTTTTATAAATAATTTTTTTAAATTAAAATAATTACTAATGAATTTAAAAAAAAAAAAAATTTGTTGTACATTTTTTTTTTATTGCATTTATACAAGATCTCAAACTAATTAGTATTTTAGAGATCATGTATGTATATTTTTTAGTATTATCGTGGAAACTAAAAAAAAGTTTTCGAAAATAACTATAGTAAATATATAAAAAAAAATATGTATAATTGTACAGAATTTACCTAAAAAATATATATATGTATACAAAGTGAAATTTTTTTTTAGAGAATTTAATTTATTTCTATAAATATTCATTAATTCCTCATTAGTGAAATGAAAATAATTCACATATATGTGATTGTCTTGTTTACACTTTCGATTTCCGTTATCATTCTCTTAAATTACAATTGAGTTTAATGATAATAAGTAACAAAATCATTACTCGCTAAGATTATTTACGACAAATATGTTCTAAAAGCTTAACAGTACAAACAGAAAATTTTTTTTCGTTTAGTGTTAAATTAATTAATTTTGTTGGAATTATTTTTAATTTAAACCTTTTTTTTTAGTAAATATTTTTTTCAATTTTGATAAAAATTTGATTTGTTTTTATTATAAAAATAATGGAGAAAGTAAAAAGTTCAATACCCGGTCTTGGCTATCCATCGGGACGAGATGATCCTATAAAGTCTGGTCAAGGTTTTATTGAAGGTAGAATAAGAGACGATGGCGCTGAGGGACTTTGGAGAATTGGAAATGGACTTTACGATTTGACAGATTGGGAAAAATTTCATCCAGGAGGTTCTGAGTGGATTAATCTTACAAAGGGAACCGATATTACCGAAGCTTTCGAGGTTTGAACAAGAAGTTTTTTAATAAAAATTTTCTAAAGTTTTTTTTCAAAAAAAGTCAGAGTCGGTAATAAATGGTTCGTGTCCGTACTAAATTTTATTTAATTTGAAAGGTTTGTGTCTCAACTAAATGGTTCTGTTTCGTGCTAAAAATTTATTTCTATGTCGGTATTAAATGGTTCTGATCTTTGCTAAATGGTTCATTTCCGTACTAAATTTTATTTCCTTATTCAAAAGGTTTGTGTCTAAACTAAATGGTTCTGTTCCGTGCTAAAAATTTATTTCTTATGTCGGTATTAATTCGTTCTGATCTGTATTAAATAGTTTTTGTCTAAAATAAATAGAAAACTTTTTTTTTACTTATTTTAAAAAAAATTATTTTCCATTTTCACTAATGTTGTAAAATAATTATTGATTAAAGGTACACCATTTGACTGAAAAACCACAAAGAATAATGCCAAGATTCTATGTTCGCGATGCCAATTCACCACGATCAATTCCATTTACATTTGCCGACAATGGATTTTACAGAAAATTCAAAAAAAGAGTACAAATCGCTCTCAAAGATGTAGATTTTCAAAATCCATCAAAATCGTCAAATTTAATGACAGATACACTTTTTATTTTGACATTAATCTCATCGATGATTGCAGCGGCTACAAATTTTTCATTGGCATTCGCGATAAGCGGTAAGAATATTTAAAGAAAATTTACCAACAGTCGATAAAAAAAAATTTCTCATTGACATGTCGGTAAATCGTTATCTACTGTCGTTAAAGAACTAAAACTACTTTATCAAACTATCGATAAAACAGTTATACTGTTTTTTAAATAATTGATATTTTATCTACTATCGGTAAAGAAGAAAAACTATTTTATCAACTATTGATAAAACAGTAATACTGTTTTTAATCCTAAAAAAACTGTTTTTACCTACTGTCGGTAAAAAAAGATAAACTACTTTATCAACTGTTGAGAAAACGGTGTTTTCTCTTGTTAGCTCTTTAAAAAATTATTCATTTAAAAAAAACAATTTCAGGAATATTTTTAGCGTGGACAACAATAGCTGCACATAATTATCTTCACATGAAACATCATTTTAGAATGTATTATTTTGATTTGAGTTTAATGTCAAGTAAAGAATGGCGTATAACACATGCACTTTGTCATCATCTTTATCCAAATACAATTTGGGATCAGGAGATTTATGCATTTGAACCATTAGTAAATTGGTTACCAAAGCAAAAGCCTGTGTTAAAAAGAATTATTGGTGTTATTATCACACCTTTCATTATCATGTTGGGATTTCTAAAAGAGGGAATTAAAAGGTCTTCTAATACAATTAATAAAATTTCAAAAATTTTAATTTAGATCTACTTTACCGACTGTAACTAAAATTAAAACAGTTGTTAAAGTAGAAAAAATTACTTAACCAACTGTCGGTAAAGTAGAAAAATTACTCAACCAACTGTCGGTAAAGTAAAAAAAATAACTTGATCAACTGTCGGTAAAGTAGGACAGCATTTTAACCATAATAAAAAACACACCTGTCGGTAAAATTTTTTTCAAAAATTAATTTAATTAATGTAATTATATGCAGGTACTACTTGGTTTACAAAGTATGGAAAAAATTCGAATTTAGAGATTTAGTGCCACTTTTTTTGCCACTATTATTATGTTTTGTTGCACCAAATCCAATATCAGCTATTAAAAGTTGGATGATTATTATTTTTTGTGGTAGTTTTGTTTTCTTTTGCATTGGAATAAATGCTGCGCATCATCATCCTGATATTTTTCACGATGGTGATATTTACAGGTAACAGTAAAACTAGTTCTAACACTGATAAAAAAAATTATTATTTTACCAACTGAAGATAAAGTAGATTTCAACATTATCAGCGATCGGTAAAGTAGATATTCTACTTTATAATCTGTCGGTAAAACAGACTTTTTTTTTCACAGAAAAGACCTCGATTGGGGACTATTGACAATTGACACTGTTCGTGGAAGAGATATAATTGATGAATCATCATTTTTGACATTGACAAATTTTGGTGCACATATTCTACATCATTTATTGCCAACAGTTGATCATGCATATTTACCACTTTGTCAGAAAGCATTTAACGATACTTGTAAAGAATTTAATATTAATAGTACTGATAAATTTAATTCATTGGAATTAATAAAGGGACAATTTCTTCAACAAATACGATTGGAGAAAGTTGACAATTGTAGAATGTAAAAAAAGTATTGGAAAAAAAAATAAAAATTTCTTGTTAAGGAAAAATAAAATTTTTTAAAAAATTTTTAATTATTAATTTTTTATTAATTTTTTATTTATTAATTTTAATTTTGTTTATTTAAAAAAAATTTTCTTATGCACTATTTGTATATGAATGCAAAATATGTGAAATTTTTTGTTAAATTAATAAAAGTATTAAATTTGTAAATACTTTTCAAAAAAATTAATATTTATTTTTTTTAATTACTATGAATCAATATCTGTTAATTTGAATTAATTCCGTTTTTGTGCTTGCAAAAAAAAAATATGAATTTGAAATTATTAAGGTCCAAGTATGATTTTATCTTCCCGTTTATTCTCTCTGGTGCGTCATATTAATTGATATATATATATGTATATATATATATATATGTACAGCAACGTTGATATAGTGAATTTTTTATCACGATGCCTTGAGCGTGACTTACAATTTATAAACAGAATACTTTTTTCTTAAATAAAAAAAACTTATATATAATTCTTTGGCAAAATCTACAATCAGTCATTGATATGTTGCTTCGATGATACTAATAAAGAGATATAAGCAAATAATAGAAAATTAGAAATTTTACTGTTGTGATATGATTTAAATTTGGCAAATTTTTAATATATACAGGGAATTTTTTTATTGTAAGTAAAATAATATATTTATATATAAATAATAAAAATTATATACTAAACAATATAAATAATAAAAATAATTTTTTTTTACACCAAATTTTAAAAAATTTTAGAATATTTGAAAATAATGGGAAAATTAAAAAGTACAATACCAGGCTTAGGATATCCTTCAGGTCGTGATTTTTTTTTAAAATCTGGCCACGGATTTCTTGAGGGACGAAAAATTGACGATGGTGCCGAAGGACTTTGGCGTATTAGAAATGGATTGTATGATCTTGAAAAATGGTTACATAAACATCCAGGAGGTGCTGAATGGCTCACCCTAACAAAAGGCACCGATATCACTGAAGCTTTTGAGGTAAAAATTATATTTTTTAAAAAAATAAAAAAAATATTTAAGGAAATAAAAAAAATAGTTTTTTAAAAAAATAAATATCAAAATATTTTTAAAATACTAAAATTTATTTATTAAAATATAAAACCATTTAAAAAAAAACAATTTTTTTTATACAAGTATAAAATATTTTTAAAAATATGTAAAAAAAAATTTTTTTTAATTTGTTCTATTAAATTATATAAAAATAATAATAATAATAATAAATTATAATTTGTAGATGAGTAAAAAAATTTAAAATTAATTTTTTACAAGAGCAAAGAAAAAAGATAACGAAAATATAATTTATGTAATGAAAATATTGACTGTGTCAAAAATAATAATAATATCTGTTGTGGAGAAAAAAAATTCTTGTCATGTTTGAATTACACGTAAAAAATAAATTTAAAATGTAAATCGTGTCATTTTTTTTCTTTTTTTTTTTTCTTTTTGCTACTCTCGGAGAAAAAAGTTCAAAAGATCATGTTTATTAACTATGTTGTTCTTGGAATTTTATTAAATAAAGTTTTACTCTATTTCATTTACAATAATTTAATCGATTATTATTAAAAAAAATTTATTAAAGAAAAAAATTAATTTACTAAAATTAATAATCGATAAAAAGAAAAAAATAAATAACAAATAATAAAAATAAAAAATATGAAAAAAATAAATTAAATTAATTAATGATAAATTATAAAAAAAAATAAATATAAATATTATAGAAAGTATAGTAATTATGCAAAAATTAGTAAAAAAAAAAATAGTAATCTACTATACCGACTGCTGATAAAGTAGATGATATTCATGACCAACGGTCGGTAAAGTAGGTATTCTAGTTTATCAGCCTCGATAAAGGTATAAATATTATCGAAAGTATAGTAAATATGAGAAATTAGTATAAAAACAGTAATCTACTATACCGACTGATTATAAAGTAGATCATATGCATTACCTACGGTCGGTAAGGTAGATATTCTACTTTATCAGCCGTCGATAATGATATACATATTATTTTTTTATTTAAAAAAAAAATACTTTTATTTTTCTCCAGTCTCATCATCTCACCGATAGGGCTGAAAATCTTTTACCCAAATTTTACGTTCGTGAAGCAAAAAATCAACGCTCAGTTGCATTCACATTTATGCCCGATGGATTTTATCGAAAATTCAAAAAACGTGCATTACTTGCCTTGAAAAATGTGGATTTTCATTATCCAGCAAAACAAACAAATTTAATTGCCGATTTTCTCGTTACTTCGGCAATTATTTTTTCACTATTGGCAACAAAATTTTGGCTGTCAATTATCTTTGCCGGTATTATTTTTTTTTAAATTCACTAAAAAAAAAAATTTTTAATCAACAATTTTTTGAATATTTAATGATTGTAAATTTGAAAAAAAAAAATTTCAGCACTATTTTTATCATGGTCTGTTGTAATTGGTCACAATTATCTTCACATGAGAGATAGTTTTCGAATGTTTTACATGGATTTGAGTTTTTTTTCAACAAGAGAATGGCGAATAACACATGTATTGAGTCATCATATGTATCCAAATACAATTTGGGATGTGGAAATTTATGCTCTTGAACCATTCTTTAATTGGTTGCCAAATAAAAGGAAATCGTTTATTGGCAAATATATATCGATTGTTATTACACCGGTTGTTTATTGTTTGGCATTAATTGGTCAGATAATAAAAAGGTAATTTTTTTTTGAAGTAATTTTTCTTTTATATTTACCTACGGATGGCTAAAAGGAATTCTACCTTACCGACCGCTGGTTATTATATTGTATTTTTATATTTTCTTTTACATTTACCGACGGATGGCTAAAAGGAATTCTACCTTACCGACTGCTGGTTATGTAGATCATCTACTTTATCAGCAGTCGGTAAAGTAAATATCTTTTCATAGCAAATTTTTTGGTATTTTTAATAATAATTTTGTTTTTTTTTTTGCTTACAGATATTATCTCGTTTTTCGTGTATGGAAAAAGTTCGATATTAGAGATTTAATTCCCTTTATTTTACCACTGTTAATGTGTATTGTAGCGCCAAATTTTGCAACTGCTATCAAAACATGGATAATTATTATATTTGTCACTAGTTTAATTTTTCATTTTATTGGATTTAATGCCGCTCATCATCATCCTGATATTTTTCACGATGGTGATATTCCGAGGTTTGGAAAAACAAATTTTTTTTAATTTACAAAAAAAAATTTCAATAATTTTGCAAATAAAAAAAAATTAGAAATAATTAAATTGGCTAATTTTTCTTTTCTTTTTTTTTTTTTTAAGAAAAGATCAAGATTGGGGTCTATTGGAATTGGATGCTGTGCGTGGAAGAGAAATTGTGGACGATTCACTATTCTTGGCGTTAACTAATTTTGGATCGCACACGCTACATCATCTTTTGCCAACTGTTGATCACGCATATTTACCTCTCTGTTTAGATGCATATTATGAAACATGCAAGGAATTCGGATTAAATCCCGATGACAAGATGACCTACTGGCAACATGTCAAGGGTCAATTTCAACAACTAACACGCATTGAATCCAAATATAATTCAAGATAAGACAATTTTAATTTTGTCATACACTATATAGTGTAATATAAATAAAAGTGTATTTTAAATTTAAAAAAAAATTAAAAAAAAAAAAAATAAATGATGATAAATAATAAAATTTTTGCAAAAGAAATTCTTAGAAAGATCTAATTTATAAATATGATGACACATTCCCTGGAATTTGTTGCAGATTATCAATTATTATGATAATGGCAAATATTTTTGTTATAATAATAATAAAAATAATAGTAATAATAATAATAAAAAAAAAATAATAATAATATTCCCTAATAATAGCAATACTAATAATAATAAATAACTTAAAAGTCCGTAGAAAGTAACTAAACTAGTCTATTGCAGAATCAGCTTAAATGGCAACGTTCTATGTATTCTACCTTCCCAACCCTGCTATCATCGGAGGATCTTTTTCAATGTAGAGTAGCAAATAGAATTAATTCGTATTATTTATGAGTAAATATATTCATATAAAATAAAAAAAATATAAACAGAAGTTAAATTATTTGATTAAACTACAAATTAGGTTATGTTTATTTAATTTTTATTAACGAAAAAACAATCATTCGAAAACAAACACGTGATACAGATATAACCTCAAAATAATATTTTTCGAAGTTTACGTTTATTCTATTTTCTATTTTATCTATATACATTGAGGTCCAAAGTGATAAAAAAAAAAAGTTTTGTTTCATATCGAGTCTATTAATATATGAAATTATTCTTGAGATATTATTATCTCAAAACGCCTCCAATTAAGGTCCAAAGTGACAAAAAAAAAATTCTTTTGTTTTATATCGAGTCTATTAATATAATCAAAACACATCCAGTAACATGAGTGCGGAATATAGAAGAAAAAAGAAATTAATTTTTTAATCTAGAAATTAGTCTTTAAAAATTAAATGTAGGTTTAAAATATATTTTTTTTAAATTTCAAGAAAATAATTACAGTACATTTTATCTACGTTAATAATTAATACTCTTAATTTATGAATACTATCATTATTATTTTTAATATAGACTTATTTTAAATATGTTAAGTTCTGTTTCTAAATTATTTATATTATCAAAAAAGTAAATATTAATTATTTAATTTAAAAATTTTTTTTTTTTTTTGTAAAGGGCACAAGCCAAATAAAAAATTTCGGAATAGGGTCACACAATAATATATATAATAAGAATTAATTTCTTAACTTTATTTATTGCTTATTTACTTTAATAAATACATATTTCGCTTTTTTTATAAATTAAATTACGTTATAAGGATAGGATAGCAATTGACGACACAGTGATGTTTTTTTTTTTTTTTTTTTTTGATTTGCTTACATTAAATGATAAAATTTACGACGTTATTATAACCATCTCTCTCATATGTTGGCTACTCGCCTCTCCTAGAACTTTTTTTTTTTTTATTTAAGAGTTGTTATTAAAAACCTTTCTTTCGGTTCTCGCTATCGTTCTCTATTTTTTAATTTTCACGTTCTAATCCTCTTTTTTCCCCTGTCACCTTCTCCCTACCCACCCCTAACCCCCAGAAAAAAACCCCTTTGATGAAATAATCGCCCAGTGTGACGTGTCGATTCGTCAACTAATGCGATTAAACGACAAAAAAAAAAAAAATTAAATGTCCTGTCTCGAAATGTTCTACTTGTTCCTCATCGACAATTTTCTTTTTTTTTTTTTCTTAAGTCTGTGCCTTCACCCTCGTTTCTCTAAAAACACGTGATGCGAGCGGTGATGCGAGAAATTTGTCTCGGTGATAAAAATGTTGTGTGCGTGCGTGTGAATTCGATGATGATGTGATGATTTAATTATTGTTGTTGTTTTGCAGGTGGGATGACGTTTCGTTGACACTTAAACGATGATTTTGAATTTAAACGGATGTTGTTGATGCGTTTTAAAATTCACCGTCAGGCTGCAGGTCGAAGCGTGGTGGGAATGCGGAACCGTCGAACTGGGGTTTGAACGCAGGTCGATGTGGCTGTAAATAAATTATTTCGTTAATTTTTTTTTTAAGGACAAGAAAATAAAGGGTCAATAGGAAATTATGGATCAAGAGTTAGATGTTTTTGAAATGTTGGATTTAGTCCTTTAATAATTTTTGGAGTTTAAATGAATTTGGACTTTTTTTTTTGATTAATTGACAAATGTATCCTTTTTCTAGAAAAGGTTTTTTTTTAAGGTACGTTGTTTGTAGAAGATGATATTTCGCACGTTCGTTGTGTGTTTTTTTTTATGGCTTCGTCTAATTCTAGAATAAGCTCAGAGGATGACACGGAGGGTCGTGGTACCTCTGTTAAACTCTAGATTCCCCAAAAGATGAAACGGGAATAACGATGAAGAATTCACATGAATATTATTAACTATAAGGGACACAATAATGATTTCCTCTCCGACGAGGAAAGGATGACCAGATTTTTTAGGAAGGAAAAATATTTTTTTTTATTTGGATAACTTCATTTCCCGCGCGTCTCTAGGTTGGAAAAAATAATTTCTTACGGTTACCAAAAAAAAAAGGACGTCTGATCACCCTGTTTTATAAACACACACACGAATTTTTTTGTTCTCGGACTTACATGTGTTATTCCAGCGCGGCAGAAGGTGCCTTACGAGGCTTCTGTCCCTAATGAGGAATAAATTTTAATATATCAATTCTACCGATTTGAAAATTAATCGCGAAAAACCCTGGCGAAATTTAAAAATTAGATTTATAGATTATAGAATATTTAGATAATTAGGGATTCTTACCACTGGGCTGAGACCACGTGCGGCACTGCCTCCACGTCCCTTGGTACGGAACTTGGTGATTGCTTGTTCAGCGAGATCTGCCCTCTCTTCTGCCTCCTCGAGTTCTTGTTGTGCCTTACGGAACTTGGCAAGATTGAGTGCTGCAATCTCTTCAGCCTCTTCAATTTGCCTCTTGTACGTTTTGATCTTCTGTTGCAATTTGTCCACCAAGTCTTGCATACGTTCGTGATTCTTGCGATCCTCATCAGCCTTAGGACAAAAAACAGAATCGTCAAACAAGGCGAACAAATATTTAAAAATTTAAGTAGAATACAAACCTGGAAGCTGAGCTCCTTGATGCGACGTTCTGATTTACGGAGATTCTTCTGTGCGTCCGCGTGTCTCCTTTGTTCACCATCCAATTCATTCTCCAATTCACGTACACGTTGTTCCAATTTCTGAATGGCTTTCTTGCCTCCCTTGAGTGCATTGGCCTCAGCCTCGTCAAGACGAACTTGGAGGTCTTTGATTTGTGTCTCCAGAGCCTTGCGGAGTTTCTCCTGAGTTTGAGCGTGATCTTGTTCGGCTCGGAGTTCATCGGCCAGTCTAGCGGCGTCGACCATTGCCTTCTTTGCCTTCTCCTCGGAGTTCTTGGCCTCATTGAGTAATTCATCGAGGTCGGACTGGAAGAAAAGAAAAATCCATAAGGACCTAAGTACTACAGGACTTCGCTTCCTAAGCTAAATCTCCTGGTCTTAAGGATTCCTAAAGTCTCCGTTTCCTTTTGGAATCGAAAACTCCTAAAGAGATTCCTTAAGGACTTCGATTCTTTTGGCTAAAACACCTGGTCTTAAGGCTTCCTAAAGTCTCCGATTTCTTTGAGAACCTAAAACCTCTAAATCCTTAAGACTCCTTAAGGACTTCGATTCTTTTGGCTAAAGCTCCTGGACTTAAGGATTTCTAAAGTCTCCGTTACCTTCAGGAATCGAAATCTTCTAAAGAAACTCCTTAAGACTTCTAAAGACTTAAGACTCTTTAAGGACTTCGATTCCTTTGGCTAAAGCTTCTGTTCTTCAGGATACCTGAAGTCTCCGCTTCTTTCGGGAATCGAAGTCCTCTAAAGAAACTTCTTAAAACTTTTTAAGACTCCTTAAGGACTTCGATTCCTTTAGCTGAAACCCATGAACTTAAGAATTCCTAAAGTCTACGTTTATTTCCGGGAACCGAAAACTCCTAAAAAAAATTCTTTACAACTCCTTAAGACACTCCTAAACATCTTCTGTACAGCTAATAATACTCACGTGAAGGGTTTGTAGTTCAGCCTCAAGTTTCCTCTTCGCGGCCGAAATGGAAGCGTTCTGAGCGCTAATTTCATTGAGCTGCTCGTGAGCATCAGCCAATTCTTGTTCAGCTTGACGACGTCCACGATCGGCTTGCTCAAGAAGTTGTCTACTCTCCTCAAGTTCATTTTGTAGGGCATTAGCGCGACGTTCAGAAATTCCAAGAAGTTCACGAGCCTCATCGCGTGCTCTCTGTTCCTCCTCCAATGCTGTTTGAACATCCTTAAGTTGCTGTTGATATCTCTTAATATTCTTCTGTGCCTCTGCATTCGCCTTATTTGCATGATCGAGAGCAATTTCCAATTCATTGATATCGGCCTCCAATTTCTTCTTCATGCGTAACGCCTCAGCCTTGCCCTTAGCCTCGGCTTCGAGTGACGCCTGCATGGAATCAAGGGCACGTTGATGATTCTTTCTTGTATTTTCGAATTCCTCCTCCTTCTCTTGAATACGACGATCGATTTCCTGTCGCACTTGACTGAGTTCAAGTTGACTGCGCAATACTTTGTTCTCCTCTTGCTCAAGTGCAGCTTCAGCTTCCTCAAGCGCTGCCTGAAGTTCATCCTTCTCAGCCTCCAAACGTTTGCGTGCCTTCTCAATCTCATGAATATTGCGTCCACCCTCACCAATTTGATCCAAAAGATCCTTAACCTCATCGGCAAGATTCTTATTCTCCCTACGAACAGCCTCCAATTGTTCCTGTCCCTCCTCATAGGCTCCCTTAAGCCTAAACAATTCCGTACTATAGTTGCGACATTCTTTCTGACTTGCGTCAAGTTCCGCAGCAAGATCATCAACTTTAAGTTTCCATTCACCAATAATCTTATCAAATGCCTTTTGTTTCTTCTCGGCAGCGTTGGCAATTGCTGTTGCACGATCCACTTCAAGTTGTAGATCCTCAACTTCAGTTGCAAGACGTTGTTTAGTCTTCTCAAGGGCAATAACCTTTTGATTCAATGATTCAATTGTCTCCTCGGCCTCGGCAAGACGTGCTTGTAATTTACGTTTGGCTTCTTCCAATTCTTCAGCGCGTGCAACACCTTCTGATTCGTATTTGGTACGCCACAATTGTGCCTCGGCATTTGCCTTACTCAATTGACGTTGTAAATCAGCTTTACCCTCGGCTTCCTCTTCAACTTGTTCGCGAATATTGTCCAAATCGTGTTCCAAATTACGGAATTTACCCAATAGAGTTGCACGTTCACGTCCCTCTTCGTCGGCGAGTCTCTTTGTATCCTCCAACTGTGTCGTCAATGAGATCTTGATCTTCGAGAGTTGGTTCACCTTTGGATGAAAAAAAAAAATACAAAAGTTAGCATTTTTGGTGGAATAGAAAATTAAAATTTAGAGGAAAATTAAAGATATTAGGAATAATACCTGAGATTCGGCCTCTTCCAATTGTCTCAAAAGATCGCTGTTCTCAATGGACAATTTCTTCTTTGCCGCATCAAAATCGTTCAATGTACGATTCACTTCCTCGAGTTTGCCCTGTGTCTCATTCAATTGATGTTGCAATTGTTTGGCGATCTTCTCTTGTGCGGCCTATTTAACATTTTTTAAAGTTGAGATAAAAAATCTTTTTTTAGCTTCGGTCCACATTTTGGACCAGAATTCCACGGGGCAACATTTTGGTGGGGGGTGGGGAAATTAAAAAAAAATATTTTTTTTTATTTAGATAACTTCATAAAACATTGGTTTTTAATTTAATTTCATTTAAATTTCCCGCCGATGAGTAATTCATGGATTGGCCGCTCGGAGCGCCACTGTTGAGTAACATAGTTACAATCTCCATTATTATTTCGCCAGTCTTGGCGAAAGGTTACAAAAATATTTCTTTTTATTCAGATAACTTCATAATAAAATTGATTTTCAAACGAAGAGTTTTTTGAAAACCTGTTTCAAAAACTAGTTCTTCGTTTTGTGCATCCAAAAAATAGTACGTAAAACTTTTAATTTCCCAACCACCAAAATTTGGTTCCTCTTTTTGTTGCCCTGTGATTGGAAAACCAAAAAAAAAACCGAATCATGTTAAAGCAAGCAGGAAGCACCTCGAAAAAAATTAATTACGTAGAGAAAAATCTCCGATTCTTCATAAAGTCATCCATCCACTGCGTTGTTATCTGCGTTAGTATGCCATTTTTTTCGGAACAAAATAGGGAAACAGAACATTACCTTCTCGTTGCTAAGATGATCAACAGTTGCACGGAGATCATTCAATTCACTGAAGTACTGAACCTTTTCCTTTTCAATCCTGTTTTAAGAAGACAAGGGATAATTAGACATTCAAAGGAATTGTTAAAAAATTGTTAAAAAAAACATTAATTGCTGTAAAGGAAATTCATTAAAATCTAAAAAATCAGGTAAGGGGGATTCTTAGTCACGTTCTTTTGTTTCTTTAAGGAAAACTATTCCAACGACACGTTTCTAAATCCTCAAAAAAAAAATTCGGGTCTTGTACCTTCTCCCTGGCGACGACATCGTTGGCCGCACGTGCGTTGTTCAGTTCAACGTGGATGTCATTGCGGCCTTTTTCGGCCCTATTATCAAATAGATTTAAATTTAAAAATTTGAAAAATTTAAAAAACGCGACCTTCCTTTTTGAATTTTTTTTTTTTGGGAAATTAAATAATTTCTACTTGCCTGGCTTTAATTTTGTTGAGTTGATCAATTTGTTCTCCCATTTCGGCAACGGCGTCATTATGTTTTTTACGTAGAATTGCAAGGGCGGATTCATGTTGAATATTTGCTTCCTCAAGATCACGGCGTAATTTACTTAATTCAGCCTCACGTTTTTTGTTTAATTCAATTTGTGCCGATGTTGCGCCTCCAGCTTCCTCAAGTCGTTCACCAAGTTCTTCCAATTCACGTGCAAGATCGCTGCGTTGTTTTTCAGCTTTAGCACGCGCTTGACGTTCGGCTTCAACTTCCTCTTCGAGTTCCTCAATTCTTGCCTGTAGTTCCTTAATTTGTTTCTGTAATTTGCCAACCAATGATTGTTCGTCTTCCAATTTTGCCGTTAATGATGAGAGTTCCTTGTCCTTTCGTTGTATTGTTTGTTCCAATTCTTTTTTGTTTCTTTCAAGATCGGCGACGGCCTCTTGAGTTAGTTTGAGATCGCCTTCAACCTTTCGCTTACATTTCTCAACATCGGCGCTGAAATCGAAATTAAAAATTGAAATAGAAAGTCAAAATCGAAATAGAAAATAAAAAACGAAAATTGTAGTAAATACGTACCGAACTTTCTTTTCGCGTTCCAATGTGTCTTCGAGTTCATCGAGAGTTTGTTCGAGCTTGACCTTAACTTTGGTGAGATGGTTAACCTTATCCTCAGCGGCTTGAAGTTCCTCGGCTGTCTTTTGATTAACTTCGCCTTGATTCTTCTTTTCTTTGTTCAACTTATTGATCAACTCATCTTGATGTGCAATTTCTTCATTTAGATTCCGAATTTGATGATCTTTGGTAGCCTTATCCTGCTCCGATTTCTGAATCGTTAATTCCAAATCCTCGATGTCTTTCTTCAAACCCGAAACCTCTTGTTCCAATTTCTTTTTCCCTTGGAAGAGATTGTTTCTCGCCTCCTCCTCTTGGGTGAACCTATCAGTGATGTCCTAATTGTAGAAAAAAAGAAAAATTATTTGAATGACGTAATAGCCTTGAGAAAAGGGGGGCTAAACGTTCGAGGCCTAATATTAGGATTGGCTAACTATGGAAGGAATATTGGCACGTTACAGGTGAGTCTCTCGATGATGATTCGTCATCTCTGACAACGGAAGTAGGGCCAAGTGTGCGTCATCTTCGTCATTAATAAGCGCCACACCTGTTACCTCTTCTTCTTCTTCTTTAAAACCAAAAGGAAGAGGAAGAAGAAGAAGAAGAAGAAGATACTACCACGCCTACTTTTAATAAACCTGGAATCTGGGTTTTCCGTTAAATTTAGAAACATTCTCCCCTCGAGGTTACACACACCCTAAATGGAGCATTTAATATATTTTTACGGTTCATGAAAAATCATTGATTTCAATTATAATCCGATTTGATGAAAAAAGTAATTAAAAAAAAATACTTTACTAATTTTGTAATCGATTTTGAATTATAAATAAAGCTATTAATGGATCAGATTTTTTTTTGATGAAGAATTTATACGGTGCGCAAGTTCATTCAACTTTATTTTTGTGAGTCGATAGCATTGCTCTACTTTTTTTTTGATATGCGTCCTAATTTTTTTTTGCTCAGCCTCTTAATGCCGAAATCATCTAATAATAATCAAATGTCAATGATTTTATTTTGCAATCAAATTTAGAACAAATAATTATCATTTTCAACGATGTTTAGATTCCAAATATACGAGCATTAAAATTTAATTACAATTCCATAAATTTTAGAATGGAAAAATTATATTCAAATAATTTTTTTTTTTTTGATTTTGTATTAATTATTATATTGATTACAGAAATAGAAAAAAATAGTATTAATATTACGGAAATTAATTTTGAAAAACCATTTTTAGGATTTATTTCCCAAGAGACGAAAAATTGTTACCTATAAATGAGACGAATTTGAATCCGAACGAATCTCAAACATCTTATTATTGTTATTTAGGCAAAATTATAATTTTTCGCAACAGAATCGATAGTGAAAAAAGTGGTTAATATTAATTTTTGAAGATAATTAAAAATATTTAATATTAAATAAATTTTACTAAATTGGATTTTTTCTGTTCCAAATGGAAAGAAATTATTAAATAAAAATAGAAATAACTATTGGAAATTAATTAGATTAATTATTTAATTTGATTCTATTAACGTCAATGATTTCTAAAAGGGGAAATATCTTTTTTTAAATTAATTATAATTATTGGAAAGGAAAAAAATTGTCAAAAAGGAGACGATATGATAAAACCATAGAATAATGAAACTAGATCGGAAACCCATGGGTAGGAAACTAATTCATTTCAGATGGCACCAAATAGGCGGCAAATTTAAAAACGTAAAAATAATAAATTATATATTTCCTATTAGTAAATAAATTAATTCTATTCTATTAATAAATAATTAATTAATAACTTAACGAATAATTAATTAATTAAATATATAAATAATTTATGAGTAGATAATTAAAATATATGATAAATTAATTAATAAGAAAATTAATATATAAATAGTTAATTAGTAATTAATTAATTATATAAATAATTCATGAATAATTACAGTATATAAATATATTATTTTATTTATAATAAATTAATAAATAATTAATCATTATCTATTAATAAATAATTAATCATTATCAATTAATAACGTTATTAATTAATAAATTAACTAAAAAATTTTACTTTGAAATAGTCTAAATAAAATTTTACCAAAATACGTGCAACTTCTTCGTATTTTTTTTTTTTTTTTTTTTTTGATACTATTTTGATTAAGACGTGAATTCTAAACGAATAAATCTCCACTCACCACCCACGGGATTCTTTTTCAGATTATTTTCACACTTTCTAAATATTACCCAACTGACTAATGCACTCATCACCTACGTAATTTTTTCTCCCCCTTTGGAATTTCACCCGAAAAAATTTTTTTTTTTTTCCCCCAAACCAATTTTGAACAAGATTACTGAATCTTTTTTTTCATTTTAAAAATTTTAATATGAAAATAGAAAAAAAATTTCCTGCCACTTAATTTTAGAAATTTTTATGAGAACTAATCTAAAAAAAAAACTGAGGGAAATATTTTTTATACTCTAAAAAAAGTATCGTGCGCAGAAAAATTAATTAGATTTCTATTTTTGTAGAAAAAATTCTTAAAATAATTTTATAAAAATTCTGTTAAAACAAGTCGAAAATTAAATTTTTTGAATACTTTTTTTTTCGTCAAAAATTGGAAATAGAAAATTTTTGATTCGAAAATAATTTTTCTAAATAAAATTCGTTATTTTTTTTTGTAGGAATTAAATTAACAAAAAGTTATCACTTACCGCTAATTGTGATTCGAGATCAGCTTTTTGAGCTCCTAATTTTAAGGCCTTCTCCTGATATTCAGCAAGTGATCCCTTATCACCATCAAGTTGTCTCAACAATGTTGTTTTCTCCTCCAATAATTTTGTATTCAATTCCTCCAATTCTTTACGCATTTTCTCTTCCCTTATCCATGATTCCTCGAATTTCTTAGCCTTCTCTTGTAATTCCTGAAAGGCAGTTTCAGAAATTTTCCCATTATCACTCACTGGATCCTCCATTATAATTATCAAAAAAAATATCCACTCAAAATTTTCTTTACTTTCAATAAAAATTCAATTTTTTTTTTTTTTTTTTTGTGAGGATCGTTTGCAAATTAAATTTATCAAAAAAAAATTTCGCGGTTCACTTCGTTGGGGTCGTTCGATAAATTCAGTTGTGAAAAACAAGTGCGCGATGATCAGAACTCAAGCTAAAAGGGAGGGGGGAGGGCTATGAAAAGGGAAGGGGACAAACACTTCACGTGATTGGTTCAATGATAATGATTTCAACACTTTTATAGGAAAGGGGAGAAATTTTTTTTTTTTTTTTTTTTTAAGTTCAGATCGGTGCGCGCTCGTATTCCAGACTGGCAACAAATTTCTCAGAGACGAAACTTTTCTACCCGCAAAATAAACTCAAAATCATTTTTGCGTGGGCTGCTGCAAACTTCTTCCCTTTCCCCCAGTTTGATATAATTTACTGGACCAAGAGAGAGAGAGAGAGAGAGAGAAGATCTTCTCAAGGAATATTTATAACCGATCTTGGAACGTGATCTTCTGGAAGGGGGCCGAAACTAAAAATAAATCCCACGAATTACACGAAACTTCTCCAAAAATGATTCCAGTTCGGATTTTTTTTACGAAATTACCATTTTTAGTGTTTTCTAAATTAAAAAAAAAAAAATAATTTTAAAATAACGCAGTTTGATCTAAGTTTTTTTTTTTGTTGATTTTCATGATTCGTAGTTATTTTTGTTTTCCAGTATTTTTGGCGTGGATTGAATGTTGATTCAGTTTGCAGTCTCTTCCAGGAGATAACTTTGGTTTCTTAATTATAAACCAAGAAATTATTTTATTTTTTTTGTCGGCGAGTATTTTGGGAAAAAGAAAATTATTAATTGAATAACTATTTTTAAGTACGAGAATTTTTAATTTTGAGAATTTTTAATTATAGAAATTTTTATAAACAATTTAAAAAAAAAATTTTTTAAGAATTTTAAAGAATTAAAAAATGTTTAAAGAATTTTTAATTTTTTTTTCGATTAGTTAAAACAAAAAATTTTAATTTCCCGCTGGAGGGAAGTTAATTCCTGGAACGACCGCTTAGACCGCCACTAGTGAGTTAAATAGTTTCGTTGTTCAGTTAGTTTTGTCAGGAAGGTTAGGATAAATGTTTTTTTTATTCAGATAACTTCATAAACTTTTCATTTATTTCACTTTCCTGTTGATTCCAGTGCATTTATTCAGTCAATCTTTTCATAAAATTAAAAAAAAGAAAGAAAAAAATTTTTTTTAATCAGATAACCTTATGGAAATTTTTTTCTTTTTAATATTAAATTCAATACACTGATTCATAAAATCTTGTCAGAATATTACAAATAAATTTTTTTTTAGTCAAATAATTTTGTAAATTTGTATTTTTTTTTTACTTTTTTTTAATTTTCTCTTGATTCCAGTTCAATTTATTTTAGTCAATCTTTTCGGAATATTAGAAAAAATATTTTTTTTTATTCAGATAACTTTCTAAATTTTTATTTTCTTACTTTTATATTAATTTTAGTATCTTTATGCAGTCAATAAAAATATTAAAAAGAATATCAAAAAAAAAAAAATTTTAGTCCGATAACTTCCTAATATTTGTTTTTAAACTTTCATCTTTAATTCCACGTAAAATTCAAACCCCCCCCCCAGGGTCCTAACGAAGAAATCTCTCATCGATCGTGTTAATTAATCGAATTAATTCTCAGTCGCGAAGAAAATACCTAAACGCAAGAGACGTGAACCGAAATAGAAATGTCGTAGAGAAATTTATATAGTACCAAGAATTTATTTCAAGAAATTTTTGGCTCGCCAAACTATATTTAATTCACTAAATTAACCAGAGTAAAAAAAATAATTATGTAAAAAAATAATTATGTAAAAAAATAATTATGTAAAAAAATAATTATGTAAAAAAGTTAATTATTAAAAAAAAAAAAATAATTACGTAAAAAAAGATCTAGTAGAAAAAAATTTTTAAATTTGTTCTTTAAACAAAAATTTGTTTTCATATTGTCAACTCCCGACAAATTTGCAAGTTTGTCACTACAAAATTTCATTTTGCTAAAATTTTGATAATTTAATCTGCAAACATCTGTCCTCTTTGGTGAATGATGATACATCTTTGGCACAATGCCAAGTGGTTGCATTCAAAATTAAATTAATATATGAAATGTCAAGCATGAATGTTTATTTGGTGCGTGTATACTTTGATGAAACCTTTTAAGTGGGTGAAATTTTTTTTTTCGATTTTTTTTTTTTTTATACTTACGGCAAGTTCGTCTTCGATGCGAGTTGCATTGAGAAGGGGTCTGACCTTCATCCACAACTTCCACCATGGCCATGTACGCAATTGTAGATAACGACGTAAATTGCGTTGCACCACTTGTAAGGCCAAACGTTGTTCCTGTAATTTTTTGTAATCCTTACGCGCCAAATAACCTCGCATGAAAGCTTGCATCCAAGAGAGAATCTTGCTGAGACGTTCGTCACGGAATTCTTCCATTTGACCCAAAACTCCAGCACGGAAGAATACCTAAACATTATTTTATTTTTCAAAAAAAATTTTGTTTCGGGAAAATTAAATTCTTTTTAGTATGTATTATCATGCGAATCATGCAAAAAAAAAAAGGAATTAATCTGCTTCCTATAAAAAAAGTTTATTTACACTTTAAAATTGTGATTTGGTAGCAAAATTGACATCAGTTAATCTCCCACACGAAAACTGTTAGCGCACAACTAAGAACACTTAGTGACATTTTATCAGATTAAAAATGTTCTTGCAAAATCTGATAAAATGCTACTAGAAAAAAAAAATTGCTGCAGAGTCGAAGGTGTCTTGTACCTTACTACGACCCATGCGGTATTGCTCAGTAGGGACATTGGCTGCCTCAAGGATGATCTCAGCACATTTTTCTGGATCCATGTTGTCTTTTATTTTGTTGGCACACAGAATTTTGTATCTGGTTTTGTGTGCGAGCAGGATATCAAAATAAAAAAAAATACAGTTATAGGTATTTTGCATTCTTTCTATGTCCAGTGAAGAATTGCAAAGGATTAGGTTACTAACTAAATTAACCTACTGGGTTCATTAGACTAAATTTTGATTTCAGAAGGCTAACAAAAAACATAAAACATCTTTAGTATTCAAGAAATGGTTTTTCTTTTTGAACCAAAATTCTGCCTTCTCAAATCAAATCTAAATTAGCTACACATTTACAAATACGATTCATTGCCGGTGATCCGGTTTTTGTGGAATCCTATCAGCGATAAACAAGCTACAAAAATAAAGGAATCAAAAAACAACAACAAAAAAATCGATTGGATTTGGATGAGAAAAAAAAAACTCATGCCTTGGTATGTCCAAGACGATATTGATCGCTGTCCAAACCGGATGATTCCAAAACAGCAGCGGCCGCCTTTTTTGGATCGCCACCGGCTGCATCGACCGCAGCAGGTGCCAAGATTTTGTATCTATAAAGGTGTGTGTGGGTCACGCACAAAAAAGGGCCAAAATCCATTCATTAGTTTTCAAGGAATATCTACTGTGTTTTTTTTTTGTTGTTGCGGGTAAATTAAATTTCAATAGGGGGTGAAAAATCATTGTTTCTTCATCAGCTACGTTCCAGTATTGCGGCTCTCTCTCACTCTGTTTGTGATAAATTTTGATTTCAACTAACTACAAGGGGAGAACAATTCAGGAGGCAAAAAGAATAATTGTTCGAACATCTAAAATCATCTAAATGTGGGAGAATTATAAAAGGAGAAATAGAGCATCTTATTATCAAAATGATGAGATTATTTTTGTAGGATTTTGGAATGGATCACCTAAATGGAGATCATATCTAAACGGAGACTTCTGAAGGAAAACAATCTGAACCAAATTGTTTAGGATGGGATCATCTAGGAGAAGGTAATTTAAATGGAGACCACCTAAATGGAGATCATCTAAATGGAGATCATCTAAACGGAGACCATTTAAGCGGATACTTCTAAAGTAAAACCATCTGAGTGGAGTGCTTCTAAAGAAGTTCATCCAAACTAAGTTAATACTAATAGAAATCATCTAAATGGTAACGGTTTAAATGGAAACCATTCAAATGGAGATCATCTAAACGGAGACTTTTAAAGGAAAACCATCTAAACGGATTTCTCTAGGGTAGGATCATCTAGGAGAAAGTAATGGTAACTATTTAATTGGAGACCGTCTAAACGGAGATCATGTAAACAGAGATCATCAAAACGGAGATCATCTAAACAGAGATCATCTAAACGGAGGCTTCTAAAGGAAAACCATATAAAAGGATTTCTCTAGGATGGGATGATTTAGGCGTATGTAATTTAAGTGGTAACTATTTAATTGGAGACCACCTAAACGGAGATCATCAAAACGGAGACCATCTAAACGGAGATCATTTAAACGGAGTTTTCTAAAGGAAACCATCTAAACGGATTTCTCCAGGATGGGATCATCGAGGATCATTAGAACGGAGTATTTTAGAAAGGGATTATTCAGGATAAGGTCGTTTAAACGAAAACCATCCAAATTAATATCATCTAAATAAAAATCTCCGAAAGGAGATAAAGGGTACAAATGGCACAACGTGTACAAATGGAACAAAATGAAACAATTTTCAGGGTCAAACAATCCATAGTAAAATCAATCTAAAAATATCAATCTAAATGGACAAACAATATTTAAATTAGGAGACAAATCATTTTACAGGGAGACAAACTTTTGTAAAAACCGGAGAAACTCTGAAATTAAAAATCATCAACTAGGGCTATTTTTTAGAGGTGGTAATAATCCAGGCAAAGATGATCAGATCAAAGGGTAAAAAACTAGTTTTTCGCTTTAGAGGATCGTGCAAAATACAATTTTTGCAAAATACGTGTTAGGGATTTCTTTTTTTTTTCTGAGGTCGGGGGAACAAAGTGAAACTAGCCTTCGTGTGACCAATCCTGTACAAATCTGGATCAAGAGCAATAGAATCAAAGCATTTGGCTGCTGCTATTTTTGGATCCTTTTCTGCCGTCATTGCAGCCGGCGCTAAGATGAGGTAACTGTTCATCCGCAGAAAGAAAAGGTCACACAAAATTTTTGACTTTGGGATTCTTATTGATATAAATGTAGCTCATTGTCCATTCAAAAATAATTATAATTCTAAATGATAATAATACTAATTATACTAATTTCCAATAATACTATAATTTCTAGTTGTACAAAAATTAAAATTTATAATTCTAATTTCTTGAATTAAGAAATAATAATTTTTTGTAAAATCATGCTTACCGTAGCTTGAAGTCAGGATAATTCATTCTGTTGGGGAATCCTTTACGGCAAATACGAATACCCTCAAGTACACCGTTACATGTCAATTGATGCATCACCAAATGAGAATCAATGACACCAGGTTGTTTCAATTCATTGGGAATGATACAACGTACGAAATGTGGTTGTGTTGCTCTCAATGTTGTCATCAAATTATTAAGTTGTTCCTTATATGATGATGATACAGTGGAGAAGCCACCACCTTTCTTACCACGTCCTCCCTTGCCACCAGCATCACCGCCACCACCACCCGATTGTCCTGGATGATCAGCAAAGATTTCAATCAATAATTTATTTGTCGATTTTTTGAATTGATCAACAACAGTGTCGTTCAACGGGTCCTTATTCTTTTCCAACCATCCAGTGATATTGTATGGTACCTATTTGTGGAAAATTCATAAAAATTAAAATTCCATTTCTTTTTTTTTTTGTCTCTCTAAAGTAAATTTTTGGAAACTTACGTTTCCGGCATAATGGCCAATGGCAAAGTGAGCAGCTTGTTGACCAGGTTTTGGTGGTTTTGGTTTCAAGAAGTTAGGACTCTTGCCAAGATGATTGTTGTTCAATTTTTCCTCAAATGTCTTGTCGGTGGCTTTCGGGAACATAGATTCTTCCTCAAGAATTGAGAGAATACCCATTGGCTAGTGGGGGAAAAAAAATAAAGATTAGAATTGTTTTGCCTAACTTGATTTTTGAGCCTAGCAATTATTCCAAGAGTAGCGTTTTCTAAAATTTAACTGAATTTGTTCTGATTTTTAAAAATTTTTACTTTTGCACTACGAGAATCAGTTTGCGATCTACAATGATATTAGCTTTTTTCAAATAAATGAGAAATATTTACATAAATGTTATGATTCTGATTAGAAATTCTAAAATTAGATTACATTTCTAAAATTACAGATTATGTTTTCAAAATTACGGATTGTTTCTAATGTTTCCAAAATTGATTCTAAAATTACAAATTGTTTCTAAAATTACAGATTAAGTTTCCAAATTATGAATTATGATTCTATTATACTTAAAATTAAAAAATGATTCTAGATACTTGCAATGAAAACGCTGCTACTCTTAGTAAAATTTCCCTTTTTTTAAGAGAAACTTTTTGCGCATTTTTCACTTAATTTGGATAAAGCAACGAATTGACTTTATCTAAATAAAAGAAAAGTGTGACAATAGAAAACAATTCACTATACAGTAATGAATAAAAATTCAGAATTTGCATAGTGAAAGACAAAAAAAAGGAGAATACATAAATCAGAAGGCATTTTTTTTTTGGATACGAGCAAGCCCAGCAAATTGGCGAAATATTTTTTAGGTCACAAAAACAAACGCAGCGATTGTTAAAGCATTGTACATTACCTTTTCAATGAGTTCGATGGTCGGTTGTAAATCCATACCAAAATCAATAAAAACCCAGGGTATACCCTGTCGTTCGTATTCCTCTTGTTCGATTATAAACATAAAATGATTGAAGTACTGTTGCAATTTTTCGTTTGTAAAGTTGATGCAGAGCTGTTCGAAGCCGTTGTACTGAACATCAAGTAAGAAAAAAAGGCCAAAAAAATCACACAGAGCACAGAAAGATAGAAAAAAAAATTTATAATTAACGCAAAGGAAATAGAAAATCTCGCAACATCATCTGTAACCTGAAACGAATTTTTAATGTTAGTTTCATGCGTTGGTTTTTTTGGTTTTCTGTCAATGCATGCTGAAAAAAAGGCTTTCGAATCTAGAGTAATGGCATCATTTCCTTCTGATTTTTTTTCGATTCGGAAAAATCGTTCCTTCGTTCTTGTACCTTCTCAATAAGATCAATTGTTTGTTGAAGGTCCATGCCAAAATCAATGAATGTCCACTCAATGCCCTCGCGAGTGTATTCTTCTTGCTCAAGGATGAACATATGATGATTGAAGAATTGCTGCAACTTCTCGTTGGTGAAGTTGATGCATAGTTGCTCAAAGCTGTTGAACTGTTCGTGCAGGATGATGAAAACAAAAAAAAGAGAGGCAAACAGCTGTCAATATACTGCTTTTTTTTGTTGCCTTATTTTTGATGGGTTCTTCAATTTTCGATGGTTTTTGTAATGTTCAGAAATATAAAATGAAGATTTAAACTCGTTTTTTATTATAAATTTCTATATTGGTATTTGAGAAACTAATGATTTGAGGTTTATTTTAAAATGCTTCTAAAAATGCTGCTAAAAATGCTTCTAAAAATGCTTCTAAAAATGCTTCTAAAAATGCTTCTAAAAATGTTTCTGATGTAAATGTTTCTAAAAAGTTTCTTAAAAATATTTCTGCAAAACCTTCTACAAACGTTTCTGTAATGATTTTGAAAAGTTTCTAAAAATGCTTCTTAAATGTTTCTGCAAAATCTTCTACAAACGTTTCTAAAATCTCTAAAATGATTCCGAAGCATGTTTCCAAAAGCACTTTCAAAAATCTTAACAATTTTGCGTCTCAATAATTAACCGAAAAGCAACTACTCATCGAAAATTGAAGAAATGAAAAAGGTCACTGTGAAAAAGAAAGATGTTATTATCAACCAAGTATCGGTTGTTCGAGATGTTCAAAAAAAAAAAAAAAAAAAAAAAATGGATATGACCAGGATTATGTTTGTCCTAGTTGGATGACACTTTTTGGTGCCTTTTTTAGGGTTTCAACACTTCTGTAGTGCCTTTAGGTTTTTTTTTTGGCGGGGTGATTTTGGTTATCATCAAGGGTTTCTGTATAAGGTTCTGTATCCCTTTTTTAACCCACTGAATCATGATTTTTGTTCTTTGTTTTTTTTTTTTTGAGGTGGAAAAGGATTAAAAAAAACGTTTCTGCTACGTTCTTTAGGTGGTAATGAATAGAATGAAAAAGAGAATGAGATTTGCGTGCGAAGTGAAAATACCTTTTCTTCAAACATTCCAAAAATATCAAAACAATTTTGTGCATCACATCCTGTTCCTTCTTTGTATTTTTTGGCTTAGATTTTCTCTCTTTTTTTTTTCTTTACTGGTACCTTTTCAATAAGTTCGATACAAGCGGCCAAATCCATGCCAAAGTCAATGAAGGCCCATTCAATGCCTTCCTTTTTATACTCTTCTTGCTCGAGTACAAACATATGATGATTGAAGAATTGTTGCAATTTCTCGTTGGTAAAGTTGATGCAGAGCTGCTCAAAGCCGTTGTACTGTTTTTGAAGAAAGGCAAGAAAAAAAAAACAAAATTGCAGAAAAAGGAAATAAACAGAAAGGATGTTGAAGTTTCGTAATTATTTCCGTAAAAAAAAATTCAGGAACATAGGCAAAAATGTTTCAGGGTCCTCTTCACGAAAAATAATTTCATTGCAGAGAAAGGATTTATGATCTAGCTGATCAGGAATAAAGCATGAATTCTGATGGAGTTTTTTTCTCACTGATATTTGAGAAAGGAAATTGAATGCGAGAGTACAGAACAGAGACAAAGAAAAACAGTGGACAATCACTTTATTAAAAGCGTTAAAAAAAATGTTGTAAAGCCTTGGTTTTGCCTTTTTTTTTTTTTTTTTGGATCGTTAGCATTGTTTTTACGATCCTTTTTTGATTCGAGTCTCATTTCTCTAATACCTTCTCAATGAGTTCGATACATGCGAGGAGATCCATGCCAAAGTCAATGAACGCCCATTCAATGCCCTCTCTTGTATATTCTTCTTGTTCAAGGACAAACATATGATGATTGAAGAATTGTTGAAGCTTCTCGTTGGTAAAGTTGATGCAGAGTTGCTCAAAACTGTTAAACTGTTCGAGCAAAGGTCATAACATAAGAGAGACAGTGTGATCAATTTTTTGCTATTGTTTTCAAATTCTGTCTTTAGGTAACAAAATCTAAAAAAAAAAACCCTAAGGGTCAGCCTTTAGGATTCAGTATAGTAAAAATCGTATTTTGATTATCTAATAATCTTTATATATTCTTTTGGTTGGTACTGGATTTATCCAAAAATGTGTGTCTGTTGCACTTTCTGTGTTACCATTCTAATCTGCAAAATTTCCTTCACAAGTCTTTCACTTATCGAAGTCTTTTCGATTTTCTTTTTTTCTTTTGTCTCAAAAATTAATACTTCAACAAGTGAAAGAACCTGTTGGCCGGCTCATTCATTAAATGAACGGTAAAAGAAATTTTTGCCATCTACCAAAATAAAAAAAGATTCGACAAAAAAAAAAAAATTTTTTTTGGTAAAAGTCCACTGTTTTTTGTTGATTCATAATTTCGTAATCCTTGATAATGATGATGATGATGCAAATGGGTTTGGGGTCACAAACCAGTGTTTTCTTTGGGGAATTGGATGATCGTTTTCAGATTTTTAAAATACTTCGGTAAAAAAAAGGGGGTAAAAAGGGTTCATGCTTAATTCATTTGGTACAACCTGAAATTCTCCTTAATTGCTTCTTGAAACCCGAAAATATTCTTAGGATTTGGTGTCTCCAAACAAAAATTGAAAATCAACAAAGGATTCCAAAACGGGATTCTACAATATTAAGAATCGTAATTGGTTCTAAAATTCACAAAAGGTTCTAAAATTGGTACAGATTGGTACAAATTGGTTCATTTCGGTACAGATTGGTACAGATTGGTACAAAATGGTAAAAATTGGTATAGATTGGTACAATTTGGTAAAAATTGCAAGGGTAGAAAACAACAGAGTAGAATTTTCATTATGAAGGCAAAACAAGGGAGAATCGGATTTCAGTGAATGGTCTCCAAAAGAAAGTCATTCGACCTTTTGGAGTTCCTAACCTTTTCAATGAGTTCAATACAGGCTAGTAAATCCATTCCAAAATCAATGAACGCCCAATTAATTCCCTCTTTTTTATACTCTTCTTGCTCGAGCACAAACATATGATGATTGAAGAATTGTTGTAATTTCTCGTTGGTAAAGTTGATACAAAGTTGTTCAAAACCGTTGTACTATAAAATGTTGTCAGTACAAATTTAATTTTAAAGGGGAAAAAAAAGAAATTAATTACTAACATATATCCTATTTGGGTGTTCCTGTTCATTATTGGGGATTTTTTTTTTTTTATTAATATTTCAGTAATTTTTTGATTAAATCCTTTTTTTTTAAAGGATAAAATCAAAATTTTTTTTTTTGGAAAAAAAAGTGGGAAACTTACGTCGAAGATTTCAAAACCAGCAATATCTAGTACACCAATGAAATGTTGACGTTTTTGTTTGGTGTCTAGGGTCTCGTTACACTTCTTGACCAACCATTTGAAGACTCTGTCGAACATTGCCTTTGACATGGCACCAACTGAATAGGCAACTTGATCCTTATTACGACCTTGGGTGACAAATTCATTACCGACTTTGATTCTTGGTTTCAATAAATTCTTGTAGAGATCGGCGCAATCGACACCAAGTAATTTGGCGACACGGTCACCTTCCTACAAAAATAAATCAAGTTTTCAAAATTTTTTATTAAAAATTTTAATGAAAATCGTTGGGATTAAAAATTTTTTAGTGATTCTAACCTCAGTGCCATCGGCTTCAGCCTGTTCTTCTCGGCCTCTTTGCTTGAATTTCATTCCTCCCATGTGCATCACAGATGCAGTGATCTTGTAGATGTCGTTCTTCTCCTCCTGAGTGAATCCAAGAACGTCGAAGGCTTGCTGCATGGAAAAAAAAAGAAGTTTGTCATTAATTTCCAATTCTTTGGATGACTTGTGTGCTTAAAATCAGAAACGAAAATCTAAATTCTTTTTACCGTAAAATGAAAATTATTAATTTAATACCGATTTTAGGTACTAAATTGTCATTTGGTTCTATTTTGATACCTAAAATCGGTACAGTTTTAGTACTTTCTTTATACAAGTAAAAAGGGTAAGAAGGTAAAAAAATTTACAGATTTTCCTTTTCTGATTACATAAATTTTTTTTTTTTTTTTTTTTTTGCAGAGGAGAGAAAAAAGAAGCGGAAAGTCAGAAAGCAAGCAGACGTGACAAAAATTAGCAGTTTTTTTTTGATGCTAGAGACAGAGAGACATCTAGCAAAAAAAGCATTTTTGAAGCATTGGAAATTTCACAAAAGCAAAACTATTTTTTTTTTTTTCGAACAACACTTGAGCACAGAGAGCCGAAGCTAAAGCACAAATAGCCGCTTCTTCCCTGAGGCTCCATTTTTAAGGGGGTGAAAAAATAATCGACGAAGACAAAATCGTATTCGTTGTTTTTTCATATTTTACGAACCACACAATTTCTTCGGGTTCTAAAATTTTCTCTGTTTTTTTTTTTTTTTTGGTTTTGCAAGTTGCTTTCTCTTGCATATATAACCTGTTTTCACTTTCTGATTTTCATGCTGGAAAAATTCTTGAAAATCTTTGTCAGCTTCTTGAAAAAAAAAAAAAATCAAAAAACGAGGTAATTTTTATTCTGTAAATTCCTCCAAAGGACCAAAAAGAAAAGGAAAAGAAGTATTTCAAAACATGTTATAAAAAATTTTTTCTATAAGGATTTTTGGGTGTTTCTTAGAGGTTGATAATTAAATATTTTTTTGCGGAAAGTAACAATTTTCCGAATTTAGGATAAAAACACAAGGAGATTTTTGGAATAAATTTTTGGAGTGAAAAAAAAAGAAAGAAAGAAATGGGAATCATATCCGTGGGACTTACGTCCGTTAAAACACATTCCTCGCCGTCATCAACATTGGGGATGGTAATTTTTCCCTGAGAGACGTTGTAATAGTCGTAAATGTTGTTCGATAAGAAACACATTTCTGCGAAAGATGTAGATAATTAATTTCTTCTTTTTGTGGCATTCTTTTTTTTTTATTTTCTTTTTTAAAACATCGCAGCAACATCGAAGTATTTATAAAATAGAATCTAAAAATAAGCAAATAGGGGGGGTTTTTTTTTTTTTGCCAATCGGGGAGCGGGAATTTTTTTTCCTAATCTTCTGATATAAAAAAAAAAAAAAAAGATTGTACGTCGAATTTTTTCTCCCGCCCCCCGACAGCGACAGCCGCATGCAGTATAATATGGTTATAGCAGGAAGCTGTGCGGAAGGGGGGCGAGAGATTTGGAGCTATCCTCGAAATCATTCGTGATAATTTTTTTTCCTCATTTTTTTTTTTTTTGTTTTTAGAAAATCATTTTTTTCTTCCTCAAAATTTTATATTTAAAAATTTTAAATTCCAAAAGAGGAAAAAAAAAATACACGAGTGTCAAGGTGTTCCTTTCTGCAGCTAGAAATGGACTTACGTCCGTTTCTTCCATGTCAGAAGCGTCGTTGACACCGGGAATTCTCGTCTTACCCTGGCTAATGTAGAAGTAGTCACCAATCCGGTTGCTCAGGAATGTCATTTCTGTGTGGCATTTTTGGATTTTCTCTTTTTTTTTTTTTTTTTTTTTGGTTCAAAACTCATCAATTTTTCCCCAGAATTTTACTCGTTTTGGGGGGAGGTTTATAAATATAAAACAACGCGTCGCAAGGCATAAGAAAATAATTTCGGTCAGCGATGTGAAACTTGATGCAAAATCAGAAATTAGGTTTTCATATTTGCATCAAGTTTTTCATTTAGGTTATTTTAGGAAGAGAAAAAAAAATTGAAGAAAGAAAGAAAGAAATAGGAAGAAAGATAGTGATAGAAGAGAAAAAAGTAATTTGCTGAAATGAAGAAAAATAGTGTTTAGTGATGCTGTAAGAATTTGTTTTTTTTTTTTTTTTTAGTGAATCGTGTTGAAGAAGCTGAAACAGAAGTAGAGAAATGGAAAATGTTTTTGAGTTGTAAAATAGAGACAGTAAAATGTGGACGGAATTGTGTTGGATCAAAATTTTGCTATAGCAGATAAAGATTTTCATTTGGTTTTTAGAATTTTGATTTGGGTTTTAGATTTTGATTTGGTTTTTAGATTTTGAATTGGGTTTTAGATTTTAATTTGATTTTGTTTTGGAAGTGAATTAAGATAAAGAAAATGTTGTGAAAGTTGAGAAAATAGTTTTGGTTGAAGATAAAATTTGTTGGATAGAGATAATGTTGTAACTGTAGAAGAAGATACAAACTATGCTGTTGTAGCAGTGCAAGAAGGTACAGATTTATCTGCAGCAGTACAAGAAGATACAGATTTATCTGTAGCACTACAGGAAGATTCAAATTTAGTTGTAGCAGTACAAGAATTTGCAGATTTAGCTATAGCAGCACTGCAAATAAATACAAAATTTAGTTGTAGCAGTACAAGAATTTGCAGATTTAACTATAGCAGTATACAAGAATTAACAGATTTTTCTGCTGCAGAATAAGAAGGTACATATTTATCTGAAGCACTAAAAGAAGATCAAAATTTAATTGTACCAGTAAAAAAATTTACAGATTTAACTGTAGCAGTAGAAGAATTTACAGATTAAATTGTAGCAATACAAAAAGATATAGATTTATCTGTAGCACTATAAAAAGATACAGATTTCTTTGCAGCATCAAATAAAAATTCTGTTGGTGTTGTAATGAATAAATCAAATGTTGTAGCAGAACAAAATGATACAGATTATGTTGTAGCAGTAGATAAAGATTTTGTTGTTGCAGTAGATAAAATTATTGTTGCAGATAAAACTATTGCAGTAGATAAAAATAATGTTACAGATAAAAGTATTGCAGTAGATAAAAATATTGTTACAGATAAAAATATAGTTGCTGATAAAAGTATAGTTGCAGATAAAAGTATAGTTGCAGATAAAAGTATAGTTGCAGATAATATTGTAGATGTAGTAAAAGAAGTAGAGAATACAGAAATGGAGACGTAGAGAAAGTAAGAAATATGCGGCAACATAGTTCAGACAATCAACAACATATATATATATATACTAAGCACAAAAAATTTTTTTTTTTTTTTGGCAAAATGTTGACAACATTCTGGCCAACATTAGTGGAACTCTCTATAATGTTTGTACTTTTTTTTTTTGTCGTAAAATTTTATTTTTAGAGCCCACTAGCAGAAAAAAACAACATGCACTTACATCGGTAACAATAAGTTCCTCGCCATCATCAAGACCAGGAATAGTGGTTTTTCCTTGTGACACAAAGTAATAGTCACGAATGTTGTTGGACAGCAAACACATCTCTGTATAGATAAAATGAAAAAAAAAAACAAAACATGCAGGTCAGCCATTATGAACCATGTTCCATGTGGTTTTTTTTAATGGGTTCTTCTCATTGTAAAAAAAAAAAATTGGGAGCCATTTTTGTCTATAAATGGTTAGAAACAGCGAGTTCGCTATTTCAATTTCTAAGGGAATATTTTCTACAGATTACAAAAATCACACCTAAATTGGTGTTAACGGTATCAGTCATAATTGGTTTTTTGTTCCTTTTTGGATTCCTTTTTGATCACAGTTCCATTGGACTGTTGTTAAACTAAAAAAAAAATGCTAACTACAGCAAGGTTTAACGTCCTTCAGGAAGTAGAATTCCTTCTTTGAATCAAGCAAAGCTTTTTTTAGACTATATTTTTATAATCCAAAAAAACAAGGAAGAAAAATTCATTGCCAAAAAAATGATTGGGAAACAAGAATCCCGCACGATATCCGTTCGGCGGTGGTTCTTACGTCGGTCAACTGCAATTCCTCTCCATCGTCTACATTGGGAATAGTTGTTTTTCCTTGGGAGACGAAGTAGTAGTCCTGGATGTTGTTTGAGAGACAGCATAATTCTGTATATACGAAAGGAATAAGGAACTCAACAAATTAAAATAAAAACAAATTTCCAAAGGACACTAAAGAATCTTATCCTTTCTTCCTCTTCCATTGAGATCATTTTTTGCACCATAAATCCTTGACACACCTATTTTTTGTCCAGGGTAGGGGGAGTTTGTTGAGAAATAAAAGGTATGGGAAAATCACCTTTCTTGGGATTGATGAAAAAAGGGAATGAATATTTATAAATTTATTGGTAAAAAAAATATTCAACTGATAATTTTGAATTATAATTTAGTGTATTTAAAATTTTACTAGAAGGAAATTATTTCCGTTTTTGTTGAATATTTTTCTTGGGGGAAAAAAAAAATTTACTCTTACCCTTTAAGCCTTTAACTGATCCCGACATAATCTGGTAGAAAATGTGATAGGAACGCTCGAGTGTTTGTTGGGAAATTACACGAGCTTTCTCCAGTAGATCTAAAAGAAAATTGTAATTATTTTAGGCTTTTTTCATCCGCTTGAGAAAGGAAAAATTTTTTTCTCCTCGATTTGAGAACAATTGGATTTTTTAATTTTGAATGGAGAAAGGGAAGAGGAGTATTTTCTTTTTTCTCCTCCATTGAAGAAGAAAAAGGAGAGTTCCTTTTTTTATTCTTCCAGTGGAGGAAGAAAAAGGAAAACCCTTCCTATTCTTTTCCACTGGAGGAAGAGAAAGAAAAATTCCTTCCATTGTTCTCCACTTGATGAATAGTAGGAATATCCCATTCTCCTCCATTGGATAAACAAAAAGAAAAATCCCTTTCCTTTTCTCCACCATTGGAGGAAGAGAAGTAAAAACCTTTTCATTCTTCTTCACTGGAGGAAGAGAAAAAAAATCCTTTTCCATTTTCCTCCATTGGAGAAAAAGAAGGAAAATCCCTTCTCTTTTCTCATCCACTGAAGAAAGAAAAGTAGAGTCTTTTTTTTATCTCCTCCATTGGAGGAAGAAAAACCCTAACTCTTAAGGACGAGGAAAATTATTCATTTCCTCGAAAAAAAAAAAAAAAACAAACAAAAACAAAAAACTTACATGTCTCAATGTCGGCACCAGCCAACTTTCCAGAAGGACCAAAGTGAATACGGATGAATTTACCCTAAACGGAATAATAAGTTTTACTAAATACCAAGAAAAAATTACTCTTTTTACACAAAAAAGTGATTAGTTTTTTTTTACTTACGAAACGAGATGAGTTATCGTTACGGACGGTTTTGGCATTACCAAAGGCTTCAAGTACGGGATTTGTTTGGACGACCTGATCCTCAAGAGAACCCTTCTTCTTAGCTGATTCATCAACCTTTTTCGTTGATGCACCGACGGTGGCAAAGTACGCAATTACCTTCTTCGTGTTCTCAGTCTTTCCTGCTCCGGATTCACCAGTAATCAACATAGACTGATTTTCGCTGTCTGTAAACATTAATGGAGTTTATTATTTTGTTTTTGCCGGGAGTTTTGATATATTGGTAAAAAAGATGGTATTTTTTTAGATGAAGAAGGAAAGGGAGATTTTTTTTTCTTCTTCCTCCATTGGAGAAAGAGAAGGGAAATCCCTTTCCATTTTTCTCCATTGGAGGAAGAGAAAAAAAAATCTCTTTTTATTATTTTCCATTGGAGGAATAGGAAGGAAATTTTTCTCCCTTTCCTCTATTGAAGGAAGAGATAGAAAATCCCTTTCGGTTTTCCTCTATTGAAGGAAAATTCCTTTCTATTCTCCTCAATTGGAGAAAAATAAGGGAAATCCCTTTTTATTCTAGGAATAAAAGGAAAATTCCATCTAATTCTTCTCTATTGGAGGAATAGGAGGGAAATCCATTTTCTTTCTCCTCTATTGGAGGAGGAGAAGGAAAATCCCTTTAAATTCTTCTGCACTGGAGGAAGAGATAGAAAATTTCTTCCTATTTTCCTGCATTGAAGGAAAAGGTGGAAAATTCCTTCCTATTTTTCTCCGTTGGAGGAAAAGTAGGGAAATCCCTTTCTATTTTCCTCCATTGAAAGAAAAGGAGGAAAATTCCATCCCATTTTTCTCCATTGGAGGAAAAGGAAGGAAATCCCTTCCTATTCTTCTCCATTGGAGGAAAATTCCTTCCCATTCTTCTCCATTGGAAGAAAACGAGGGAAAATTCCTCCCTATTCTTCTCCATTGGAGGAATAGGAGGAAAATTCCATCTAATTCTTCTCCATTGGAAGAAAAGGAGGAAACTTCCTTCTAATTCTGCACCATTGGAGGAATAGGTGGGAAATTTTTATCCTTTCCCGTGAAACATAGAAAAGGAAACCTTTTTCTCTTTCTTTTCTTGTTCCTTAATTGAAAAATTATTTTTACAAAATTTTTTTTGTTTCTATTTGTAATTTTTTTTTGTCTTTTTAAAATTTTTTTTTTTTTGCGAAAAATAGAACTTACTCGTCAACATGTTAACATAGGCACCATCAGAAATGGCGAAAATGTGAGGTGGCACTTCACTACGCCTCTTGCCACGGTACATCTTGGCACAACGTCCAGTATAGACGGGGAATCTCTTGTAGGGATTGATGGCCACACAAAACAGGCCAGAATAGGTCTGTAAAATTTTTCAATTGATTAATTTCTTTTTTTTATTTTCAATGTTTATTTGATGAAACAATCTTTATCAACAACATCAACAATAACAGTAAAAAATTAATAAAATAAATAACAACTACAACAACAACTACAATGACAATAAGAGCCGGTCTGCAGCTCTTTGTCAAAAGATTTTTGACGAAAAGAAAAAAAAAATTGTCCAATTGATACAAAATATTAAAAATTTTTTTGAAAAATTGATAATTTTCATGTTTTTTGTATGCCAATTTTCTTTTCGTCAAAATTTTTTCAAAACAATATATTTTTTTTTACAGCAAAATTTCTCGTGTTCTTTACGAGTTTTTGCTGGGACAACACCAAAAATTCATTAGTGATATAAAAAAACACAAAATACATATATATATATATATATATATATATATATATATATATATATATATATATATATGTAAAATTTAAGAAGGATTTTGTCTTTACGCGATTTAGAATGAATTTTAAGAAAAGAATATTTATCATATAAAGAAAAAATCCTTTTTTTGATAATAATAATTAATAAAATTAAAAAAAAAAAAATTGAACAGCAATCTGAAATAATCACACGAGAGATAGTTGGACAGGTCTGCTATCCCAACACCTCGACATCAGGCTAGAAAAAAAAACAAATGGATGCTAAAAATTCCTCATGCCAAATTCTTTGTTCATTTTGCAATTTTTTTTTTTTTTTAATAATTTTTTTTGAAACAGAACAATTTTTTTTTTAAAGAAATTTTTCTTTATACAAAAGAACATTTTTTAAATTAAAATTTGCCAAAATTATAATTTTAAAAAGTACTTTAAAAATCAATAGAACAAAGCAAATAATGATGGATTATACGTAATAGCATTTTTTTATCAATCATTTTTTTTTTTTGGAATGAGAATTTTAAAGAAAAACAACAACAACAACAACAACAAAATTTTCAGAAAACACAATGAAAAATTTTTTTTTGACGATCCATCCTCTTAAAGTCTCTTACGTAGATAAGCTTAAAGTAGTAACGTTGTTTCAAGTTGTGCAGTACTGAGGCATCATTCAAATAAGTCAAATTGGACATATCCTCTGCCTTCTCATACTTGGGTGGATTCACTTGTTGCAAAAGATCCTTCTTAAAGTCCTTGGTCTAAATTTTGATTCAAAGAAAAAAAAAAGAAAAAAAAAGGGGAAAAAAAAGAAAAAAAAATTAGTCATTATCATGAAAAAATAAAATTTTCACTCACATAAATCATTTTGTTGTAATAACGTTGTTTCAAATTGTGTAGAACAGACGCCTCATTAAGATATGTCAAATGGGCTAAATCTTCGGATTTTTCAAATTTTGGCGGATTCACTTGTGACAGCTGATCCTTTCTGAAGTTTCTAAACTGCATGTTTTTCATGTTTGTGTAAATTTTAATGTTTTTATTTTTTTTGTTTTTTTTTTTTTTGCCTCCAAAATTATATATAAAAATTTTATTGAAATATTTAGTAAACTTTACTGTTTTTATGATTTTTTTAAGAGATAAACTTACTTATATGCAAAAATTATCCATTTGACAAAAAATGTTGTATTTTATGCAGAATTATGTATTTTATGCAAAATTCTGTGTTTTATGTAAAATTTTGTATTTTACGCAAAATTACGTATATTTGCGAAGATTTACGCATATTTACATATAATTTCTAATATTTACATATATTTACGCATTTTAAAAATATAATAAATTTATATTTATATAAAGTTATGTATATTTACGCATTTTTACGTATATTTACAAATATTTAAATATATTTAGGCACATGAAATATATAATAAATATATATTTAGGTAAAATTACGTATATTTACGCATGTTTACAAACAGATACGTATATTTACGTAAAGTTACGCATATTTACCAATATAAAGTATATTTTTTGTGAATTAAAGAAATGTGTACAAAATGTATGGAAATTCTTTTACTCAGAGTTACGTATATTTATCTCTATTTACGTAGTTTAACGTTATTTACGGAAACTGTTGATATTTACGCCAATTATCTTTATTTAAAGGGTCTTAATAGGTAAAAAAAAATTTTTTTTTAAGTATTTATTAAATTATAAATAGCTAATTAATAAAAAATTTTCCCACCGCTGTCACCTTTTGCTAAAAATTTATCCCACCGCTGCCACCATTTAGTAAAAAATCATTCCCACCGCTGTCACCATTTGATAAAAATCTATCCCACCACTGCAACCATTTTGTAAAAATCTTTTTCATTGCTGTCGCCATTTCTAATTATTATTATTTTCTCATAAATTAATTTATTATTTACAAAAAAAAAAAAAAATTGAAAGAAATTAAAAATTATTTCGCCCAAATGTCTAATTTTATCCACATTGAAAAGAAATAAAAATGTAAAATATCAACAGGTTTTTAAAGGGGAAAATGGAATTTGCCAAAGTTACGAAACAGCCACATGTTTTGCTAAATAGTTAAACAAAAAAAAAAAAAGAGGTGGGGGAAGGAAAAAAGAAGAAGATTTCATGTCTCCCTCGCGCCGGTTGCATCAGAAAGTGTCGTTTGGTATTTACACTGTTTCTCTCTCTCTCTCTCTCTCTTCCTTTAGTATCATGTGTTCTCTTTCTCCCATTCTTCGACTCTTCTTGCGTTCGTTCTAAAATTACCATTGACCCGCGTTTCGAAATGTGGCGTTTCGTTTTATTATTAAAAGCCCCCGGTAACTTCCAAGTCGCTAGAATGTCTAACAATAGCGTTTTGGGCTTCAGTGACGAAGAAGAAGAAGACGACGAAAAATGAGAAGAGGGTTTGCTGAACCTCATTACGTAATCTATTTAAACCAACAAGTTCGCTTCTTCTCCCCCCCCCTGCCCAAACTACATTCTCTGCTTTTTTAGCTCCATCTAAAAATAATTCCAAATTCAAAAATAATGCGAGGGTTAAAAAAAAATTCCCTTATTCTCAAAAAAAAAAAAAATGCAATGCTTAGAATTTATATTTATGAAAAAATTTGAAAGGATTTAAAAAAATTTTTTTTTTTGTAATTTACTGGAAATTGTTTATTGAAAAAAAATTGAAGATTAGAAGAATTGGGTCAAAATTTATTTTTCACATGAAAGAGGAAGGTTTTAAATTTCATTTGTCAAAATTTGATACGATCATGAATGAAGAAAGAGAGAGGGATGGAGGGGGGAGGGTAATTCTCTTATTCCATTTCCTTAACGTTTTTGTATGTGTCTACGTATGGTCAGAGAGAGGCCAAAAGAGAGAGAGAGGGTCGTCGGTGTCTACATGAAGGTGCTATTCTGTTCTTGAAATAGAGTCAGAGCGACCCGATACGGTATGAGATGGTTGTGTGGTGGTTTTACGCCGACGCCCCGGCGTCACCCTACCTTTTTGCTTAAATTTATATATATAGTGCAAGTCTTTTTAGTGAAAATATATATCGCTAAACAGTTTGCCTCTTTTAGACACTCTTCCGTCCCTGAATTCTCCTCATCAACCCACCCGCTATTTTTTTTAAAGGAATCTCTAAACAATAGGATTTTTTATTTTTTACTTCTTTTTTTTAATTTTCGTTTCTTCTCAATTTACTCCATTGGAAAATTTGATTGTTATTTTTTAATTTTCATTTTTTTAATTGTAAATCGATTTATGGACTTCTGTTAAAAATTAACTCACTGAGGAGGAGAAATTTAAAGGGAGATTAAAAAAAAAAACTAAAAAATAATTTCTAAAGAGAGGGAAAGAAAAAGAAGGGACAATTCAATGGAGGAAGAAATTTATAGAGAGGGAAGAAAATCGAGAAAAAATTTAATGGAGGAAGAAATATTTAGGGAAGGAAAAAAGTAAGGAAAATTTTAATGGAGAAAAACATTTCTAAGGGAGAAAAAAATTAAGGAATAATTTAATGGAGAAAGAAATTTCTAGGGGAGGGAATAAGGATGGACATTTTTAATGGAGGAAGAAATTTCTAGGGGAGAGAAAAATGTAAAGACAATTTTAATAGAGGAAGAAATTTCTAGAAGAGAAAAAGTCAATTTTAATGGAGAAAGAAATATTTCAAGGGAGAGCGAAAAGCAGAAGGCTAATTTAATGGAGGAAGAAATTTCTAGGAGAGAAAAAACAATTTTAATGGAGGAAGAAATATCTAAAGGGAGAGAAAAAGAAACGAAGGATATTTTTAATGGAGAAAGAATTTTTTATTAGACAAAAAGTAAGGACTATTTCACTAGGGGAAGAAATTTATAGGAGAGACAAACAAATTAGGGCTATTTTAATGGAGGAAGAAATTTCTAAAGGAGAAAAAAAAGAAAGGACATTTTTAATGGAGGAACAAATATCCAAGGGGAGAGAAAAAAAAATTTATAAAGGGAGAAAAAAAGAAGGAAAAACGTTTTTAATGGAGGAAGAAATTAAATAAAGGAATAAAAAAGAAAGCAAAACCTTTTTAATGGAAGAAGAAATTTATAAAACAGAAAAAAACCAAGGATATTTTTAATGGAGGAAGAAATTTTGTAAAGGAAGATAAAAAAAGAAAGCAAGGTGAATATTTATTGTAGGAGGATGAGGAAACAATGTTCCTCATTTGAAAAAAGGTGAGAAAAAAATAATTATCTGTTCGAAAATTAAAGAAGTAATACAAGGGATCTTTAAATGAAAAAAAGGTTATTATTAAGGATAAGGGAAGAGGAACAAAAGGAATTTCAAAGGAATAATGGGAAATAATTAAATATTCAGTTAATTTTTCAATGGAATTAGGAGAGGAGCAATCAGTTTTATAAAAAAAGAAGTAAAAAGTGTTCCAATGGTTGAAAAAAATGGGTCATTAAATAAAAAAAGTGAAGAGGAGAAACGGGAAATGACTAAATAACAAAGGGATCTATAAAAGGGTAAAGGGAAAATAAAAAATTCTTCGAAGGAAAAGAAGAGCAACGGAAATACTAAAGGAAAAGAGTGAAGTAATCTAATAATTGATAAAAATGGGAAAGGGAAAGGAAGAAATGGAAATTTCAAAGAAGGGATAGGAAATAAAATACCAAACGGGATATTTAAATAGATAAAAAAAGGATATTTAAAAGGATAAAAAAGGGTCTTTTAGAGAATTAAAAAAATTAGACCTTAATAGGTATAAGGCAAAAGTTGAAAAAGGATTAAAAAAAAAGATAAAAAAAGGATTTAAAAAAGGAATAAAAAAGGGTGAAAAAGGATTAAAAAGGATAAAACAAGAATAAAAATTGGATAAAAAAAGGATAGGGACGAGGAGCAACGGGAATACTAAAAAAAATAAAGGGAATTAAACTAATAATTGAAGAAAAGGGATAAGGGAAGAGGAGGAATCAAAATTCTAAAGGAGGAAGGAAAAATAAATAAATACTAAAAGGGTCTTTGAAATGGTAAAAAGGAAATAAGAGAGTCCTTAAAAAAAGGAGGAGGAGCAATGAAAGAAAAGGAAGAGGAGGAATGAAAAAAGGAAGAGGACCAATGAAAAAAGGAAGAGAAGCAATAAAAAAGGAAAAGGAGCAATAAAAAAAGGGAAGAGGAGCAATAAAAAATTTAAAGGAGGAATAAAAAATAACCACGGGAATTTTTGCAGACGGAAGGAAGAAATAAAAAATTTTCCAAAAGGAGAGGGAATAGGGGCAAAGGGAAAAAAGGAAAAGGGGAGAGGAAGAACAAATTCTTATTGACGAATGGAAATCAACGAAACAGTAATGGAGGAGATATAAGAAAAAGGAAAGGAGAAATTAAAAAAAAAGAAAAGAGAAAAAAAGTAAAATTCCAAAAAGAAGAGGGAAACAATCCAATAATTAAACAAAAATAAAAAAACGGAAGGTGAGAAATATAAATTTTAAAAAAAGTCTCCAAAAAAATAAGGGAAGATGAGTAATGCCAATTGTACTAAACAAAATCAATAAAACTAAATATTAAAGAAATTTTTCAATGGAGTAAGATAAGAGGGAAATAAAATTCTTAAAAAAGAAGCAAAAAATATTTTTTAAAAAAAACTATTTTTCAATAAGAAAAAAAATTGTAAATACATACCTCGCCGCCAGGCAAAGTGACGGAAACCAAATCGCCCTTGGTGGCCTTAATTTCACCAAGAAGATAGCCTTCCTTTTCATCGGGTACCCAGCAAGCTTTTTTACCATCATAGGGCTTACTTTGATCAATTCTCTTCTGTTCAAGTGAAACAAAAAGATATGGAGTTGGATCGGGATCCTCTCCCTCCTGTACTACTGGCCTCGGCATCTTGATTTATATTTCCTTTACTTTTTTTTTAAACACAATTTTTTTTTTTATTAAATGTCCTTGAATTTTCTTCAGTGTGTTCACAATGTCCTTTTTCCACTATTTATTGATTTACAAAAAAAAATATATATATATTTATTGCATGTAACTTGTCGTTTTCCCCAAAAAATATTTCGTACGTATTCCTTTATTTTCTTTTCTTCTTCTTTTTTCGTTTTTCTTCTTGCTTCGGCGGCGGACGGACTACTTCTGGCGGCACGATCTGGGCGGCCCTGTCGACAAATTCACATACATATATATATATACATATATATGTGTCTTTTAATTCTCACTCCTCCACCTCCCCACTACTCTTTAAAAAAAGAGTATTTTAGTCGATGAGGTGGGGGGGAGGTCAACGTCGTGCAACGTGGAGAACGAGGTATCGAAAACGCCACAATTAACCCCCTTCCCAAACCCCTTCCTCATTGCAGGAGTGTCGTCCCAAAGAAAATATTTCACAATTTTTCCTCCTTCTTTTTTTTTCAATTTTTTATTTTTCGTTAAAAAAAAAACAAGAGAATATCATGAAAATTGGAGAAACAACATAAAAAATTGAGAATCATCATAAAAAAATTAGGAATCATCAGAAAAATTGAGAATTATCATAATAAATTGATAGCTACTATAAATGTTGACAATTCTAATAAAAATTGTGGATTATCATAAAAAATTGAGAATTAGCATTAAAAACATTAAAATATTATAAAAATTGATGATTATCATACAAATTGAGAATTATCATAGAAATTGATGATAAACATTTAAAAAAATTAAAATATAAAAATTGATGATTATCATACAAATTGAGGATTATCATAAAAAATTGATGATTATCATACAAATTGAGGATTATCATAAAAATTGATGATTAATATTTGAAAAAATTTAAATATTATAAAAATGGATGATTATCATACAAATTGGGGAATATAAAAAAAAATTTATGATTATCATAGTAACAAAAAATAAATACCATCAGAATTGAAAATCAACATAAAAATTAATGAATATCACAGTAATTGATGAATATCAGAAAAATTGAGGACTCATCATCAAAATTGAGAATCAACATAAAAATTGAGGATTATAATAATAATTTGATAAATATTACAGTGATTTGATAATTATAATAAAAATGGTTGATTAACATAAAATATTGAGAATTATCATCAAAATTGATGATTATCATACAAATTGAGGATTAACATAATAATTTATGATTATCATAGTAACAGATCATGGAAATTAAAAATTAACGTAAAAATTAACTATTATCACAGTAATTGATAAATATCGGAAAAATTGAGGATTCTCATCAAAAATTGAGATTCATTATAAAAATTAAAAAATTATAGAATTTTATAAGTTACATTAAAAAAATGAAGATTTAGTATAAATAATTATATAAAGTTTAATATAAAAATTAATGATAATAAAAAAATTGAGGTTTCTTATAAAAATTTACGATTATCATATAAATTTAAGACCACAAAATAATTATAATTAATGTTTGTCATAAAAATTGACGATTATCATAAAAACAGAGAATTATCATAGAAATTGAGAACTATCATAAAAATTAAGAATCATAAAACTGAGAACTATCATAAAAATAAAGAATCATAAAAATTGAGGATTATCATAAAAATTGACGATTATCATAAAAATTGAGAATTTTAAAAATTGAGGATTTACATAAAAATTTTAAATTACATAAATTTAATACCATCATAAAAGTTGATGATTATCATAGAAACTGAGAACTATCATAAAAATTAAGAATCATAAAAATTGATGATTGTCTTCAATCATCATATCATCGTTATCGATTATTATAAATGTAATTTTAACTTATTTTTACGATTGAAATTAATTTATTATTATTATTATAAAAATATCAAATTCAATTATAAAAATCATTAAACTGTATATGCCAATTATCATAAAAACAATAATGAAATAAATAAATCGTATAAACTATTATAGTTGTAATCCTGATGTTTATGATAATAAATAAACAGTTACTATGTAAATAAAAAAAAAAATTTCTCAATTTTTAAAATATTTTACAAAATAAAAAAAAATAATTTACAAAAGCTGTTAATCCTCAAAACTTTTGTACTGTCTGGTTAAAAATCCAAAAAGTCACCCAAAAAAAAAAATTAATAAATAAAATATCAAAAGTTTTTCATCACAATATATACGAAGAAACACTATTTTTTCGTAATCCTTGTGTCACAAATAATTGTGGGATCGAATCACACACCAATGAAAAAAAAAATGTTGAAAAAAATATATATTCACTATTCCAACAATAATTAATATTTGTCAGAAATCGTGCACTTTTTTTTTTATTTGTCGATCATCACCACAAAATAACTGCACTTTGTTTTTTTTTTTTTTTTGCAGAAAATTAAAAAATTCAACACTTTTTTTTTCTCCCCCTCCCTCCGACGGTTTCGTTCCTTGTTCTCGCACGTTGCAACAAAATTTCCATTTCTCATTTAATAATAACAAAAAAAAAAAAATATATATATATATATATATATATTTATATTAGTGAAAAAAGAAATTTAAAAAAAATTCTTCTTTTCTTTATAATAAATAAAAAAGAAAAAAAAGAAAATGGAAAATTTTTTTTTTTTTTAATTTTTTTTTTAAAAAAACAACCGACGTGAAGGACTTACGTTAGAGAGCCGTTCTGTCAGGGATTGTAGCAAAGGCTCTCAATATAAGCGCGTGCAACGTGATCCTAGCATGTAACAAGAAAAATGATTGGCTTGTGGCGTCAACCAATCAGAGCGCTCGTTAGTTACTGGGCCAATCTACCTTTTTAGGTGGAGATGATACCAAAATTGTGACAAGAGGGTGCGCGTACGATCACCAAAATGCTATGAGGAGTAGCGTTTTCAGAAAGGGAGCGACAGAAAAAGAGAGAGAGAAAGAGAGAAAGAGAGATGAAAATAGACTTTCAAGAGGAAAAACAGAATCATCGAGAGGAGCCTTCCTCATCAACCTTCTTGGTGGCTCTTCCTCCACCACTTTCCCCTCTCCATATTCTTTTCTTCCTCCTCCAATGTTCCTTTATTCTCCTCTTTTTTCTCAAAAATTTATCCCCCCCCCCTCTCCACCGACTTATCACACTCAATTTTACTTTTCCAGAAAAATCCACAGAATCACACATTTTTGCCCTAAAGAATGTAATAATTATCATAATAAATAAGAATCAGCATAAAAATAAATGATTATCATAAAAAAATTGAGAATTATCATACAAAATCAAAAATTATTAGAAAAATTGAGGACTATCATACAAAATGAAGAATAATTGTAAAAATTGAGGATTATCATAAAAAATTGATGATTAGTATAAAAAATTTTTATCATCATACAAATTGAGGATTATCATACAAAATTATGAATTACTATAAAAATTGATGATTTTCATTAAAAAATAAGGATTAGTATAAAAATGAATTATTAACATAAAAAATTGAGGATCAACATACAAAACTGAGAAATATCATTGAAATTAAACATTATATGTAGACATTAAGAATTATTATAATAATTTGATATCCATTATAGAATATATTAAATCTCATAAAAATTATAAATTATCTTACAAAATTGAGAATTATCATACAAAATTGGGAATTATCATAAAAATTGAGAATTATCATCAAAAATTGAGGATTAGTATAAAAATTAATTACTATAATACAAATTGAGGATTATCATACACAATTAAGAATTACCATAAAAATTGAAGTTTATCATAAAAAATTGAGAATTATCATAAAAATTGATGACTATCACAATAAATAAGAATCAGTATAAAAAATGAGGGTTATCATAAAAATTGATGATTAGTACATTATCATAAAAAATTAAGAATTGTCATATAATATTGAGGATTTGTATAAAAATGAATTACCATCATACAAATTGAGGATTATCATACAAAATTGAGAATTATCATAAAAATTGTCGATTATCACAATAAATAAGAATCAGCATAAAAATTGAGGATTATCATACAAAAATGAGAAATATCATGGAAATTGATGAGTATCATAGAAATTAAAAATTACAATTAGAATTTGAGAATTATCATAAGAAATTGATATCCATTATAGAATATATTAAATCTCATAAATATAGTGGATTATCATACATAATTTAGAATTAACATACAAAATTCAGTATTTTCATAAAATTTGATGATTATCATAATAAATAATATTCGGCATTAAAATTGAGGATTATCATAAAAATTTTTGATGAGTATAAAAGTTTATTATCATCATACAAATTGATGATTATCATACAATATTGAGAATTATTATAAATATTGATGATTGTCTTTAAAAATTGAGGATCAGTATAAAAATGAATTATTTTCATACAAATTGATGATTATCATAGAAGTTGAAGATTTTAATTAGAAATTGAGAATTATTATAATAATTTGATATCCAGTGTACAGAATATATTAAATCTCATAAAAATTGCGGATTGACATTCAAAAATTGAGGATTATTATACCAAATTGAGAACTACCATACAAAATTGAGAATTATCATAAAAATTGAAAATAATCAAAAAAATTGATGATTGTCATTAAAAATTGAAGATTAGCACTTTTAAGACGGCTAGTTTTTCAGTGTAATTCAGATGAATTTTAATTAGTTTTAAATATTTGTTTTATGATAATGTTTTTTAATATAAATACATGATACAATGTTTTGAATCACATTTAAATAGCGTTTGAGGTTAAGTAAAAAATTTTTTCTTATGATACAAATAATTAGCATACTATTTTGTTGTATTTTTTCAAGTTTAAATTTTAAATATTGCTTAATCCAAATGCTAATTGACACTTGATGATGTTTTAAAATTAAGTATTTGAATTTTTTTTTTTTATAGAATATACAAAATTTTGTTTACCTTTATTATGGTTTTGTATTTGTTTTTAGATAAGAAAAAAATAGTTTTCTTGTGAAGTTTATTATAATAAAAAAATCTACCAATAAATGTGTTCAAAAAAATGTCATTTGTTAAAAATTCTCAAAAAGAACAAGTATATCTTAAAATTAGTTTTCTCATTTTAATATTGTAATAATTGTTATATTTCTATAAATTTGTTTAAAAAATAATAATAGTAACAATTTGTTTTATTTAATAATAATTGTATTTATATATTTAAAATGAAAATTTTTTGTGTCATTTTAATTTTAAGTATTAGTTGCATTTTTTTATCATCTTGTCAGTATAATGAAAAAAATTTAAAAGATCAATTTCGCAATACAAGAAGTATAAAAATAAAAAATGAGGTAAGGAAATTTTTCTATTTTACTGGTATTTATTAATTTTTAAAAAAAAATTAATTTTATTTTTTTTCCTTTTTTTAGGAAAAAAATAACTTGGAAATTGAAAGAATATTGTCATCGAGTCAAGTGACACAAGAAATTATTAATTCTATTGGCAAATTTTTCAAATATAAATTAAATATGATCAAATGCTATGAATTGGACATCAATGAAAAATTAAATGAAAATTTGAAATTTTTAAATTTATTTAATCATCTTAATCAAACTTTTTTCGCGTATATTAATATAATTAATGGAAATTTTGAAAATTTTGAAAATCCCTTATTAAAAATAAAAGAATATGTAATAAAATTTAATAAACAACAATTATTATCAAATGAAATATGCAATTTTAATAATAATAAATTTTCAATAAATTTCAATAGACAAAATAAAAAATTTAAATTATTATTGAGTATATTTAAATTTGTTAATTTAATTGAATTTCAAATAACAGAGATATTCAATAAATTAAAATTCAATAAAAATAAATTTAAAAAAATATCAAAAACCATTGAATTTGTTATACCAAAAATTATAGAAATTTGGAATTTTAGTGAACAAATTTTAACATCATCTGCTTATTCATTTAAGCACGAAATTATAGAGGAAATAAATAAAAAATTATTATTATCATTCTTCGTAAAGGTAAAAAATAATCAAATTTATAATTTATATTTATATTATAATAATAATTTTTTTAATGATTTATAATTAATTAATTAATTTTTACAGCCACCAATATGGACAAAAATTAATTTCGAAATCACTGATATTAATAATGTCTTTGAAAAAATGACAACAATATTCTTTTATTTTCAAACAATTGCCAATGATTATAATGATTATAATAATAATGTTAATAATAATAATAATAATAATAATAATAATAATAATAATAATAATAATAATAATAATAATAATAATAATAATAATAATAATAATAATACAATTTGCAACTTTTCTTTCAATTTAGAAGAAGAAAATCAAAAAAGGATTGATGAAAATATTCAAAAAATTTATAAAAGTTATTTGAGCACTTCATTACAATATTTTTATAATATATTCAAAAATATTAGTGATTTAAAAAACTTGAAAAATTTAATAAAAATAATCAACAATTTAAAACAAAATATTGAAAATGACAAAAAACAATATGATCTTTTTTTATTATGTCACAAAAATAATAATAATAATATGAATGAAAATCAATTAAATATTGTTAATAATAATAATCGAGTGATTTTTGCAAAATTCTTAAAAAATACATTCGATCTTTTTAGAATAATTATTCAACAATATATTAATATTGTACAAAATTTAAATCCAATCGTATATTTAAAAAATATGGATATATTAAGCCAATATGATTTTACTGCATTATTTATTATTAACCAACAATTTAATAAAAAAATTCTTACATTACAAAAATTTGATTCAATTAAAGCTACGAAAATTATGATAAATATTTTCTATCAGGTGAGTCATAAAATATATACATTAATTTTTTAATTTTAATTTTATTGCAAATTTTTAAGTATAATTAATTTTAATATGTTATTTATTAAAAAATAGAAAAAAAAAATTTATTACAAAATTTTCGATGACAAAAAAAGTTTATTTTCAGATTAAAAATGAATATCTTCGAGGGCAGAGAATTCAAAGTTTTGATATTTTACATGAAAGTTTTGTCATTGTTTCATCAAATTATGATGCAATTAAAGAATGTTTTTTCGATAATAATAATAATTTTATTCATTACTTTAATAAAATTAAAAACATTGTAGTAATTGTGGATATAATAATGTTAAACACAAACAATATTTCCATATCAAATAATAATAATGAAGCCGTCAAGTATACTGAAGTAGCAGTAAAAATTTTGAAAAATTTACAAATCTCACAACAAAATTTAAAAGATTGTCACATAAATGAAACAATGGAATTAACGCAAAAGATAAAAGAATCAAATGCTATTGTAAAATTAATTTTAACTTATTCCATTACATATTTGATGGGAATTAAAAATTATTTAATGAATTTCACTGGAATAAAATATAATACAAATTTAAAAAAACATTTTAAAATTTTTCGACAACAAATATTGAATGTTAATGATATTTATAGTAATTATATGAATTATAATGGTACAGAACTTAATAAGAAAAAATTATATAATTGTCTTCTGGTGTTAAAAGACTTGTTAAAATTATAAATTTCTAAATATAAATAAATATTACTTTTATCGAAAATTGTAAAAATTTTGTTTCTTTTTAACCCTGATAATAAATTGCATAATTCAAATGAAACACATTAATAATTTTAATAATATTAAATATTAATATAAAAATAAAAATTTGTGTACTTTTAAAAAAAAATATTATTTATTACAGGAAAATAGATAATTGAAAAA